GCTGCCGACACACTAGCAAAAGAGGGTGCCATGCTAGAAACAGACACAACAAATCTTCCTACAATCTCTTGGGTCAAGAGAGATCTCAAAAGACAGGGCAAGAAAGAGTTCAACCAATGGTGGAAAGACCAATCAGAATCTAGGTATCAAGAAGTATACTCACATGCAGTAACTGAAAGAGACCTTATATCTTTTAAGAGGAGTACTTTACACAGACTTCTAGCGGCCAGATCTGGACATGGCGACTTTGCCAGATACCATGAACGCTTTGGGCACACAGATTCAAATGATCACTGCAGCTGTGGTGAGAAGAAAACACCACAACACATTTTCTTTTGTAAGAGGCTGGGGAAAAATCGGCTACTGCCTAGGCATTCGCCTAGGGCAGCTTGTTTACAATACTTAGGGGAGAGGAGCACAGAATGGGCAAAATTCGTGGAGAAGAGCAAGTTCTTTTCAACAATCTGCCCCCAATAGATAGCTTTTCTTGAAGGACCAGATGGATGACCCCAAGATCATACCGCCGCAACAACGGGGATGGGCCCGTGAGCGGGACTGACTGTACTTATTATCTTGAGACCTCCACAACCCTGCGATGCAGAGGCTCTGGGAGGCGTGGTTTGCACTACTGAGGAGCTACCCCCACGTTAAATACAAAACAAACAAACAAACATCCAGGAAAACACCCAGCCATCGCATGGAGTTCTTTGCTGTTCTGTTTATTATCTTGTGGCGGACCAGAGGATTGTCTGAGTTCTTTTTCCGTGAGAAGTGCATGATCTCGGTTTTGTCGGGGTCAAACTCAATAGCATTATTATGTCCCCATTGGTTGAGTAAATGAAGGTTTTTAAAAGCCTTTGTAGCTGTTTCCTTAAGGTTCTTTCCAATACAGAGAGTCGCTAGGTCGTCTGTATATCCAAAGCGTCTCCTTTTTATACCGAGTCGGGCACAGATTGGCTCTATATACAGCATATAAAGGATTGGAGAAGCTGGTGAGCCTTGTGGTAGCCCATAAGTGAGAGCTTTTATGTCAGTCACAATACCTTCAAACCGAACTCTTGCAGACCGTTCAGACATGAATGACTGGACCCATCTTATGAGAAAGTCTGGCCAGCCCTGTTCTCTCATGCGAACCACCAGCCGTCCCATTAGGGCAGCGTCGAAGGCCCCTGTCACATCTGCTGTGACTACCGTTGCAACAAGGCCTTGGTCAAGGGCCTGCTCAATATCGTGTATGAGTGCAGCTACCAAGTCGGCGGCAGAGCGCTTTGGCAGAGCTCCAAAATATTGTGGAGCTAGAATTCTGAATTTAATGACAAATCAGGCAATTCTTTTTGCAATGAGTCGTTCTAGGCCTTTGCCAAGACATGATAATAGCGATATTGGTCTGTAGGCCCTGGGGTTAGAGTAGTCTTTCTTGCCTGGCTTTGGGATCATCACTACCTCAGCTACTTTGAATGGTTTAGGGTGGTGTCCAATCAGTAGGCAGGTCTGGAAAAGGGCTCTGATATGTTCACCAATGACTGGCCAGCAAGCTTTCAGAATCCGTACTGTGAGGGTATCTACTCCCGGGGAGTTGCTCTTGGTTCCTAAAGTGCACCCTTCAGCCTCTTCCAGTCCGACGTGGTATTCAAGGGGGATGTGTGGCTTGGGTTGTACGATCTGAGCGGACCAGGGGTCGATGATATCGTTGTCTGAGGTACTTCGTTCAAGCGTGGCTGAGCGTAATGCATTTGCCTTGCTCTCTTGTGACTCGAATATTTGGTCTCCTATGATGATTGGAGGGGAACGCAATCCTGCTGATAACTTGTGCCAAGAGACGATTCTGTATAGGTCCTTTGGCTCAGTTGCTGAATTGATTAGAGTCTGCCAGTACTCTCTCCTAGCTTTCCGAACCACGCCGCGAAATTCCCGTCGGGCTGAATTCCGTCCTTCTTGGCTTGTAGTCTGTTTGGAAAGGGCCCTGTATGTCTGAACAGCTGCTTTGCAGTCATCATTCCACCAAGCAGTGGGCCTAGATTGACGGGGCCTCTTGCCCACTGTCCTGATACAGCCTTGGATCATGTTGATCAGGCTTTGTGTAAAGGTGTCCACCTGGCCAGGGGATACACCCAGCCGGGGGAGTTCATGAATCCTGGTTTGGACATTATCTGCCAGCTCCTGTAGTTTATCGTCCGGTACTATCCAATGATTGGCCTTGGGTACTCGGTCCAGATCTCCCTGGATTGGAATGACTATTCGTAATGTCTCATGATCTGAGGTGCACTGAAGTGCATCATTGACTGAGGCTTCAGCCATGGGGACATCAGAGAACACCAGATCTAGTACATTTCCGTCATCATGTGTCGGGACATCTGGTTCAGAAATCAGATCCAGTCCGTGGTCTGCCATAGTTTGTGCAAGTATAGTACCACCATGATATCCTGGATTGCTTGAGTCCCAGGATGTGTCGCCAGCATTGAAATCTCCAGCTATAACGCAGCCAAAAGGTGGAGTCCATACTTCCAGAATGTCATCCACTTCCTGTGGGTTGTCACATGGCCGGTAGACACTGGCAAATGTAATGCCTTGTACCTTGACCCAGGTGATGTCTCGTGTAGCATAGGGCCGAAGTTGATCCGCTTGAAGGTATTTTCTCACATAGATGAGAGATCTGGGCCGTGTACTGTCGCTGTCCCAGGAATCCACTGGGGAGTATATATCGTAATTGGGGTGTGTCTTTACTCCCATTCTCCTGCCTGGTGGTATGCCAACCCAGGGCTCTTGCATCAGAATGATGTCTGCTTGTTCTCCTTTATAGTCAGCCAGATTGATGGCTAACTCTGTAGGGCCTGCACTCTTTTGTCCCCCTGCTGTATTCACAGAATGGATGACTAGATGCCCGTGTCGATGTGTTTCGTTTGATGTACCTAACATTGACTGACAACAATGGTATCGGCATCTCTGGGATGAGTTGTATCTGTTGTGTCGATTTGCATTGTGGTGTCTTTGTTATTATTGCTAGGTGTTGACCCAGCTTGGTTTCTGCCTGCTTCGTTGAAGGCCTTGGATCTGGCTCTTTCTCCGGCTAGCCTTATTTCCTGGATTTGCTCCCATGTGTGCTTATGGATGGTACCTTTCACAACCTTGGGGCGGGCAGGGCATTTGTCGAAGTTGGCAGCATGAGGTCCTTTGCAGTTGACACACTTTGGGATTGGTTTTTCGCACTCTCCCTGGTGTACTGTGTTGGCGCAGTGTGCACATACTTGCTTTTCGCATCGGTAATTCCTACCATGGTATCTGAAGCAGCTTGCACACTGGTGAACCTTGGGGGTGTGTTGAATATGCCTTGAGGTCATTGAGTGGGCAAAAAGCGTGAATGGTTTCCTTGCTGCACTGGGCAGAGAGATTATCCATGTAATTTCTGGATCAGAATCAATCGTGTTCTTTGAGAGTATGCACCTCAGAGGTCTGTCGCCTGTTTGGGCTTCAACTTCATCGGCAACAACAGTGTCAGTAATATCGATTGTGAACCCTTCTGCACTGATGACCTTTCTTGGGCATCCATTGACCTTGTAATGATGCCAGACTGTGTGGGTCTCAATCTTTTGTGCCTTGAGAATGTCGGCAATTTCTTCTTGGAAAGCCAGAAGCTTAGCCTGAGTTGGCTTGTCCCTTGGGTGTAAGGTAAAACCAGAAGGACATCGTGTCACTTCTCTAAGCTCCTGAGGGTGGAGCTTAAGTCTTCTGTTCAGTGTAGACTTGATTCCATAAGGCTCTAGGTGGCTATTATCCATGCGGACAAAGACCCGGAGATCATCCTGCTTCTTCTTCAGTTGGTTGGCAGTGATGAGGGCGCCAGGCTGTGTTTTCTTCATGGTAGTGTTGACTATCCATGGATGCTGTCGTTGGCCAGAGGAGACAGCTTGGGCGAAGGTCATGGTGGGCTTCCCTATCCCTATCCCGCCAGGAGTGGTCTTTCTTTTGGGCAGATCTCGGGTTTCCAGCCACTCGTTCAGGCATTTGGAGAAGAAAGCGCTGAACTCCTTGGCATAAGAGTATAGTTCGGTTCCAGCTTTTTCCAGTGTCTTATCGACTGCTGCAGCACACTCTTGAAACATTGTCATCCTGGCTTCATAGAGATGCTTGTCTTTAGCCAGTATTTTGGCTACTTGGTCCTGGCACTTTGAGGAAGAGACCTTGTTCCCTGTATCGCCTCCAATGGCTTGGTCTGTAGAGATTTCGTTTGATTGAGGTACTTCCATATCAATGATGCTGCTAGTATTAATATTTCGGGATTTTCCTTTCAGAGGGGAAACAATGGTGAAGTCAGCCTCAGAGACTTGTGACGGGCTGCTGTTGATGTCGTCGAGCAGTGCCTGGCGGAGCTTGCTTGGGGTTGCCGGGCCATATGTTCTTTTAGGGACCGGGGATTTGAGCACGCCGCCAGTAGTCGTCTTTGGGACGGCCACTGGCGTATTTGGGGGCCTATCGTGAAGGGGTGCCATCCAGCTTGTGAGAAAAATTTTCTGCGCCTTGGCAAGGATAGTCAGGTACTGAAATAAATGCCTGTTTTAGTGCAGATATAGAGGTTGCGCCCTAACAGCGGGGCGCCAAGAAAAATAGTTGTTTTTGGTAAGAGTGTGTGATGAAGGATTTACTTGGGTCTTCAACGACCAGGTTCGGAGGAAGCCCTCTATTCGTTGCCAGGTTGATGATCTCGGTACATTGCGAGAATATCATGCGACCGATTCCCTGAACACCCTGTCTCGCCTTCTCCATGGCTGATGTCACTGACTTTGCTTGGAAGTTCCCACCATGGAGAAAATCGCCTTCTGGAGTGACGAGAGGGTTGTCAGTCACAGAATTGCATTCGATGGAAACTTGCTGTTGGGCCAGCACGAGATCTTCGAGAATAGGACCGAGCCATTGTGGTGCTGTTCGGATTGCATATCTATCTTGTCGTAGTGTAAAGTTGGCTCCGTCATTAGCCTTGGTGAGCTTCGAGCCATCCAAAAAGCCTAGTATGTTGTGGGCGGCTTCTGTCTTTTGCAGGCATTAGTCTACATATGGAGAAAGTTGATGACTTGAAAGGGGTATCGCCTTACCTGGCCAGGGTGCGGTCGGGCTTCCGAGAAGAACGGGTGGAAGCTTTCTGTGGTTCCATTCAAAGCCTCAGTGCTCATGGCAGTGAGCACCTGAGCCAGAAGAGCAAGACCCTGGGTGTCATGAAGCGCCAGGGCGGCCACAGCAGCCGAAACGGCCGTCCCGTTTGTAATAGCAAGCCCTTCCTTTGCTTGTATTGTCACAGGCTGTAGACCGGCCCTGTTCAAGGCTGTGTCTGCGTAGACGTCTTGTTCCCCCCTAGACAATACCCGGATCGTGGGTTTTCCCTGAATAGCACCAGAAACATAGGATAGGGGAATCAGATCTCCAAATGCGGATATGCTACCGCGAAGGGGTATCATTGGCACAATGTCGTGTCTCAACAAATCCTGCATTCGCTCAGCGATGACGGGTCTGACGGCCAAGCACCCAGATATCAACGAGTTGATACGGATAAGGATTGCTGCGCGGCCCCACGAACGAGGTAAGTAAGACCGGTCACTGCCGATATCGAGTGACAGATCACGACGGTGTATTTCGAGCGTCTCATCCAGTGGTGCTGCGTGATGATCTCTCCCTCCGTGAGGGAGAACCCCATAGTGAAGCTCTCTGATGAGTGCTCGCTGTAGCTCAGCGATCTGCTTGGTCCGGGAGTCTGCAGATCCCCCAAAGCCAGTATTGACACCTGCGGCAACACCGTCCTGTTCAGTCGCCTACGCAAACTTATTTACGTCGGGGAACATACATACCGTATATGATGTCTCCCCCCTGAAGCCTCGTCTCAAGCATGTTCAGGCCGCCATTCATCCGCTCAATGGCTGAGGAACTGATGTCTGTTTGCGCGTTGTAACTGCAACAATATCAGTAATGTCACCACTCTACTCTTGTTTTTTTTAGGGATAAAGGGAATAACGAACCGTGCCACAGATACAACGTCTGCTATCGTCAGGTTTCGTCCTGTGAGTGATACCGAGCTCGATTTTGCCCTGTCCAGGATACCATCCAGAAGTTGCCATTCTTCGAGAACCATCCCGGCATGAGCCATGATGGTGGATGATGGCGGGAATAATTGCTATACATGGGCAGTTATCTGACTTGGGCTGTTCACCAACCAACATGTAAGCTGCATAACGTTTCATTGGCCTTATCTGGCCAATCCGCATGTTGAAAAGCTTCCGGTAAAACGGTAGGCTATTTTCTGCGGGATCACTCAAGCGTGGGCAAATTATGCGTCTTTGTACATCAGTGATGAAATCAAATGGAGCTGGTTCGCCATTAGCCAGACATCCTGGTGCCATCTGCAGCCTGGCCAACAGTGGCACACTAAGTTTGGAAGATACTACCCCAAGGTGACAATGATGTACGCTTCGGGTCAGATGGTACGACATGAAGGAGCCCAAAAGCTGTTGGATATGCGATACTACCCACAATCCTATCTGACGTGACTAAAGTGGCTGCATGAAGAACTGCATGTACTGTCTCGTTCCTTGGTAGATAGGTGCTTACGGTAGATACCTTTGGGTCCAGCACCCAGAGGGAGCGAGCCTCATCACTCGGCCCCTGCACCACCTCCCGTTGACGACGCCCTCCTACATTTTCCCCTTTCCGCCCGGCGCCTCACACATCCGTAGACTCAAGGTACCAGGTACTTAGCCCAGCTGTGCATTTGTTCGCTCCATCACATATATGCATGACAGAGTTCAAGCCACTCGATATGGCACCAACAGGGACCTTATCTGTGGGCGGAGGCTCGCAGGGCGCGATGGACGGCGAGTGGCTTCAAAGGCCGTGGCGGAAAGAATGTCAGATCAGACTGTACAGTCTCACACCCCTGAATGAAGCCAACGAGCCCTGAGCCACCACTTTGCGGCACTTTGACACCCCAACACGCCTCAGAATCCTCCCATGCTTTTCCCTCTGTCTTCTTTCTCTAAAGGGATTGGGATACGCACCTTTGCCATTGTCACTTCCACTCGCACCTGTGTGGTAGTATCTCTTACTACTGGTTGCTCGGAAATTGGAATCATGCATCATATCCGTTCAAAAGTTTCACACCATCAGGCACATCCTCTTCAACCGAGGTCCGACGAACCCAAGGCGCATCTAACCAGCAAACCATCTGAGGGTCATGCTAGCATTGACGTTAACCTCGCAACCTGGCAAAGAGTGGACTCGGAGCTCGCCAAATCCGGATGGAGATACCATCAATCATGGTGGATCCAACACACAGGAAGAGCCCCCGCGGTCTTGATACACAACGCTGGGTATCACATTGCGCACGTCGTGGCTCCCAACCTCGGGGTCTCCCGCGAGAACGGCAATCAAGACAAACCGTTGTGGCCAAGCTTCATGACAGACGACGGTACCCCTATCGAACTTAGCTGGGATTGGGGTACCAATGATACCTTGCCCAGGATCCGATATTCAATAGAGCCAATTGGGCTTGACGCAGGCACTCCATCCGATCCCGGCAATCTGCAAGTGCAAACTGCCTTCCAAGAGTAGCTGCTTAGCTACTTGCCTTCCATCAAACTGGAATGGTATCATCACTTCAGACAATTCTTCGTCGCCTACAGGGAGGGAGGCGTTGGTTTCAGAGGAAGCCACGGAGATCACAAGTCCTCCATCTTTTACGCATTCGACCTGTCGTCAACGGGAGTCATGGTCAAAACCTACTTCTTCCCCAAGATGAGAGCACTAGACTACGATCAGTCAGAGCTAGAAGTGCTCTGGCAAGCAATTCGAGCGGCTCCGCACGGGACAGAAGGCAACTTGAGAGCAGCTTCCACGTTCCTCGACTTCTGTTCTGACGAGGCCAACAAAGTCATGGAATGCGAAATGCTACGGGAGGTCGCTTGGGGTTGGGTAAAGAGTGGACGATATATCGTAGCCTTCCATCAACGCATCTGGATACACGGACTGGAGCCGTAGTAGAGCAGCCGGTGCCCGTGCCCATATCTGCAATGCGTGGAATACTCGACAGTGTAACGAATGGGTGCAGAACGTATCCGATGTTCCTTTCTCTGTTGTTAGATTGTTCGGATAATACCGGCAGCAGTGGCCATACTGTGTCATGAGGTCGAATTGTTCGTTGAGCCTATCGGGATAATCTGTCAGGAGATGATTCGAAGGTTGATGACAAGTCTATGAATAAGTTACCTCGTCACCTCGCTCGGGAGGCGAGTCATGTTGTCTGTATAAACATCGGCCATCTTCATGCACCTGGTGGCGAAGTGCACTCAAGTTGACAATCAAGATCGTAGAGTGTAAGGGGAAAACGGAAGGAAAGTTGAGCAAGGCTGCGAAACTGGGATATAAGGCTCCCCCTACTCTTCGAATTATCCAGCATACTTTCTGTAGCGGGGTTTCCAAGTCTTGAGAAAGACGGTGAGTCCGTTGGTGCTAGATGCACAAGGTTGGATCCCGACGCTGCACCCCGAAGAAAAGGGGGGTGGGGGCTGAGAGGCCGGGCACATGCAGTTGGCACCAACATACATATAAGCCGCCATTCGCCTACCTAATGTCACACCAGGTTTCTGCAAGCCTCGCTACCGAGAACCGTAGGCAACATCGTCCATAAGTGCTGCATCCTGCTTGTGCTGCTCTGCAACTTCAGACGTCGTGATATTGATTAACCTTCCTTGCAGCGTGGGATTCCACCACCTGTCCGGCGGCTAGGTGCCTGGCGGAACAGTGATGTATCTTGATTGAGGCGGACCACTCCGGCCGGATGATCCTGCTTGATAGCCCTGAAGAATACCACAGAGTACTTGGCAGGTACCCTAGTACAAGCGTCCGTTGCAGAAGGCTCTTCAGCGCCATCCCTGGAGTTGTGACATGACTGCCGCGGCACATTCTTCGGCTTCCACCCAACATGAGACATCGGAATGTGTTGGTCGGTTGGTCGGGTGGTCGCTAATCAAGCTCGAGGTCGGGGGGAAGCGTTGCGTTGGGGGCCAGGTGCACCACCAACGACAGCTGCAACAGCTGCAGCCTCCAAACTGTTAACGATACACTCGATGTAACACCGCTGACCAAGCCAGAAGGTCGTCACCTTCTGCCCCAGGGATCAGCACGTCTGCTGCTGAAACAACCGTCCACAGCCCCCCTTCTAGAAAGGAGGCTCCCAAAAACTACCATCCCCAGCTGGATCCTGAGAGCACAAGGCCCGGAAGTCCTGAATAGGAGTGGACACGGAGTCACGATATTGCCAGCCCATGAGGTATGATACTGGTATCACCCACTGTATTTAGCCTGCTAGATGTGGTGGACAGCTTGCCATGGCCCTATGCACCCTAGGGAGTGCTGGGGCCTGCTGCTTCGCAGCAGACCTCCAGCCGTTAAAGAATATAAATCAATCAAGCCGAGCGCCGAGTGGGTGTTGGTGAGCTTCTGCGTCAGACGATGTCGTGGGACCAACGTTGTTGCCCACCAGATCAGATATATATACGCGGTTCGACTTGCCGCATCGATACACAGGATTCGGGTGTACTGATTCTACAATGCTCTTTCTACTCTGCACATCGTCCATGCTGCGGCACAGTCAACTTGTTGGCCCATGGATCTTTACCCGGTCGATATTGACCAAGCGCCGGTGTGCTGTGCCATCCAGCACCCTTTGTGTCACCATCCCTTCTTGGGTTGCACACAAATGTTGTGCATCGATAATACCATAGATAGCCGCGATCTCGGTATCTTACTAGATCGTATAAGAAGACCAGCCTAGACACCCGCAGAGCCTTATGTCAGTGCACTGTAAGTGCGTTGGGCCGTCATTCTGACCGATCAGGGACTCTGGAGTCGCCATGTCTACATGTACCTATATAGGTATGTATCGAAGTACCTAGGTAACCTACATGGTACCTTACGGCGTCAAGGGGGTGTTTGAAAAGGCCTGCAGCCAAGCTTTTGATGCGTTGGAAATGTATGTACACCTCGGGGAGACAGGGCCCCGAGCGCCGACGTGCCCCTGACAACTTTCGTGTTCCGTCTGATGGACTCAAGCAGGCGTACTGCATATTGCAAATCAGGGAATATGGCAGCCATCCCCTGACCCTCGCGAAGGAACAACGCCACTTGAACAGTTGGGCAACACATATGTCACTAGGTTCAGCAGACTTCGGAACTGACCTTTTGTAGAGAAGGTGTGAGATTTCAAACCGTTCTAGATTCAAAGGGAAGAGAAGAGAAGAAGATCTCTGGGGGAGAAGCCCCCATCTATGTGTACAGGTGTGCCATCAGGGTGACCAGATAATCATATGATAATGACGCCATCTGAATGTCCGAAAAGTATAAGCCCATTAGCGTATTCAGCCCCGAAAGCTTAAGCCTCGTATGATATCCAACACGCCCTCTCAAACTGAGGGCATCACTACCACACAACTGTAACCAACAGTCCAACAAACCTAGACCTTGGAGTACTACAGCACTCCTGAACCCCCTATTTGACTTCAACGAGTCCTAATAGCTGCAAAAACGAGCCAAATTTCGCCTTTGGCATGGCCTTGGTGAGGCCATTAGCTGGCATCTCGTCAGTACCAAGGAACTGCAGCAAGATGTGCTTAGCCTGAATTTCCTGGCGAATGTAGTGCTCTCACACTCGAATATGCTTCGTTCGGCGATGGAATTCGGTGTTCTGAGCCAGATGAATGGCTCCAGCACTATCAGAGTGCAATAGGAGGGTGTCCAGTGTGTATCCAAGCTCGTTCATCAGCTCTCGTAGCCAGGCAGCCTCCTTTACGGCTTCACTGATGGCATAATACTCTGATTCAACAGTAGATTGTGCCACAACAGTCTGTAGCTTTGAGGACCACGAGATAGCGCCTCCAGCAAAGGTGAATAGGTAGCCAGAGGTCGATTTGGCACCATCCTTGATGCTGCCAGTGTAACTAGCATCACAATAACCAAGTAGAAGGGATGGGATGATGCCAGTGACCTCATCAGAGGTCATTTTGGCGTATTCAGGGCCTCCGAAACGAATGCCCAAGTCCTTCGTGTTCCAGAGGTATCGAATGAGCCCTTGAGCCGCCGCAAGTTGTGCAGTTCTGGGGCAATGGAGGTACCGCGAAAGTACCCCCATTGAGAAGAAGATGTCAGGACGGGTATAGCATGCACGGAAATTCTCAGAGCCAATCAAGGATTGGTACTTGTGAGTTACCTCGGGCGAACCGCCATCCTCGGTGTCATCCTGGTCCATTTTCTCAACCGTTTGAGGCGAGATGGGTACGTTCACACGCCCAGTTCGAGCCTGATCGAAGGCTTCAGCAGTGCGTTGAATGTACGTGCTCTGTGACAGCCACAAAGTCCTTTTTGCACGATCTCTGACGATTTTGACACCGAGAAAGTGCTGGATAGCGCCCAAATCCTTCATTTCGAAGGCAACAGAGAGATCCTGCTTGAACAGATCAACCTTAGAGCGATCAGTGCCCAGGATAAGGAAGTCATCCACGTAGCTAATCATAAAAATGCCATGTTCCTTGGAGTAGTAGACGGCGTTATCAGAGATCAGAGGCTTAAAGCCAAGGGTTTGAAGCAAGCCGCGAAGGCGCTTCTGCCACTGACGAGGGCTCTGCTTGAGGCTATACAGGGGCTTTTCGAGCTTGAGAATCATCCCTTGTCGCCAACCAATGGTGTTCTCTTCTGGATACATCTCAAAGTCATCCAGACCGTCAGGAGTCTCCATATAGATCTCCTCATCTAATTCTCCCATCAGGAAGGCCGAAACGGCGTCCATTTGGTCGAGCTCCCAATCCAGAATGGCTGAGAGAGCCAACAACAGTCTCCAGGTAGTTGTGCGCGTGCCAGAAGCTTGAGTCTCGAAGTAATCAAGACCATGGCGCTACATAAACCCACAAGCAGTGATCCGATCCTTGTATCGAGCTGTTTCACCAGTAATCGGGTCCTTCTTGCGCTTGTAAACGTGACGAGAGGTCAAAAGCTTGCGATTTAGAGGAATTGCTGACCTCTAGAGCACCGAAAAGGTCTTATTACGCAGCAGCGCGCGTATCTCGAGATGAGTACCTTCTAACCATTGAGGTGCTTCAACTGACGCCATCGCCTCCCAATAGTTAGAAGGTTCATCCGTTTCAGGAAGCGCTTGATCAGGGTCAGCAGAAGGCCAATTAACATGGGAAGCCTGAATTGTAGCATGTGGAGAGATCCCGGGAGTTGTAATCTCAGAAATATAATGGTTCTGCAACCCGCGGGTGCGCCCTCCGGATAACACGTTGCCAGGATCCATCCCAGCTTGTGATCGCAGTACTGGAGTCGGCCTCTGAGATAGATCTTGTTGGGGCGATTGGGATAATCCAATCGGCATATCCATTGGACCAATATCGGACTCAGAAATGCTGAGTGTCGATTGAGGGTCGCCGCCGCTATCATCGGATGCGACCAGTGAGATAACCGGAGTGCCTAAAGTAATGACGGGCTCAGAGACATTTATCCAGCCCTAATCTTTATTATCTGACTCATCCGATATATGCTGAAGATCGCTAGTGCCTTTTGAAGAAGATGGCTTCTTTAGATTGTCTTCCTTATAGATAGTTTGCTCGTAGTCGTCGAGTGTACCTTGGAAGTCTGAGAAGATATGGATTGATTCCACAGAAGCGACATACCCATCTAGAATTTCAAGATGGGCAGTAGTAATGACTGTTCGCGATTCAGGCAAGTAAACCTGATACTGATTAGAGCCAATTGAGCGAAGAATTCGCCCTTTTCTCGCATAAGGAGCCGTCTTGTTGCCTTAAACACGGCGCTGACGTGGCAGATGGACCACAGCAGCCTGCCCGATTGGCAGGAGATCGCTCAAATCAGGCTTGTTATCCTTGCCAGGAGTCAAATCGTCGAAGAAGACCTTATTTGGGGTCCTGTTATCCTTCTGGAGGAAGGAGGTGTAGCTCACGTTGAGCCGATCACACACCACAGGGCCAATAATCGGCCAGAGAGACTCTGGCAGCTTCATTTGCTCGATAACACTTCGAACAAACGAATGAATCACGCTGAGAGAGCGCTTTGCCACCCCATTTTGCTCAGGATTGTATGGAGCGCTTAGTTCAAACTCGATGCCTTTAGATCGACCCCATTTGACGAATTGGCGTACTCCGTGCCGTTAGCCAAGCGAAAACAACGAGGGTAGCGACCGTACTAGAGCTTCATCCGCTTGCAATAACAGATACAGATGTCTAAAGCCTCGCCTTTTTGCGCGTGAGGATGATATTCACGTTTTCGTGACTTGCCATCGACTAGCATCGTGGCTCATTTAGAACCATCATATCCTTTAGCTGAATGGTGCGCGGTATCAGTGTGAACCACGTCAAGGGCCTGATCAGGGTGTTCCTGCTCGATTCGGGAGACCATTCGACGGAGATTCGTCTCCAGACAGTCCAAGCAGGTAAATTCCTTTGCCAATTCGAGCGTATTTGGCGGTAGATTGATGCCGTTGACGATTTTGGCCGTTTTAACAATATTGCCAATCGATTGGTGGCCTAACTTCGTGTGCCAGAGGTGAAGGAGCCTTATAGCCTCCCCTTTAGCCCTTAATTGGGCATCAGGATCACTCTCTTCCTCTCCTTCTGCTGGGAACAGATTGACGAATGCCTGCGGAGCGCGCATAATGTTGTAAACCTCCTTCTGTAGCGGTGGAGTGATTACCTTCACATACATGCAGTTGTGAAGGGATGTCACCCAGGCGCCAGCAGAGTCAAATAGATCTCGAATCATCAGATACCAACCTTGACGATACAGCTGATCGCCAGAGAGGAGGTTGATCTGAAAGGAGGGTACGTAGAGCACTTCTATGATCAATCGAGTAACTCTTCTACCTTCAGAAGTGACGAAATCGATCTCCACGTCGCCAACACCAAGTGGTTGAACAGGGCCACCACCTGTAGCGATTGGGAGAAGGTCAGAGTCTATTCGGAGACGAATGAACCACTTCCTGTAGTTGCAAATAAGAACCGTGGATCCAGAATCGAATAGCCATCGATCAGAGGCGGCAGAGATGGCGTAAGCGTGAGCTTCAGGTTGACTTTCAGGTTGAAAGGGGACATTAAGGTCAATATCCACCTGATTGGCGCCGCAAGAAACGTTAAAGTACGCTTCCTGTACTGTGACGTTGCTCACAGTTCTCGCGAGAGCGTCACCATGGTCTTTTGCGGCTGCAAAAGTCTCACGGCACCAGTGAGCAGCGGGAATAGTACCGCCAGCACCAGATGATCCCCTAGAAGAGCCGCTTGCAGCTCCCTTTAAAGCAGCTTGCAACACCTGCTTCAAGATGCATTGGTTGCAGCCACCGTGCCCCTTCTTCTTATTGAGCTCTCCACACTCAAAGCACCACACAACTGTAGTGTTTAAAGCGCCAGGATCCTTTTGATCAGGTTCCTGAGCGCCTCTGGAGCCTTTGTAGCCTCCTTTGCCCTTATTCTTGCCCTTGTTCTTCTTTTATTGCTTATTGCCGTTATTGGCGCCAGTAGGAGTGGTAGGAGTAGCAGGAAGGGCAGGAGATCGGCCCATATAGGTTGCAAAGGTCTCATCCTGCGATTTGCGGATATATATCTCCTCCTGAAGCTGATAGATGAGGTTCTCTGACGTGGAGTAGATTCCACGGTTATAATCCCGTGAGATTTCGCGGTGAAGGGTTGGAAAAGAGGCCCTGATCGCCGCTCGGAAGTTACAAATCCGACTCGTTGCAGAATAATCGATCTTCTGGCGCTCCATACGATCCATCAGAAGGCGGTAGCGCGCCATAAAGTCATCTCCATGATCGGAGTATCGAATCGCAGATAGATCGTCTAGGACCGACGATACCTGGTCGATTGTCATACCAGAAAAGGCACGACAAAGGGCAATCCAGATCTTCCTAGGGTCACGCAGGCCGGCGATGCGGTAACCCGCTTCCGGCTTGATATTTTGTGTGATCGAGAGATATACGATTGCCTTTTGCGAGCTTGAAAACGTCTCGCTGGCAGGCTTCTTCTCGTTAGTCTCATCTTTAACCTTTGAAGAAGCCTTGCTCGAATGACCATCTATGTCGACAGCAGAGGTCTTGAGCGAATAGGGGACCTCATCGTCCTTCTTAATGGCCTCTTGGATAAGAGGCCACAGGTTAACTGCGGTCAGCAGTTGCTCCACGTTTTGAGCCCAATTCTCCCAATTTTCCTGACCAACAAGCTTCTGAGAGTCCAGAAGCTTGATGATTACCTTGGAGGAGTGCTCGTTCGAGTCAGACATGATGGTGATGAGGGGATACAGTACGTGATAAGTGGCTTCCGATGTCAGGGAGCCTCTGTTATAAAGAACAGATTCGTATCCGGAGAACGGTAGAGGACTGCAACAATGACGGTAACTAATCCTCGTGAAGCAGTGAAGAAAGAGATAAATGATCAGCAGCAGAAGATCTGCAAAGGTCGTGATCGAAAGCGAGATGCTACCATGTGAGATTTCAAACCGTTCTAGATTCAAAGGGAAGAGAAGAGAAGAAGATCTCTGGGGGAGAAGCCCCAATCTATGTGTACAGGTGTGCCATCAGGGTGACCAGATAATCATATGATAATGACGCCATCTGAATGTCCGGAAAGTATAAGCCCATTAGCGCATTCAGCCCCGAAAGCTTAAGCCTCGTATGATATCCAACAGAAGGTTTCGTTAGTCCACTCTATGGTCTCCCAATCTTCGCACATTCACGCTGCGCCCTCTTGCGTGACACGTCCATATGCCCAGCATGAATGAACAGATCCGACAGTCGGGCTCCCTGATCTACAGAGCTTCATTCGTTGATTGTACTATTGTCATCTTGACCATCGCATTCCTGTCTCTGATCCGGACTCGGTACTACCATAGACTCAACAGGGTTCCTGGCCCCTTTCTCGCCAGCCTGACCAGCCTCTGGAAATGGAATGCGGTTCGCCGAGAGAAAATGGCTTTCATCAACGCGGAGTTGCACGAGAAGTACGGACCGCTGGTGCGAATAGGGCCTAATCACATCTCCGCCTCCAGCGCAGAATCGATTCGTGTGATCCATCGATCCAAGAACGGTTTCACCAAGGTATACTTCGTCTACCTGTCTACGCCGGACTCATTACTTCTGTATATGCTGATCTATATCCTAGTCTGCCATGTATGGCATCTTGCAGCCGAAATTTGAGGGCGTCGACCTGCACAATATCTTCTCAACCTAGAATGCAGAGTACCACGCCGCTCTCAAGCGCACGATGGGGCCTCTGTACACGACCTCAACGAGCCTCACAAAAACAACTATTTTTCTTGGCGCCCCGCTGTTAGGGCGCAACCTTGATATTTGCACTAAAGTAGGCACTTCTCTCAGTAACTGACTATCTCTGCCAAGGCACAAGAGAATTTTTCTCACAAGCCGGATGGCACCCTTCCAGGACGGGCCCCCAAACACGTTCATGGCCGTCCCAAAGACGACCACCAGCGGCGTGCTCAAATCCCCGGCCCCTAGAAAGACATAGGGCCCGGCAACTCGGAGCAGGCTCCGCCAGGCGCTGCTTGACGACATCAGCAGCAGCCTGTCACAGGTCTCTGAGGCTGACTTCACCGTTATTTCCCCTCTGAAAGGAAAATCCCGAAATATCAATGACAGCAGCACCACTGGAATGAAACGGCCTCAATTGAACGAAATCTCGACAGACCAAGCCATTACACACGATATAGAGAATAAAACCTCCTCCTCAAAGTGCCAGGACCAAGTTGCCAGAATACTGGCTAAAGACAAGCACCTTTATGAAGCCAGGATGACAATGTTTCAAGAGTGTGCTGCAGCGATTGATAAGATATTTGAGAAAGCTGGAACCGAACTATACTTTCATGCCAAGGAGTTCAGTGCTTTCTTCTCTAAATGTCTGAGCGAGTGGCTGGAAACCCGAGATCTGCCCAAAAAGAAGACCATCCCTGGGGGGATAGGGATGGTAAAGCCCACCATGACCTTTGCCCAAGCTGTCTCCTTTAGCCAACGACAGTATCCACGGACAGTCAATACTACCATGGAGAAAACACAGCCTGGCGCCCGCATCACTACCAACCAACTGAAAAAGAAACAGGATGATCTCCGGGTCTTTGTCCGCATGGATAATAGCCATCTAGAGCCTTACGGAATAAAGTCTACACTGAACAGAAGACTTAAGCTCCACCCTCAAGAGCTTAGAGAAGTGACCCGGTGCCCCTCCGGATTTACCTTACACTTAAGGGACAAGCCAACTCAGGCTAAGCTTCTGGCTTTCCAAGAAGAAATCACCGATATTCTCAAGGCAGAAAAGATCGAAACCCACACGGTCTGGTATCACTATAAGGTCGATGGATGCCCAAGAAAGGTCATCAGTGCAGAAGGATTGATAATCGACATTACCGACACTATTGTTGCCGATAAAGTTGAAGCCCAAACAGGCGACAGACCTCTGAGGTGCATACTATCAAAGAACACGACTGATTCTGATCCAGAAACCACGTGGATAATCTCTCTGCCCAGTGCAGCAAGGAAACCATTCACGCTTTTTGCCCACTTAATGACCTCAAGGTATATTCAATACACCCCCAAGGTTCACCAGTGTGCAAGCTGCTTCAGATACCATGGTAGGAATTACCGATGCAAAAAGCAAGTATGTGCACACTGCGCCAACACAGTACACCAGGGAGAGTGCGAAAAACCAATCCCAAAGTGTGTTAACTGCAAAGGACCTCATGCTGCCAATTTCAATAAATGCCCTGCCCGCCCCAAGGTTGTGAAAGGTACCATCCATAAGCACACATGGGAGCAAATCCAGGAAATAAGGCTAGCCGGGGAAAGAGCCAGATCCAAGGCCTTCAATGAAGCAGGCAGAAACCAAGCTAGGTCAACACCCAGCAACAATAACAAAGACACCACAATGCAAATCGACACAACAGATACAACTCATCCCAGAGATGCCGATACCATTGTTGTCAGTCAATGTTAGGTACATCAAACGAAACACATCGACACAGGTATCTAATTATCCATTCTGTGAATACAGCAGGAGGACAAAAGAGTGCAGGCCCTACAGAGTTAGCTATCAACCTGGCTGACTATAAAGGAGAACAAACAGACATCATTCTGATGCAAGAGCCCTGGATTGGCATACCACCAGGCAGGAAAATGGGAGTAAAGACACACCCCAATTACAATATATACTCCCCAATGGATTCCTGGGACAGCGACAGTACACGGCCCAGATCTCTTATCTATGTGAGAAAACACCTTTAAGGGGATTAATTTCGGCCCTATGCTACACAAGATATCACCTGGGTTAAGGTACAAGGCATTACATTTGCCAGTGTCTACTGGTCATGTGACAACCCATAAGAAGTAGATGATATTCTAGAAGTATGGACTCCACCTTTTGGCTGCGTTATAGCTGGAGATTTCAATGCTGGCGACACATCCTGGGACTCGAGCAATCCAGGATATCATGGTGGTGTCATACTTGCACAGACTATGGCAGACCACGGACTGGATCTGATTTCTGAACCAGATGTCCCAACACATGATGACAGAGATGTACTAGATCTGGTGTTCTCAGATGTCCCCATGGCCGAAGCCTCAGTGAATGATGCACTCCAGTGCACTTCAGATCATAAGACATTACGAATAGTTGTCCCAATTCAGGGAGATCTAGACCGAGTCCCCAAGACCAATCATTAGATAGTACCGAACGATAAACTATAAGAGCTGGCAGACAATGTCCAAACCAGGATTCATGAACTCCCCCGGCTGGGTGTATCCCCTGGCCAGGTAGATACCTTTACACAAAGCTTGATCAACATGATCCAAGGCTGTATCAGGACAGTGGGCAAGAAGCCCCGTCAATCTAGGCCCACTGCTTGGTGGAATGATGACTGCAAAGCAGCTGTTCAGACATACAGTGTCACGGAACAGCTGGCAGCTCAGGACGAAGATGCCCATCTATTACTCCAGATGAATAAGAATCTACTGGTGAGGAGGGAAGAAGGATCAGAACCACCAGCCAATTCTGGTGAGGGATTAGATCTTCAATCCCGCTCCACAATTATCTATAGTGAGTGCAGCGGGGCAACGCGTCCACCCCACCAGATCACCTGATGAGCGCACGTACCACCGTGAATGGAGGGATGGATGTCAGATCCATCACATACAGGGCCCTTTCTAAACAGACTACAAGCCAAGAAGGGCGGAATTCAGCCCGACGGGAATTTCGCCGTGTGATTCGGAAAGCTAGGAGAGAGTACTGGCAGACTCTAATTGATTCAGCAACTGAGCCAAAGGACCTATACAGAATTGTCTCTTGGCACAAGCTATCAGCAGGATTGCGTTCCCCTCCAATCATCATGGGAGACCAAATATTCGAGTCACAAGAGAGCAAGGTAAATATATTATGCTCAGCCACGCTTAAACGAAGTACCTCAGACAACAATATTATCGACCCCTGGTCTGCTCAGATCACACAACCCAAGCCATACATCCCCCTTGAATACCATGTCGGACTGGAAAAGGATGAAGGGTGCACTATAGGGACCAAGAGCAACTCCCCGGGAGTAAACACCCTCACAGTACGGATTTTGAAAGCGTGCTGGCCTGTCATTAGGAAATATATCAGAGCCCTTTCCAGACCTGTCTACAGATTGGACACCACCCTAAACCATTCAAAGTAGCTGAGGTGGTAATGATCCCAAAACCAGGAAAGAAAGACTACTCTAATCCCAGGGCCTACAGACCAATATCGTTATTGTCGTGTCTTGGCAAAGGCCTAGGACGACTCATCGCAAAAAGAATTACCTGGTTTATTGTTAAACTTGGAATTCTAGCTCCACAACATTTTGGAGCTCTACCAAAACGCTCTGCCACTGACCTGGTAGCTGCACTCATACACGATATTGAGCAGGCCCTCGACCAAGGCCTCGTTACAACAGTAGTCATGTCAGATGTGAAAGGGGCCTTTGATGCTGCCCTAATGGGACGGCTGGTGGTTCGCATGAGAGAACAGGGCTGGCCGGGCTTTCTCATAAGATGGGTCCAGTCATTCATATCCGAGCGGTCCACAAGGGTTCGGTTGAAGGTATTGTGACCGATATCAAAGCTCTCACTTGTTGGCTACCACAAGGCTCACCAGCCTCTCCAATCCTTTACATGCTGTATACAGAGCCAATCTGTGCCCGACTTGGTATAAAAAAGAGACGCTTTGGATATACAGACAACCTAGCGACTCTCTGCATTGGAAAGAACCTTAAGAAAACAGTTATAGAGGCTTCTGAAAATCTTTATTTGCTCAGTCAATAGGGACATAACAATGCTATTGAATTTGACCCTGACAAAACTGAGATTATACACTTCTTAAGGAAAAAGAACTCAGACAGCCCTCCAGTCCGCCATGAGACAATGAACAAAACAGCAAAGGACTCCATGCGATGGCTGGGTGTCTTCCTGGATAGAAAACTAAACTTCAAAAATCACGTTTCCTACTGGGCTAAGAAAGCTAATAAGGTAGCAAATCACCTTCCAGGACTATGCAACACAGTCAAAGGACTTCCAGTAAAGTCAACCAAGAGGGCTGTGAAAACTTGTGTTATTCCTATTCTTACACATGGCCTGGAGGCCTGGTACCCAGGAATGGAAAAAATTAGGAGCTTAGGTGGGACATCAGCATGTCGCATTAAGGGGCTTCTTAGAACAATAGATGCTGTACTACGAACGGCAATCAGAGCTATCTTGCCAGTCTGGAAAACACACCCTGGACATATCCTATACTTTGAATCGCAGATTCCCCCAGCAGGAGTTCTTGCAGAGTCAATAAGACAATGTCACAGCCTCCAATTAGGACGAATAGACCAGAGACACCCTTTTGTTGGCAGGCTCCAAATACAAGCTCGCAAGAATCCAATAAGGCTACAAAGGAGCTTCCAGCTAGTCCCTGACTTCCAGAGACCAATACTCACCAAAGCCATTATGGAAGAAGCCCCCAGTCCATAAAGACAAAGACAAAGAAACAGAGCTCTTCAAGCAATGGCTACAGGAAAGAAATGCGAGCACTGACCTTGTCATCTATTCAGATGGATCACAATTGGAGGACCAAGGCACAACCCGCACTGGATGGGGCTATACCATCAGGAAAGGCAGCACTACACAAGAAGTATACCAGGGAAAGGGCAGACTTCTCCAAGCAGAAGTAGTAGATACTGAAGTCCATGGTGCTCTCCAAGGTCTTGTAGCAACCAGGGCAATTGGACACGGAAAACAGCTATATGTCTGCCTGAACAACACGTCAGTGGTAAATGGGCTCAATGGGACTCCACTTGAGACATCACAGAACATTTTTCTACGATTTCAAGAACTTGCCACAGCACACACTCCTGGAATGACTGTCAAGTGGATTCCTGGACACAGAGATATTGATGGCAATAAAGCTGCCGACACACTAACAAAAGAGGATATCATGTTAAAAACAGACATAACAAACCTTCCTATAATCTCTTGGGTCAAGAGAGATCTCAAAAGAAAAGGCAAGAAAGAGTTCAACTAATGGTAGAAAGACCAATCAGAATCTAGGTATCAAGAAGTATACTCACATGCAGTAACTGAAAGAAACTTTATATCTTTTAAGAGGAGTACTTTACACAGACTTCTAGCGGCCAGATCTGGACATGGCGACTTTGCCAGATACCACGAACGCTTTGGGCATACAGACTCGAACAATCACTGCAATTGTGGTGAGAAAATAACACCACAACACATTTTCTTTTGTAAGAGGCTAGGGAAAAACTGGCTACTGCCTAGGTACTCGCTTAGGACAGCTTGTTTATAATACTTAGGGGAGAGGAGCACAGAATGGGCAAAATTCGTGGAGAAGAGCAAGTTCTTTTCAATAATCTGCCCCCAATAGATAGCTTTTCTTGAAGGACCAGATGGATGACCCCAAGATCATACCGCCGCAACAACGGGGATGGGCCCGTGAGCGGGACTGACTGTACTTATTATCTTGAGACCTCCACAACCCTGCGATACAGAGGCTCTGGGAGGCGTGGTTTGCACTACTGAGGAGCTACCCCCCACGTTAAATACAATCAATCAATCAATCATGCTGTGGCAGGTCTTGAACACCACTTGAATGCTTGCACCAGACTCTTCTTGTCAAAGATGAATGACATCGTTGGCTCGGGAAGGTCTTCACGTGTCGATCTTGCAGCATGGCTTCAATATTACACGTTTGATCCACTCGGGGCCGTGAACTTCTCTCAGCGCCTGGGTGTGACGAGCCGTCTAACCTATAAGGCTAAAGGGTTCTATAGGGTTTATGTTCTGAGGTAAGTCAACACAAAAGACGATAGAGGCTTCTGTCAACTAGAAGACACTCAGATACTGGGGCTTGGTCTGAACTGGGTTCACTGAATAGTCGAGTCATCAGGAGATTTTTCCCACCTTAGGGTTGGCTAAGATGCTTAGATTGATCACTGAGGTAGAGACTGTCTATCTGTCTAGCTAGGAAATGTCCATCCTTATATATCCAATCTCTCCCTCACTGATGGGGTGGATATGTTGGATAACCTTGCTATCCAAGCTATCCTGGATATGTTGGATAACCTCGCTACCCAAGCTATCCATCACGTGATGTTTTGATCACGTGACCTAGACGTTTCCTTAGCCCGTGCGTTCTCCCGGGTTCTTCCAGTTACTGTCCGTCTTGTTGGGCCTGCCAGCGGGCCTCATTCCCTGTACGCCTCGTTGGTTCGTAACACTGGGCTTCCTCGAATCTGGCACCGACGTCGATGGCATTTGCTACTTGGACCATGATCAGATGATGTATTTTGCAGTGGTGAGACCCCGTGCCTGAATTGAGTTACCCCCATACTGATGTGCCGGGCTTGTTATTCAGTGGGGCCAATTAACGACCATCGAGAGAGCGTGGTCAAACGTGAAGGGCCTCGTCAGGGGAAAAGAGCCGAAAATCCCCTTTTCAATGTGAGTAGCATTTCGTTGCCAACCCGAAGAAGTAAACGACTTCATTGGAGAAGCCCCAAGTCACTTGTATTCAGTGTGCCTCTGTCAAAACCGCCACCCACGTCCGATGACCACAGTAGTTCGCTCTCAAAGTTGTTCAGGATCGCCAAGCCAATCCGACCGACTCGACCGACATGCTGAACTCATTTTTACGCCTACAGAAGACCGTACCAGAGAAGTTCACGATCAGAGATATGATTGCTGCATCATACATCAACGTGTAAGTGAGAGGACGCAGGTGCGAGGATTACCTGCCAATAAATTGGCTAACTTTTGTCGCAGAATCACCGCCCACGACGTTGTCGCCATCACATTGCGAGCCGTCGTCTACTACCTCGCCAAAGACCCTGGCGTCCAGAAGAAACTACAGAAGGAGATATCCGACGCAGAAGCGGCATCGAAACTGTCAACCCCGGCCAAGTACTCCGAAATCACATCGCTGAGCTATCTGTAAGCAGACCACACCTAAACCTTTTCTTCTGGGGACCAGCGTCGGAACTAACAGGTGTTACGCGGTGCGCAGACATGCTGTTACCTATGAGGCACTAAGAATCCACCCCAGCACTGGACTCATCCTGGAACGTCACTGTCCTCAAGGGGGTGTCACTCTCCACGGGATACATATGTGACAATCAGGCCTGCAGCTGCGCTGGTCAGGGCTGATGGGTTGAAATATCTAGATTCAACGATATCTAAGGAAGAAGAGGCAAGGTCGGAAGAGAACGGGGAAGCTAGGGGTATATATGTACATAAATATGTGGAGGTATTATGTAATACCGTAACAGGTGTCACTCTCCACGGGATACATATTCCGGAAGACACTATTATCGGCGTGAAGGCATGGGTCATTAACCGAGATAGCAGTATCTTCGGAGAGGACTCGCGTCTCTTCAATCCTGAAAGATGGATCGAGAGGGAACTACGGGATGTGACTAGGATGAAGAGCAATGTGTTCACGGTAAGCTGCCCTTTCGCTCTTGGCACTAAATTATGAGCTCTGGAATCAGTATCTATGACTGACGTCTGTACAATGAGCAGTTTGGTGCTGGTGCGCGAAACTGCATTGGCAAGAACCTGGCGATGATGCAGCTTACCAAGATCATCGTGGAGCTGTATCGCCATTTTGATGTTAAGCTGGCTGGCCCAGATAAGGAATGGAGTGTCTCCGGTGGTTGGCTTACCAGACAGTCCGAGATGGAGACTGTCCTGACCAAACGGGAATAGATATATAAAGCACCTCTATTGTTGTTAGCTCAGAATCTATTCTGGAATTTCTACTCTTGCAAAGAAGTTCGTCAATCGTTCTCTAATGACGCCTAATCCCCTTGCCATGCTTCCAAGCATCAAAGTCACGAAGCCACTTCTTCACAGTCCTGATCTCCCACAAGTGAGCCTCCCTGATAAACTGAGGCTCGGCCTCCACATCCAGGATACCCGCGGAGTCCCAATGATGGCCGGCTCCCGTGATGAAGAGCTCCGGGTGCAGATCGGAAGTCTGGGTGCGTGGCGGAGCGAGCGGGGAGTGGTAACACAGTCCGTTCCAGACGTCTTGGTCGCCGTCGATGAAGGCTAGTCGATCGGCGGTGATGTTGAAGCCGCCAAAGCTGTTGTACACGCTGATGTCTGGAGAGGGCGGGACTTTGTTGTATTTGCCATCCGGGAAAGCCCACTGTAGTCTCAAGTGTTAGGAGCTCATCGTTTGATGGGTGTGTTTCTCACCAACGGCAGGACACGTTGAGCTGCCGTACGATGACACCATTGAAGAGGGGAGTGAGTTACTTACTGTACACCACTGCTGTTCGTAGGAAGTGTCGACGACGCGTGAGAGCAGGCTAGGACCCTCCTTTGGCGCATCGATGTATGCCCCCTAGTCTCGAAGTCAGCCATCATGCAGTGCGCGTGTGTGATGCTCGTGTATTCTACCTGTTCCGTACAGCTTGTGTACACATACGAGCGACTTTCGCTGTTCGTGGTGTCCTCCCAGTAGCTCTGGTTTTGTGTTCCCTGTTGCGCGAAATCAGTATCACTAGATGCAGTAGTCTCGTCATTTGGGACAAATAAAGTCATCCCCGGTGCTCATGTTTGAGGACTGCTGCCCTGTCACAAGGACTTCAACACAAAGGGGTAGTGAAGACGAGAGCCCAAAAGAATCCACATAATACTCACAAAGCAGTCGCCGTTACTATTGTAATCACCCGAAGCGCACAGAGGCAAGGTGTACGTCTTGATGTAGTTCTGGAGAGGCGGAGTCAGCAATGCCGAACCACGTTATCTGACTGAGGAGGAAGTTGATGCGATGTTTTGGGGGCATAATGTCGCTTACTGCATAACTACCCAGACCAGTCCATGGCATGCCATTCGTATAGTTGCTCAAGGCGTAGTCCACTCGGGTGATCTCCTCAGGGGCATCAATATCGGAGACGTTTCCACAGAAGTAGAAGAAGTCCCGTGACCCGTAGCTCGAGTTCCAGTTCAGCTCCTGCCATGTGTTCGAATGGTAGGAGCCTGGGTTACCGATAGGATCAGCAATCGCCGCAGCAAAGTCCCGGTGATCGGTCAAGACCTCGAGGCCGAAGAGAGCCTTGAACTCATTGACAGCTGTACTGAGATTCTTAGCAATCAGCATGTCGAAGTTGTCGACAATGTTGTTGATTCGCATCACGCAGCCCTTTTTCACCCAGAAATATGAGCGAATACTTCTTACATGATATCTGAGGAGGAACGGATCTGTTGATACTGACCTGCGGTGCGTACTTCTGGATTGGCGAGTACCATTCGGGATAACCCACGACAACCTCAACAGGTGCTGACGACGCAATTCCTCCGTAGAGTACGTCTCCATGCTGCTTGACCGAGAAAGCCGTCTGAGCTCCGGCCAGACTGCCACCGTACAAGATCCAAGGAGTGCCAGGGGCCGTGAGGTTAGGGTCAACCCCAGGGAAGACGGCATTCTGTGCGAAGTAGCTGTTGTCCGCGATGGTCTGGGCCGTGGTGAGGAATGTCAACTCATCCGTGGTAGAAGTTTTGAACGGATAGCTCTCTCCGTAGTATCGGTTCTCCAGAATGACTCCCAAGCCATTGGTGGCTGGAAGTCGATGTCAGAAAGATCCCAATAAGATGAGTGAAGTAAACTGACCCTCCATGAGAATCTGAATTATGCCTGACTGCAGATTCGAGAACCTACTGGGCCCTGAAGCGTTCGTTAGCATGTAATAACAACTCACTCATCAGATCCGGCAGGCTCACCACTTGTCTCTCCACCGATATAGAGGTACACTGGACCACCTTGCAGTAAATGTCAGTAAGTGTCTTCAGAAACACAGAGATCCTAACCACGCACCTGGCTTGTAGTACGAACTATCGACATAGTATCGCTGGGTGAAGGTGGTATTCGCGTATGGCAGCCCATTCTCGGGGAAGTGGTTGATCTTCTGGTTAAAGTAATTGGGTTTGTAGGTAAGGTCACTGCGAGGAGTGTCACGCTTCACCTGTAGAGCTTGGGTCCTAATGATGACGGCGGCTAACAGGCCGACTGTCTTCAAGCTGAACATGATGGAATTAGACGACAGTGGTGAGGAGAGAGGAGCAGAGCCGGACCCTACTTACTACTTATGCACGCGCCTATATATGCAAGGCCCAGTAACTCCGCATATCTCCTGCCACAGCCGATAGATAATCGGATTATCGGTGAGCCAAGGCGGGGCTGCCGCTGCCTCGCGAACAAGCATTCAGCTGTGGATCTAAGCACCGGAGTCGATGAATCGGGAAGGTTGTAACAAAAGCTACACCTGACTCGGCTCTCTACCCGGAAGGCTGGAGCCGGGTACCTCGTCCGAAGCTTGTTGAGACCGTGAGACGCTCGTATCTCATCACTTGCTCAAAACAGCTGGAGCTTTCGGCATATTCCAAGTAGCTGTTGGCGTCTACTGCCATTGACCTATTGACCTACGCAGGTTGCAATAAGCATGGGAAAGCAAGTGCTAAAGACCGTCAAGACTCAAGAAATCGCACTCTACTCTACCCCCACCCCGCACTGTGCTGTTTTACCTTAGGTAGACACCGTGAAGATGGCGACATCATCTAGGATGAATGCGACGAGTCCCTACCTATCGAATTGGCTTTGCACAATCTTATAATTGGCTGGGTTTACGGCTGGTTCATTACCTACTTATTCCCTGCCGTCTCCGCAGGTTTAGTCCATGAGAGGCAGGCCGTCATCGTGTCATGCGCTCTGTATCATCACTACAATCGCCGCGCACGCTGATGGATATAGTGGCCAGCCTTGTTGCTGATAACCAGATTGCCGCACCACAAGGAGATGCCCTTCTGGAGCTACGACTTAGGCGACGAGAGGACGATACAGGCGTGAGTAGGTCACTCAATGACCTCCTGGAATCCGCTGGAGAACCCGGACGACGTCGCCGACTGCTTCTCCGTGAGCTGCCCCATCTAGGCTGAGTTACTCACAATTACCGCAGCTTCAACCTGTTCGGGATGTCCAACGACGTCCGGGAACAAGCGCGCTACCCCAAGGACGGTTACAAGAATGCGTCTGAGCAAACCTGATGTCGCCATTACGAGTTTCCGGAGGGAAGAGCGCGAGTCTTCAGGTCGTCGAGAACGATTCCATCAGCCTTCGTTCAGTCGACTGTTTCTTACCGGAACAGAGGCGCTGATGTATGATTTCATTCAGTGAGCCTCCGGTCCAGCCTGTCCCTCTTCGGCGCCGAAGACCATGTGCTCGGGGACTCGACAGAGGCCGTCGGACTTCGGCCTTGGCAACTTTTCCAGCGTGCGAGCGCCGAGACTACGGAAACGATAGTGTGGACTAACATGGAGACCAGACATATAAGTAGCAAGAAGCAGCCTCAATTCGCGATTACTAAAGCATCATCATCATCTACATTCTACGGTCATATACTCATTTTATCTCTTTCCCCTGATGGCCCCCTTGAAAGTCCTCATCGTCGGCGGCGGCGTCGCCGGCCCAGCCCTCGCGCACTGGCTCTCGCGCATCGGCGCCAACATCACCCTGATCGAGCGCTTCCCACGCATGAGGGCCACGGGCCAGCAGGTGGACCTCCGCGGCCAGGGCGTACCCATGATGCACCGGATGGGCATCGAGGCGGCCGTGCGGGCCAAGACGGTCAAGGAGAAGGGCACGCAGCTGATCGACACGGCCGGCCGGTGCAGGGCCTTCTTCGCGGCCGCCGAGGGCGGCACAGGGAAGCAGAGCTTCACGTCCGAGTACGAGATCATGCGCGGCGACCTGGTCGGCATCCTGAACGCCCTCACCGAGGGGCGCGCGAACGTGCGGCATCTGTTCGACACGACCATCGACAGCTTCACGCAAGACGAGGAGAGCGACCCTGACGGCAAGGTGCACGTCAGCTTCCGCGACGGCAGTAAGGAGGACTACGACCTTGTTGTGGGCGCTGATGGGACGGGCTCGAAGACGCGGAGGGTCATGCTGGGTCCCGATGCGCCGGACCCGCGGCACCGCATGGGCGGCTACATCGGGTACTACAGCATCCCGTCGAAACCCCACGACTCGGACAGAGGCACATTTTGCCACCTGCCGGGGCCCTTCCACCGGGCTATTGGCACGCGGAAGGACTGTCCCGAGCTGACGCGTGTCTATATGCTAATGAACGCCAAGGGCGCTCCCGCCGCCATCATCGATGCCGCGTACAAGTCCGGCAATCTAACGGAGCTGAAGAAAGCATGGGCCGATTTATACCAGTGCGATTACTGGGAGTGCGACCGCTTCGTAGACGCACTCCGGCATGCCCCGGAAGCAGACGACTTCTACTGCACACCCTACGAGGAGGTCCGGCTGCCCGAGGGATCCTGGTCAAAGGGCCGCGTCGTCCTGGTCGGGGACGCAGCACACTCCGGGACGGCAGACGGTTACGGATGCACCTGGGGTCTTGTAGGGCCGTACCTATTAGCAGGCGAGATCGCAGCCCGTCTGCACGGGAAGGAAGCGTTGTCGCCGACCGAAGCGGTGATGCGAGGGGCGAAGAAGTACGAGGAGATCTTCCGGCCCATCGCGACGGCGTCGCAGGGGGGTAACAAGTGGTTTGATATGCTGTCGACTCCGAGCTCGAGGCTTGGGATCTGGTCCCTTCACGCGGTCGCCAGGCTGGCGGCGCGCCTTCGGCTGGATCAGATGGCTGGTCTCGGCGAGGAACAGGCGAAGTGGGAGCTTCCGACTTATCCCGAGCTGGAGGAAGCGCAGAGCTGAAGCCGACGAGAATATCGTCTTGTTTGATACGTCTGTCTTGCCAGACCGGCCTGTAGGCACCATCCATTCTCCATCTTGCTAAACACTACTCAGTCTAGATATATACCCCAAAGGCTCAACCAGCCTGTGTTTCTTTAACTCGATTATATATCAATACCATTTACTTCAGATAAATTAAGTACCTTAACCTTTTACGCTATCGTCAAGAGAGCGTCTGGTGCAGCCGTCATCATCGCAGCTCTGTTGTTTGAATTAGACCCGTTGCCCCTTGACAGCGTCACCGTCCCTGCCGAGAGTGTCCCATCGGCGCCGAGTGCCATTATCTACATAAGTCTTCGATTTTTCCAAGAAACGCTCACTTTAGTATGTAACGGCCCTCTGAGATATTCCCTGAAACGGCCGTCGGTTGATGTGGATTGCCTGGACGGCGGTGCGGTCCTGGAGGCCCGCCAGCTTGGCGATGGAACCCCCGATCGGCAAAGGACCGCATTGCCGATCTCGAATGTGTTAGGGGTTGGTCTGGGACCGACATTAGATGGACGCAGACTGCTTGCTTGGTGATAAGACGAGTCGTGCAACGTTAAGTACAGTTAAAACCAGCTAAAACAGACACACACAACCCAGACGCCTGCGTTGAACTTCTGATCCTCCAAGCGGGGGGAAGCCGACAGCGTGACGAGGGCGTGAGAGGTGGCTCTGACATTGTCACTACGGATCTCCACCTAGTCGTCAATGAATGATCGATCAGAAGAATGCAGGCCCTTCTCTCCCTGACTTTAAAGCGCGTAAGCCCCAGGTGCGCACTGGTAGGTACCTATACGTAAGCACGTGGCATGAGGGGTTTCAATCTCCCGGCCTTTAACTGAACTGAAGCCTTGCGAAAGGGTATTCCTATTGTAAGAAGCGAAGACTGAAGTCGAGAAAGAGCCAGAGACCGTGCCATTCGCATGAAGCCGTCGGGTCGATGCAGCGATATAGGCATGTGCCCCTATCGCTACTTTTGGGGTTGCGTCAAGGGGATGATCTCACTACATGTTCACTTGAATATGTTAATATACCTGACAAACATCGTACTGATATCGAACGTCATGCCCAATACCCCCATTCACCCTTCAACATGCCCGTCGCCTGCCGTCCCATCTGACCCGTCAAGATCGTCGATTTCCCCCTCTTCAAGAACGCGCCATCACCCTTCCTCCCCAAAACGCCTCCCCCATCCCGATCCCACATCTTCCTGCCCCTTAGGAAGACCCAGCGCGGCCAATTGCGCACCTCGATTCCCTCAAAGGGCGTGTAGTCGATGAAATGATGCAGCATATCATTCGTGATCCTGAACTTCCGCCTGCCCTCGGTTCCCTGCACCCCATGACTCGCGCTCACGGGCCCATCGGCCTCGGACCTCGCCGCCAGCGGCGGCTCCTCGGGGTACCACACCACGATATCGGCGTCGTAACCCGGCAGCAGGCTGCCCTTGCGGTCGCCGAGCCCGTACAGCTTGGCTGGGTTCGTCGACGTTAGCTCGACGAACCGCGGTAGCGAGATGCGGATCTTGGCGTCGGCGGAGCCGGTGAAGCCGCTCGGCCGGCCTGGGTCGAACGTGCGGTCGAAGAGCAGCGGGAGCCGCGTCTCCATCCCGGGGAGCCCGTTCGGCACAGTGCGAAAGTCGCCGTGCCGGTGGCCTCCGCCGTCGCTCTCCGTCGTCAGGCCCTTCATCTTGCCGCATGGATGGTCGAAGGTCGCGGGCGCGTGGTCTGATGACACGACTGTGAAGGTGCCGTTGGCTAGGCCGAGCCAGATCTCCTCGAGATCTTGGGGGCTGTGGCGCAGCTTGCGGTGTGCGCGTCAGATTTGGTGGCACATGAACGTGATAAGGGAAGTAGGCTACTAACCGGCGGTGCGCAGATGTTCTTGGCGCCTTCGAAGTCTTCTGGTCCCGACTGAAGTCGGTCGCTCAGCAGGTACAAGTATTGAGGGCAAGTCTCCGCGTGGATCGGCAGCAGCCTTCGCTGCGCTTCACCGACGTGGTTGACCGCTGTGGGAGCGGACATGTGCACCAGCAAGATGGGAGTGTCAGTCACCTCAGCTAGACTGATGGCGCGGTATGTCGCCTCACTCTCCGCGATCTGCGGCCGAGCGACTGAGTGGAAGAAAGTGCCCAAATTTCCTTGCTTCGCCAATCGCCTGTAGGGATCTTTAGCTCGAGCATGCGGAGTAGATGTGATTCAGTGGCATACTTGGTAATCTGCTCAATCATGTCGTTGTTCTCAGCATGGATCATGGTCGTGATGCCCAAGCTCCGAGCCCTCATCATGGTGTTGAAGAGATCGCCGTCGCAGAGCTTCATCGGCTCGTAAGTCATGTAGAGCTTGACGCTAGAAATGCCTTCTTTCTCCACGAGCTGCGGCAGCTCCTTTTCCAGCACGTTCTCATTCGGGTTGGTTAATATGACGTGGAAACTATAGTCACAGTACGTGTTGTCCTTGGCCTTGGCATGATACGCCTCGAGGGCCGGCCATATGCTCTCCTCGGCGCGCTTCTGGCTCGCGAACGCTAGGACAGTGGTGTTTCCGCCGGCGATGGCAGACCGAGACCCTGTTTCCCATGTGTCTCCTGTGGGCGAATTGTCTTGCTGGATGTGAACGTGTGAATCGACACCTCTGTCAAGAATCAGACCATGGTTACGAGAAGATGATTACAGGACTCACCCTGGTGTCAGGTAGGCCCCCTCGGCATCAACAATTTGAGTATCTGTGCTGCTGCCCGCGACGATGGCGTCAAGATTTTGGCCGAGGCACACGACCTTGCCATTTTTGACTCCTATCTCGACGCCGAGTGGGAGCACCTCAGCTGCTGTGACCTAAACTTCACATTAATCGGTGCAGAGTTAGTCATACTTGTGGGAGCTGGGACACTTACAATTCGGCCATTCTTGATGATGAGGTCGAGGTCCTTCGGGGATCTGTCCACGTACTCCCCCATATTCAACCCTCTCCTCGCTGGTAGTCTAAAACGTCGTTTAACAGTGTTTCGCGGATTTCACGAAGCCTCAGCAACTTGGGCAGAAAAAGACACTTCAAGCTTCACGATGATGCTGCGGCTCCATCGTGAGGAAAGTGACCGAGTGAAAATAACGACCGAAGTCATTCAAGATGACCTCATTTGTACGCGGATGAACTTGGTAGCTACCCGCTCTTGCCGCCAAATACCGGACCGGATATCGGAGACAGATGCGGGCTCAGGGGGGAAGACGCATCTTTCGTATTACATAACAACTATGTGGATGTGCAATTACGTGAAGTGTGCAATACAAGAACCATATCAAACATCATTTACTTATAGTAATCAAGGATAGCAACATAAAGCCCCTGGATATCAATCTTGATAGTCGTGCTATTGCGATGTTGGATTATCCTCAAGATAGGCATGAGTGTAGGTGGGGACTGCGATCGGGAATATCGGGATGCACCGAAGCCTTCCTCCCTGCAAATCCCCCCTTAAGCCTCTTATCATAGCACTTCGGGTCATCGCCCCGGACTTCGAAGTCATCAACTTCATCTGCAGACTGTTCTCTTCTTACGTAGCTGAAGTCCAATACCTACCTGAAGTCACTCATACTGGTACCCATACCAAACAGCTTACTCACACCATGGCACCAAAACCAACACCGCGACCCCTGACGGTCGCAGCGGCGCAACTGGGGCCCAACAACAAGGACATGTCCCGCGACGAGATCCTGGCGCGCCTGCTAAAGCACATGGACGACGCCGCCTTGCGCGGCGTGCGGCTGATCGCCTTCCCCGAGCTGGCGCTGACCACCTTCTTCCCAGTGATGCTGCTGACCGCCGCGGCCGAGGTGTCCGCGTACTTCGAGCCCGCATCGCCGTCGCGCCCCTACGGCGTGCTCGAGACGCCGCACGGCAAGCCGCTCGTCGAGAAGGCGCACGCGCTGGGCATGGACTTCTACCTCGGCTACGCTGAGCGCTGGACGGGCGAGGACGGGGTGCCTATTGATTATAATGCGACGCTGTACTACTCGGTCGCGGCCGGTAGGGCGATCGCTAAGTACCGCAAGGTGCACCTGCCGGGGACCAAGGAGCCGATCGATGGCGGGGGGACGAAGGTGTACCAGCAGCTCGAGAAGCGGTACTTCCACCCAGGGGACCTGGGCTTCCAGGCGTTCCGGGCGCCGGGGCTGGTGGAGGGCGCGGTGAAGGCGGAGGATGCTGATGCCGAGGGTGCCGAAGGGGGCAAGATGAACAGCACAGACCGCAAGGGCGACCCGATCATCGGCATGCTGATCTGCAACGACCGGCGGTGGCCCGAGGCGTGGCGGCCGTACGGCTTGCAGGGCGCCGAGCTGGTGATCGAGGGCTACAACACGACGGCGTGGGCGCCGCAGTACGACGGTTCCCCTGAAGAACAGACGGCGACGGCCGAGTTCCACCACCGGCTGTCGTGCCAGGCCGGCAGCTACCACAACGCGTGCTGGAGTATCAATGTGGGCAAGTGCGGCGAGGAGAACGGCCAGTGGATGATCGGCGGCAGCATGATCGTCGATCCTAACGGCAGGGTCGTGGCCGAGTCCGAGACGCTCGGCGACGAGCTGGTCGTGGCGGGGATCGATTTGGCGCTGTGTCGCAAGGGCAAGGACAGGGTGTTCAACTTTGAGAGGCACAGGAGGGTGGATCAGTATGGTATTCTGCTGGAGCAAGTTGGCGTGAAGGAGGTCCCGCTTCTGAGCCGTTCGTGATAGGTGTGCATACTGCCTTTTCGTCAATTTCGTGGCCCTTCCTCTCAGTTCACCAAGTCGGCACACACATTTGGAACCGGGTCACTCATCCGGGCATTTCCCCGTGGAGAAGAATGTCAGAACTTAGGCCTGGAGGTTTGACGACGACGGCTTAATCATACCCGGGATTATTGTGCCCTGAGCAGTCCTACTTATGATACTGACCTTATATATCACTCGCACTATCACATATACAGCGTGACAGTGTTTGATATGAAGGCCTTTGTGGCTTTTTTTGAACGAGCTCTGATCTCTAATCCTGTTCATCATAAGGCCAGCAAATACCATTGGTTGGTGTAAATATCCCGTATTTCAATATGAACGAGCGACTAAGTTTAAGTAGGTAGTGACTGTGGGTACTTCAAAGTTAAATCAAATACATCCACCACACGGACTTGGAAACACAGCCGGTATCCATCTATACTGATTTCTCCCCTGTCAATTTCCAGTCAATTTTGCACCGCAACCCCCTATTCGACCCCTATGTGCCCTCTCCGTTGAGCCGTCCCGTCCTTAGCACATCCCAACAAACACACTGCAGATATCTGGAGAAAGACGGTTGTTTCGATGAATGTTGAGGGAGAGTCTCTAGTTGACAACGACAGTCTCGAACCCGTCGCGCTTCTCCTTGGGGAAATCGCAATCGGATCCGCCACCGCAGCAGCTGCGGAAGTTGGAGAGGTGCTCAGAGATGGAAGCAGCCTCACACTGGTTGCCGCCTGTGGCGGTTCCGCCGAGTTGGCCGCAGCAATACACGGTCTGTACATCGTTAATCGTGCCGCCCGTGTTGCACTGGCAGGCAAGTGCAGGGGTGGAGAGCAGGGCGGTGATGGCCACGGCAGCGATGCGGAAGACAAGCATTTTGGCGGGTTTGGTGTGGTGAGTTGTGTTGAGGTGAGTAAGTCTGAAGCCGATGATGATGATGGTTCAATGGGCTCTTGTTGGTTGAGTTGATGACGTTGATGAGGATTTCGGTTGGGAGGTAGAGAGCAGATCGAAAGGACTACTTGAGGGAGAATGGATGGGAGTATTTATATTTATCGAGCTCGTCTTCCTTGGGGCTCCTGTCCCGAGAAGCTGACGGTCGTGATCCCAACCTGGTAGGACTTGCTCAACTTGGGATACCACACAGGTTGCCAGCTCTTGAGGCAGCCGTCATGCCATCCGAAGCAACGACGCTTGGTTAGAGGATGGAAACCTGAGACTGTGCCGAGCTTGATCCCGCGGCTTACACCTGTCGATCTTACGGCTTGCGCCTCTCGATCATGCGCCTTACGCAGCTTGGATGTGGTTGATGACGAGGCTGTTACTGCACAATCCAAGGATTATGGCGAACTCTACGATATTATGCAAGATGTAGGGGTATCTCGTTGTATAATTACATTGCTAGTGCCTCGGACCTGTACCCGTGTAGGTAGCAGACCGAGTCCTATGACGTTGTCTCATCTTCTCGTGGTATCCAGTGACCACCCTTAGGCAGTGCACACCGGGCGACTTATCTGGTTCGTCACATAAACTCGTTCGGCTTACATCGTGCAACGCGCGAGGCACGCTGCACGGTGTGAACCATTCCTGGAAGGGTCCTCGTTCGTGGCAACTTGAAGGCCCTCGTGTAAAGAACATTGCATCAACCTTCACAATGAGGATCTCGTAAAGCTGCAACCCTAGGTCCATGACGAACCCTCACCGTTCCCTGGCCACGCGAGCATACTACACGGAGTCCACTGCACGCGGCGAATGAGACAGGATTAATTGATCGATTCATGGTCTTTAACGGCTGGAGTACTGGCAGTGCCCAGCTTTGCTTGAGGCACACAAGGCTGTAGTAAGCCGTTTACGATATCTAGCTAAATACAGTGTATGATACTAATATTGTACCTCGTAGGCTGGCAATTCTTTGATTATGTGTTTACTTTATTTAAGACTTTCGGGCCCTGTGCTTTCTTGTTCTTTTCAGGAATGTTATCTGTGACCTCTTAGCTAGAAAGGGGTTATAAGTAATGGTCTTATTTAGCATAAGAATACTGCCTCCCGGTTCAAAAGCCAGTGCCTTCGGCTCTGGAGGTTAAGTAGTGCCCGTTATTTTTCGAACAGCCGGTAGCCATTTCAGTATAGCAGGAAAGAGGGTGTGCAAAAAGAAATTTAGAAATCAAGGCGTCCAGGGGACAAGAGGTATGCCCTAGAATTAGTCCTCCAGGAGAACTGGAGGGGCTGCGAATGAGACAGGAAAGTTCGCGGGTCACCCCTTTTTCTCACATTCTTCGATTGGATGTACCTGACGAGAGACGGCACTATGGCTGTGCTGATCAAACACAGCCTCCAATACCAAGATCCATATCAAGTCAGATCGACCTCATATCTCAGTAAATCCATCAAGGGTCAGCATGGGGCGGACAGCCACTCATCATACTCGCGAGCCTTAGTAGTCCGCAAAAGCGCAGTCGATCAACGGATCAGCATTGTGTTCGTACCAGGCAGCCAGTAGTACTTGCCTGGCCAGAGCGCACATAGGTCGATATCGCTGTTGTCACTTTACTTGAGATGGCTAGAATATATTCCTCCGTCAACTTGGCGGAGGGGCTTGGTTTGGTGCCTCCCGAGGTGGCCGTGCTGACATGCATGCCATTACGTACTAACTTATGGGTTCACCGTGTTTTGCAAGGTTGAGCATGAGTATTGGCCAATGGTGTAGATGTCATCCTACGGGTGGTGTAAGAGCATGAGCGGTGTGCGTATATGTTGCAAGAAATCAGGCTGATGACAACACCGAGCTGATGTATCTGTCCGTGGAACATGGAGCATAAGGGAGATGCCGTCTGCCGGACTCAAACCTTCCGGTCACGTAGCACAAGAGTAAGCTGACGGCGATACGAAGTATTACAGTCCTACTGAGACGTAGGTCAAGTGCTGCTCAGTACCAGCGGTCTCACCGCTGTCTGAATCATAATGACCTTTCTGAGACCAGACGGGGTCACGGGGGCGCATGGTACATGTTTAGCTTCTGGAGGAGTGTAATACAGCACTGCCTCTTATAAGAGCGTGCTCGCGTATGGTCGATTTGTATGTTACCTACCTAGGTAGGTAGGTACCTTACCGTATCATTTTGATATTGCGTTCGGTAACGGAGTATAGACGTCGACCTGTGAACGAGGGTGGCAGTTGGGTGACAGCTGCGTGGGCAACTGCACGCTGGTAAGGTGGACCTGATGCAGGCCACTTGTGAAGGCCCCACTAGATACGTGTCTATTGGGTGGAAAGGTGGCGGCAACCAGCTGCCCAGCTGGGCGGTACCACAGGTATTAGGGTAACTTTGAACGGCTAGCGCAGACCGCTTGTGCAAGGGACGGGCATGGCTGATTGGTCTGCTGGGCCTTATCGATAAACCTGTGGTGGTCCTGAGGAAAGGGGCACGAGCCAGGCAGCCAGCCAGTCAACCAGACCGTTCATCTTGGCCTGCAACCACCAAACCTTGGAACCCACCACCATCGAATTCGGGAGAGCAGCATGCGACGCACAATGGACAATGTGGAAGCCACAGTTGCATAACGTTGATATTGACCCCGTCACGAGGGCAGCCGGGGCGGCTCTATTGTGCAGTATCCTGTCGCAGCGCCTGTCGTCGCGCCAGACCGAACTTGGTTCCGAGATAGTGGCATGGTACGTGCTGCCCGTCGCCTTCAGCTTCGCGCGACGGCCACCCGTCAACAAACTGCCGCGGACTGTCACCTTCAGCATTCCCGAGACCCGACCTGCATCTGCGGCTTCATTATGGGTAGTTGCTTTGAGCGTTGCGACGTTTTGTTTGTTCAAGGCAGAGAATGGCATGGTTGAGTTCTTTGTAAACCGTTCGCGCTGCTTCATGATGCTGTCCCTTCGACTGACGCCCTTCGCAGCCGGCACTGACTCCGTTACTTCTGGTAGCTCAGAACTATCGTGGGCCAGAACTCTGTATCTCAGCAAGGACTGATGCGTCGCTGTTCTCACCTTTTGCAAACACCGTCTGGGGTAATGCCTTGGTCGCCACCTTTACCATTATCACTCTGTTCGATCGCGACACTCTAGGATGTGTTTTGTCAGCTGTTCCCGTTGCTGCTTTGCTAATCGCCTATATCACACTCACTCCCAGGGCCGGTAGGGGCTCGCGCTATGTGCCGCCTTTTGATAACGAGATCGGCATCCTGCCTCTCTCAGCGCGCGTTGTCATTATCTTGGTCATTTCACTGGGCGTTGAGGTCATCGTATTCGGCTTCCCTACTGGACTGAGCATAGCCACATTGCCCGTGGGCTTGGCAAAAGCTTCGTCATGGTATTTCATGATCGAAACAGTAAGTCCTGCTTCGTGTCCACGGGTACTCCAACATGCTTATCGCTCCATCAGGCTCGCCAGTCATCGTGGAACGCCACCACTGCCATAGGAACGTTCAGCATCACGTCCACTCGCAATCCCTTCATGCAACCTTCGGGTGTTCGGGCCTTGTCGCATGTCATTGCATCTTTGGTAGCCCTCGGCCAGGTTATCAACATACTTCCAAAGCATGCAAGAGCCAGGTCAATACTATGGGCCTTCTCCGTCATCACACTGATCCCATTGATTGCCAATGACCTGGCTATCAGAACTTCCCAGTCCTCACTGATTGAATCTCACGAGCATCCAGTAGCCGTCCTTATTCAGAACGCCAAGTCTGAATTTGACGTCATGCTTCAGAAGCAGTCCACGACCTACGCAGCCGCCCATGACGAATACCAACGTCGGTACGGCGTGAACCCCCCGCTGGGCTTCGAAGCCTGGTATGAGTTTGCAAAATTGCATCAGTCGCCCATCGTTGATGAATTCGACACCGTATATACGAGCATTTCCCCTTTCTGGAGACTGAGTGGTCAAGAGTTCCGCCGCCTAATGGGCAATGTACAGCACGAACCGGGTAGCGAAGTGTGGTCCTGTGCATTTTCTGGAGGAAGTTCCAAGACTCTTTGCGATCATTCGATTCGCACTTTCGACAGGAATGTTCGGCGTTCGTTGGACATGCTCCTGGCGGACGTCGGAGGTGTTCTTCCCGATGTCAAATTTCTTGTCAATCACCTCGATGAACCAAGGGTCCTGATCCCTCCACCGCCGCTGGAAATTCATCCTCACAATGATCACTTTAATCTGACCGACCTATCAAGACAACCTGCTTGGGGTACTCTTACAAAGTTCTGCTCATCTCGGGGAAGCAGAAAAAGTGGTCAGATTACCAAAACAGCGGCAACATTGGGTCTCCCTTTCGTCACCGACACCCGTTCGGTCATGGACCTGTGCCAACATCCCGAATATAGCGGCATGCATGGTTTCGCTATGAGCCCTACGTCCTTGCGCCTGTTTGAGGGCATGGCCCCAATATTTGCGACTGGCTCGCCTTCGACCATGGGCGACATATTGTACCCCAGCCCTGCCTATTCCGAGCCGGAGTTTCAATATGACGGTGCCCGTGACCTTGCATGGGACAAAAAGCGGAACAATCTTTATTGGGCGGGCTCTACCACTGGTGGCTTCGCCTTGGACGACAAATGGCAGCACTACCACCGCCAAAGGTTTGTCCAGTTGGCACAGAACCTAGAGAAGCGACAACATCAATACCTACGAGAGAGCGATGGGGTGGTAAGCCTCGTGAAATCATCATTCTTCAACAGCAGATTGTACGATGTTGCTTTTACGAGGATCTTCCAGTGCAAGAGGAGATACTGCAGAGATCAACGCGCTTACTTCAACGCCAAGTCATGGGCAGGCAAAGATGATGCGTTCCAATCACGACTCGTCTTCGACATTGACGGGAACGGCATCAGCGGCCGCTACTACAAGCTACTAGCCTCGACGTCTGTCCCATTGAAACAGACGCTTCTGCGAGAGTGGCATGACGATCGGCTCATACCCTGGGTTCATTACATACCCGTCAGCCAAAGCATGGAAGAGCTTCCAGAGCTGGTCACTTATCTTACGTCCACCAAAGCCGGGCAGAAAAGCGCTAGAGAGATTGCGAACCAGGGCCGGGACTGGTATTCCAAGGCCTTCCGCGACGTCGACCGGACCATTTACGTCTATCGTCTACTGTTAGAGATGGCGAGACTCCAAGACCCGGAAAGGCCAGCATGGCGAGTCGACGATGATTCAGGTGTATGAATAACATTGTTGCTGGCCGTACTACTATTTTGAGGGACTTCTGCAGCTGCTTTGGTATGGCCCGGTCGAGAGCCGCTGAGGCCCCTCGCGGTTGTATCTCCGCTCTCCGAGCCCAAGAAGATCACCAACATCTTGCACTGACTCGTCTCCTCCCTGATACGTCATCGATGTCGAAAGGCCGTGGTTGATGGCGACTACCTAATTGCAGGGCGTGCCATAATTCTCACCCCGTGCTGTCTCAGGACTAGGGGTTAGAGAAATAAGCGAGCGGACGGGAGGCTCGTGGGGAGTTGTGCAGTGCAGTGTCGTCAATTGAAGAACTTACACTTGCATACCTCGGTTTACAGCACCGAATCAGCCCGATCAAAGATTTGCATGTTAACCACTATGCCCGCTGCCCAGGAGCTCGTTTCATCCCGACTGACGGCCTTGCCTCAACTTGGTTCGGGAAGGAGGCTGGACCAAAGTCCATGAGCCGGTGGGCAGGGCTGTATCACAGGATGGACTGAGCGGGAGAGCCTCGGAGGGGTATATGTAGGAAGAGTGGTCATTCTCAGGCAACACTACGGGTATGCCGCGATAAGGGCCACCGGAGTTCAATAGCGATACAATTCACGCGTAGTTCTGGCTCATTTTCAAGTAGCGCACCATCTGCAATTCAGCTCACGTCATGCCTTGAGCCTTCTGATCCCTCCCTGTGCTAAGCGCCACTACTCGCTTCCAACGGACCTGGCTAGTATCAAACCCTCTCAGTGTTTGAGCCCGATGATCTACTACGGCGGCCCTGCTGTTCTGACAGTTCCTCTCACCTTGTGAGGCCCCTTTCCACTGCCGTCTGATGAAGTGCACGGTTCAGCGCCGTAGGTCATAGGCTGCTGGCATATAAGACGGCAGATAGCGGCACCGTCGTGATAACTGAGGAGTATGAAGCAATGCAACTCAGTCGGACGAGGACGGTCTGTTGCTCCGCCCGACCTTTGCAGTGCCCGCATAATCGAGAATGGTAAGAGACCACAAGATCACTGTCCACGTCAACTTTGTCATGCCTCTCCGTCAGTGACTGCTCTCCAACGTAGTGTAATTCATGCTCGGCCTTGACGATATGAATCTGTAGACGGCAATCAATTAGTCGACCCTGCTGGAAGGGTGGTACGGCATTGGCATGATCAGTGTTGTAGGCCTATTCGACCATTAGAATGACCAGGTACCTGTCCGGACGTCTCAGTCTAGCAGTGAAGGCAGGAAAGCAGCATCTCGCACATCTAGTCAGCCGACGGGAGTGTTGTTGGACACAGTCACTGTACTGGATGTGGTCAAGGGGGTCAAAGGTTTTAATTTGTTTCTATGGAATCGGGGAATGGGGTTTGATTTGTCGTATGTGTGTGTTCCTGGGGCTGTACCACTGCCCAGAATGAGACATGGCGGTCACCGCCCCCTATACATCTCCAGAGTCATGCCAATATGTCCCAAAGCTACTCCGGACAAATGTCGACGTATTCTTCTCGGAATGCCTGGTACAAACCTCTTAACTTTCGTCCACCACCAGCTCCACCCAGGGTCTATACATTGGCATTATCAACCAGCGCATGCAAATTCCGGCGATAGATATTGGCGGCGGGCCGTATCATCCAGACTCCATTTTCGCCACAAGGGTCGACGCAGACGCGAAAGGTCCAGCTGTCATCTAGGAGGCGGAAAACTCGAAGAATCAGGTACACATCCTTCGAGGAAGAGCCCTGCTTGCAGAGTGCGAGGCGCTTTGCCATGGCGATTTGGTCGGCGCCAAAGTAAAATGGGGCGGCCCAGTCCTTCGTTGTCGTCTTGACTTCGATGTGATAGGTCACATCTTTTGCGACAGATTCGGGGAGCAGTTGATCATTTCTGGTAATGCGGCGCAGGAGCTGCAGCATTTTCCCCTCTTTGTCGACGTAAGTGAAGTCTGCATAGTTGGAGAGCTTGCCGAAGAATTTCTTGTGGCCAGCAGTTTCATGAAGGTGACTGGTCCAGTTCTCCGGCGTCCAATCTTCTAAGTGACTGCGGAAAACCTGCTCCCAAGGTCGGTTTCCGAAGTCGGATCGTCAGTACTAGGGCCTGGCCCATCATCTCACTGCTCCCATGGTGCCCAACAGACTAACATGCAGCCCAAAGACAGGAAAGACCCGTGGATGTTAGGTTACAGAGAAAGAAGCAGGCCTACACCCCCTGATTATATGCGCGGCTCTCGCTATCGCTACATGTCGTGCCACTCACTGCTCTATACCCAGCGTTTCTCCTTATTATACTCTCGGACGCGCGCCCTCCTAATTGTACGAGCGACCCCGAAACCAGGTTTGACATTCAAACTAGCCTCAATAACGTGAGGGCACGTCAAAGGGCAATGCCTATCTCCTAATAGACTGCGGCCCATAGCGGAAAGCCTCCTGGTTATTAGCTGTGATACTCAAACATAACATCGGTATTAAATATTGGAGTCCCTCCCAATGAGGCACAGAAAACAGAAGATGGCAGATTATCAACGTCTGCTCGGTATCATGATTCGAATTTCCTCCTCCCCTTCCAAAAGCCAGCTGCTGCTGGCCTTGGAGATTCCATTTAAAAGTGTTATGTACAGTTTCCACCGGGAAACTCCGCGCCTCCTGCGCTCCACCCTTGTAATAACTGAATATGGTTACAAACTCCACGCTTTGCTTGGAACGTGTCAATTGCCTGTAGCCTGAAGAGGCCAAGTGAGATATACATTTCAAAATTCAGACACCCATGGCCACCCAAACGCCTAGCACCCACGAGTCTCTCGCTGTGTTAGCTAGCGCCCGAAAGCCGAAGCTCCACCTTTTCCTTGTGAGCCTTGTTTTTGAGATGTACCTCGAAATTCGAAGCGGACATGTCAGGGCCGGGGGTGTACAGCTTGCCCGGGCAGTCAAGGCAGCGGATACGGGGGAGGAAAAACCAGCGCACATGCGGTGACATTGATTGACCTGCGACCTGACCGGTAAGTGTGTCCACGGCATTGTAGCGCATGATCCCCTCGAACCGATCATTTGCATAGGCAGCTTCCTGCTTGAAGTTGTCCAGCGCAGTAACAAGCCATGATGGAGGAGGGGGCTAAAGCAATAGTGAGTACGTTTGTCCAAGCCTTAGTTTGGAGGGAAGAGTGAAGGTTGCCATAGTCACAGATCGTAACGGGTACTCGAGTAGCGGAAGAGAGAGGAGTTGAGATGTGGGAGGATTGGGGGTAAAGGTCTTACAGGGGCTGGAGGAGGTACGCCCTGTATTGGGGCAGGGGCTTCCACTCGACCAATCTGTCCGGGGGGGATCCCATTAGAGGGCATTCTCGCGAGGGGCGCTGGTATTGACGCATTGGGAGTTGAAGGAGGAGGCATGCTGCTGGGAGCAGAGGCACTAGGGGCGCGGGTCTGGGATTGTAGAGGTGTCTGCGATCCAATTGGTGTGCTGTTTTTCAACCTGAAGTCGCGTGCAAGTCTGCGCAGCTTCTCTTTCGGAACCTTCAGTACCACAAGGAAGCGTTGCGGCTCTTCTGTGGCTTCTCTTGTTAGCTCACGCCCGGATCTCCTAGATACTCGGGTTTCGTGATGATGTATCGTCGCTTCGGGCGTTTCAGATCGACCAATGTTGGCCATGCGCTGTTGCGCAGTAGACGCGGCGCCTCGCATGCCCCTTGTTCTTGCCGTGCCGGTCAACTGTGATGCCGCCGGCGAGTCGGGTGACGAGTCGTCACTATCATCAGAGTCGGATATGTCGCCGTCGCGGGCGCCTTGTCCTCTTCTCCGCCCTGCCGCAGGTGCACCAGCCACTCTCTTATAGAGCCTACTCTCCTCTACGGTTTCCGCCGCGCCAGGCAATGTCGATGACACGACGAGCGTACGGATTGTCCTCTGCCTCTCCTTCAAATCGGGTAGCGACGGCCCACCTCGTCGGTTGATGGATCTCTTCTGCCTCCTTTGCTCTCGCGAGAAAACCATCTCGTTCCGCTCCAGGTCCGCCTCGTTGAGCTCGTAGAGGTATGGAGCATATTCCTTGGCTTGCTGCTGTGGCCGGAAGACGGAAGGTAGCGGGGATGGAAGGAACGCAGAGACCAGATCGGCGTCTTCGATCGGTCTGCCGTCGAATGGGTGGCCGATGCTGTACAGACTCCGGGTGAACAGTTGCGACTGCTCTCGGATGCAGTGAGCAATGGCGGTTGTAAACTCTCCGGACAATGCAAGGTCCTTGGACATGCTCGCGGCGAATTCCTCGGGTGAGTTTAATGGGTTGTTGATTTCCCACTCAAACTGGTCTACTAGGGTATGCTGTCCGATGGTGATGTTTAACTTGACCAATATCCTCATCTCGTCGTTCTTCCAGGCCGAGTAGGGTAACTCAGGGTCTAGCGCGTCCTCATCCGAGAAGACGAAGGGATAGAAGTCGTTGAGCTGTTCATGCATCTGCTTCATAACCTCGTCATACACCGGTTGGGCCACAGGGGGTTTCAGCCCAACATCCTCTATCAACTGCATCGCAAACAGTTCACCATGGACGAGTCTCTCGTGGAGATTCCACGTGAAGGTGTCGCGCAGCTTAATCTTGTCCCAATCAACGTCCAAACGCACAGGGACGAGCTCCTCGTGTTGGTCGGCCTGTTGTTTCATGTCTTTCCTCTTCCACTTGAGCGGTGGCGTCTGCCGCTTGCCAGGACGTGGCTTTTGCTGGGGATACATGACCCGCGATGGCCCGCCAATCTCGGTTCTCCCATTCCCATATCCGCTGTAGCCTTCACCATAAAGTCTTGAAGGAGTGAACCAAGGCCGATAATCGTTCCTTACCAGCTTGTAGTCACTTATGAACTTCCTTTGCTCCTTGTTGTACTTTTCCTGGCGGTTCATATCCACAGCCACCCCGGCGGTGTTGACCTGGTCGCGAGAGGCAGCCTGACTTAGAATAAACTGACGGAATGCTTCTTTGTCGCGAGTAGGAAGCGAGCCGTGGTTCGAGTCGTCGGGCGCATCGGCCTTGTTTCCGGGCGTCGATGTTGACGAGTGATCGGACTTGTCGGTTGAGGAGGTCGCGACGGCAGCGGGACCAGCACCACCAGCACCACCGCCACCGCTGCTGGATGCGCCACTCGAATCCGGCTCTGCATCTCGCTGTGTTGCCATGCTTGAGGTTCGGCCTCACATGGGCTTCCGCCGTATCGCGACAATGGATAGGGCCGGGAGGAGGCTCCCAATGGGTTCCTCGCGCTCGCCGACGGTGTGCTCTGCCAAGTGATGGCGGGGGAGGCGTGCAATTGGCCGCGGATGTTTCGATTGGCTCGCAGGCGGCTTCGGGCTGTGCTGTCGCGATGAGGTTGAACTTTGGGGCTGATCAAGGTTGATGGACCATGTCGCGGGTGAGCACCGCAGCCTCTCTTGTTTTTTGCGACACGCCGTACCGCGCCTCGATTGATGAATGGCCCGTGCACACCGGATGTAGCTACATGTAGCCAATTCTCCACCTCCTCCACGAATACCTCTTGGCATGATGATTTCCATTTGTAGTCTCATGGCTTCAATGTTCAAATGTCGTCTCTTCACTACTTTCCCATACAGGGGCTGTGTAACTCATTATGTCTTCTCCCAGTGACCAGACAGTGCTGAACTCAATTATCTCGGTGTCCCGAGGTATCCGCCGGCAACAAGATCCCCCGTAAGTGAAGCATGCGGCTCTTACGAAGAAACTCTAAATCACCAACTTTAAGACGGGCTAGGAACTTACATAGGTACTATCTCCTATCACTCATTTGTACCCTGCTAAGAGTAGAATAGGTAATGTCATAGATGTAAGTGTATAGGCTTCCATTACTGCTCCCTAGCTAGATGCTGCTTTGATGCTATATAGAATTAGTTAAACATAGAGTGGAAGGAACCTACTCTAGAAAGCGTATAGCTACTAGATATGACTTACTTATAAAGGCCGATTAATACTGCAAAGGAGTTACAAAATGTTGCATAGCAATCGTGACAGTCATAACCACGAGCTACTCTCCGAAGACTGAAGACTGAAGAAGCTCTGTCAGAAATTAATTTGGCATCTCACCGGCTGTGGGAGATTGATGAAAGGTTACATGTATGCACCCGAAACAGCTAGCGCCTTATTGGATTCCTCGTGTCGTCGTTCGATGACGGTGAATGTACCTGCCTGCAAATTACAGTGTGGAACTACATGGGAATTGGATAAGTACCTACCCCTCCAATTCCCACAAAGCCCCTCGCCGAACAAAACACCAAAATACACACGACGTGGCTGCGCTGCCCGCCCTCGACCACTCCACCACTCCTCTGTTGACTAGACAGAATTGCCAGCAATTTACAGGTCAAAACCACAGCTGAAACAGACAAGATGGCTGAATCAAAGGAAGTCGGTTCGTATTCCGCTCTCGTCCATGTTATGGCCCCCTTCCTACTCTGCTCTCCTCTGCCCTGCCTCCTGCGGTCCGCGATCTACCCCGCCATTATCTGTGCAGAAGCTCGCGGGTTCCTCATCCAACTCCTGGACTCGAAGTGAATACGAAGATGGAGCTAATGTACAGGGTGAACTACAGACTACTCGGTTACGCATCCGGATAACATCACAAAGTTCAAGGTTGCCGCTGGAATCTCGGAGAAGGTCCTTGCCGCTGTGACTAAGCTCTGTGTCGCCGGAGAGAAGATTGTCACCATCTGCCAAAAGGGCGACAAGCTCATTGAGGAAGAGGTCGCCAAGGTCTACCGCACCACCAAGCTAAAGGGTAAGTGGGCGCCGTGGAATCCCCCATTGATTGCCTCGAGACTCTTGCTCACATCGTGCCTCTCCAGGTTTCGCGCACCCGACCACCGTCTCGCCCTCTTCCTATGTCACACCCTACACTCCACTGTCCACCGACGCCGAGGCCCTCGAGCTCCAGCCCGGCGAGGCTGTCAAGGTCCAGCTCGGTGCGCAGATCGATGGTTTCGGCTCGATTGTCTGCGATACCATCATCGTCCAGCCCAAGGACAGCTCCGAAGATACCGTCACCGGTCGAACTGCCGATCTGATGCTGGCCACTTACTACGCCAACGAGCTTATGCTGCGGCTCATGATGCCCCCCGGCTTGCTGGCAGGTGGATCCGACGAGGAAAAGGCAAAGGCGGCTGCCGTCAAGCCTCCCACACAGTCCAAGATTACCTCCCTCCTGGACAAGGTCGCCAAGAGCTACGAATGCAACCTAGTGGAGAGCACTACATCATGGCTGTTTGAGCGCAACGAGATTGAAGGCAAGAAGAAGATTGTCGTTGCCCCGGCAGAGGGTACCAAGGGCGACGGTATACCGGAAATCGGTGAAGTTTGGGGTGTCGAGACGGGCCTAAGTCTGTCATCTGGCAAAGTCAAGAATCTGGACCAGCGAGCAACCCTACACCGTCGAACAGCAAACACCTACATCTTGAAGTCGCAAAACGCCCGCAAGACTCTATCGAGCATCCAGACCAAGTTTGGCACCTTCCCTTTCAGCATGAGACAACTCGAGGAGGAAGGAGGCGACGTCAAATACAAGGCTGGCGTCCTTGACGGTGTTCGTCAGGGCGTTTTGCGGCAGTATGACCCGTCCGGCGACAAGGAGGGTGCCCCAGTGGCCAGGCTATTGACTACGTTCGGTATGTCTCTGCCATGATATGAACCGAGTGTGCCCAACTAACAGGCTACAGCTATCACCAAGAACGGTATCACGAAACTTGGTACTCCCCCCGCGCTAGACGTGAGCAAATTCAAGTCGGATAAAAAGATCACAGACGAGGAGATCTTGAAGATCCTGGAGCAGCCGTTGGCCAGAAACAAGGGTAAGAGCAAGAACAAGAAGAAGAAGAAGCCCGCGAAGAAGGCAGCCAAGCCCAAGGAGGAAGAGGAGGAGGACAGCGAGGAGGACAGCGACGACGAGTAAAGCAACTGTCACTACGATGGAACACCAAGAGGCTGGCCGAAAAAGTTGCACGAGAACCCATGCCGGACTCGAAACGGCGGGTTTAGAGATGTCGTGTTGATCAAGATCATGGGTCCATAGCCTCTGATAGCACGCCTGATACAGATTTGAGCTACTGAACAGCAACGACTCTGTATGTTAGGAGCACCATATGGTCCTGCATATCACAATAGGTCTACGGCCCACGGTAGTGAATGATGAAAGAGGAAAGAGAAAAAAACATATGAGGGAGAAGCTATCAAACGTGGTCCTTATACTTGGCACCCGTCTCTATGGCCTATGAGATGGAAGCGCATCAGCCAGCACAAGTTTAGATTAAGGACTGGTGACGTTGGGTACTGGTACTCCAAAGACGACTACCCCTGAATAGTGTATCGGGCTGTGATTGTGTAAGGGCAGGGCAGGTCCAGTCAGGCGATGATGCAATGACCAGCGGGCGACCAGGAGTGTCCAATACATTTGATGAAGGCCGTACCAGCACAACGTGGAGTCGTTCATCTCATCTAGCGTAGTTTTTACGAAAGCAACGTCAATAGGTATGCGATGACTGCCTTCAACGCCACCCTGCGTCAAATGAATACTCACTCAGCGATTGCCCCCGTTGTATTCCCTTGAGCTGACCATTTCAGGGGAAGGTACATCAACATGCCCTGGATAAGTACCGGCCGGTTTGATTGGTTTGGACATCATGGCTAAACAAAGAATGGACATTTTCTCGACGAGATCATACAGATTTGATGTGAGGCTTCATCGTCATTACTGCATGTGTGGCGTTGACAATTACGAAGAGAACGGCGTGCGTCTTTTTCTACTTCTCAAAGTAAGAACAGGACTGGCATCATAGCAAACTTAGATCCGCATCATGCCGCACCGAACCCAGATGGACTACGACTGTCGCCCCTGAAAATGCCATTATCGGCGCAAAGGCGTAGGCACACAGTTCGCAACTTGCAAGGGGGTCTGATGAAGATGCTCATCTGTAGAAGTTATTGCACGAAGGTCAAGACTACGAACAGTGAACATGAGGTTCACGGTGGGGAGTCACCGCTTCGGCTCAGGCTTCCTTCCACGGATGCAAAGACTGTGCACTTTTAGGGGGGAGGAGATGGACGTCGCACAGCGCTGTCGCTTGGAGATTGGAATACACATGCCAACATGTTTGATTTCCAAGTGCACATTCTGGCCGATAGATACAAGATACGAGTAAAAGCTAGGGCTTGAGTTATTTGTGCAAACACACCGCCCACGTATATGTATGGTTGAGGGGACTCGGTGCGGTCGGTGATGTGTTTGGGGAGTGAGACCTCAGGTTCAGGGGGGAGGGCCATCTGACCAAGTCCTGTGACTGGGCGGATTGAGTGGCAGGCACGGAGCCACTGGGCGCACGGACAGAGTCAAGCGAGCACAATAACGTGACATGTCCGTTGCTGCAAGTAATAAATCGGTAGACCAGAGAGAAGAAAAGCAGCGCGAATGAAGACTTTTCGTAATAATTCCAGCAGGTCCGATTTGAAGGAATCGGTCGGTTGAGCCGGGGGTGACCAGGCAAAACGCAGGAAAACGCGGTGTTGTCACTTGTGTGCTCCCCCCTACCCCCTACCCTGATGTCCTAGCCCCTGCCCCTGGTGGCGCCGCAACTCCGATTTTTTGGGGCTTCCTGCAATCTGCAACATTCCCTCCCTACTAACGCGTAACATCGACGGCCAACACCACGCGACCAACACCCGTCGCCCCATGAAGAGGACATCCAGAGAGGTACGTCTGCCATCCCCGCGTTCGACGAGCCATCGCTAACTCTGCCTGCAGTTGTGTAATTGACTGGAGTGTCCTGCGAGGCTGTCGCGTCGACCGAGCTGAGGCAAAAGGGGGCCCGGCCAAACGGACAGCGAGAGAGAAGCACTCGCCCCAATCCACGCACGCCCACGTCAACACCCACACTGTCGCCTATTATGTCGTCGACGAACCCCAAGGCCAACTCCCGATCGCGCTTCTCCAGTCCCATACACCTTTCGAGCTCGCCGTCGAGTCACAATAGGGGAACCGCGGCGACGGACGGTCAAAGAAGCTTTATGCGCACTTGGTTGGAGCCTCCCGTCCAGAACAAGGCGAGCTTCCAAGCCGATGGTTTGGTGCGAGGAGGTGTGGTCGAGAACATGGCTCCCTTGGGAACTCTCCCTAAGGTATTGAAGAAGCAGGCTGCGGCTGCTGCTTCTGCTGCCATTGGCGGCGGTGGTGCTGCAAATGGTGCTGGTGCTGGTGCTGGTGCTGGTGCCGCGGAGAGCCTGCCCGCGTCATCTGGTGTCAAGAGGATCGTGTTGAAGAAACCGACGGCTACGGCTGCGGCGACTCCACCTGAAAGCGTGCCAATGTCGACCACAGAGTTGCCTGAGGCAACAACAGCATCTGCTGCAGCTGATGTACCGCTATCGCCCTTATCGCGCCCATTTTCCAATTCGATTTTGGACAATGGGGAGGACGAAGAATATGTGCCCAAAAAAACAACCCATTCAAAGGCCCGGCGCCATTCATCTCACAATAACACCATTGTCCCCAACAATACCGGCACTCCTACCAGCACACGGCGCACGGTGTCAAGCAGACGGAAAAGTGCACGGCCCAGCCCTGCACCCATCCAAGCTCCCATGCCGCCTGCACCTTTCCAAGCTCCACCATCTACGCGCACGCGTGCACCGACTGACAAAGATCTTGTCGACAAAGTGATTGAATTTGCTGTGGACGAGGCCCTGCGTCACTATCGCTACCCTACTGCATATGCACTTCGCCAGCTTTATGACGACTACTCTTCAGACCCTTCGTTCGTGCTCATGATCGAGGACGTCTTCAAGCAAGAGGCCGACGTCGAGACCCTTGAAGAGTTCAGCCGGCTGCTTTACGACAAGAAGAAAGAGGGCAAAAAGGAAGACAAAGGCTGCCACTACTTTGTGCCTCCTCCCACCGGCACTCACTTCACTCCGCCTAAGCCCAAGCCTGCACCCTACGGTGAGCTGCTCAAGATGGACTTGGACACGCCTCTCAAGCCTCTCAAGAGCCTTGCTGGCGCCATCGATCTTGACGGCCATGTCAGCAAAAAGATCAAGACCGACGCTGGAGACGTGCACGCGCTGCCGAACCGCGACGCAAGTGCAATCACGGATGCAAACACCTATGCAGTTCTTCCAGTTCCAGTCCAAGTTGCAGATGCAGAAATGGCAGATGCAGCGCCAGTTGCAGCGCCAGTTGCAGAGGCCACTGCAGGACCGAATGCTCAGGCCATTGCACAGGCAACGGTAGAGGCGACTGCTCAGGTGACTGCAAAGGCGGCTGCAAAGATGACGGCAACTCCTACTCCCACTCCCACTCCCACCCCCGCTCCCACGTCTACTCACACTCACACACCTGTCACCAATGGAAATGGAAGCGGACATGGAAATGAGAATGGAGTTGAAGTTGGCACGCACGGCCGCGTCCGTGTGGCAAGCCATAAGTCGTCTCCTCACCGGTCGCCTCAGAAGACTCAGAAGACTCACAAGTCTCACAAGTCTCACAAGTCTCACGTGTCTCACAAGGGGGCCCACAAATCGCCTCGCAAATCCCACCACAAGTCGCCTCGCAAGAAGCACCGACGCTCGGGATCCATGAGCAGCACCTCGTCTGGGCTTTCGTCACTCCCTGACGGTATTGACGATGACTACGAGTCGTTCATGGAGCGGGTGGATGACGATTTGGGTGTTTCGCGTCCCCTGGCTTCCGAGCCAAACGAGCCAAACGAAGGGCAAATCCCGGCAGTCTCGGCCCAGCCAATCAGCGGCCCGCAAAAGAAATCTGCGGCCAAAAGGAAGAATGTGTCGCCCAGCCCGGCGTCCGCGCGTAACACTCCTTCCCAACACCGCCCTGACCGTCCTTCTCGAGACTCGAGCATGCCCGCCGCCATCATCGCCAACGGCGCCTCCCATCCCCCTGCCACCGAGTCGGCGGCCTCCCTCAAGTTCAACAGCCGCTTCGGTCAATTGCCTGACTCGACTAGCATCGCCCGGAGGAAGCTCGAGAAGAGGTATGAGAACAGCCGCATCACCAAGGAGGCTTCTGGGGAGAGCTTTGTTCGGGATCCGCCTGAGGTGGACGAGCTGGAGGAGCTGCCCGAGGACGCCCCCTTCCTGTCGCTGCCTCCTCCGCCGCCCGAGCACATCCGCTCATCGCGACAGGCGGCTCTGACGGGGCGAGCAGCCAGAGCGGCAAAGCGGCACCATGATGATCTTGATGATTCCATCTCACCCACTACATCGTCCTTCCGGGCTGACCTGGAGCCTCTCTCCACGCGTAACTCGCGTGCAGCGACACCGTCAAACCTGCGATCAACCAAGAAGCCACGGACTGGACTACGCGTCAAGACCTCGTGAGTATCTTCATTCCATTTCGTTATTCTAAGCAGCATGCAGGCTGTCGTGGTGGTCACATAACGGTCCGACGGGCTGCTGCGTTGTCACAAGCAGGGCCTAGCCAAGTGGCGATGTGGCACCACATGATCTCACGCTCACTCACAATCACGGCCCCAAAACTTGCGTTTTCATCTCCAAGCACCTATTTCCATAGTTCCGATATGCTGACCATGCGCGTGTTACTCGCGACAGGCCGATGAAGAAGAAGGGCACATCTGCGGGAATTCCTCGTAGCAACAACAACGAGCGACCGAGCCCTGTGGGCTTCGGTGGACCAGGCAATCAGGTGAGCAATTCCATCAAACCGACACCCAACTCCATCACTCCCATTGCCGACGCCTCTTGGTGTACTCTGCTTCTCAGCGTCGCGGCCAAATGATGGAGGCTTAGCCCTAAGGCCTCAAACCTGATTTGGGCGGTGGCGATGGTTGGGTTCCCGCTTTCCCGCTTTTGCCGGACATTGCGGCAGCGATCGGCCAGGTGCCCGATGCCTTTAGCTTTAGTATAATGATGCTAACAAGCTCTGCCAGGATCTCAACGATGATACCTGCTTTTCATGCTCTGGCTCCGGAGAGCTCGTTCTCTGCGATGGTTGCAGTTACTCGTTCCACTTTCTCTGCATCGACCCTCCGATGGATCCGGGCGACATCCCCAATGAGTGGTACTGCAACGAATGCAACAGCCGCTATTACCCACCGCCCGGCGCCGAACATCGGGGTGTCTTTGGCTCTCTCGAGACGAACCTTGACCGCAATAACCCCCGTGCTTTCCGTCTCCCAGAAGACATCCGAGACCACTTTGAGGGTGTCAAGACGGGGCCGGAGGGTGAGTACGAGGAGATTACCACCACCTCTACCAAGCCCAAGTACGTGATATCCCCCCAGCCTCCTTCGTGTCTCGTGAGCTGACATGCCTTGTCTCTAGGACGAACAAGAAGAATCTGGAGGAGCCCTACGACTTTTACAAAGTTAAGAACAATGATGGTCCGGTGCTCTGCCATATTTGCCACAAAGGAAGTTCCGGCAATCGCGCCATCATTCCGTGCTCTGTCTGCAAGCTTCACTGGCACCTTGAGTGTTTGGATCCTCCCTTGGCGCTACCCCCGGTCCTGCGTACCTGGCGCTGCCCCTGTCATGTGGAGGAGATGCTCAGCAGCATCCCGGCTAGACTGGCACCAGCCCATCGCTATCGCAAGATCAAGAATGCTCCAGTCATTGAGCAGAGCTACAGTAGAGGCATGGCCAATAACGGATGGATAGAGATCGAGGAAGACGATGATGACGACGAAAGTCCCCATGTCTGGCGGGAGCAGGAGAGTTTCGGCCGAGTCTTCCGCGTGTCCGCCAAGGGCATCAAGGAGGACTTCATATCTCGGTAAGCCATATACAATCCCTGCAAATCTGTCTGGATACTGACCCGTCTCAGTGTACGCCAAAACCAAGCAAAGGCTCAAGCACGGGCTGGTGCGACTAACCCCGCTTCTGCGGTTGCACCCCGAGTGCGTAGCCTTGAAGAGCAGCAGGCAGCCTTGAACCTTTCCCTCTTGTCTCAAAGTGGCGGCGGCGGCGACGGCGTTCAGCCGTTGATCGATGCCATGCTGGTAAGTTACATCAGGTTCCTGCATTACCGGCCAAAGTGCTGACCACCTCGATCGCAGTCCGAGGCTAGTCCTGCTGTTAGGTCCATGATTGCCCGAGGCGACGCGCAGAACATGGTCTCAGGTGATCTCTCCAAAGCTGACAACGCCGCGCTGGAAGCCATGATGGCCCAGGTCGATATTGTCAAGCAACGGATTGCCACGATCCTCGAGGGCCGAGGCGCAACTTTTCCTCACGGTGCCTCGAATGTCGGCTCGCACGACGACTCAATGAGCTCGCAGCACACGGTAGACGATGAGACTAGAGCTCACGTCGTTTCCGGTTCTGCTATGCAGCTCGACTAAAAAACCGTACATATGCAACAGTAGCTCCCGGAGCCGCTGGGCTGTATACAACTTGCCGGCTGCTGGAACTTCTTCGTTCTCCATGAAAATATCAGTTCAGGGATCAGCACTTTTCCTGTTGATAGTTCTTTGGAGGCCGGAAAGTTCTTCCACCCTACCCCTAATCACAACCACCCTCTTCACCCCCATTGGACCCTGGACAGCACATCCCACGATGCTAGTTCTATGGTCATCCTGTCACGATTGTTGTAACATTAGAGAGAATAATTCATGGTATGGCATGGCAAGATCATGGCATGGACTGCATGGCAGGCAAGGTCGGACAGTATGCTAGCTACGCAGGATCTCACATCCCCTTCCACCACCATCAGCATGGCCCTGTACACGACTGGCTTCGGCGCGGTTGCCTTTTCAGGCTTCTTGCTTACCGGATCGTTCGTCTGCTAACTGACTTTCACTCGTTCCTTCCCGGCTGCTCAGAGAGGCTTGGAGTCATGCATGCGACGCGGCGTTCGGTGGAGGGCCAATAGTTGTTCGTATATTAGGAACCAAATTTCCGTATCTTTTTGTCTTCTCGTGACATCGCTCTGTGATCTTGAAGTAATATGTTGGCTTCTTATGCCAGACAGAAAGACAGTGAGGAAGCTCGTTTGAAGACTCCGGGTGATTTACAGTATCCCAAGCTCACCATCATAATTGTTGTTACTTCAAGAACTCAACATGCGCGACTAGGTACGACGCTGACATGACGAACTTCCCTTTCTCCTCCTGGCGCAACCTTCCCATTCCCTTGCCGCCTAGACTAGACCCTGGGCATGGACTTCACAACAACCAACGCTTGCTTCGCAATATCAACCTGCTTCGTCAATCTATAGCTGACGCACCCGGCGCGTCTCGAAACGTGGTCCTATTGTACATCCTACCTCTCGTGAACCATTTCTATTGGTGGGGTCAGCTAATCTACCACCCGCCATCTCGACTCGTGTCAGGGGTGAGATGAGGAAGGATGGTGGGAGAAGGATTTGGATGATAGCCCAGTACTACGGGTGATGGAGAGGTCGGATAGCAGATTGTGGACATAGTTCTGGACAGAGTTGCGGACAGATTGTGGAATAAGCGATCCTATGGGTGCCTGTTCCATGCTGTCTCTTCTCTGGGATAAGCACGGTGTAGGCGCTTATACCAGTCGTCATATCGTTGAGTGTCCTCGAGAGAGGTCTTCCCCGGGTTCCTTAGCGACCGAGGTAGCTCGGAGGTAGGCGGCAATGTGTTGATCGTTTCTGACCTTTGAATTGAGACTCGAGACTCGTGGCCGGTGGAATTGTGCCAGTGACGGAGGAGGTTGGCTCAAAGTGTTCGTTGGCTACTCCTCTATATGCAGAAGTGGGTTGGAGTCCAGTGACTTCTCCCCACGCGGTTTTTGCGAGACTATCGCATAGAATCCAGACCCGTGGCCGGTGTGCTTGTGCCAACGAAGTTGGTCAAGTAGGGTGACTTCGGTCTGGAAGAAATGTTCAGGCACCATCATATATTGTCTTCTTTTCGTGACATGGTTCTGTGATCTTGAATTCATATGCTGGCTTCTCGTGCCAGACAGGTATTCTGAGCTCCCAGAGCGGAGATAGCATCCGTCCCATCTCATCAAACGGATAACAAACCGCCTTAATCACTACATTGTACATATAATAGTCAATCTACATGGTAAATGAAGTTTACCTCCCGCTTAAAATATGCTGGTGAATCACGAACCACCCACTGCACGAACCACCTGGTAAGAAAAATAGTCGAATTGATATCTGCAAATATAATCTCGAAGTCCCATAGATTCTGCCTGCCTGCCTGCCTGCCTACCTACCTGAGGAATCACCGCCCGCTAAAATTCATATCCGGTCAGCCAGCCCCCTTCCATACCTACATAATCACGGTCATCGAGTGGATTTCGGCAAATATCTCTGCCGTCATCACCGGCGTCATCACCGCAATTACCTTAGACTTGGGCAATAAATTCATACAAAGCGTCAATACCGGCATTACCGATTTGGCCTACCGTAACGTCCTTAAAATCATCAAATTATATCTCCTCAAATATACTCGCGCGCTTAATATGACATCGCCGTCGCCCGCCGCATCCAATTCCACCGGCGAGTCTGCCGACATGGACACATCGGCGAAGTTGCACTGCTAGGAGGATAGGGGTTATGAGCGAAGTTGTAGGAGTGGGCTGGCCATGACTTGGCCCAGCAGATCTAATTGCTCGTGGAGGAGTTAGGTCTCACTTCGGCATCAGATCTGTTTCAGAGTCGGCGATAGTCAGAGATCACGATTCTCTCCAACGTTATGGATATTGTGAAGCCACCCTGAGCCTTCAAACCAGCTTTGCTTACTGCCTATCTGGCTGGCTTGAAAAGCCAACATAAGTTATTAGTTCAAGATCACAGTCTCCCCCAATAATGCAACCCCCGTCAAGACGCCCACACAACATGCACCAGAGGCGTAGAGTAAAATTCATCCTGCCGCGTGTACGTCAAGTAAATATCATCCCCATTGCCCCGGTCGCTGCTCAGCCCCGGGTGCGCTTGCTGCGAGTAGCCCGCAAACGTGGTGCCCGCCGGCCCCGTGTAGAATTTCTCGGGCTGCTCCCAGGGGCCCTCGGGCTGGTCCGCCATGGTGATGTAGAAGTCCGTGTTGGGAAAGCCGCTGGCGCTGCCGATCCACTGCTTGTGTGTTAGTTTTGTGTCTTTGGACACCGACGCACCTGTTTTCACAAGAAGGAGAATGGCAAGAGGGATGCAAAAGGGGGATGGAAAGGGGGATGGAAAGGGGGAAGGCTTGTCCGTCCATGAAAACACGACTCAGCGTCGTAAAAGGGGATAGTTCTAATACGTACCACATACTTCCCAAACCGCTCGCTATAGTAAAACGTCCCCTGCTGCCCCGTACCAGCATTCTTAACCGCCATACCAACATCCGTAACAGCCGGCGCCTGCGTCCCCCAGCTCGAAGTCGCCGGGTCCCAGTACCGATACGCGCCCCTATCCTCCACACTGCCCACGTCAACCTTGGCCAGCGCGACGCCGCCTTTGACCTTCCCATCCGCGTCCGCCAGCGTGGCATACAGGTACGCCGTCCCGTTGCGCACCACGCCGCCGTAGTTCCCATAAGCCGGCGTCCCGGCGGCCCAGAACGCGTCGCTGACGAGCGTCACTGGCGGCAGCGTTGTTTGATTGTTCTCCAGGTCTGGGGTGTAGTCGGCGCGGTACAGGCTGGCGGGCGGGTCCGGGTTCAGCTGCGCGCCCATTCCGCCCGTCGACGATGACTTGTCGAGATGCACGTTGCGGATCCAGGTATACAGCGCCAGTCCTCCACTACCATGTGATCCCGTCTCAACCCCCAGCGGCGGCGCATCCGGCCAAATAACCCAGCGCGAGCCGTCCTCGCAAGCCCCGGACCCGGCGGCGCATGCCGTCGCCGGCAAGGGGAAGTACGCGTAAGCGCCAGCGCCTGCAGCGTTGTTGTCGCCGTAGCACGTGAGGTTGCCATCACCATCATCAGGGACGACTGGAAAGTCAGTCCACGACGCGGAGCTGCTCCAGAAGAAGCCCGTCACGGCGCCCGGGTAGCTCTGCGAGTCGCGGCAGGTCCAGAGCTCGCGCGCGCCGACCTTGGTCGAGGTGCAGGAGTCGCGGTCGATGGCGGCGTCGGCGACGGTACCGACGACTTCTGCCGAGGCGACGGTGGGCGCTGCTGCTTGCGCGAGTGGATTTTGTTGGTAGGTGAGCAGCAGCAGGAGGAGGGGCCTGAGAAGTGCTGGGAAGGAGCTCATCATGGGTGGATGGGTGGATGGGTGGATGGAGGGATGGAGGGATGGAGGGATGGATGAGAGCTCGTGGTATACCTACGGGACGGACGGGCAGACTGGCTGATGACTGGCAGACTCACCTGGAAGGCCGTCCTCAGGGCCACTGGACCCATCTTATACTTACTTAAGTACCCCATATACATCCATCCTACATCCCTTGCGTCCGTTCGTCCAGCTAGGACCATAGTCATCCGAATCCGAAACCACCGGTAGGATTTTGGCGGATGAGGCACGGGCTTGTGGGAGGCTGGCCCTGGTCGTTGGCTGACTCTATCAGCCAATGGATCCCGGCTGACTAACTAACCTGTCTTACCAGGCTCCTCATGGATGACAATGCCTTCGGCCACGAGCCGGAGGCAAGCCCAGCTCCGAGCTACGGATCATCATTGGTAAAAGTTATGACGTTGTGACTTGGGGCCCAGACCGGGGTGTATCGAAGGTGCCGCCTCAGCTAAGCAGAACAAACCAAGAAGCTCATTCCAATGAGGACTGACACTAAACGCCATGTCACTCGTTGAACACTGCGTCGAACACTCGCGACAGTGACAAGGATGAATCAAAGACAGGCAATATGAAAGGGGGCTACAAGACGCAAAATAAGATTTATCTCTATTCATGACTGTCCAGGCTTGCTGCTGGCTTGACTTTGTTCTGCTCGGTGACACGGCCCAGCTCGTACCCATGTGTTTGCTTGCAAAGACTTGGTCGGCGGCTTCTGAAGTTTCACCGTCTCCCCTGCTCTAACGGGAGTGGGTGAGCTTTTCTACGTACAATGGGAGATGAGAGAATCGTTCATGGCATGTTGACCCATGCCGAACCAACCCTGACCGAATGTCCACCGCGTTCCGACCAGAATCGAAACGTGCCGTATCTACAGGTCGCTTCAAAGACCTGCAGTGGAACGAACGTGAGCTGTACTGAGAATCCAAGTATTGCCAGTGTGATCTCCTGCCCTCCACGGCATACCAAGGCGACCCGAGTGTGGAGGTCGAGACCCTCGAGTGAGCAGCAGTCTCCTGGGTCCCACACAAACAACGAACAGAGAAACAAACAGCCCAAAACCACCAAACTCCCTTGGCTGTACAAGCACCCAGACGGCTTCGAAACGAATGCGTAGGCGGGCCTGTGAGATCCTCGACAACGACCAAAACAAGATGGCTGATTTATACAATCATCTCTGGAGACGCAGGTTCCAGCGCCGTTGTTCACGGTCGAGGCGATCGTCTGGATTGACCTACGCGGCCACGCCTAGTGTTAACCGGCTGTTCTTGCATGTAAGGCATGTTCTGCATCCCATTGCCGTAGCCGTAGCCTCCCATGCCCATGTTCATGCCGAAGCCTGGTGGTGCAAACCCAGCCGGAGCGCCTGGCGGCTGATTCGGGCTACCGTTGGCCACGTTCTGGCCGCGATATTGATCCATAGACGGGCTTGGACTGTTGTAGCCTCCGAAACCCGCTTGCATTGGTGGGTAGTAGTTGTTCATAGGAGGTGCACCGCGAGAGAGCATGTTTTGCTGGTACTGCAACTGCTGTAGATTGACGGGCGCCATCGATCCATTCGCGCCGTTGAACATAGGCCCTTGGTGTCCATATGCTTGATACGGAGGCATGGGTGGCTCTACGCTCTCACTCCGAGGTACAGCATAACCGCCCATGTCGAAGTTCTGAGGGGTACTAGCAGGGTTCAACGGGTTGAGGTACTGATTGCCATACTGGGAGTTCTGCTGCACGGCAGCCGCGTTTGCCTGGGCGTGTCTAGACGCCGGTCGTTGCCGTTCGTTCGATGCACTGTGGCCGACTGAGTGATCACGAGAGCCGCCGCCTCCGCCGTTGCGAGTCGAGAGACCGACTTCGTCCATCAGCCGCTTGTATCCCTGATTGGGCTGCGCCTTGATGCGGACCAAGACGTTCTTCACATTCTCCACGACCTGGCTTCGAATGCTCTCATCGAAGAATGGGGTGGTCAAAACCTTGAAGATCAGCGTAGCGCCGCAGGCATGATCACTGAGAATAGCCTCCAATACATGATCCTTCGGCGTGAAAAAGAGGGCCTTTAGGATGGTGTCTCGCGCGTCAGCTTCCGCCTTCTGGTTGATTACCTTCAACACGGTGAGATACGCGACCTTATGCGTGCAGAGGTGAACGAGATAGGGCACAAGCTGTGGAGCCAGTACGTTACGTCGTTGGGGGAAAGTACAAGTGTCCAATAACCAAGTCAACAAAAGTGCTCCGTTTGCGTTGGTCGCGAGTTGCACGCTGTGGAGGGCAATAGCAGCAGCAAGCATTTTCTGCTGTTCCTTGGTAGCATGATGGCTTTCCAGACATGCTCGCATGGCCCGCGCGCCATATCTGCCCTGCGAAACATCCCACATCCTGTTGAGCATGGTCTCGAAGATGAAGTCATTGAAGGGGGATCCGAACTTCAAACAGCCTTGCAAGACGTAGTTGCCATACTGGTCCAGGAACAACGAGATGGTGTACGGCCGAAGGTTCTCGACGATTAGAGACATCTGGTGAGGCGTCTTGCAGACATCAATGATCTTCTGTGCCGCCCAGGTGCCGTTCTTGTGAACGCCAATCTCAGCCATGTGAGGCGCAATTTCGGCGAGCATGGCATCGCGAAGATCATCCGAGCAGTGCTCAAACAGCTTTTGCACAACAGTGTTGCCGAGATAGTCAGAAGACAACTCGGCGATTTCGGGAAGCATGTCTACAGCCATGTTTTCGATCTCGGCTTGGGACAGGCTCTGATTGTCGATACGCTTTCGGATGTCTCTCAACTTCGGAGCATCGTGGACACGAGTGTGGGTAGGTTCACGGATAGGCGGGATCTCGTCGACAAAGGCATTGAACTGGATCGCTTGTTGGAGACTGTGGGAGATCCTGTACGTATCCTCGTCTGTAGCTCCGAAGGACTTGACGATCTGGAGTATATCACCAGTCATCTCGTGCAGGGGTGCGAGGGCTGGCGCCACATTGGATGGGTTTGACACAGCACCAGCGCTGTCGGTAGTCAGGCCTGCTGCATTCGAGCCAGCCGCATCCTGACCCTTCGCGAACGGATCAGGGCTTGGGCTGGGGAAGACACCGTCATGACCGGGCGTGTTCGATGCGGAAGGAGGTTTGGCAAAGTTGATTCGGATCGGGCCAGCCCCTGGGAATATCTCCTTGCCGTTCATGCTTGCCTTGGCGGAGATGGCGCTGTCAATCCTTTCAAAATTGACGAAACCACAATTTTTATGAGTCAAGACTCTCGCAGAGGCAATGGTCCCGTACGACTTGAACATCTCGGTCAATGTTGACGTCGTGGTCGAAGTCGGGATACTACCAAGCCACAAAGCACTTGTAGGGCCTTCAAGACCAGCCTCTTCCGCTGTCAACAGGTTGTTGTTGCGACTATTCGACCTTCCCAGGTTCATGGCAGCAACAGCGGTTGGAAGATCATCAAAATCCTTCGAGTCTGGCAACCTAAGTTCTGCGGCAGTTATGGAGCTGTCAAGGCGTGACGGGGTAGGATAGTAGTTGCGCATGAGCCTCGAGCCCGCCCCCTGCAACTCCAGGACTCCAGCCGTTCTAGCACGAGGTCGAGTAGCCGCTTGGGAAGCGAAGGATTGCAGACTCTGTACCGCCAGGTTGTGACTGTGAATAGCGGCATTGGTAGCCGCAAGCTGGTCTTGGAGATTGAGATGGACAGCATATTGGCTCTCTAGGGCCAGACTTTCATCATCATAGCCGTCGTCCTCCTCATCTGCATACTTGTCCTTGTTGTTCACAGAGTAGGATCGGAAACGATTTGCTTGTTTCGACAAATCAGCGAAGCCAGGAGGGTAGGCCAACTGAGCAAGGGGTTGCTGTGGAGTCTCGGCCAGACCTAGGTAGTCAAGAGTCCTCATATGGACGTCATTGTCTCCAGGTCCATCCTTTGACATGGCGGACTGAGCTGGCGAGCTGGGCCCGTTCGATCCAACGCTCGCGATGCTGGCAAGCGTATTGCCCCTATCACGACCAGTCGGGTTCCAAGTACTGAACACCGATGGGCCGAATGGCGAGCTGCTGCCCGGGCCGTGGGCGAATGGGCTACGTTGAGGCATGGAGCCAGCACGGAGTCGGGAAAGAAGGGTCGAGGCGCGAGCAGCATCGGTATTCTCAGCCAACCCGGGCGACGGTGTTTTGTTGAATGGACTCTGAGAGGGAGTAGGTCGGGAGGATTGTGATTGAGGCGCGGATGCGTTCAGAACACCATTGGCAGGGAATCGCGAGGGGACGGTGCCAGCTCGCGCACGTCTCGTCGAGGGCAAGCTATCGGGGGTAGGCAATGGCGCGAAATCCGGGAATCCATCGGTTGGCGACTCGGGGATGTTCTCGCGTAGAGGAGTTGAATTGCCGCTGGTGGGTGGGCCACCCCACAGGTTCACTGGCATACCAGGGACGCCTTCTTGAGCTTGGATTTCCCTGGCTCTGGGAGTTTGACGGTCATCAGTCAGTTGTTCAATATGAAAAGAATTGACGACTGGTCAACAGCTTTTGGTAGGTACTCACCGCTTAGAGAAGAGTCGGCTTGAGCCGGCAGTGTCATGCGATGGAGATCCAGCCCCTGATCGCGTGTTGCCTGCCATCTTTCCGGTGGGATTCAAGGTGCCTGACATGCCGAACGGGGATCTGGTGGCAGATGCGCCGGAAGACTCGATCGGGGAGATGTTGGAGTTGGTGTTGGGAGAAGTAGAACGCTGACCGTTGGCAGACTTGGGAGGGTAACCAATTGGCAGGTGTTCAGATCTAGCAGTTGACATTATCGATTAACCATCCGACCCTCATCAGGAGAGGCAGTAATAAAGTCTCTCCACGGATGGTAGTATGGGCGATTGGATCTTCGTGCAATTATCAATAGCAGCGAAGTATGTCGAATTGACGTGGTGTCAAGCTGGCTGGCAGGCTTTCGTTCTCGGGTGGATCGATGGGTTCGGAGATAAGAGTCCACGGATTCAAGATCGTCGCACAGGAGGCGGTAGGAGAGAAACTGTCGAAAAGAGTGAAGTTGTCGAAGGTAGCAATCCCGCAAGTTTCTCTGGGGCTATTACAATGAGGCGAGTGGCCGCGACTACGTTGAAGTCTCTGCGGGTCGACGCGAGTGAAAATAGCAATGGAAATAAAACGGTCGGGGCGAGTCGAGCGGAAGGAGTGTCAAGGTCGGTCGAGGGGGAATCGATACGACGTCTCAAAGGATCCGATCCGGGATTTACGACCTTGCAATAGGTGTGTTGGGTGCCGGCTTGCGCGTGCTGTTCTTTTCCTTGGAACAAACTCCCCTATCTTGGAGCAGAAGAAGGGGTGGAGACTGAGCTCGAGAGAGAACGGACAGGCTGCAAGGCACAAACAAATGACCCAAGTGATCGAGATCAATATACAGGCTCCATTAAAGATCTGAGATCCGGTTGAGGGAAAATACGGAGGGGGGGTGAAGAGCCTGGAGAAGGGAATAAAAGAGAACTTTTGTGTGCGAGTCGGGGAGGTGAAGGTGAAGGAGTGAGAGGTGTTCCCATGCAGGAGAAGTGAGCAGTTGGAGGTGCAAAATACCGGTGGTCCGTGGACCGTGGACCATGGACCTGAAGAAAAGCTTGGAGGTGGGGGGCGGATAGCTCGACAGCCCCGGCCACCGGCGGTTTACTGTAGACCTGCTTTTCGATGGATGCCTGCTGCACTGCGTAAACGGCGGGGGCCATTGCCCAGTAGGCAGGCAGGCCCAAGGGGCTAGAGGCGCTGTACTTTGAGTGGGCTTGAGTGGGCACGGTCCAGACACAGAGACAGTCACTGACGCCGTTAAAAACGGGGGTTGGCGTAAACGGACTGGTTTCCATCAATTGCATGAAACAACGGGTCATTCCTGCGCATCAATTGGCCATCTTCCCAGTTCATCCCCTAATATACCTGGCTCGATTTGAACACACAGATACGCACTTCCTCCGATCGACACTGTTGCAGGTTAACATAGCCTTGAGCCGCCCAGTCAGCATCTCGCCGTCTTTCATTCATCGCTGTGACTTCAGATAACAAGATTTACTTTCTCTGGTCTTCACTGGCAGTAATCCTGGAACCAACAGTCATGTAGAACACACTATCCCCTCTCTCGTATGTAGTTACGGGGATGGATATGCGTGTGGCCTCTCAGCCTCTTCAGTAGTGCTGACGGCTCGACGTGGGCATGACGGCATCTTTATGCGTATCGTATCGGATCAATCTTTGGTATAGCAGTAGGCAAAAGCAACAAGCAGTCAGCGGACCAAACTGTACCTCGTCTGATCACACGATTAAGCTATATCGATGGCTTGCTTTGGTGCCGGCCGGAGGCGCGTTGGAAGGTTTTAAGACACACCTCAACGGTTTTCCCCCACTCGACTGCTTTCAGACCAGCTATCAGCCTGGTTGTTGACAGCATGCGCATCTTGGAGCGCGTTTGGTTGCTTGTAGGGTCGCAATGTCTCCCGAGTGAACGGCAATGGCCATTTGGTCAAAGATAATGGACGAGACGAATATCGGAATGCTTCAGGCGTAGCACTTAGTGATTCCCAGGAGCACAGGTGGATAGTAAACCTTCGAAGCGGACATCCGAGTCCGCAGTGACCACTGCTTGATCCCCGGTCACGATGCTTCTTAAAATAAAACGCCCCGTGAATGAATGATTTCTCGCAGTGAGCAGGTGCGGAGGGAATCCCATCTACGTAGATGCCGTTATAAGCACAACTGCTGGCAATATAGGTAGGCTCATGTACACAAGTACCTATGCAATGTGTCTGCAACAGGAAACGTGGTGTTGTCTCCGGTATCAGTACATGAGAGAAACAGCCTCATGTAGATGAAAGGGATAGCACACGCTGCCACGAAATCCGGGGTACGCCAGGGTCCTACTACCTATATAGAGTTCTCTAACAAGTCAATCTCAAACCATCTGCACGCAGAGATGAAGAAGGGATGGTGTTAATATAAACTTCAGCGGCCTGCCCAGCAAGATCTTGCCGGCATCTGCTGGCTTTCTGCCATCGTATCTGATGCTTTTCAAGTTTTCAGCCCTCACTCAGGATTAGGACGTACCGCAATGCAATGCGAGGAAGCTCAGCCCGTGAGGTTCAAGTCAACGCACGGCAGAAAGCCAGACAGCGCTTGGTGCGACGAGCACCTACGTACCGAGTATAGTCAAACGTTGTTACAAAGTCGTCCGATAGTGAGATCCATCCATGGGTCACATCCCGCACCTCGATTTCAGGGGTGTGTTCCTCCGTGATGCGTTGGGTATGCAGACTGGGTAATTACTAATAACACGAGAGCAAAGCAATCACTGACTTCGAAGCTGCGTGACTGCAAGAGGCCTATGAACCTCGGGCCTGTACAGTCACAAGTGCACCATTGTCATGACATTTGATAGCCCTGGAGGAGAGCACCTGCGTCCCCGAGCAAACAATCAGACAATCTGGGCATCAGGGAACGGGCAGCTGACGGGCCTGCATGCACTATGGCGTACCGTACAAAACGGTCTCAACGTTATCTTGCGCTGCTATGAATTCATGCCACTCAGCAACGCACCAATGGCAGAGCAGGTCGGCCTGCCGAAGAAGCACGCTAAGAATCTGAAACGTGGGCTTTCAAGCAGCACCCGACTGGACTGACGCGAATCAGCTGCGAGGCTTCCCATTGGGCCAGCGCAGGAAAGGGGGCCTGAAGGGCCAAGGGGAACGCCTGAGTCCTGACTGATGGATATTCGCCTTGTCTTTCTTGTCCGGCAAAAGCCTGGTCACCTTCAAAGTCCTGTGGCCTGGTCTTTTTCCTCCTCCCGTTGCGTTTGGCTCATCCAAGTGGTCTGATGGATAAACATCGGCCTTCTTCCCGCCATTGGCTCGGCCGCTCGATCAGCCTACGTCACCCGCAGTACGTAAGGCAAGTCCACAGCCTCACTACAGAATCTCACTCGCAGCCCATGGTGTGATACGATAGGACAATGCCGCATTCACGCAATACCAGGTCTTGGGTTGCTATTTTCCCCAGTACCTGACCTATCTTGCGGCACCGCCCCGTCCACAACGGACTACCTCCCGGACGATTCTAGCCCTTCGACATCAGCTATGTCGACTGGACTGCGGACTACATGACGCCACCCTGAGCTGACCGCAAGGTAACATGGAAACAGCTGCTCCGGTGCTTCTGCCACACGTGTTTGCCGTCAGCTCAGCGACAGACCCATGCTGACGCCTTACCAGCTTACCTAGCGTAGTCGTGGGCCTCCACACGGACATGATGGATGTCCAGATCTCCGGCTACCTTGCTGGCGATCAACAATGCACCTCCGTGGCTTCTATTTCTGCACTTGGTAGGAACAGGCTATGCTTTACACAGGATTCGCAAATATTCATGCAACCTACCTACTCATGTCAACCTCTTAGCTGTTTCGGCAGGGCTGACGGGCATTGCCAGCCTACGAACAACAATGACTTAGGTAAGTGAAGGAGTCGGGATGTCATGTGTGTACCTTGCTCAAGGTAATTGTAACCGATGATCTACCAATCCCTGTGCAGATGTAGTCTTGGGCGTGTACTCGCTGGGGTTGCTTGGCATACTTGGTGTTTCCGTATCTACCGAAACGCCTTTACTTTTGTGAGAATTCGCGAGCTGGGTCAGGCATGCCTGTCTTGTAAGCATGAAGACGCGACCCGGATCGCCGGAGCTCATCACCATCCAGCAAGGCAGGTCGACGTACCCCTATCGAGTCGTTTCGGGCCCTAGACAAGAACAACAAGGGAGACCACACCCAAAAGCAGGAGGCAAGCATCCATATCCGTACCCAGCCTTCGTCCTACATCTATGAATTACAAGACGGCGCTCTCTACACGCCTACCCTTACGAGATATCTATCCAAAAAAGACCGAACCACTGATCATGCCAGCCTCGGGGCAATACTTCATGATGCGATCCATATTATCCTTCTGCCACCTCACGGGCTGATGGAACCCCAGCGGCTCCTCCTCCCAGATAGTCTCGACCGCAAACCGGCTCGCCGTCGCCTCGTCCGGCAGCCTCATGCCGCCCTCCTCGGCCATCTGCATCATGCGCGTGTACATCCACTGGTCCTCGAACACCATGGTGGCCGGCGCGCCGGGGACCGCGCTGTCGTTCTCGTAGCTGAACCGCGTGACCAGCTCGAGCACGACCTCGCGCGAGCGCAGCGACAGCCCGCCGTTGAAGCCGCGGCCGAACGCGTGCACGATGGGCGCGCCGATCAGGTCCCATTCCAGGAAGTCGTCGACGCGCTGCCACGACGCGCTGCAGATGATGCTGTCGGCCTGGAACAGGAACACCTTGGCGTACGGCGCCAGGTCCTTCCACAGCCACGGGTCCGTCAGGAACAGCGACACGGACCGGTGCGAGTCGAAGGCCGCCTTCTCGCGCGGCAGGTGGCGGATCTCGATGACCCCCTCCGCCACCGCGCGCGAGAGCGGCGCCGACAGCAGCAGCGCCTCTTCGCTCGTTACCGTCGTGTACAGGATTATGGGCCAGGCTGGCCCGAGCACCGAGTGGAAGTGCAGCATCATGGGCACGAGGTTCTCGAGGGGCCGGTTCTCGATTATCACGGCCACGCGGTCTGTATGCTTGGTTGGCTGCTGCTTGGCTGGGGCTTTGCTTTTATGGGCTGGCTCTGCGGCGGCGGGTGCCGCACTTGACGCATGGACGGCGGCGGCGCTGGGTGCTGCTACTGCTGATAAGAGAAAGGGTGTGATGGCCGAAGGCCTGGTGTCGTCGTGCTGCTGGGCAGGCGGAATCGGCATGACATGGACATCCGCATCTTCCTCTTCGTCGTAGACCGACGAACCAGGCGGCTTCGGCAGCCTGATGCCGCCGTGCTCGTCCTGCAGTACGGACTGGCTATCCGTCTGATCACCCGCGTTCTATACTCCGATTCCGTCAGCCTTCCTTCCTCCCTTCTATCGAGTTCGAGTTCGAATTTGACTACTGTACAGACTGAAGGAGCGGGAGGGAATGATACGCACCGTGGGAAACCTCAACCAAGCAGCCAGCGCCCACAATCCCACCAGTAGTGCAATAGCCCGCACCGCTCCCGCGCGCGTGAAGCGCGCGTGCGCCGGGGACGCCGGCGACGGCGAGCGGGACGAGAGCGACATGCGGCCCCGCATGGTCGTCCCGTGCATTGATAAATACGAAAGCAAACAAGATGCAAATAAAGCAAGGATGCTAGATATCTCACGTCTTGAAGCAAATGAGTATGGTGCGTGTTGGAGACTGAAGGCAGGTGTCTTCAGACTGGCAGGATGTACGGCCTGAGAGTCATTGCCATGGATGGATGGAGACACGACACATACCCGTGGGCATACATACAAGCAAACTCACGCGAGGGCCTCCCGATAGGGAATGTAGCAAAGTGGTAAGTCAGTGAAAATCAACCCAGTTATCTCACTCGTCTCGTCACTCCTGGAAAGGGATAAGGTACAATTCATGACTCAGATCAAGCCTCACCTCACTCCACAAGGGAGGCAGGCAGGATGGAACAGAGACATTGAAGGGAGAGGAAGTGAGTCTCGAGGGAGCGCGCAGAAGAAACACAGCAATCTCGGGACCACTGAGACATTTTGCTCGATCAGGTAAGGCGGCGTTCCTGAGTCTCAGGCTCACAAAGCTTGCATACATCATATCATGTAAGCCGTTTCGTGGCTCTTGAGGTATGGTACAGTATGGTTTCGTAGTCGCGTGTCGCACAGTTCAATTTAGGGGCACGTTCCCCATCGGAACGCACCACCTCCTTTTTGTTTGTACGGAGATACATGCTGAAGAAGATTGGAAGTGACTCGAGATGTCTTGGCTGGGCAATCATCAGTGATCACACAGGAGGGCACATGTGATTCCTGCGGGTTCGGTTTCGAGGGTATCTAGGTATGTATGTACTTTAAGTATCTCTCTCGCTACGATGCACCCCTTTGAAAAAAACATGCGGCAGTATGTTGCAGTGTAATATACAAGGTCAACGTCCCCTTTCTGCACCACGTAGCACGGAACAAACAGACGGCTGACCCAGATAGTCGGGTCGAGAGTGATCTCTTGACTCGTCCAGGAGAAGCTGAGGGGGGTCTGCCACGAATAACCCACTGTTCAGCACACACGTGCCTAGGTAGTCAGTTTCACAGAGCCCATTCATTCTTGTTGTCGTCCGGCCCGATGAAGGGCTCGTCGATACGTTTGATGGCGTACTCGCTACACAGGATACTGTAAACTTTGTCAGACAATCGTTCTTCAGGAGAGGACACGATGCTTCTTACCAAGCCGAAGCCACGAGCGCGTCGAGCTCCGCGACCATGGCGTCCTTTTGCGCGCCGCTGACGAGGCCCTTGCTGATGGAGACCTGGCACTCCCTGATGCGCCGACTCTTTGCCACGCCGGCCTGCTCGAGCACCTTTCGGCCTAGGCAGTCGGAGTGGAACGAGTGCTGGCAAGGGAAGACGAAGAACTGACGGCTGAGCAGCGGCAGCCCGCACACGTAGCACTTCTCGCCCGGGTCGACGATGGCGTAGCGGTGGTCCAAGCCCGCGATGTCCACCTTGATGTTGGCCGCCGTCTGCGAGCTCTCGTCCATCTCCTTCTTGAGCCCGTCGATGTTGCGCGAGTAGTCCTCGAGCGCGTTGCAGATCTCGTCCTTAAAGTCGTCGATCACCACGAAATCGGGGAAGAACGGTATCAGATCCTCGATCTTGAGCAGGTCGCATCGCTTGAGGAACTCGATGGCCGTCCTGATGCCGTTGGACTGTGAAATGACCTTTTTTGCCACTGCGAGCCAGAGCTTCTTCCGTAAACCCGGATTGGACATTGGCCGATCTGCAATGATCGAAGCATATTCAGTCTCATTGTGAGATAGAGCAAGGTCAACGGCTTGGATGTATTGCCCCATGTTAGTATAGATATGTACGCATGATAAAGTTCGCTTGTGTTGTATGCACAGGCGTAGGGCGAAATCCGGGTCGAAGTGAGGTTCCTCCCCTTGCTGTTCCAGGTAGGCCAAGAGACCGGCCTCGTCTTTCGACTCGTGAGAAGCGTAGATAGATACAAGGGTGTTGTGCACAGCAGCATCGGTGGATTGAAGTTGGTTGATGGTAAATTGAAGGTATCGCACCGCCTGGTTCTGTGAGAGTGACCCCGAGAAATTACGATTGTAATCCAGCAGGGCTGGAATGATTTTCTGAGGCTCCAGAGCCGATTGCCGCATTAGGAGTTGAACCAATTCGTGAGCGACATGTGTCATTAGTACACTGCTATACCGGTAGAAGACGTCCGGATCTGTTTGCTTCTTAAGCACATTCAGGGTTTCCGTCCACCTCTCTCGCTGTACCCAATAGGAGAGCTCGTAGTTGTAGTCGTTGATGGCGTTTGCGAAGAAGAGAAGCTCGTCTTCCCGTGCGTGGCTGCTGATAACGTCGTATATCGTCTTGCGGTCCAGCTCGGACTTGTGCTTGTTGACGAAGTCGTGGAACTCCCTTCGGACTGCATCAAGCTGTTGCGGCGACTGATTTTTGTTCCTGCTCTCAACCATCTCGGCCTCCAATGTGATGGTATCCTCGAGCGAGTTCAACTTCGCCATGAACACTTCCACCAGCCATGTTGCTATCATCATCCTCTGCATAACGTATGACTTCTTATATGTGGCAAGTTTTGTCAAGAGATACTTCCTCAAGGCATCGTTTTGACCATTGTCAATAAAGGCTAGAGCGACCTCTTCGAACGGCTTGCTGCTCGTGCCATAGACCCCAGCAGCCTCGACATAGAGACCTTTCTCAGCCATATAATCTCCAGACGCTGTCGCTATCGCGTCTTTCTGAGTGAGCGTATGAGCATATTTCAACGCGGTATCGAATTGCTGTCTTTGTAGCATGATCCGCCATATGTCCCGGTCTTCGTCTCGTACAACGATCTCAAAGATCTCCTGGGTCGTGAAAAGCCAGAATGTATTCTTCTGTTGGTCCACGTACAGGCCCAGTGCCTTCTGCCCCGGATCCAGCACCACCTGGTCGTATATGATAGATCCTGTTAGTCGGTTTGCGGCAACAACACGCCCACCAACTAAGCTGACAACGTGCCACTGCGTCAGCACAATTGCGTCGATAAAGTCAGACGAGGGTTTCTTCCGACCCGAGACCTCGGACGGGATAATTTGAGCTCGAGGCAACAGCTTCGCTTCGCCAAATACCTTATTGCCCAAATCATTGCTGCTTGGTGCTGTCAGAAGCTTCCCGTGGTAGACACCCTGTGACGACAGCCAAGCAAATGCCCGTTCTGGCAATGCATCCTCGAGGGTATTGGAGTCCGGGGGGTCCGGCGAGATAGACAACGAAGAGGGGGCGGGAGCAGGTCCCTTCGAAAGTTCGTGGACGACGGGCTGTTCTCCATCGAATAACCTGGTGTATATCGATCCGCTGCCCTCGTGACCGCTTCGCCCGACCCGTCCTACCAGGTGAAACAATCTGCTCTGTGTGCTGATAACTACTCTCCTCATGTCGGCCTTGCCGGCCATGTTGTCGACCCAAAGCCCCGTGACGGGTCCATCAGGGAGCTTTTGTAGAGCCTTTAGGTATTTCTCCTCCTTGCGGTAGAACTCGGTCGATGTCTCAATGAAGGTTTCGTAGACATTGCCGTCGGCAGCGCCAACCAGTATCTCGCGGGTAGTAGCGGTAGGGGACGACGGGTTCCACGCTATCGACTCGATCGAGACGCCGCGCAACCGGCTCAGCGGTCGCGGCTGTCGGGATTGTGTGTGTAGGTAGTAGTTCTCGCCGAGCGTTGTGCAGATGAGGAGATGCGAGGCCGTAGGGTCGAGGAACATGCGTCGGATGACGCCTACTTCGGAAACGCGCTTAGGGAGGTCGATGTCTAGCACAGGGAGCCCGGGTTAGCATATATAGTCTGGTGGAAGCTCGTCTTGCTCACCGTCTATGTCCTCCGGCCTGTTCAGGTCGATGCGCAATATGCGGCCGTTCGAGAGGGCCAGCACCAGCACATTGTTGGCGACCTGGGCGGCAACGAAGTCGGCGGCGATGGAGAACTGGAGCTGCACCCGCTCGACGTCGAAGATGGGCAGGCTCTCCTCGGCAAGGTCGTGCGCCCCGTTCACGGCAGCGAAGCCGTCGGATGCGTCGAACGCCATCTGGACGTCTATCCGAGCATGTTGCGATCTGAGGATTGTGACAGTGCCGAGCTTCTCGACGAACGTCTTCTGGTTGTGTGGTAAGTCCAGTCACAGGAGTCACAGGAGTTACAGGAAGCAACTCGTAGTTCGCCGCTGGACGGCATAAAGTTGGAGAGGGAGGGGTGCTATGTATCCGGAATATGCAAGTAGCGTAGTCAAGGCTTGGCGCACTGACAGTGTGCCTTGTGGTAGCGGTATCCAGAATAAGGACCAGGGTCACGATAGGTGGCTATTGGTCTGTATTCTGGAAGTTGGTTGATTGAAAGAAGGGATGGGTGGTGTCCCCATCCCAGAAGTAGCTATTATCCCAGTTGGGTACAAATCAGGTACAAACGGGTACCTGTTGGGCTCCAAGGTACCTTGTATCCTGGTCCGTGACCCATCCGTCATTGTGGCTGGAAAATGGGTTGAGGAGCCACAATAGCACCCCAACACAGCTCAACCACCACTTCATCATACCTACGACCACACACTTGCAAGAAACAACACTACAAATGTGGCAATTTTTATTCATGAATAGCAAATAAGCTCTTGCACACTCGCTCGACTGTGGGTAAGGTATATAGTATGTACAGATTAGCGTTTCGCTGGTCCCCTCTTCCTGCGAGCATCTCAAACTGACAGACCACCATAGATGGGTAGGCTCTCATTACGGATGGCATGAATATGCAACGCATAGGGCGCCTTTTGACAACTATACCCAGCTGCCATAACGCTCACTCATCTGAGCGTATCAGCGTTTCTGGTGAGATATGGATATGCTTCTCCAAGTCTTCGAATACCTGGTGAGTACCGCACGATATGGCAGCAAACAGTACGTGAGCCGTTCTCATATCGACGTCGTCCTTGCCCTGCTCTGAGGTATTGCGGCGTTATAGGCGCCAGGTTTGGGAGGCTCGGCAATCGACCGTCTGAATCTTGAGTGGTGATCTGTCCGCGTCGTTTGTGCCGCAGCATCAGCCCACTTTGGGTTCGCAGGTGCATGCGTCAGATTCTCGGCGGGTGTCATATGTGTATCGGGTATGAGTGTTTGTGCAGCTTCTCTCGTCTTCGGTACATCTTCTTGTCGGTCCTCTTCCATCATGACATCCTCGACCGTGGGGTTTGCAAGCTCATTACGAGTGTTGCTTTCGTTGATCTGGTCGAGATCCCGCAGACGGTCCTCACTCAACTGCACCGGCGCACCAAATTGAGACCCGAGCGCCACTGTTGACGCAGTCCCTTCAGTCTCATTCTGTCCAGTCGCGACATCTGACATTGTTTCAGAGTCCACTACTAGGTCGCTCCCGTGATTGGATGCGAAGTGGTTCCGCCCCAAGGAACCGTAGCCGCTCTCCCTATCTCCTGCCGGAACATCACCAGGAGTGGCTTCGTCCGGCCTGCTCTTCATTACTTCCCCCGACTCGCTGATTGCCTCCGTCGACCATCGCGGGTGGAGGCCTGGTTTCCTTCCAATCAATACTCTAACCTTGTACACGAAGCCTTTTGCTTTTCGTGGATTGAGTGCCACCGCCATCATCTCCTGTCCAATCATATCGCAAGCCAGACGAACTTCGTCAGCTTTCCAGCCCTTGTATTTGGTAAGTAAACGCATACACAGTGGCTCCATTCCGTTCAGCATGGCGAGGAGCCAGAACTTGCCCGTCGAGCCGTCTTCCGTTCTGAGCGGAATGGCATGCTCCGTGAGCTGCACGTCGACATAGCCAGCATTGACCAGAAACCTAGGCTCCAGGTGGGAAATTCCATAAGGCCGTCCTGACAAGATGGCGGCTTCTTGGAGGTCCTGGTCTACCTTGTGTATGAGTGATCCAGGCTCAAAAAAGGAGAAAAAGCCACGCATTCCCTTGTTTTCGTCAAAGTCAAGCAGCTCTATCCAGCCGCCGGGTTTCAGGCACGTGAACGCAGACCGGTAGATGAACTCCCAATCAGCAAAGGACCCGGCCATGTTGCGTAGGTGAACGAGGTCGTAGTGATTCGGCGGTCGCTCCCAATCTAGCTCGGCATCATCCACTTCCCAGTACACATTTTGTGGTGCGCGGCGCTCAAAGATATTTGAGATGTCTGTCCCAGTTACCTCACATTCGGGAAAAGCCTCGGCCATGTCGATTGCCCACTCGCCGACGGCCGTGCCGATGTCGAGTATGTGAGTCGGGCATTCCAGAGGTACACTTGTGAGCTCTCCATCAAAAGCTTTCAGATAGACCTGATTAACCAACTGCAGCCGCACTTGTTCATCTTCGTCATTGGGCATGAGGTACGATCCGCAATACCGTCGCCCATTCTCCATGACATAGTCGACATCCGTGTCGGTAATCGATCGTGTCGAGTTTCTGTTTAGTGTCAGCAGCATGATCGAGCACTCTACCATCCTAAATCATTGCTCACACTGTGCCCCTTTCGGCATCAAACGGTCTCTCGGTTCGGTATGTAGTCGATACGGCGGGGTAGTGACTCGGAGAGTACATGGATACGGCATCGAGTGGCATTGGCCCAAAGTCGTCTTCTGGCTCTAGAACCGGCCCAAATAAGCTCGTCGTCCTTGTACTCAGGTAGTCGCTTGTGCGGTCATCGGTTGAAACGTCGTTGTCCAGTTCGGGTACAGGTGATTCGGAAGCGGCGTGGGTAACGTCGCTGAATGCGGCGCTGTGCTCGTCATAGGACGAGCCGGTCATACTGGTTGCCAGCGATGCCATGTTGATGGTCAGGTCCAACAACCTCGACAGCTGTCTATTGTTTTGACTTCCCCCTTTCCATCACAGCAGCGCCATAGGCCTTCGATGAATCCTGTCTATGCGCTGATATTCTGCTATGCCTCGCGGCGAATCTCATGGCGGTCGGCACCCTCGCGGATATGAGACGACAATGTGTAGCGGCGGCGAACGACTGCTCTGTTCGGATGCCCGGCCTCGCCCGGTTCTGAAGGGTTCGCCAAAAGCAGGCGAGTAGGCCCTACTGCGTATCGTTCCTCCTCCAGGGGCTGTACGGATCGTGGGCTGTCGTCCAAATGAACGATGTCTCGGCAGAATGTCGAGAATACTGTCAGCGCAAAGCTTTCAGACCCTGGTCGTCGCTGGGGCCCGGCTGGATTACAAGGCAACGGTGTATTGGCATCGAACGGTCTGATCACAGTCGTTTGATTAGAGGAGTGGAGGAGGAGGTCCTCGTAGTGGGAGTGGGCGAGACGCACGACTACGGCAAGGTATTACATAGCGTGGAGAGAGACACAGAGGGAGAGAGAGGTGGAGGGTTGCAGTGAGCGGATGAGAGCAAATTGATCACAAGCGGGTTGCAGGTTAGGTCCTTGCGGCAGCTAGAGGATCCCCAGGTGCAGAGAGCCAGCCAATGAGGGGGTCGGGGGCAGCAGGCCGTGAGCCACTATTCTCCCCCTATTCTTAGCATGGAGTCTGCACATGTCTCACTGCGCAACTCCCACAGTCTTGTTGTTATCATACCTGTCCGCTTACCGCTAGGACCGCCAGACAAGGGTACAATTACCACAGCCAGCGTTGAAAGGGCCGCCAGAAGCTGGCCTTGGTGAAGAGCGTGAGCCTGTTATGTTTCGCATCCGTCTAGCTACCTAGCCACGATAGCCAGTGAGCCGGTTTTGAATATGGGCATGTTTATTATTATATCACCCCAATTCCGGGTTGGCGGACGGGAAGCTCTGACCGCCAACCCGTCAGTCGAACTCTCTGGCCCGTCGGTATCCTGTGAAATGCCCGATATCGAGGGGAGGTGGGTCAAATCCACTGTCGTTTCCATCGATGCTCCCTGTCTCGCTTCTGGGCGTCTGGCTTCAGGGACGAAGAACCAGGAACAGGCCTCGAAGCTGAGGACTCAGGACTCAGGAGCCGAAGATCCCAATGCTCGTGACTCGTGAGTCGCTTATCAGTGGCAGAATGGCTCACCCCCACAGGAGTTGCAACCAACAACCCGTATATGCAAGTCCATCCAGGAATACAGTACGGTACAACGTTGAGGTCGTCTCCAGCAGGCACGCAGGCTTCGATCTGTTCTTTGCGACGTTCTCTGCAACACTCGCTGCATACAAAGTGGCAACCTGTTCCTCCCCGTTCCTCCCACCCATCCATGGATGGCATCTGCAGCATGGCAGCAGACCCTCCCAGAATCCTGATCACTGATTGGTGCAGGGCGCAGTCCGCCTAAAGCCGATGCTCCCTCGGGAATCCCTGCGGAACATCGAAGGTTCTCTGCTTCAGCCCTTTCCCCAAGCCCCTTGAGCCCTCGAATCAGCGTCCACGTGCCACGTTCCGCCTGCAAGATACTGCAGCTTCGGGTCTCGACCTACCGGATTGATCACGAATGGATCCTTGATGCAGCTTTGGCAGGATGGACTGGCTCGACCACTTGCTGACTTGCAGGGGGCGCATCTAGGTTCTGTTAAGTATTATTACCGAGCCATACTACCTCACGAAACGGCCGCCGGTTCTCACACGACCACGTGGCCAACTTACTATGCGAGAGCCCGCCCGCCTTTTCTATCTGCTATCCACTGTCCTCCCAGGTAGATCACGTCTCCTGCACGTTGATAAGTAATGGGAATAAGGTAGTGTATTGATATTTTCACAGCATCAGGGCTAGTGGCAGCCATCACACAGCATCCAGCTGTTTGCCCTTGCACGCAGGAACAATCCCGTCACAATTCCGTCTCATGCTGCATTAGTCATGCGCGGTATCTGACCACAAAGCAATCTATGTTCCCAGCTTCTGAGTGGTCGTGCCTATCCCCAACTCCCGCCAAAGCAGTCCCCAATTTCGTGTTGCAGAAGAGACAGGTTGGCGATGATCTATGTTCCCTGGAACAATGTCATCGCCCAACTAGTCCTGAGACTTGGCCAACTGGGGCTCATCGCAGATTTCCTCCTTGTCAGACACCACCTCGTCCTCGATGACGATTGGGAATGGACTTAGCACTTTACTGATGTCACCCCACCATTGTTCACCGAATTGTTTGTACCAGTTGACAGTCATGGCGAGGCCTTTTTCGAAGCTTGTGTTCTGGTCCCAGCCCAGTTCTTTGAGTTTCGAGCCATCCACCGCGTATCGGTGGTCGTTGAACGGCCGATCGTGGGTATACTTGACCCATTTGCCAAAGTCGGCAGGGCTTTCAACCGGGATGCCCACCTCCTTTAGTAACTTCGAGCACAGTTGGATGTTGGAAACCTCGTCAATTGATCCTACATTGTAGATCTGGCCCAGAGTACCTTTGTGCAGGATCGTGTCGAACGCATCAGCGGCATCACCCGCGAACAGGTACCTTCGGGTGGGACTGCCATCGCCATGCAGCACAACTGGTCTCTTACGGTTCAGGAGACAGGAGAACTTGGGGATAATCTCTGTTCTCTCGTTAGTCCTCTTCATTGTCTGGATTGTTGTGCCCGCATGCACTCACTCTCCGGGTACTGGTGTGGCCCGTACACATTGTTGCTCCGGACAATGATGACTGGAAGCTTGAAGCTCTTCATGTAAGAGTTGACAAGCATCTCAGCCGCAGCCTTGCTGGCAGCATAGGGGTTGGTAGGAGCCAGGATACTAGTCTCCAGTAGATCATCGTCGTCGTCATTGACTTCTCCGTAGACCTCATCGGTCGATACATGGATGAATCGTTTCACTCCAACCTTCTTTGCACTCTCGAGCATGACGTGGGTGCCATACACATTGGTGTGTGTGAATCCGTACGAGTTGCCGAAGCTCAAGTCAACGTGCGACTGAGCCGCGAAATGGAAGATGGTGTCGATATTGTGGCGCTCCATGCAATGAACCACCTCGGAAGGATGGGTGATGTCGCCATGATAGAAGGTGAAGTTTCGCTTGTCATTAAGCATGCGGGTGTTGAGCAGTGATGCGCAGTAGTCCAACTTGTCAAAAGAGACAATGTTGTAAGCATCCGGGTAAGTCAGAGTGAGATGACGAACAAGCCAACAAGCGCTGAAGCAGGCGTTAGCTACGCCGGTCAAAATTCGTACTGGTATCCCGAAGCTTACATGAAGCCCGCGCCACCGGTGATCATGATGTTCTTCACATCTGGCAAAGGCTCGAACTTCGTTGATCCGGTCAAAACAGGAGCCTCCTTCCAGATATCTTTGTCCTGGTGGTAGTGACTGGGCTTGCTACCGTTCGCATGGTGTGTACCATTGAGACCATTAATACCGTTGAGAGGAGCTTTGTGGAGGATATGGTCAGCGGATGCGCAGTACATAATGAGGTCCTCGAGACTTACTCTGCGCCCCATTGACGCCGTTTGTATGTGTCGAAGCTGGCATTGTAAGAGAACGTGTGGCCGGGGTGGCACCAGTTGATCACTCTGAAGCCCAAAGATTATATGAAGAAAGAGTCTCGAGTGTCGCTGGAAAAGGAGATTGAGCTCTGAACGCTGGAACTACAGACGCGGGTGTCGTCTTGAAGATAATGCAAGAGAAGAAGGCCTGCTTCTCCTGGTGGTTCGTGCCTGCCAGAAGAAAAGGCTGCGATATGCCAGGGGTGAACAGATGTCCTCCAGAAACCAGAATCCGGAACCCAGAAGGGGCCGGTTTGCAACTCGCACCTGGCGGCGCGAGACAGTCTGATTTGTCCGACGCCAGCACAGGGAGATTAGAAACGAAGGGATACCAGGAGGGGATCTGGCATGTCGAGTAGTGGTGTCTTATTCTTACGCGGCGGTCATTCGTGAAGTTTGATAGCCGGCCGCAAGGGTGACGACGCACGGCAGATGTGTAGCGAGCGTGCCGCTATGTTGGGGATACTTGTGTGACCAGGAGGCGAATGAAGAGAGTACATAAGGTACGCCACTCGGGCAGTCGATCAGACACCAAGGGAAGCCTAGCCGTGGTCGCTTTCTAGACAAAGGCGGGATATGCGGAAACGAGTGAATCGCGATAGTCGCGTTGGGATGGCAGTGGGTGATGAAAGCATGAAATTGAAGATTGATGAGGCTACCTTATGTTACTAGATGCACGTCTAGATGCATGGTATCGGCAGGATCGGTTAGTCGGCGGCGGGCTCAGAGGGTACCACTGGCGGGGCATGACGGGGGATGCTCCAGTGATCCACCCCCAGTAAAGCCCACTGTGCAGGCTGCAGTTCAATTGACAATCCCCGGCCGCCGGTGTTCGAACGCTGGCGGGCGGCAACTGTGGACTCGAAGCCTCAGCCGCTTTCTTCCAACTTGGTATTCCTCGGTGTCACGGCTCAGGTACCATCTACCATCTGATGTGATATTTGGCCTGGTTGGCGCCGACCTTGTGTAATCCCATCTCGAGTAGCAGACAGTCACTGCCTCTTGAACCACATCAAATTACAAATAAACCCAAATATCAGTGCATAGGTAATCCGTAGGTATCGAAGAGGTATGACGGGCGATTCACCATGTGCAACTCCCGGGCACCTGAGCTGAGCTGTGTTTACTCCACCAACCAAGCCAACCTGCATGTTTCGTATTGTACCTGCAGGGCAGAGATGCAAGGGGCGCTTGTAGTTTCTCCCTTCAAGAAGCCAATTATAACTTGGAAGTTGGAGGTTCGATGGCACAAGGGCACTGCCAAGAAAGAATGTCAGTTGATGCAGACGCTCCTCATTCATGTCTCGTATGTCTGCAACATTCTTGTTTGTATGATCTGTGGCACTTGGCTACCGAGAATCATCCGTTTTGATCAAGCAGCGGCATCACATGTGCTTCCTCTGCCAGACATGAGGTGTACTGTGATATCTCAGCCGCGGTCCCGGATGTAACATACCAGCTGGGTGTACTCTCTTGTCAGCTTCCAACTGTTTCAGATGCCAGTCCATGTAAACCAGATGTTGCCTCTCTATCGAACTCTTTAGGAACGCGTGCCGAGGGCCGATCCTTGAAGCTTGGTATTGAATGCAACTATGAGGTATTGTCGATAATCGAGACTTACTTACATCGTAGTTTAACAAGTGGCATCGTTTTGAACAGCCTCAACAGCTCACTTAAACCAACTTTATGTCCGCAGGAGCCGCATAATGAGATATTTGGCATCTTTCTTCATCAATAGCTTCATTTAGACGTCTGCCAGCAGACTTTCAAGAGCACACAAGCCGTGGATTCACTAAGTACATACTTGACAGGTAGAGATTCGTTAAGTGCAACATATACCAAGGCGGTTAAGCGGCAGCTCCGTTTACCCCTGTGCCGGCATCCATCCATCACCATGCCAGATTCCAACGCCAAGGTCCACTTTGTCCAAATGCGTCTCCGTGGCGGCGGTTACCCGCCGCCGCGAGCCGACCGGCTCCTTCGTGTAGTTAGTTATCAAGGCAGCTAACCCCTCGTCTAACTTGAACGTATAACCGTTTGGATTGTATACATGTTTCTTACCTTCAGCAGAAGCCTCGTGTGCGGAACGTAGGCGGGGCCTGGGCACTCCTGACCATACCTTATCTACAACTCAGGGGTTTCGACACATGCGGTGTCGCATTGGGGCTTATTGTCTTATAGACCAACGGGCTTGCATCTGCAGCCTATCAGGGCGTGGAACTGAGACATACTTGTATTGCTGAAAAGAAGTGATTCAGCCTTCAAAGTAGCACAGTAGGCCTGTCAGAGACAGTGATTTAGATACGCAGCGGGAGGGAAGAAACACGTCACCTTCTCGAGCATTGTCCTTCATACCTGAATCTCTTGGTCTTCCATCAACTATTAGACAAAGGATTCCGCTCTGTGCTGTAGGTCTATTTACCAACTATGTAGGATCGATCCATTGTGTACCATAGTAATGAAGCCTGGAGGTAACTCCGCCTAGACCCCGCATCGGCATCCCTGCCCACCTGCATGCATCCCTGGCACCTGGACCCCATTACCCCATTACCGGTATTCTACCAACGGCTAAAAAGTTGCAACATCCCACTTAATGACCCCTACCTGGATCTAAGCACCTTATCGACGGCACTAGATTCGATCCCGTCATCCCGTTCTCCATTCGCCGCTCCCCGTCTTCTTCAACAACCTCCATCCCCGTCCTCCATATCCTGCTAGGCCATAGAGGTCGTGAGGTTCGACCTCGTCCTTTGTCGTCTCCATTGGCCGTATTATTACGACTGTCCGGTCCTTTCACAGCAAGCACAGGTGCTGCTTGCTCCCAGCTCCCAACTACCACATCCTCGCTGGTTCTCCTACGACGGTCCAAGCCTATCCTATCGTACCGTACGCCCGCCCCAAGAAACCAAACACCCAGTATTCAGTCCACCGGATCTGCAAGTGGCGCACATGAGGCTCGTTCCCGCCCCGTGCCCTTCGTAACTCTACATGGCGTCTCTCGGCAACCACAGCGGGCGGCCTGTGTCGATGGATTCCTCTTCAACAGAAGGTCACAATGAGAAGGAGATGGAGAAAATTTCCAGCTTTGACGGCACAGACAATGATCGCACGTCGCAACATACCGCTGTGGAAGAGGGCAACATGGAGCACAGCAATGAGGACGAAGAGCTGCTGAAGAAGGATGCAGACCATACTAAGACAAGTCTCTCCGCCCAGAGCAGCTTTGGATGGGCCCTATTCTGGATCGTGGTCAACACCTTGGCCACGATAGGCATTGTATGGCTTCCCCCCCTTGTTGGTAGCAACATTTGAGCATATCTGACACACACGCTCTTTAGGTCTTCACGAATAAGGCCATCTTCTCGGACCCGTCACTGAAGCTGGCGCAATTAACCTTTGCCGCCTTCCACTTCTTCATGACCTGGTTGCTCCTCTTTACGCTATCGCGACCTCGATTCGCCTACTTCATTCCGCGAAGAACCACGATACGGGAGATCATCCCCCTCTCTGTGGCCATGTCGCTCAACGTGATCCTGCCGAACCTGTCCTTGGCATTCTCCTCTGTCACCTTCTATCAGGTCGCACGCATTCTACTCACGCCTACTGTTGCGACTATGGACTTCGTGCTGTACAAGGCATCGCTGCCGCAAAATGCTATCTTGGCCCTCGTCCCCGCGTGTCTGGGAGTTGGTATGGTTTCATACTACGACTCGCTGCCGACGGCCGACTCAAATGTTAAAACCACTTCCAGCCTGGGTGTGATATTCGCCTTTTCTGGTATTTTTGCTTCCTCACTGTACACGGTATGGATCAAGAGCTACCAACGAAAGCTCCAGGTATCCAGCATGCAGCTGCTTTTCAACCAGGCACCCGTTTCCGCCTTTCTGTTGCTGTATGCCATTCCCTTCATTGACACGTTTCCCCCGTGGACAGAGGTGCCGGTCAACCGATGGCTGATGATACTGATGGTAAGTTGGTGGCGACGACTCCTTTTTCGGCTCGCAGCTCACATGAAACAGTCTGGCATGTTTGCGGCCTTGATCAACTTGTCCCAATTTTTCATCATTGGTCAGACCGGGCCCGTTTCGAGCACTGTGGTGGGCCATTTGAAGACTTGTCTCATTGTCGCACTTGGGTGGATTACGTCGGGAAGATCAGTCGGAGACAAGTCCATCTTTGGTGTTTTCATTGCAGTTGGCGGCATTATCTCGTGAGTAATTGTCTTCCCATATCGTTGTGAGAGTGCAGGACTAACAGCCATCACAGATATTCAGTCGTCATGCTTCGCCAGGTGGCCCAAGGATCCAAGTGAAGGAGGGCAATGAAAGAAGACAAACCAGAATAGCATTTTTTGGAGTTGGAAGTTATCATTACGGCGTTCATCTTGAAAGGAACCCTCGCCGTATCTGGCTCGAGATGTTCCGTGGTTGAGGGTTTCGGGCATGGCACGCGGTAGCATCAAGGGATAGCTGTCGTCAGTCTGCTGGGTGGCCCGCAGGTCGAGAGACCAGGCAACGTGATGGCGTTCGGTTTAGCGGTGACTACATACCCGGGCATGGTAGAATTGTGAGTTCCTAGATACACTCTGTAGGACTATGGTGTAAATGATACCAACATCTCTTATGAGATACTCCATCCTTTGGACTGTATTTGCCTTGCGTTGATATGGTGAACGGTACAGTTGCCCGACGGGACAATCGCCCTTCCATAAGTCTGAACTTGGTGCTGCGGGAGAGAGTTGAGAGTTCAGTGTGGCTGTGGTCACTACCAATAAGGCTCGTGTGTATGCGTAGTTGATGGATCATCCCCTATTCAAGCTGTACACTGAATGCTGTACTGTTCAGGGCTTGTGAGCATGGCCGGACTGATCGCGCAGCGTGTTTGTGAGCAGCCGGAAGAGCTTTGGCAGTCTATGACCGATGAACAGGTGGAAGAGCCTCACAACTTCCAACTGGGACAATGGGACAAAGACACATCAAATGGATCAATGCAGGTGGTCAGCAACGGTGCTTCAATGAAGTGAGCTGCAGGACTGAATGTGCAGATCAATGAACCAATCAAAGCGCAGGATCAAACAGTGGGGTCTCTGAACAGAGTCACAATGCCACATCCACCAAATCCGGCTTAGTGGCAAGTCAGGGGTGGCTGATTATGCGCAGGAGCTCGGACCCTCACGATTTTCCATAAGTAGCTGGCCGCCCTCACTTCTCCCCCAACTTTTTCTTTCTTTTTTTCCTTAGCTCTGTCAGTACCTTTCCGAGTCCACTTTTCGAAAAACCTACGCTGACCACTTTCTCACTCCACAGCTTTGCCTTTTGGCTTAGATCAAGTGTAGTATCTGTTCTTTTCAGTTTAATCTCTGAAAGAGTCACATAGTGGCTCATCTTTGATTATTCTTATTTTTGGCGTCTCGGGGCTGCACCCTCTGGGCCTGCCTATGGTCAGCTCCACTGTGTCCCTGGTATTACACTGCCTCCAGGCGACGCGAACACCCTCTTCATTGCTCTCCCTGGCTTGTTCCAGGGTTGCGAGGAAGGATTCTGTTCTGTATCTTATTCGCTGTTGTCGGTTTGTGGCGTTGCGTTCGCTAAATTCGGGTGCGCGCAACGGTATGGGACAATGGATGGGCAGTGTTTTCGCTTGGGATTGAGGAGGCCGTGCAGGACTACGGGGCGGATAGAGCGATGCCAATGACGAGATGCAAATCGCAGTGTTTGGGAATGGAGTTTGATCCTGTGATGCTACCTACTTACTGTGCTGCCTTCACCAAGTCAACAACACTTTGACAGCGAAGGCGATTATCTCGATAAATAGGCCGAAGTACATAGGTAGGCAGAAATGTTGTCGGAGGCACAGCTACTCACCCAGCTAAAGATTCAGGCGAGCATCAACTCAGTTTCCCAGGGTCTCTGACGGTTCTATGTTTCAGCAGTGATACTCACTCTACGCGGATTGCCAGAGGGAAAGTCCAGTCATGATGTGGCTTTGGTGTTTTCGCATGTGCAGCAATGCCAGGCTTTGGTAAACAGGTGAAGTAGGGCTACGCCAGGTGCTTCGAAATCAAGGCATCCTGACGATGTCTACATGGGCTTGTGCTCTTCAATACGGCTGGAAGCAGCTATCGTTGGTTCCACGCCTGTTGCATGCTGTTTGACAGCATTCTCATTTGTAACCGTCTGCTTCAACGCAATTATTGCTCTGACTGTCTGAGCAGGCAACAGGTGAAGCTCGACATCAGCCACATTTTGTTCAGCTGCGCCTCAGGCTAGGTGTAGACCCCGACGGGAGGAAGCCAAGCCAGGATTGATGCTGCCACAGAAGGCCCAAGCGTCCCAACATGACGCAGCAGCTCTCACCCCAGAGCCCCAAGGCCGCAACTGCAAGCTTTCTGGTCATGAGCATCAGCACATTGCTCCCATATCGTACCCTACTGGCGCATACTGTTTCTACAGCTCGTCAAGCAGATATCCAACTCTTCGACTGTACAAGATAATGACTGCATAATTCTTCTCTTCCTCTGATAATTGACTTTCACCATCCTTTGGCCCGCCCAGCAAGCCAACCAGCCAACCTTGCTCCCCTCCCCCGCCTCCCCGTCATCCGTACACTGCGACGACGATTCGACCGCCTTCTGATTCACAGCCTGCGACGCCGCAGCTGAAATCGCCCGCCGAAACAACTTTGTTTGGTGCATCGCTGCGGGCGCGACCAGTTCACCATGTGGAACGACGAGGAAGACAACAACCCGTACGGGATCAGCTTTGACCATCGTGATCCCGTCACCCCGTCTACTGCCACGCCCGGCTCGCGCGACTGTAAGTTCTGCACGCATCTATCTTCTTGCTTTGCTGCGGACCAGGGTACATAATGTGGGAAACAATAGCGTTGGATGACTCTCCGGATGAGGCTGATCCCGACTGGGAATATGTAGTCCAGCAGCGCTTCGAGACCCCCAGCACCCCCTCGACCAGCGATGAAGCTCAGCCTCATCCGAGCTACAGACGGCAGTCTAGCGATGGCGAGAGCGAAGATGACTCCCCGGACAACTCGGCGCCGAAGAGGAAGCCCGGCGGCTACGATAGCCGGATCGAACAGATCCTCTACGAAAACCCCGAGCTTCCGATCATGATCACAGATGCCGGCAAGGGCATGGAAAGTGGTGGTAAAGCTATCGTCTATACCATCAGAACTGGGGTATGCCTACTGTTTCCCTGGCTCGGGCTTCTTCCGCTTACATAGTTTTCAGGATCTTGAAGTCCGTCGTCGCTACTCGGAGTTTGCGTCTTTACGAGATGCACTGACAAGGCTCCATCCAACACTCATCATTCCACCGATCCCAGAAAAGCATACAATGGCAGACTATGCTGCGAATCCGACTAGTGCGAAACAAGACCAGCAGATCATAGACTTGCGGAAGCGGATGCTTGCTGTCTTCTTGAACAGGTGTCGAAGAATGGAACAAGTGAGAAACGATGGTATCCTATGGAGGTTCCTCGACCCCAACGTTAGCTGGGTATGCGCTTGAACCATCACGGTCGTCGTGTTGGGCTCCTCGCTGACATTATAACAGAACGAAGTTCTACATTCACATCCCATCTCATCTATCCCGAAGTCAGTCATGAAAGCCCCGCCGTTGGATACCGCGAATCCTACGGCAGCACATGCATGGCTTCCGGTGCCTGCTACTTCGGCGAAGCTCAAGAGCCCGGTAAACCAACCACAGACTCCAAACTTTGATAGCACGAGCTCCCCTGCCTCTCAAGCAGTCCGTCGGTTCCCACCGGATGCCCACGACCTGAGCGAGCAGGAGCTAGATCCCTACTTTATTGCCTTCGAAGCATCAATCAAGGAACTAGAGCACGCTTTGTCGGGGCCCATGGAAAAGGTCAACCGTCGAACTCTCAACCATCTCAGTACTCTCGCTACAGATCTTTCCGACCTGGGTGCCAAGTTCAATGCGTTCGCGCTTTCGGAACCGTCACCATCGCTTGGTGCAGCCATCGAGCGCGTGGGCCAGGCTGCAGATACATCATATATCGCGACCGAAGAACTCTCAAATGCATTGGGCGCAAGCTTCGCCGAACCTATGAGAGAGAACGCGCAATTCGCCGGGGTTGTTCGAACCGTCCTGCGATACAGGGTCCTCAAGAGAGTTCAGCAGGAGATGACTAACGATGATCTCCTGAAGAAGAAGGCGCTTCTGGAGCAATTAGAGAGTAGCGAGGCCGAAGCGAAACGGATCGAGCAATATCTCAGCAGCAGTCAGCAGATCGGGAGCAACCAGCATGTCCAACCGCCTCGGAGATCTTCTAGTATGAAAGAAACATCGACGCAGCACCATAGGGAGGGCAGTGGTGAGGATACGGCTTCGATCGATTCGGATTTTCCACCTACCCATGGTGACGTCTCGTCAGCACCATCAGCGAGGGTAGGAGTTCCGGAGCGTTCGATCTCTAATCCCTCGCACAAGAAGGCGCCGAGTGGTAATTCTTTCTCGAACAAGATCTTCGGGCCCATTCGTCATGCAATTCAGGGTGTTGCTGATGTCGACCCGGAGCGGACTCGGCGTGATACCATTGGCAAAACATTGGAAAGCATTGAACACCTCGAACAAGCTCAAGTGGTTGCAGCGCAGGACGTCAAAGATGCGAGTGCCAGCATTTTGCAGGATCTTAAACGGTTTCAGGCTGAGAAGGAGGATGATATGAAGCGTTACATGGTAAGACCTTTCTATAGGCCCACATGTGCTACCTTGACTAACCGTCTGGATACAGCTTGCCTATGCCCGGAGTCAAATCGAGTGGGCAAAGAAAAACAAGGAAACGTGGGAGGAGGCAAAGGCGGAGATCGACAAAATCGACGAGACGTAGAGCGTCAAGGGACAAGCATCACAGCCACCAAGCGGCTAGAATAGGCGCTGCGGGTCAGGGCGTATAGGGCAATGCCTTGTTTATATCATGTAATGGAGTAGTTGAATCGGATGGATAGCCAATAAGACCAACAGCATACCCGAGCAGTGGACGTACTGGCTGCTCTCTGTGCCCAGATGATTGTCGGTCAGGGTCAGTCTCCTTTCGTGAGCTTTGTGGGGTGGATACTGAAGTATATCAGCTAAGCCGCGTGTCTAAAGGAAAGTGGCCATAGGCATCAGTGACTTCATACTCTCTAATGCTCATTATCCGTGCAGGTGGAGGTTAGCAACTCAGTCGTTATCACCCCGACTCAAACACTCGCTCAGAATCCAGGATGGGCTCATCGCCAGCAGTTCACCACTATGCTATATCCGTTAACAGAGGTTGAAGCCGTCACCAAAGCCCAACACAAATGACAATGCTTGAAATGGGTCGGGTCTCATCATGCCGTCCCGATAGTTGTAGACCTAGATATCACGGAATCAGAACACGTCTTCTTTCCACATCTTCCATACAGACAGACAGCTAGGTAGGTACTTGTATACAGCACTGGGTTTATTGCTGTCAGCATTCGACATTGCAATAGGTTGGTTGGCTCATCTACCTACCTGGCTGGGACCTGCCGGTACTTGAATTCGGTAGGCTGCTTTTCGAAGGAAGCAGAGTCCGTTTGTCGTGTAAGTTACCCCGTAGTCAGGGAGTAGCAGAACCTCACATGAGGTCTCAGGTGTGTATTGATTATCTTATTACCAGTTGAAATCGCAATCTATTCTCACGATGAGTTTTTGTGGCTGTCCCTTACCAAGGCTCACGTGAGATGGCTCAAATGTCACGCGAGCCTGGACGGCAGGAAAGCAGCCATGGCTACCAGCATGGTTTCCTAATGAAGCCACACCAGCAAAGTCAGAAAGTCTGATCAATGTGTGAGGTCTGTATATCTACCCTTGGAGACGGGCAGCTGTACAGAAAGTAGAAGAGACCTGTGTTGGCGAGGCCATCTGTCAGAATACCTGCTCAGTGGCGTTATCTAGCCTTGTTTTAAGCAGTATATGTGTCATCTTGTAGGTTCACCTGATAGCTATAGCCTATCAGAGGTCACTTTTCTACCTATTTAAGTAGGATGGTACCCCCATCAGCCAGCTATCGTCATTCCTCTTTCCATACAGACCCATTCCTAAATCTCACACCATCTTATGCAGAGTGATTGAGAGAGTCCGAGCTGTTTATATAGACCTTGAAATCGAATGCCTTGCCCTACTCGTTTGGGTATGATTGGCACCCAAGGTCCCGAACAACTCAACGGATATCCGCTAGTTGATTAAGTTAACGTTAATATCTATATCAACTTAATCTACGAGGACCTTTATAGCCTTAGCAACTAACTTAACGACGAGGCTATCGTGGGTTTATATTAACGTAAATGTTGGATCCATGTGATTCCACAGTCAAACCATCCATACAGAACTCACATGTATGATTAGATAAGAGATTAGATACCAGATTGTGAGGTCACTTAGCCAGACCTGCAGGTCCAGCTAGACTTCCCAATCCAACCATCAGCAACATCATGACCTTGACCCAATACTCGAGTATTATGATTGATCGTTCAAGCCTGTTCCAACAGTAAATATTATAAATATTTACTTTATATTAATAGTTATATAGTATTATAATCGTAACGCTACTAAGTAACTGGTAGTAGCGTGTAGCTAGCAAGCAGGAATTACCTTAAAGATAAAATTTTATTATTAACTTTATAAATTTATAAGTTCAATTTAAAAAGAAAACATAATTATATTCGTTATTTTTCATAGTTATTTTAATATAATAGTTTGCTTATATTTCTTTCAAATATATTTTTAAATATTCTTATATGAAAAGAAATAAAGTTTTAGTTTTTTTATACGTGTCACGATTCCGTAAATGTATTGCAAGGGTACAGGGACCCTCATTAACCATTGATGTATAACGAACTCTGGTTAAAGGAAAAGAAAGATCATGAGATGCTCCCGAATTGGTGGGCAGCTAGATATGTGCAGTCGTCCCCCACGAGACCCACCAGGGCATGGATCAACCTATCGTCTGATCAGTCACGTGCTCAGTCACATGACCCGAGGACCATGGGAACCATCGCTAGACCTGATAGATGGTAGAACCAATACACCCACTGTAATTTAGGTATTTAGATACTTTTCAGATGGGATCCCTTCCCATCCGAATGTAATCAAGCACCAACCAGAATACAGATCATCTCAACCAAGACTTATGACAGATCTCCGTTCTGGTTCCGCTACCACGAAGGCATATTATTACGGTAAATAAACACGTTATACTTATATTTAAGTATAAATCCGTTCGTATTAAATAGATTTAAAATGTAAGAGTTAAGGTTGATGAATGATGAAGCAAGGTGATGGCGGTGATTCCAAGAAATAAGTGTATTAGGATACTTCAATCTAGCCTGGTATGTTTGTGGGAATTAGGCGTTTTTGAGAGGATATGGTAATGGAGCCTTAGAGCTCCGATCGGTGACCACTCGGCCTGACATGCCGGTGTAATACCCTTACATAAAACAGTTAATAAACGAAAGATCTTAAACTAAATATTTCATACGACGAATTTTTATATAGTAATATCTTTTATTAGAAGTATTAAAGTTAAAGATTAATAAAAGCCTAGTTAATAAAAGGAGGTGATTAATACGTGTTTAAAAGCTAAGATTAATGAACCAAATAATGCGTTGTTTTTAAATTTATAAAAGCGTCAATAGAAGTAAAGGCGTTATTTAAAGCGTTAAAAAGGTAAAAACGCATCATTAAAAAACAACACTTAAAATGTTAACGTAAATTAAGGAAATATCTTTCTAAAACATTATTTTTAATAAAAATAAACAAACAATTCTTTTTACAAGTACTTCTTTTAATTTTTAAGATTATAATACGTTTAACATTTATTTATAACGTGTAATAAGTATTGAAAAAAAGCTTCTAACAAGCTTAAAAGCGTTACTAGTAAAAATATAACTTTAAAGCGAGTTATTTAAAACGTTAACGATATATTACGGTTTCTATAACTGTTAAAGTAAAACGCGTAGCACGGTAAGTTTAAAAGCGTCGTTACCGCAGATAAACACCTTATTTTTACGAAAATATTACCATATAAAATTTATAACGCTTATATATTACGAACCAACACACAGTGCGGCCTGATAGCAGGCCAAGAGGAGACGATTGGAAACAGGTTGACCAGTAAGTGAAGTACTGGTCAGTGGAGAGATCGGAGCAACGGAGCAACGGTACACAGATCACGTGACCAGCAGAACCTGGGTCACGTGACTAAGAATTTGGATCACTGGATCACCATGGTGATCCACTAAGCAGGATCACCTTGGATCCCCGGTGATCCAGGGTGAGCCACCTAATCCGTGAGGGAGAAATTCGATATATAAGGACAGACATTTCCCAACCAGATAGATAGACAGTCTCTACCTCAGTGATCAATCTAAGCATCTTAACCAACCCTAAGGTAGGAGAAATCTCCTGACGACTCGACTACGCAGTGAACCCAGTTCAGACCAAGCCCCAGCATCTTAGTGTATTCTAGTTGACAGAAGCCTCTATCGTTCTTTGCGTTGACTTACCTCAGAATATAAACCCTATAGAACCCTTTAGCCTTATAGGTTAGACGGCTCGTCACATTTTATTATACTTTAACTTTATAAGCTTACTTTTGAAAAAGCGGTAGTATATTTCACCACTTGTTACGTACGTTTTATTTAAAGCTTAAATCATAATAACGTTGCTTTATAAGCTAAAGATTAAGCCAATCGGATCAGTTTTAAACATGTTAATAACAGCTTTTACGACTATAAGATATTCTTTTAACTTTTCTTATTTTTTAAGTTTTTTAAACCTTTGAAAGAAATAAAAAGCGTGTTTTTATATAAAACTTAATTTACAAGCTTTTTTAATAGTCGTTTATTACATTATAGTCGTTTATTAGTAAACATAAATTTAAAGTTTTTTTACTTTATGTGTGACGTTCTTTATATGTGAATATGAAATAGAAGCCCTTGTTTACTATGTACGTATAACTATCCTTAAATCTGGTGGGCAACTAGATAAGTGTGTCCGCACCACAATTTAGAGCCCTAGTGGGTCTGGGACAACCAGTCGTCCATGAGGTCACGTGATGTCACGTGATCCCAGGACCATCACCGATGGTAGCGACATAGCAACCATCACATTATGGCTTATTATATTAGCTTTATAAACGCTTTGATACTTTTAATATTTCCTTTAGCTTTTTAATAAAAAGTATTAATTAAAAACGTCGGAATTAAATCTATTAAAAAAAGAACTTTTAAAACTGTTCAAGTCAAGATTAAACCATTTTTTGACTTTACGTTTTTACGTTATATCGCTTATAAAATCGAATATTAATTTAACGCGTTTATTACGCTTCTTTCTGTCGTTTTAAAAAATTAATTAATTCGCTTTAATTGTGACGGCCTGCACAGACCTTTCCACATGACAAGTGGATATTTCCCAATAGGGGAAGGATCTGACCAGAGGATCCCCTTAAAGGGGCAACCTCCCACTGTACCTATCTCTCTCTCTCTCTTCCTTTCCTCTCTAGTCTTGATATTCTCGTCAATAGAGTAATAGCTGCTTGCTGCAGGCCATGTCCCAGCTCCCCAGTATGCTCGCCGTGACAATAATGCCGTCAAAGCTAATTGTATCGATTTTAAAAGTTATAAATACGTTAAAAATATTTTAATAGCTTTAAAATCGATCAATAAAGCTATTTATTTAATTCTTATTTAAAATGCTTAACTTGTCCGTTTTTTTTGTATATAAATACGGCGTATTCAGGAACTTCTAATCGCGTAAAAAGCACTTATTAGCTTTATACTTGAGAGCCTATTTAATAATAGACTTTTATAGCTTTAAAGATAATTTTTGGTCCATTTAATGCATTCCTTAATATGATTGCTACCCTTAGAATCGTCGTAAGAAGATCAATATATTAACGCTTTAATAATAGGCTGCAATCTTTATAACTCGCCCGCCTTCACTTCTACGACCGCAGCAGCCATTTGCTGCTCTTTAAGAAGCGTTATTTCAAATATAGAATAAATTGATGAAGTTTTCGAATTACGGCGGATTTCTAAAGTTATGCGGTGGTCATGGTTAACCGCTATCTAGACCTTTGCAAATGAAGGGGTGTTGCAGAAGTCGGTGGGTCCCTTTAATGTTGATCTTAACTTCTGTAGGTCCAAAGGACCTACGGCCCTTGATTTCAACCATTGTAGTATATACGTATCCCGTAGCCCAGTATTCTCTTTTGAAGTCGATACAACCAGCCTGGCTATAACGCACTGGAGTGTGTAGTGACACTGGGTCCACTCGATCGATCAGAGCATGTTGCAGATTATAGTTCATCTTTTCCTCTGTAAACAGTTGCTGCACACACTCGTTCGTTGGGGTATCGATGACCCCAAGCGCTTTGCGATCATGCCCATCAACTCTACGGGTCGTCGTGATGATAATGACGAACCTATTGCACAGCAGATTTGCAGATATGTGGTCGGCATCCACGTAGCAGTCCAAGCCAAAGACAGAGAAAATATCCTCACTGCCCAGGAAAAACAATCTGTCTTGTGGGTTTCAGTGGCTCTGCGGGGTGGCCTGTTGAATGCCTACGCCTTCCAGGTGGATTGTAACAGTGGATCGAGAGCATTCAAGAACAGACCTCTCCAGGTTTGCTGATGTATGAGCGCTCAGATAGCTTGTGCCGACTGTGTTAGAGCTTATTATCGTGACATCTTTCTCAGCGACATCTTGCTCAGATAACAGTCTTGCTAGCCCGAGTCGTGCGTATTGTCCCGGGGCGTACCTCTTTAGCAGCAGTAATTGTCTGCCTCTGTTCGACGAGGTGCTGAGTGGCATGGCGAGAACACGAGCCTGGGAGGCTCTAGGTACTTCCAGGTCAACTGACACTTCCCAGAGAGGGGTGGTGATGCGGATTCCCTTGTTGGTCATGGCGAACTCCGGCGCCTTTGCCAGTAGAGACGACTTGTTGTTATGGGAAAACCCTTCGAACTCAGATGCAGCGTGTGCCAACACTCCCATATACTCGAGGGGCTCCAACGGCTCCCAAGCAAAGATAGACATGTCGTTGCCCCTACGAATGATTTCCTCCTGTAACCTCCCAAACGCCTTGGTTCCCTCGCCGTCCAGCATGGGCATGTTCATGTCGAATATACCCACTAAGCAGTAAGCCGTATCTTCAGGTAGGGTGGTCACACGTCGCGCAGCCCAGGACATCTTTTCAGCGACAGGCAGCTCAGGCAGACACTCGCAGTCACGCATGACCCTTTCCGAGATGCGAGTGATCCGGCTCAGTTTGACTCTGAGGGTGTCCTTGGTGCCACGAAGATGCCACCACCGATTATAGAAGCAAATGTGCTTGGAGGCGATCAGCTCCTGCAGCGTCCATCCACGCGAAAACCACCTGCACTTCGCCAACTCCTTCTTGTTGATTGACGAGGTGCTCAGGTCAGAGAGATAGACGCATCATGGAGCTGTCGCTCTCTAAGATGGTCAAATCATGGAGTTGGTCTGCGAAGTATGTGACGGCATTGTTTAAGAGGGAAAGAGGGTACCTCAGTCCTCAGCCTTGGGGTACTTTCCACATTGTCACATGAACATCGATCTTGCCTCCCTTTCATTGGCGGATAGCCGAAGCTGACGCAGGTGCTCCATCTCGCTGCAGAATCACAAGAGGAAGGTGCAACTCGCTGCTGATGGCGTGCACACCTTTTTATCTGCTCTGGGTACTGTGAGGTACCTACCGTTAAGCTGGCCGTTCCGTGCCAGCTCATGGCACCTGGACAGACACAATCCAGTACGACGACTTGGGAGTTGCTCAAGAAGTAGAAGACCAGCGCTTCACCTTCTACGAGACGCTCTGATTGATGCTGGAATTACGAATAGTAAGTGCATCATATTTATTGCAGCATGCGTGATGCAGGAGGAATAATACACAACATTCTCTGCGCGTTCAGGAGAATGTTATCCTCGCCCCAAATCAGACTCTAGGGGCATTGGCATCTTCCTCTCTTCCACCATGCATCTTCCCCAACCCCCAGGGCGTCGTCAGGAAATCCCCGGAGCGGACCGCTCTCCCCTCCAATGGGAAATTCATGGAGCTCTTCCCGCCCATCGCGATTGGAAGCTGCGCAACGGAAATTGAGGCTCCCCGTGTCGTCCCAAAAGTCGTGTACTCTTCTGGGCTCGCTGACGTATATGTGCTGCCGCAGCCCCGGGAACATCGATGTGCCGAAAGGTTCTAATTCGTCCCACCATTTCTTCTGCACCTTGCCACACCCGGAACACGCAGGAGGCTTCAGGGGCGCGAAGTACGTTGACATGTTTCCGTGATGGACTGTCAATAGCCTGCCCAAGCTCTCACACCCCGAGGCCCACAGCTTGGTTGTTGCCAGTTCCAGCAACTGATCTTGCCCACCATTCATGTCGCAACAGCTGCCACTGACACAGTTGGGATGGATCTCCCTAACTGGAATGCCATAACGGTGTCCTGAGTCTGTTGGTCCCCGCCAACTGACTATGGTCCTGACGAAGAGGTCATGACTGAGACTGCAGTAGAGAGCCCCGTTGGTCAGCATTTCTTCGTTGAAGTTACCGAAATAAGCCACCAGGTGATGCTTGTCTCGAAAACCAGGTTTTTCCGGGACGATGAAGCCCAGCTTGGTGCTGTAGAAGCGCTGGGCAGACTCGCGACTTTCTCGGTTGACCAGCAGGAAGGTAGAAACAAGCTTCTTGGATGGTACAACCTGAATATGATCGTCGGCCTGGCGGATCAGGATATTCCGCTTCTTTGCTTCTTCGTGCAAGGCCTGCCGCCAGACTCCGAGCCGAAGCTCGGTGGGGAGATCTTGGAAGACCGTGAATGTCGCCATGACGAGTGCGTGGCTGCGGTAGGCGAGGGGCTTCCTAGGCGTGTGGATGTGAACGGCTAAATTGGGATCAAATGTCCTAACATACGACTTTATACATGGAAGATGATTGCTTCCTTGGGATTCCATCGGGCACGCCAGTCGCTTCTGTAGATAGTGTTGAAAGAGTTCTCTTCAAACAGAGTCACTGCCTTGATATTCAGATACAAACACCTCTCAGCAGAACAAAGAGAGCATCAAGCGAAGTCGATTAGTCTGAGCGCCTACTGGTTTGCCATTGATAAACACCCCAAGGGAAATCTGTCTCCAGTAACATATTTTTCTGCCGAGAGTGCCTGAACCTCCCGTCGATCCGTTGCGCTACGTAACTCATAATGCTGGAGCAGAGCGAAGACCTACAGCTGTCGCTGAGGTATCCGACTAGGTGATGAGCTCTAGAGTTTGGGTTCATCGATGTTGTAAGAGGCGCGCTGGTGCTCCACTTGAGAAAGGGGGTGGAGCTAAGGGGTAGCGGGTGCCTCAGTTGATGCCGGGAGAGTGGACGGATCACCTCCTCATCAATCTTCCATCTATGATATCTCACAAGCTTTCTTTCGTCCCATTTTCCGTAGGCCTTGAAGGAATACTAGCGGGGTCTTGGTTCTTGACGAGGTTACACGAGTCTTGAAGCACCTTCACCCTTTTTGTTGGACGTGTTCTATGGTGTGACCACCGGGTGATTGCGACACATCCTAGGAACCAGAATATCTTAGGAAACACGCTTGCAATTCAGAACTGTCACGACACCTGTTTGTCCCTGGACTGGCGATGAGTATGACCATCGGAGAAGCACTTCCCACTTCGGTTAGTTAGAATCAAAGGAATCAAGGGTAAGTAGGTCTCATGGTCCAATGGAATTGCAGAGCCCTTACTAGGCATAGCTATATCACTTTGGTTCTCGTAGAGGCACGTAGAAAGCGCGGAAGATCAGCTCGTAGAAGCAAGGGCCCTGCATTATATCCAGGGGGCAATCACGAAGTCGTTGAGAAGGCTTTCAAGAAACACATGTAGGAAACATACCATCAATTTTCTGGTAATACCAACATACCCACACAGATGCGGGATCACTCATAGTAATCATGCTAGGATGAGCATGTCGACTGGACCATCCTTGCACACACTTCCGCTTGCCCCTATGTGATACATGTTAAGGCCACCAAACACCTGCCGTCCAACAACAACTCCTATGTGACCCCATTCCCTGGACCATACGAAACTGTGCGAGCCACATGTACCATTCGTCATCACGGGCGATTCCTGCCAGCCACGCGCATCCATGCTCTCTCTCCCACCCCGGGCAGCGACACTCCTAAAGATCTCGATACGCAGGGAGGCTCAACCTGATGAGGGAAACAGATCGTGTGCGAAGCAAGTGGTCAGCCCACTCCCGGATCTCTTGATCTGGCGAGAGAGGCCATCCGCTAAGGGCAACATGTTGTTCGCGAAACAGTGGCTCAGCCCACCACGTCAGGTCTCTGACGCCAAACCGGCAGAAGACCTCTTTCTGCTCCAGTGTAGGTACCGCGTGCAAGAAATTCATGTAGTCATAACTAGTCAACGAGGCTAACAGCAGGTAATAATACTGCCACAGGCTCGAGAAAAGGTCTGTCTCCCACGAGTATCGACACTGATTTGGAGCGTCAATGAGCCTCTCGCAAAAGCTGCAACAGCTCCGACCCGGAGGCTCGTAGGCCACCACGTAGACCGTCAGTAGTCTGCGCACCGAGGCACACTGCCAGCGTCTCAAGCAACCTGACACGAATATTCGCGGGGGTTTTCCACGCTGAGTGCGGCGAATGGGAAACACCTGGAAGATCGCCGAGCCATAAATCGTGCGAATCCGGATCCGGACGAAGACGTCCCGCTGGGGATCGCAGTAGAGAATACCTCTTGTCGGCGAAGTCGGCGAACTTAGTGGATAAGTTGTGGATTGTATTGGCTGCCACGTCCCGCTGCATTCGTACGTGTTGAACTGGTGCGACTCCAGAGCGACTCTGACGGCTCACCGATAGGGAAGGCGACAGGAGTTTCTTGTATGGTACCAGGCGGATGGTATCTCCGCCGTCGAGAATGAGGATCAGGCGGCTTCGGGTCTCTTCGTGCAGCGCGTGGTGCCAGATCTGGAGGCGAAGCTCGGTTGGGAGACTGGCGAACGTCGCCATGGTGTATGATGTATGCCTCACGCAACCGAGACCTCAGTGAATGTCATGATACTGGTTCGGGAGGCTGAAAGTTGGGGGTAAGCCGGTGGTGGATGGGTTGTTCTGCTCAACAGTCATTTATGTTGAGATGGAGGAGGAGTCTGGCCCCAGCAGGTAGTATCAGGCAACACGACTGTCTAGGCAACGAGGTGCCAAAGAAGATAGGCAGAGATTGATACCTCGGGGACCAATCGTGCCTGATCTGTAGGCAGGACAGGGACAGCTGGGTCAGCTCCCAATCTCGAGAAAACTCGTGTACCTAGGACTGTTAGTAAACATTTGCCCAAGTATAGCCTGGAGTACCCACGTTGTGCTCTCCATGATATCCATCCTGTTCCCAGGTTTCCATGCTGTCGTAGGGTGCGTGTCTGGTGATTGTTGCAGCCGGCCTCGCTCTAGACTTTCCCACAACCTTGTATGACTCGACGGTGAGCGAGACAGCACTGCCCGATTGAATTGTGTCTTCTTCCAAAGACTCGAGTTCGCGGAGCCGTATTTGAGCCTCCACATCAATTACTGCTCCATGCTCAGGGCTGTTAAAAGCAGGACGTACACCCGTTATCCAGACAATGGTAGTACCGGTGCTGGGTCTCCCTTCTTCCGTCCCGCGGCATTGATCAACCTCATGCTATGACCTGAAAACGGTCCAGAATCCCGAGGGAACACCACGTCAGGAGCCTCGATTGAATGCGATTTCAAGAAGTCCAGAAAAAAGCATGGCATGTTGCCATGCATGCTGGCACCATGAGCTCGAAGAAGGTTCACAATGACAGTCAGGCCGATAGTTGAGCCCCTGGGTATGAACATGTCGAGCGTGTGCATGTGTACAGGCTCCGTCATGTAGATATCGTAGTACGCCTCGCCTATGACATCGTGGGTCAACATTTGGCACTCCAAATGGTCCACTTCCCAAACCCTTACGGTCATAGCACTGGATGAGGGTCAGCTATATAATCAAAGAGTTCCACAAAGGTTAGGGACTTACTGCGATGAAAATCTTTCGATCTCCGCGTTGATCTTCTTGGAAGCTGTCTCTGAATGCGCTGCTCCGCCGCCGAAACCCCCGTCGTGTCCGGGGGAGCAAATGGCAGGAAGGTTATACTTTTCTCGAAGGTCCAAGCAATCAAGTAAGTTTTTGATGTTGGAAAAGCTGCTGGTAGCGGCGAGCATAGGTAGATGTTGACCCAATGATCGCAGAACTGCTGGTGAACCGAAGTACCACGGCGAGCTGCAATCAAGGAAGCTGCAATCACGAAACTTGCAAGGAAGAAACTTGTAATTAAGCGACTCATCAATGTCAGCATATTGCCATGGGCGCATAACAAGCCCGACGGGAAAGACTTGGAGCGCTTTGAGTTTCTGTACCGCTAGGGCATCTTCTTCGCGTGGTTGGCGACAAAGGATTTCGCCGATTGCTTGGAGAATGTTGGCCGCCAGAGTTTGGGAGCGAGGACTCGTCCCTTTGGCCATGAGTTCGCACTCTGCAACAAGGTGCACAACTCCAGCATTCGGGATGCCCATATATCCCTGGAAGAATCCAGAGCATTGTGGGTAGATCTCTGACAGCTGTGTCCAAGACGTAAGTTGTTTCACCCCTGAGTTCCATACACAGGAGCTCGATGTGACCCATGTTCCGGGCTCCGGAAGGAAGATGCAGTCTCTGCACCGGAGATCTCCACTAAAATATAGCAGTCAGTAGGTTGCCAGGTGGAAGAGAAGCCAATGATTTGCCATACCGGGTCCATATGCAATCCTTCTTCAAATCTTCACTGAAAACGCGGCATGCAACCGGTGAATGCCATAATGACGAACCCTGGGGGCCCCAAGCCTTTGAAGAGCAGCAAGCTGGTCCCGTAACAATATCGCGGCTGATGTGACGGTAACCCCGATACGTGGCAGAAAAAGCGCCCAATATACATCGCTACCTCTGTCGATTTTCAAGTAAGCAATGTCCGACAGTAGTTCACTCGCAATTTTCTCTTGCGACCATATCGTGGCACTCGCTTTGTGACTCTGGCCATCCGTGAAAGGCAGCTCCAATTCCTGCATCTGGCGAATGAGTTTCCGTCCAAACTCAGAAATGAGGAATTGGTGAGTCCAATCATGGGAAGCCTCAAGAATAAGGCCGATGGGATCTTCAACCCAGCGAGATTCGATACGGGATCCGAACTGCCTATCGCCTTCATTGATCGATGGTGCGCACTCCTTTATTCCAAAACATGCCGCGAGCCACTCATTGAACGATCCGGGGGACGCATTTTCGTTGCCAACAATGGTTTCTTGATAGCGGCAATCGAGGATATGGGTGTTACTTGGCTCCTCAGGTAAATCTGGTCGAGCGGTATCATGCTCACCGCCTACGGTGGTGTTGAAAATGCTACTACCAGGAAGCAACAGCAGTTTGCCCCAGGATGATACTGAGGCCGCACGAGCAAGGAACTTGATTGATTCCCAACGTTTCCTGCCCCAAGCTTCGAGTCATAAGTTGTTCCAATATCGGTAGAGAAATTGGATGTCGGAGACCCAAGATGATAGAGTCTCAACTGTCTCCTCCACATCTCCTGGGAGCACAGCATCATGACGTTTGAATTATGTCGTCACACACTGTTAGAACATCGTATGGCTTCATACGCAGAGCCTTGTATAGCTCTAGGCTATGTTGTTGAGTCGCCTTGATATCGACGACATCAAAGCCTCTCTGGATGGGAAGCGCCTCGATGCTCCATCGCAATCCAAGTATATCCGCGGAGAGTCCGGAGTCACCCAACGCTTGCCTGAAAGTCGTACTATAGGCAGCTTTCGCAGTTCATTATCACCCCCCTCGATACCCACGAGAAGCATGAGGGCTGCTGCCACTTATTCATGCCATGCGTCCGGCTTGAACTCATTTATACCGGGACCGTGAGTATCGTACCAGAGGTCCAGCTCCTTCCGAAATTGAGTGGAGCTCATCACGCTGACTCCTAGACTCTCGAGTACTCTTCGATGTTCTTCCTGTTCAAAATCCTGATCATAGTCGAAAGAAAGATGAGTGCAGACGCAGATTTCGTGATCCACCAAAGGCCGTCCATCAAGTCGTAAGTGATTGGGGATGAACAGTAGTAAGCTCGGGCAAGCCAACCCTGGCGACAGACTGCGAGAATGGAGTACCTTTCAGTCTTTCAAGCCCGTCAGAATGTTATCGTGGATGGTGTTCCAGACCTCGCCGTGCTCGAAATCGCCACCTAGCCAACGGTACCAATATCGGTGGACGCCTGTATCTGCCAGTGTCTGGATGCTTTGCACCACAAGTTCACGTATGTGGCTGATAATTGTGCTGTTCCATTTGTTCCCATTTTCGAATCTGCCATCGTGCGGATTAAGAAGGAAATTGCCGTGTATTATGAACTGTCAGAGGAGATTCATTAGTGGTTATTGAACCAGACAGTGTAAACGGGGCTGTATAACGACCAAGAAAGATCGTAGCTGACATACCTTCCAACCAAAGCTACCCATGGGAAGAAACGTGTAAGTAGACTGCGGAGTGGCAAGGGGTCGATTTTCCAGCCAGGGGAAAGCAGCAACCAGATGAATTTTGCGAAATCCAAATCCAAATCTGGTATCGATCACCTCGATTATCTCATCAAAAAAGATGTAGCGTGATGTATCTAGCTTCCCCGTCAAGAAATCCTGCTCGGTGATTGAGATCACCCGCCCTGGCGGCCCTTTCAAACCAAAGGTTGTCGAGTGCAGGGTATGACGACTCTCAGTCTGGATGGTCAGTCGGTCGAAATTTAGTAGAAGTAGAGTCTTGTTGTCAAATGAATTGAGCTCGGTGAGGAAAGTGTCGTAAATTGTCTTGCTGTCGAGGTACAACGAGATTCGCGTGTAGGCTCCTTCCTGATTCGTTCGCATTGGCTCCAGATTAATGGGCACAAGCGCCCCCAGAGTTGTACTGCAGTCAAACTTGAAGTGAAAGTGACCACTGTGAATTTCCACAATGTTCGCAACGTGGAACACCGATTTGAATCCTGTGCCTCCCTTCTCCCCATTTCTGGCCTTCCTTTTCCTGGGGACTCTTGTGCCGTTGCGGGGCTTTCCAAGAGCGCAGAGTGCCGTGACATCTTCAAGAGAAAAGCCATCTTCGTTGTATTCCACGTGCAATATGTGTTGCTCATCTGATCTTTCCTCTAGGTGAAAAGATATACTGCATGGTTTCGGGCTGTGGTTATTGTCGTCCGCGTTGTAGATCAGCTCTCGCAAGATCTGAATCGGTTCAGGACATTTTTGTTGGGAAAGTCTATGGTGTCAAGTCAGAATCATGGTGAGGCGCAAGGAATGGATGCAAGATAGGAGTGCGTTTTCCACTTTCCAAGAGTGGGCTCCAAGAGGGGCCGGGGCACGGGATCAGTCAATAACCTACATCAGAAGGGCATTTTGCAGGCTGCTGATGACAGGATCGTCAACATCAGTGGAGTGCTGCAGGGACTTTGCTCTGATAGCAGCAATGTGTGCATCTGCTTCTTCTCTCGAGGCCGGACGGGTCCCGGCAGGCGCCATGGTGATCGATTAGATGGTGCGAGAACACATCTGCAGCCTGTGCAAAGTGACCAAGAACTGAAATGGGCCGAAGAACTCAGCTGTATACCCCCAAAGTGCAGCTCGGGGAGGTGCGGAATGGGATGTCTGCCAATACTGAACCTGAAGATGAAGAAGTGAATGCCAAAGAGAGGGTCGTGCAGTGCAGCAGGCAGTGGTACCCAGACGACCTGGAGAAGGTTGACAAAACTGGTGGACGGAATCTGAACAACCAGCAATGTGGGAGAGAACCGGTTTTTTTTCGAAGCACGGATTGGAATGTGTGTTCGAAGGAGTTGGAGGAGAGGCGTTGCCCCAGGTGCACAGGTGCTGGAAAGTGTGGGTGGTAGGAGCTTGGTCAACCCGATCAGGCTAAACCACCTGCAACCAAGCAGGGCAAACAATTGCGACTGCTGAATCGTGTACCTGTGAATATCGAACAGTCCTGAACTCAGTAGCAGTTTGCTGTGTCTTTGCTCAAGCTGCCGGGTGCACGAGTAGGTATTGTTGTTAGCAGCTTTCCAAAACCCGGGGGGTGCCGGATCTGAGTGACTGAGGCAATCAATGATTCGTGCCCGTTCGAAAGACGCACTTTTTAAGTAGAACTGAGGCAGCCAAAAGGAGCCTGACTGGGATGAGTCGGCGGAGAGGTGCAAGGAGCTGGGTGTCCGCTGTAAATGCAGAGTAACCAACGAGGATGCTAGTCACACGACAAGGTTACGACGAGGAAAGCCAATCAGAGGTTGCGTCCACAATAGGAGGTACACAGGAAGTCGTTGGTGCGGTTTGCCCACGCAAGTTCACGTGATGGGCCTCAGAGTACCTTAGCGGCATCCTGTTACGGTACAAGTACATTGTACCTCCACATGTACCTATATATATGGGAGGCCCACCTCTCACCTGAAGCGGCCTGCCTTCTTCCTTCTTCCTTCTTCATAGATCGTTGAATCTAGCTTTATCTATCCATCAGTCCTGATCAGTTGTACTGCAGGCCTGATCGTCACACATCCTCTCAGACCTACGGCATTAGTGGGCAAGAGGTGCGAATTTAGACAAATTCCATGCCCCTTCCCAAGGTCAAGCGAACTCTATACTGTCCCCCTATGCGGAGTTTCGTTCCAGTGAGAGGAAGTAGACTGGAGCCCTGATATGCCCAGAAACCCCATCATGGCCGAACGGTCTGAGTACAGCGGTGGCGGACATCATCTCACAGGCTCCAAGCCTCTATCCAGTTACTTGGTGTTGCCACTGGTCACCCATGCTCGTCTGGGTCTAATGTAGACTCCAGAGCAAGCAACCATAGTCCGTCAGTCTGAAGGTCGCCATCACACCCAGACGAGTACCCGGTCAGCACCATATATCAGTCTCACTACCCACCTGGCAAGGAATCTGCTCAGGCAAGAAGAACCTCACATTGCAAGATATAGTCACTGGAGATACTCATCACGACGCATCGCTCCCACTAGCCCCAAAGATATCAGTCACGACACGCCAGCTCGGAGGTTCCCCCTGACCAGAAAGCGTATGCACCGCCTTTGGCTGGGTCCACTCGTGTAGAGTCTCGATGCAGTGCTCTCTGCCATAGCCAGAGTGCTTGACTCCGCCGAAGGGCGTACCCAACACGTTCCTGTTGTAGTTGTTTACCCAAACCTACAGGCTGATCAGCGAGGTTCTACGACAGAGGTTGACTTCTTGCTCACCATGCCGGCTTCGATGGCGCGGACAAAGCGGTTCGCTTTCAGTTGGTTCTCGGTGAACACGATAGCAGTCAGGCCGTACTCGATCGAGTTGGTGATATGGACAGCGTCTTCGAAAGTGTCGAATGGCGTGACAGTCACTATTAGATGGTCAGTGAACAAAGCCCGCAAGGACACCCATTGCCGATGAAGAGTCCAACTTACCAATCGAACCAAACATCTCCTCCTTCACAATCCTCATATCCCCACCCACATCAGCAAACAGTGTAGCAGGAACGAAGAACCCATCCCTGCACTCCGGATCATCCGGCAACCGAGCTTGCGCAGCGATCCGAGCGCCCTCCTTTTCGCCAAGCGCAAGATAGTCCAGCAGACGCTGCTGCTGCGCCCTCGAGACCTGCGGCCCAACGTGAGTCCTGGGATCAAGCCCATTCCCCATCCTGATCTTCCTGACCCCAGCCGCCAGCTTCTCGACGAACCTGTCGTAGATCCCGCGCTGCACCAGGATGCGCGACCCGGCGGTACAGGCTTCGCCCTTGTTGAAGAAGGCGCCCTCGAGCGCATTACGGACCGCAGAGTCGAAATCGGCATCATCGAAGACAGTGAAGGAGTTCTTGCCGCCGAGCTCCAGCGCAAGAGGCGTCACGGTCGAGCTGGCCGTCCTAGCCACCGCCGCGCCCGCAGCCGTCGAGCCGGTGAAGCTGACCTTTTTTACCAGGGGGTGCGCGACCAGAGCGGAAGGGACTTCCGGACCCAGGCCAGGCACAACCTGCACCACGTCCTTCGGTAGGACCGTCTCCAAGATTTCGCAGATGCGGATCACCGTCAGCGGGGCCTGCTCGCCGGGCTTGACGATGAAGGTGTTCCCCGCCGCGAGCGCGGGGGCAATCTTGCCGCCCGTGTGGATCGGGGGCCAGTTGAAGGGCAGGATGCCGGCGCAGACGCCAAAGGGCTCCTGGATGACGGTGCAGTAACGGCGGGGGCATATAAATGGGACAGCCCCATATATGGGACAGTTTTCCCACCAAATTCTCATTATTACGATTCGTATAACTCGGTCAGTATTAACAGCACGATAATATGATTTGAACAAGAATATTTGCCTCTTTTTTCTCTTTTTTAAGATATAGCCGCTTAATGTAATCTATACTGGGTGTAAAGTTATAATAGCACGGAGTTTTGCCCTTACTAAATTTTACCTTCCGGGCTGCTGTAAGTCGGGTTTTCCCGACCCTTTGGTGGGAACAAGGCATAGCCAGGCTTCTAACAATCACAGCGGCCTAAAGTGCTGGTACACCCCTAATAAACCCAAAATCAAAAGAAACACCAAGAAAAGGCGATTCGAATGCATTACTCACATCATCTAGAGCTTTTATTCCGATAGACTTATTTGTAAGTGCAACTGTAGTCTTTTGGTGTAAAAACTGTCCCATATATGGGGCTGTCCCATTTATATGCCCCCGCCGTTACATGTCGCCCCGGTCGTAGAACTGGGACGGCAGCTTGCCGACGAGGCCGCCGAAGTAGCGGAAGACCATGACGAGGAAAGTGAAGTCGAACATCTTGGCGTCCTGGGCGGGCTTTCCGTTCTCCAGGCACAGGAGCGTGGCGAGTTCGTCAACGTGCTTTTCGAGTTCGTCGGCGCAGCGCATGAGGTAGCCTGCGCGCTCGATGGGGCTTAGGGGACGCCATCGCTCTTTGAAGGCTACCTGAGATGCTTGGACGGCCTGATCGACTGTCGCCTCATCGCCAGACGGTAGGGTGGTGATGACTTTGCCGGTTGCCGGATTATCGACCGCCCATCGTTTGGCTGGGTCCTGACAGGAGTAGCGATAGGTCGAAAGCTCTGGAAACTTCAGGGTCGCCATATTCATGGATCCGCTTGTGTTTTCGCGAATCTTGCGTCCGACTGTATCGTAGACAATGTTTGGTTGTTCACTCGTTGTTCACCTGGCTGGTGGGAATAATACCTTCTATAGGAACCGACGTCGTCATCAAAACTAGAGCGCCCTCAGGAGCTTAAGTCCGGCGACTCTGACTGGCCCAGCCCCTCAGCCTTCGAGTCGTCAAAAGACCCAACCAACAACTGGGTCCGTTCGGAACATACGACTGACCGGACCGGCGATGAACGGTCACACGCGAAGCTGCAAGGGACCGACGGTGCAGCCAACGGGCCAACGGCATGGCATGTAATCCGCATTGTAGGGGCAAGCTAGCTCCGACCACCTCGCGTCTCGCTGCATGTAGATTAAGCTAACTCCGTAATTCCGGGGTAGTTAGCATGCAGCTCTGGTTTGATACGCCATTGCTAACGCTTATTCAAGTATGCTTATGGCGATTTGAATAATGTACCGTCGTCTCCTAGACGGGTGGTATACGGAAACTTATAGGGGCTCAGTGTAGCCACGCCGTCACCTGTCATGATGACCACTGGCGGCGCATGACAGATATATTCGCAAAGCATAAGTCTATAGACTTATGCAACATGTTGATCCTTTTCAAGGATGCAAGCGGGCAGTCGATCATGCGAGACCAACTATAGTCAATGTCAAGCGGACCTGCTGTCACGAAACTACTGCAGCAACCCTTACTCGAAGTGCGAGCGCAATACAGCTCTGGACAGTAGTAAAGACCCTCAAGGAACGGGTTCTCGCAATCTACCCACACAATCGTCCTTCCTGAAAATGTAGACGCCCTCGCGCACTTCACCGTCGACTCCACCAACAGCGCCAGTGGTGTAGAAGCCCATGAACCGCTTGTGACGATCCGACAGCTTCGGCTCGACGTCCTTGCGCAATGACAAGCCATTGTTCTCCTGCTGCCGAACGAACTGACGCATGAAGAAAATAAGGATGGCAGGGCGCTCGCCAGAGTCCATCCGGTTGGGACCCGTTGCATGCCAGAGGCGGCTCTCGAAGATGAGAGCCGTGCCCGCAGGACCCTCGGCCGTCACGCTGCCATCTATATCGAAGATATTTTCTGGCGTGACGTTGCCTCGGTGGGAATCAGGGTATTTGCGCGTGCCGCCGTTCTTCTTGGTGACGTCGCTCAGGAACCACATGATGTTCATGCCGAAAGGCACATCTCGGATAGGCGGGATACATATGGATTTTGAACACTCAGAAGCCTCCGTGCGGGATCAACCCAGTGTGGCAGCAAGTCAGCCTTCGAAGTTGTGGTGTTGGTGCGAGTTGGAATGATCTACTCACTTGACAAGGTCTGGAATCGTCAATCACCGGTCAGTGTTCAGGAAGGCATGCACTGTGATTATGAACTCGATCTCGAGACGGGATTGCACTTTTCTAAGTATGCCAACCATTCGCTGAACATGTCTGGATTCGAAGCATTAACATCAACGACCACGAGGACAGACTATTATTTGTGTTGTTATCAAGTGTGTGAATGGAGCATGTTGTGATCCTTAGACCTTACCTAAGCTGCCAATCTGATAACCATATCCGTGTTGAGGGAATTGAATGCGTTGTGGGGTTCTGCTTTTTGTTGTCTTTTAGAAAATTTTGGGTTTGGCTCCTCCCTTACGGTCGAAGAGCATCAAAATAATATGACTCGTAGGTCGAAATAGTCGAATCCATAGCCCGAATGGCTAGCTCCCTCTCGAGGAGGATTTTGAGCCCGTAGGACTAGCAAGCCACCAAGACAGTGGGTGACAGATTTAACATTACCTAAGGTTTTACAGTTTCATAACTGGCGGCGATTACACTCTGGCGCCTAAGGTATCTTCCATCTCTATTGGACCGCTGTAGGGCGCCGATACCATGTGGTGGTTTTAAAGTTCTTCAATTCCAGGAAACTACCTCAGTCGGGAGACTTAGAGTTTAACACGTAGCAATATGTATCTCCGCAACTACGAGATATTATATATATATATATAATCCTCAAACCCCCCATCCTCCCAAAATAAACCTACCACTTCCAATATCAAAACTCTCATATCAGACACCACGAGCACAAACCTCCAGGAACCTTCCCACGAGTCACGACGAACAGTCTTCCATCTATCTACAGCCGACATGGATCCAGAGCAGGAATCGGCACTTGACAACTTCCTCCAAGGATTCAACCGATCAACTTACGAATTTCAGATGCGCGAAAGCGAAAGCGAAAGACGCTGGCAGCCTGAGGTTGGACCGGTTCAACAGCCTCGACCGGTTCAACAGCCTCAGCAGCAATCATCAGAACTCTCGAACTCCAACACTCTGACACAGTCTTCGAAGCGAACCGTACAGTCCGTGGACGAGCAAGACCTTATCGAGGTCGACCCGCGTCCGGCCAACGGTTCCTTCGACGATTGGTATATCATCGACCCGAGGGAAGCTCAAAACCAAGAAGGGGAAGATGAGTACGACAGCTGGGTTGACGTTGCGCTGGACTGGTCTGTAGCCACTCATGGTCTTCTGGGTCTGTAGGTCGTGATCCATGATGCGGCGCGAGTTGATCCTTTCCTGTCCTCGAGACTCTATCATGCGGACCAGTGTGGGATCGAAGAAGGACCTTGATGAACAATTTGATACTGTAGTGCAAATTTAGTATAGCCAATCAGTATTGCGAATCAAACCATTGTGCTCGTTGGGATCGGAGTGATGTGATGCAGCTGAACATCGGAGTTGCCGACCTCAACGTCAAGTAAATGAATGCTGTTGCAGGCTTTGTCATCCATCGTGGCCCATGAGTGACAACTTGCAAGGTGGGGCCGGGTTGCCCCAGCTTTAGAGGGGCTTAGGGGGCTCTTGCGCCGTTGCGCTGGCAACCGGCGACCGCTCCCACAGCCAAGCCCCAAGCAAAACAGACTAGATCCATCTCCAAGCCATCCATTCCCATCACCTAAACTCGGCGACCATTCTTTTCAATGTGCAGCAGCTTCGACGAAACAACTCCCGAATCTCCTATTTCGCAACACCTCAATTGAATCGGCTTGCTTCGCCATTGACCAGCGGCTACAAGGAACCATGGCGGCTCGGACATTAGAAGCTCGTTTCGAGCGCATGTCTGTAAACGACGAGAACGAGTACCAGAAGTCAAAGGTAGATCTAGCAGATATCCAACCCAACCGTATGCTGGAGCGCATCTCTAATAACGACGACAGATCGTCACGACGACAACACAGCTGGGACACAGCACAAGTAGACCGAATCTCTACAAGGTAGCCCTACAAGCAGGGAGCGCCAACACCGTCACCGCCGTCACCCTCCCGTCGCAGGCCGCACAGCGCAAGGGCGCGCAACCCCCGTCACCCACACGCAAGCCCGTCGCATCCGCGGTCTCGCGCTCATCCGATGAGCTCGCCCTCGCCCACGTGGAGCGCAAGTCGGCGACGATCCTGATCGAGCAGCCGTCGATGAAGCAGTTCCACCTCGGCATGTTCGAGATCGGGCGGCCGCTGGGCAAGGGCAAGTTCGGGCGCGTGTACCTGGCGCGGGAGCGGACGAGCGGGTTCATCTGCGCGCTCAAGGTGCTGCACAAGAGCGAGATCCAGCAGGGGCGGGTGGAAAAACAGGTGCGGCGCGAGATCGAGATCCAGAGCAACCTGCGGCACCCCAACATCCTGCAGCTGTTCGGCCACTTCCACGACAACAAGCGCGTCTTCCTGATCCTCGAGTTCGCCGGCAAGGGCGAGCTGTACAAGCACCTGCGCAAGGAGAACCGCTTCCCCGAGTGGAAGGCCTCGCAGTACATTGCCCAGATGGCCAGCGCCCTGCGCTACCTGCACCGCAAGCACGTCATCCACCGCGACATCAAGCCCGAGAACATCCTCGTCGGCATCCACGGCGAGATGAAGGTCTCGGACTTTGGCTGGAGCGTGCACGCCCCCAACAGTCGCCGCGCCACCATGTGCGGCACCCTCGACTACCTGCCGCCGGAGATGCTCAAGCCCGGCAGCTCGGACAACTCGTACAACGAGAAGGTGGACCTGTGGAGTCTGGGTGTGTTGACGTACGAGTTCCTGGTGGGTGAGGCTCCCTTCGAGGACACGCCGGTCATGACGCAGAGGAGGATCGCGAGAGCGGACATGACGATACCTTCGTTCGTCAGTCCCGAGGCTAGGGACCTCATCAAGAGAGTAAGCTTATCCCATTCCGGTATGGTATGATACAATCATAGCTAACGCTATTCAAGCTCCTCGTACTCGACCCTGAGAAAAGGATACCCCTCGAGCAGGTGCAGACACATCCCTGGATCGTCAAGCACTGCCTGAAGGGCGAGCGGGCCGCGAACCGGGAGAAGTCGTAATAAATGAATAATGACGAAGTAATGAACTGGTTTCACTTGTAGTATTAGGGTGAAGCAGGCGTTTTCGGATAAGGGCATTCAATCTGGCTGGTTTGGTGGGAAACACCGGGATCTGTGCATAAAGGAGAGAGCTGGTTTACTATTGCGTATTCATCATCATGCCAACATACACGTACACATTACCATTTGCCTTCGCCGCCGCTCCGAAAGATGTGATGATCCTTCTTGTCTGATGGTATATGCCGTGTCTTCCGTATAGCAGCTGATAAAGGTCTTCCTCCACCTTAGTTCATCTGTAGACCTCGTCGAAAGGCCGGGTATCTGAGAAACACGAGTCCCACACCTGGTTCACCACCTTGACCGCCTGGACATCGTCCTTACACCTCGGCCGCGCCATGACAGACTGCACCGCTCGTCCGCGCACACACTCCTGGAACTGCTGCGTCAGTGTCAAGTTCCCCCTCGTCATCGCCTCCCGCGTCCATCTGCACTCGCCGCTCAGCATCGAGGCTCGGATCTGTATTGCAATGTCAGTCATCTCATTACCACTTTTGTGTACGTATCTGCTGTCCAATATCTCGACATTAGGGGGGAAAGCAGAGGAAGATGAAGTAGTACCTCCGTGCACGCCGCATGCTTCAGATCCTTATCTCCGCCCCAATCGACCTTCCACCGCAGGTGATCCCACGCATGCACCATCTCATGGCTCAGGGTGTCCTCCAGGTGTCCCTGGTCGCGGACCTCGTTGGCGCAGATCAAAATACCATGACCAGGACTAAAGCCGCCGCTCTGGCGGTGGACCTGGCCGTCCTCGGTCATGCGCGCCGGGCAGCGGCGGCACAGGATGTTGTCGCCGTCGAGCTTCCCGTTGAGCGCCTCGACCTTCTCTTTCAAAAACCGCACCGTCGGCGAGTGCGCCAGCGCCCAGTCGCGGTACTTGTCACAGCGCGCGCAGTCGCGCGCCTCATTCGCCCGGTACCGCGACTCGCGGTAGTGGAACTGGCCCTCGGGCGTCATCGTCCCCGTCAGGATGCTGAAGTAGTTCATCCACCATTTGGTCTGCGGGTCGAAGCCCGTCCGCGCCGGGTCGTTCTCGAGGACGCGGGGGAACTTGTCGGGCGCGGCGGATGTCGAGGACGGAGGTGTTGGTTGGTTGGCTGTGGACGGTTGGGATTTGGACGGCATCGGTATGCCGGGTGCCTCGGGCATTGGCAGTTCTAATGGTTGTGGCGGCATGGCGGAGGATGCAATGATCTGATGGCAGCGTGGGAACGTGAATGCGATCGAAGCGACTGCTTGAATAAGGTACCAACAAGCACTTGAATTCTGAAGTCCTTATGTCCGAAAGATGCACATCAACTGAAGAGGCACAATGCGGAAGGCGGTAAGCCCGTTGTACAGCATAAGTGGAACCTCTGGACCCTTTTTCTGCCATCCAGTCCGACGTCGGCCTTCATCCAATTGGAATTCTTGCCGTACAAATTCCAACCCTTCAGACTGGAGTCAACGCTGTGGAGTCATACTGGTGTGGTCCGGGTCAATAGACTTATTATGCAGCCGCAGGCCAGCCCTTGCAATGACAAGTCTCGGTGTGTCGACGCCCTGTACGTAATAGCAAAATAGTATTATTACTCGTTGGATTTGCTGCATATTCCTGAGTTTCGCCTTTCACTAATGTCAGTCCCTTTCACAACGCAGATATGAAGGGCCTGAAGCCATTGATAGTGGTCATCAAACTGGGTAAGTCAGAGTCCAAAGCACATTCTTGATTCCGTAAATTGGCAGCGGGTCTGTACCCTGGTGTCTTGAGCTCTTCAGCTGACTTATATACAGGAACCAGCTCAATCGTGGATGAGAAGACTCACGAGCCCCTATTATCAATCCTGAGCCTCATAGTCGAGACGGCGGTGAAGCTGCGCAAGGATGGCCACAAGGTCGTCATCGTGTCATCCGGCGCCATCGGCGTCGGGCTGAGGCGGATGAACGTCGACAAGAGACCCAAGCACCTGTCCAAGCTGCAGGCGCTCGCGGCCATCGGCCAATGTCGCCTGATCAGTCTGTGGGATAGCCTCTTTGCCCATCTACAGCAGCCCATCTCTCAGATTCTCTTGACCAGAAACGATATTGCGGATGTGAGTCACTACTTGACTCGGTACTTAGGCTTAAGGGGTCTAACATGGTGTCCCAGCGGTCAAGATATCTCAATGCACAAAACACCATCATGGAGCTCCTGGAGATGGGTGTGATCCCGATAGTCAACGAGAACGACACACTAGCAGTCGCCGAGATCAAGTTCGGTGACAACGACACACTCTCCGCCATCACTGCCGCCATGGTGCACGCGGACTTCCTCTTCCTGATGACCGACGTGGACTGTCTGTATGACAAGAACCCGCGGACGAATCCCGATGCCCAGCCGATAGAGGAGGTCGAGGACATCGCCGCGATTCAGGCGGACGGTGAGAAATCCAGTTTCATGTATCAATACTGGTACTGGCTTCGCCAAGCTGACATTCTACTCATAGTATCTTCTGCTGGCTCCTCCCTGGGAACAGGGGGCATGGGCACCAAGATAGTAGCAGCGCGACTCGCGACATCAGCGGGCGTCACGACTGTGATCACGCGGTCTTCGAGCCCAGGCAACATCGTGAAGATTGTGCGGTACTTACAAGCCAGCAAGGCCATCGCCAGCGCCAGCGCCTCGTCTACCACCCCAGCCACCCCAGCAGACGACATCAACAACAACACCACCACAGCAACAACCCCCGTGGAAGACCCCCTCTCCCGCTCCACCGCCTCCCGCTCCCTCTCCCCCGACGCCCCAGAAAAACCACCCCTCCACACGCGCTTCCTGCCGCTCTCCCAGCCGATCCGCGACCGCTACTTCTGGCTGCTCCACGGCCTCGCGCCGCACGGCACCATCTACATCGACAGCGGCGCCTACCAAGCCCTCGCCGGCAAAGCCGGGCTCCTACCCGCCGGCGTCCTCCACGTCGAGGGCTCCTTCGCACAGCAGGAGGCCGTGCGTCTCGTAGTCGTCGCTCGGAAAATCGCTACCACCACCACCACCATCACCACACCATCAACGGACTCGCTGAATCCGAATCCCTCCTATCCCTCGGAGCCGGGCCCGGGCGAGACGGACGGCGGCAAGACGTGGGAGGGCACGCCGATCGAAGTCGGTCGCGCGCTCGTCAACTACGCGGCGCCTGAGATCGCGCGCATCAAGGGGAAGCGCAGCGCGTTGATTGAGGGCATCCTTGGGTATGCGGATAGCGAGTATGTCGCGCACCGGGAGAACATCAGCTTGTTTCGTGGGGTGGAGAGTCGGCCTGTTACGCCTGTGCTGGAGGCGAATGGAGCGAGTGAGGCGGGGGCTAGTAGGATGTAGGGTGGAGGGTGGAGGTATGGTGGGACGAAGCTTGGTCTCTAGATGCATGAGAGATGGAGCCAGTGTGGCCCATGGCTGGCCTTGGGTGTTGGAATGGCGTTTGCTTCGGAAAAGGGGTGAGTCTACACACTATCGGCAGGGGTAGTATGGTTATCAGGGAGCATATGACAAGGGGCTTGATACCATCTATGAATCATCGTGCGTTTACACATAGACTCAGCTCAAATCCGGTTCAGTCGAAGTCAGGTTGATTTTCCTTAGGTATCCCTAGAACGCCTCCTATGATGCTTGGTGATAGCAAAAAGACCCCAACTCCAGCCGTCAAAATCCGTAGTGCTTCTTGGCAGCCAACAACCACCACATGAGCTCCTATCAACCAGCGAACAGGGTATCTTCGTCTCGCAAATATTCACCGCAATCTGCTTGTCTGAATACCACAATGCCCGTAGGATCCAATTTCCGGGATTCCGCACTGCTACGGGCAGAAACACTATGCCAAGTTAGTACATCTTCTTTTTGCCAACCGGACATGTTACTTGCCCAAAACCAATCGCTGTGTCGTTCATCTCGTATACAACAATCCCGACGTTCGCGGGTGTCTCGTCCGTCATGCGCCCTACGTGCGCCTTGACAATGTGTCCGCCGTATAGGAAAGGTTGAGTACCGTTTGCTAACAGACGTCGACGTCAGCGACCAGTGCTTCTCTTGTAAGGTTGGGATACGGAGGTCCCCCATCCCATCGAACTGGCTTACGTTTGACCCAGACCTTGTATCTAGCGTGCGCAGCGAGGATCGGCAGTGCGGTAATGTGTAATCGGAACTTCAGCGTTTTCGTGAATTTTCCTGTCGTTTGCAGTGTCAGTCTGCGTGAAGAGTAACGGGAGGGCCGGAGGCTTGGACTTATACACACCTAGGCAGATGCCTACTGAAGCCAGGTTGTCCCTAGCCACCGAGGTAGCCACTGCGAAACAGAGTCAGTAACCGCGTATCGGCGAGCTCTCGAGTATTCGACTCGATGTCTGGAAAGCGAGGTGGATAGACGAGAAGGGCAAGTCGGAGGCAACGTACGGTTCGCTATCGATAGAAGGACGTAGTAAACCTACGGCACAATGTTAGTATGGGGTTGTTGTGCGGGAGCATATGCGTCGTCGTACTCTGTCCTTGATAACGCGAAAGACGTAGCGGTCCGCGTTGGGAGCATCGCTCAGAGGGGCTATCAGATCTTTGAGCGAATTGCCTGTGTAATTGGCGAGCTTCTCAAAGAGGATTTTCTACACAAGAGCATCCAGCGTCAGCGTCTGGTATCCTGACCGAATCCAAGCTGCTGAAGGTATTTGTCTGGGATTGTCGGCCGACATACCGTCTCTTGTCTACAAGCCAGTGGCGCCGGTCAGTAACGATTGCTACCCTGGTGAGAATGAGGTGTTTTGGATTGTGGACTGACTCTGTAAGGGGCCGCATCTTTGAATAGTCTGTGACGAAACTGCTCGATCGCAACCACAAGTTTCTGAACACGGATTTGAGGGAGCTCTGCTGTATGCCAGCTATGGATGGTGGGGTGTTTTGCGGTTGACAAGAGAAAATTCTGCCGCTTTGGAAATTTTGGCGGTGAAGCTGCGGAATCTTTCCGGTTGGTGCACATGCTACTTTTAGTGGGTCTTTCCAAGTACAGGGGTCTCGAGATCAATTGAAAATTTAGTCGGAGGTACAGCGCCAGAGCCTGCAAGGTCCCTCATGAAATACCACATTCGACAAAAGTCAATAACTCTACGTTGAGCGGCATATCAGAGTCCTGTACATTCGAAAGAGAACATCTCGACACATCAGACTCCATAATGTCTTCTTCAAGGCCTTCCAAAAAGCGGAAGCTCACTCCGCCTCAATCCGACGACGAGGGTTCATCTCACAAGACAGGTGCGAAAGTCCAAAAGGCTTTCTTCAAGAACGCATCTACCTGGAACCTTGAGGAGCAGTATGAGGACAAGGCACGGAAGGGAAAGAAGAGTAAGGAGAAGGAGAACACTCGACTTCCGCTCAAGCTCCCGGGGGGACGGGTGCAACCTTTCGCTGCCCCGGTGGTCGATGACGTGAAGGATGTCGAGAGTGATGATGACTGGTTGGAGGGCGAGGAGTTGTCTGCCGATGAAGCGGGTGAGGAACCTGTCGAAGCCCAACCCGAAATCCCGGAGTACCAGCAGATCAAGGAGGCCAAAGAGGAGTTAGCGAAGATTGCGTCCTTGCTCAATGAGGATCCCGGAGAGAACGCCGGCGCTTTCAAAGCTCTCGGCAAGATAGGAGCATCCAAGATCCCTACTATTGTCATGCTCACTCTGGCTACTCAGTTGAGCGTTTATAAGGACCTCATTCCGGGCTACCGAATACGGCCGGTAGCTGAAGACAATTCAAAGGAGAAGTTATCAAAAGACGTGAGGAGGCTCCGGACCTATGAAGACTCACTGGTTTCCGGCTACCAGGCATATGTCAGGGAGCTCACCAAATACACGAAAGCAGGCAAGCGTCAGGACAGCGGCATGGCGAGTGACATTGCAGGCGTCGCAATGACTTGCGCGTGTACTCTCCTGACATCCGTGCCCCATTTCAACTTCCGCAGCGAACTCATCAAGATCCTTGTAAGAAAGTGCTCTTCGCGACGTGTCGACAATGATTTCAACAAATGCCTTCAGGCCTTCCAAACTCTGTTCCAAGAGGATCAGGAAGGGCGTCCCTCGATGGAGGCTGCCTCCCTTCTCTCCAAGATGATGAAAGCAAAGGAGTATCAAGTAGACGAGAGTGTCGTCAATCTCTTTTTACACCTGCGGCTGTTATCAGACTTCTCTGGCAAAGGGTCCAAGGACACGGTTGACCGCGACGATGACGGTCTCAACCGCAAGAAACCGAAAGCGAAGAAGGTGTTCCGGAACAAGAAAGAGCGGAAGGAGATGAAGGAACAACGAGCACTCGACAAGGACATGGCACATGCGGATGCACTGGTCAGCTCCGAAGAGCGAGACCGGATGCAGAATGATACTCTCAAGCTAGTATTTGCTACCTACTTCAGGATTCTGAAGCTGCGCGTGCCGCATCTCATGGGCGCTGTCCTCGAGGGCTTAAGCAAGTACGCAGCAAACATCAACCAGGACTTCTTTGGCGACCTGCTAGAAGCACTGAAGGATCTCATCCGTCACAGCGACGCCGACCAAGCTGCGGATGAGGCCGCGGAAGCCGATGACGACGATACACCACTCCGCAACACGACAAGAGAGGCTCTGCTTTGCACGGTGACAGCATTCACGCTGCTCGCAGGCCAAGACGCACACAACTCGCGCGCAGACCTCCACCTCGATCTCTCCTTCTTCACGACCCACCTCTGGCAGACGCTCTTCCCGCTCGCCCTCCACCCAGACCTCGAGCTCGGCGCAAGGTCCCTGCACCTGCCAGACCCAGATGCGCCCCAGGCTTCCACCGCGGTCAAGGCCCGCTCCGACAACAAGGTCAACCTGCAGACGACGACGGTACTGCTGATCCGGTGCCTGACGGCAATCCTGCTTCCCCCCTTTAACGTCCGATCAGTCCCACCGCTACGGCTCGCGGCCTTCGCAAAGCAGCTCATGGGCGCATCGCTACACGTCCCCGAAAAGTCCGCGCAGGCGATTTTGGCTCTACTAGCTGATGTCGGCAGCACGCACGGCCGCAAGATCGCGGCGCTGTGGAACACGGAGGAGCGCAAGGGCGATGGTACCTACAACCCGGTCAGCGAGAGCGTCGAGGGCAGCAACCCCTACGCCGCTACGGTTTGGGAGGGCGAAATTCTTCGCCGGCATTATTGCCCGAAAGTGAGAGAGGGAGTCAGGGTCGTGCAGAAGCATTTGGAGCAGAGGTAGTAACTGGTGTGGCTGGCATGCAGCGTAGATAGATTAGAGGGTTGAGTTATACCAATTATGACAGACGCAAGGAGTGGTTTTGCACGCATTTCATTGGGTTTTCTAGCGCATAGTGACTGCAAGTTATCGTGACAAATCCCAACCTCTCAATACACGGGTAGGTCAAGGCAAAGTCCTCTCGTGCCTTCAAGGTGCGCAATAACTTCTTCGGCCTGTCGCTCGACCTGAAGCTGACCTGTCCATCGCAGACATGAATGCAGATCATAGTTCCGTCGTCCAGCTCGGCCTACAAAGGCATGATCCAGATTACAATGCGCATAACCAGTGTTTGTTTGTTTGTTTGTTTGTTTTGTATTTAACGTGGGGGATTGCTCCTCAGTAGTGCAAACCACGCCTCCCAGAGCCTCTGCATCGCAGGGTTGTGGAGGTATCAAGATAATAAGTACAGTCAGTCCCGCTCACGAGCCCATCCCCGTTGTTGCGGCGGTATGACCTTGGGTCATCCATCTGGTCCTTCAAGAACAGCTATCTATCGAGGGCAGATTGATGAAAAGAATTTCCTCTTCTCCACGAATTTTGCCCATTCTGTGCTCCTCTCCCTTAAGTATTGTAAACAAGCTGGCCTAAACGAGTACCTGGGCAGCAGCCGATTTTTCCCCAGCCTCTTACAAAAGAAAATATATTGTGGTGTTTTTTTCTCACCACAGCTGCAGTGATCATTCGAGTCTATATGCCCAAAGCGTTCGTGGTATCTTGCAAAGTCGCCATATCTAGATCTGGCCGCTAGAAGTCTGTATAAAGTACTCCTCTTAAAAGATATAAGGTCTTTTTCAGTTATTGTATGTGAGTATATTTCTTGATATCTAGGTTCTGATTGGTCTTTTCACCATTGATTGAACTCTTTCTTGCCCTTTCTTTTGAGATCTCTCTTGACCCACGAGATTGTGGGAAGGTTTGTTGTGTTTGTTTCTAGCATGGCACCCTCTTTTGCTAGTGTGTCGGCAGCTTCGTTGCCATCAATATCTCTGTGTCCAGGAATCCACTTGACGGTCACTCCAGGAGTGTGTGCCGTGGCCGCAAACCAGTGGTGAAGGCGTTCTGAAGCTATGGAAAGGCATGTCCAGTAAACAGTACCCTGAATGTCGGTGGTGCATAACTCAAGACCACTAAAGTGCTGAGTGCAAGAAGTACTTGGATGCGGCTGAGCCTCCTGGGGGATATAAGGCAAAATATGAGCAAATTTTTCAACGCACCAGAAAGATTCCCTGCAAGCCTGCAAGGAATTCCTTGTATAATCTTATCTGGCGGACTGGTTTAAACCAGTGTGCTTGAGGAAAACCACCACATTTTCCGGAGGTTGCTGTAGTGCTAGACCACAACTTTACAGTCCACGTCCCTAGTGGAGCCTTTCTTTTTGTCGAGTTTCATTCTTAGGACCAGGCGGGTTCGAGCCTGGGTGAGTGGGGGCTGTACATCTTTTTATCTTTTACACTTTCGCCGTTCTTTTTCCTTTTCCTTTTGAATCAGGCACGACCTCTGTCGTCCTGTTCTAGAGCTCCAATATAGCGCCGTGTAAAGATCAACCATCGCCCTCTATGCATATGTATAGGTGACCCCTTTATGTTCTCCCAGATTTGCCCGCCCTTCATGCGATGGAACCACAACACAGGGGAGCTACGAGAAGCGCCGTAACGAGCCCGCGAGAGAGATTGAACACGCCAGTATAATCCATACACTCTTCCACCGAGCCCTGAGACCGGTTGCATCCGTATGAACCACGCGAACCCCCACGGAGATGAATACCGCTCTACGTACACTCCAAGTGTACGCACCACCAACTATTCAAAGCCACCATCACCTACATCATCGTCAAGCCAGCCATATCCCCATATACCCAGACTGCGGGCGCGGCTCGCGGGATTGGCGAGGATGACGTCTGGCGGATCAACGACCTGGCTTCCCACCACGCTAGAGGCTTCAAGCGACGAAGCCCAGGATTGCCTCCATTCTAGTCTAGCTCGAACACTAGGTACTGCGAGGAGAAAAACGAAGTCTTGAGACGCAATATGTAGTGGTTCATAACACAGGTGCTGGAAAGAGGTGTGGGCGGTTGAGCCCCCGGTTAGTGAGAATTTCATTCATCTGTGCCTTTCGGACTTGGGTATATTCAGCCCTCATCACATAGTCTCCGTGCGCGCCATGTTGATGAGGTTCCAGATAACCCGTGGAAATTTCAAAATTCTGGAGCAAGCATACAAGAGTAAACAGCTATAACTTGATACGCCACTCCCAATGCTTATGTTACCGTGCTTATGCCGATTCGACAAATACGCCGTTGCTTGCTGGACGGGTGGTGCACGGAGACTTATAAGGGCTCAGCGTACACAGGCTCTCCCACGCTTTGTCTCCTACCATGTGCCTTTATTGACTGTCACTCGCAGATCAACTTGCCAGAACCAATTTTTGTATGGCGAACATGGTTGATTCAGAGACTATCCCTATGAGCACTATCTGCGCAACAGTTTTGCCTCGTGACCTATACTATCAAACATCCACAATTCCTCTACCTTTCCTCATTAGCACCCCTCCAAACGTGTTTTTTTCCCACCATTGCCCTTCCGTGTGATGCCAGGCTGATGAATTCGGTTGAAATGGTTAGAAAGTCAACACATACTTGCCAATTCATCCAGTCCTCGCATCAGATCCACGAACGACCGTCCCATACAGATCCCCAAAGACGGGAAAGCACACGTCACCTTTGGCCAGTGCGCAACAGTGTCGAGTGGTCTATGGGGACCCATAGACTCAGATACGGAAAAAGGAGTGACCAGAGGCAATCCAACAGCACTAGAGGACAGGCTGATACCTAGCCATGATCCTCTGATCGTTGGTACTATCCGTATGTTGTGTTTCGGAACAGATCAAATACCAGGAGTACCTGCCGGTCGAGGGATATATTTCGTCAATCACTCCGTACATGCTAGCGGATGAAGTGACGAGAATTGTTCTAAATGTTGCACAACATCCAAAGAGGAAACCATGAGCACTGGAAATAATAAAACAGAACGAGGGCGAATGCATTCGGGCAGGGAAATCTCCAGCAGAATGAACTCAGGTGAAAACCGCCGATGGTTGAGTCATGCTGTCATGATGGCTATCGTTGGTTGGGTCCTGAGAGTGATCCATTCGTAATATCGTGCGGTCTGAAATGGGGATGATTCGTTAGTTCGATATTCCCGCTTGCTTCTTGCTGATACTACTTGTGAGTAAGGAAAGCGACTTACCTGCCATACTCTCTAGACAACGAGACTTGGCGAAGACTGACATAATCGTGGACCTTGCTGGCGAGGGCTTTGGTCGATGTACCTCTCGCTAGCGTCCAGTGCACTATGGCTTCGTGGATCGACAGCCCTTGGTTTAGGGGTGATCACACCAACGTGAGACTCCAAGGCCACGTCCCTGTGACATACCGGAGCTGACTTTCGGACCCGCACGGTTGGCAGGACCACGTCGCTCTATCCCTGAATTGTCCGTCGAGACAACTGACATTGAGTCATTATCTTGGTCAGGAATTGCAGCTGCTGGAGCACGAGGCTGATGAGCTGCAATGTTCCAGACAGCCTCGTCGCGGGGAAGGGATCGGTTGTCCTAGCGAAACATATCTGTCAATGCTTTATCTCCCAAACTTCAACTCACACAACTCAAAGGGGACTTACCCGCTCGCCCCCAATGTCTCCTGCTCCAGGTTGGTGCTGATGGTTCGCTGGGTTCCACATTGAACCATTGAGACCCCGGGGTCGCAGTCGCGCACAAGAGCTTGCAATGCTCTGAGCATCCTCAACACCTCCCATCTCTACATCGTCTTGGTATTCTTGTCTATCTTGTCGACTTTCAGAAGAGCCATCAAGTGACATGATATACTGCGGCGTCGGTGGGACATTTCTGTCGCCCATGGAAGCAGGGGGGGTGTTCTCAGGAAGTCGCTGGCGTGCTTCCGCGCTGTGAACGTTGTCGCCGTCAGTGGGCGAGGATTCTTGACCACCAAAAGAGTAGTTGTTCTGCGCCAGGTTGGTTCTGGGAGCGAGGTGCGTATTAGCATCATGGTCTACCATTTGGGGGCGCTGCTGAGAAGCATGAACAAATGATGTTTGCGCCGACCCCGTGGTTGATGTTCGGGGCTGTTGATGGTAGAAGTATCGATCAGCATCTGGCGAGCCGGAGGTGACAAGCTCGTTTGCCGCCCATTTTGCTCGGATCGAGGAGTCGCCCATGTCAGCTGCACTTCGTCCAGGCATAGCTGCTTGGTAGGCGGTGGATGATGCAGCTGGCCTAGCTTGGAAAGGCTGACCGAACCCACCAGAGGGAACACCGTTTCCACGACCGGAATATGAACCGCGACCGGCCGCCGACGGGCGATTGTTCCAGCCGAAGGTAGCACTTTCCTGACCGTAAGTCGGTGCATTCTGGAATTGTCCTTCCCCAGAGGCTTGATAACATCCGCGGCCGCCAGCTTGATGAGATCCACGACCCCCAGCTCTGGCACCTCGTCGTCCGGGTCGAGGGGGTTGAGCGCCGCTGAAACTCGTCTGCAACTCCCTAGCGAGCCGCAACTGCTCAGCGAGATTGGCATCACCCTGACCAGCCATATTGACGACTTGACAATATTGTTGAACCGAAACAGAGGGTGCTATTGAAACAACGAGGAATTAAGTTTGACGAGCGCCTGGTAGTTGTCTGGGTCCCAGTAGAGCCGAGCGCGGAACCCGAGAGTTTTAGTAGAGGGGACAATGGACGATGGGATCAGAATCGACAGCGAGTTCGCAACTATTCGGGCGTCAAGGTTAGCCATAGACCCCAGTACGACGTTGCTTCAATTAGTTGAGTGGCTGTGGAATACTACCATACACCAGATCGCTTCCCCAGTCGCTGCGAAGGGGGCTTGGACCTCGAACGGTGATGAGACGACAGGCTTAGGGGTGTGAAAGGGGAGCGCGTGGTATTCGATTCAACGGCAACGACTAGACACAGACGAAATGAGAGAATACTTACCAGCGTTACGAGACACGATTATGTGGTGTTCCGGTTGTAGTAGCGGAGACCTTCTGTGTTGCAAGGTATCCTGCGCAGCGGGGTGACCAAGGGCTGCACACCAAGGATGGTGATGAGTTGAAGATATGGCTGTGGCGGCTTCGTACCAAAGTACAATGCCGCACAGGGTATCGGAAGAAGGGTCCGATGCTGCGCACGATCCAGTGAGCTGCCGCAAGTTGTCAGGTGAACCCGAGCTGCCTTCGCCGGCCTTCTCGGAGAGCTTGATGCTGGGTCTGGCAGGTGGTGGGTTCGATGACTTACTGCTGAGTCCAGAGGGAGTCAACTATGATCACGATGCGGTTCGGCAAACGCTCTAAGCCTATGAGCGCGTTGATGGTGTCCAGCGACAGGTTCGCCCGGTGGTAGGTGGAAGGTGTTTCTGCAATGCAGATGTGTGCAGTGCAGGTTTGTATTCCAAGGCCGAATGAAGGCCGTGAGATCGATGACAGGTCCCAATGTTGTAATGAGTGACAGAAGGAGAGCCGAAAAGACTCGCCAACAAACGTGCGGCGAATTGAAGGAGTGAAAATGCAGGTGGTGCACCAGGAGATGTGCCGGCGCGGGTTGTTTTGGCGTGAAGAAACGCGCCAAAATTGGTTGTGAAGAAAAGCAGGAAGGAAAGCAGGAAGGCGCGTGTTTTTGAAACGACCTGCAGCTTCCTGGGTTTCCTAGTTGCCTTAGGAGATGAGATGGGAAAGGCAGATGAGCTCCTTCCCCAGAAACCCAAAGCAACCGTTCCCCTCAATACCCCTATCGCAAGAATAACCGAAAATGGCCCGGGCTTCCTCCCTCTTGCTTTCAAGCACCCCATTCCCTAGACCAAAATTGTTGGCAAAATCATCTTTAGATCTCATTTGGGTTCTAAAATGCAGGCTGGAAACCTTGCATCAGACCAAGGCATCTATCAAAGGAGATCGATACCGACAGGTATTGCACAGACGCAGTAGCACCCTGCGCAAACGGGCCCATCCACCAGTCCACCAAACACTGCGTTGCCAATTCTTTGACACCCAGCCGCGGTATTCTGAGTAAGTCCAAGACCATCGCTGCTTGATAGCCTGCTTCCTGTGCGAGTGGCTCCTCGCCTTGCGAAGTGTACGGCTTGACCAGCTCAAGCTGCTCATGTTCACCTCTTTCAGTCAACTTTGAACCTTTTTCTGAGATGATAACTGGATATAGTGTAAGGCCTCTGCCTGACATCGGATCACACTTTGCTCCGCTGCTTTTTGGCGCCTATGCTTGTCTCGATTGTGTTGATTTTGGTGGGCTGATGCTCAGCCTGGCTTGCCACCTTCAACCAAGGCACATCCACGATCGGCACTCGCTGTCGGATGAATTCGACCAAGGCTTCGGAATTCGGCGCATCATCGCAAAGGGCAATACACGAAGCCCGGGGGATACCCAGAGATTCCGAGAGACGGTCTTCGCAGGCCTTCGACAGCCCTACCAACCTGGTTGGAATCCGAGACGGGTGAGAGTTGGAGGCGACGGCCACCATCTGGGGCAGATGGCTGTTGAGCATGTTTGCTTGTCCGGAACGAGCCACGAACACAACCGAGTAGAAGCGGCCCGCCGAGTTCCCTACTTCCGCCGATGTCTGCCCTGGTGGTAGCAGTCCGAGTAGACGTCCTTCTGCTGCTTGCTTTTGCATATTCCGGGTGACTGTCGTCAGTCCGACATCCACGTAGGACAAGATCTCTGGCGCAGGAGGAGAGGGCGCATCCGTCTCCTTTTCAGATGCCTCCTTGCGCTTCCGCTTCTTTGCACGTTTGCCTTTGGACGGCCGAGCATGCTCAGACCGGTGACGACCTAGAGGTGCCAGTAGACTACAACCATCATCAGTTTTGATGCCAGAGAAAGGGCCACTGTAGGAGATATCGATACAGGTGAGCCTACGGACGGCAGGCTGCATACGACAGGGCATGAGGCACTCTGTCCTGTTACAGCCGTGACATGATCGACCGACTTACGTGCAAAGGAGCTCCAGGATGGTTTCTTGATCTTCGGGCTGTATTTCCGGCCTGCATGGCGCTGGTAAGCGATGAATGCGGCATGGGGGGGGGGGACACTGGATCGTACCATGACACAGCTGAGTACGGCGTATCCAATTGGAACACCAATCGCTTCTTTTTGTCCATTGTGGGCGCCCAGCCTAGCTTGGCGGATAGCGCTTGCGAAGCTGAGAAGGCCCTAATATCAGGAGCCAGAACTCATAGGCGAGCCTGCGGACAAGGTCCAAATAAGGTTGGTTAGGAGGTTCAAACCTCAAGGTTGGTGCTGTGGGTGTCTCTGGAGGGACCAACGATGGAAGAGACGGCCAAATGACAGCGTTTGAATGCAAGTTGCTTCTTCTCCTATCTGCAATGCAGATTCCGGCCGTCTCAGATTCGACCTTCAGTAAGGTATTGTAGATACGGTGAAGCTGAATCTTTTCGCTTATCGCAAGTTGAGTTGTCAGAAGAAGTGGAGGAGATACAAAATACTTCAATCCCAAGCGCCACTTTTCGCGGGAGTGACCGCGTACCGCGACCGCGACCGCGACCGCGACGGACTCGGGCAGGCCCGAGCTTTAAATGGGCCCCGCGACTTTTAGCGACTTTTGGATATGGAGCTCGGATGATGACGTAGCCTTCAGTCACTCCCGGGCCCGGGCGTATGCATCCAGCCCGATGAGACTCCCAGCCCATCTTGAAGCTTCAACATCCATATACCTACATGTTCTTGACGTGTTAAAGCCGACCACCGCATGTCAAACTGGAATCCAAAGGTCTATGTAGGTAATCACAAAACAATTGTGCACTCCTACTATACTGTACCTGACTTGTAAGGAGTCAAACAAACGAGATAGTATGTGACTATAAGTGACTGGTTCTACTATCATACATGTAGCAGCGTCTATCATGCAGAAGTACAATCTTGAGAGTCTCAATATAGACCACCTAAATTATTCAGCGGTAGGAAAACGACGGCCAACCCACTTCTGACTTATATGGATCGTTTCACCTATAAGCATGACTTACACGATGCCGTGACACAGGCTTGACGGCCGAAGCAAATGCTTGAGGATCAAAGATACCTAACCTATCTAGCATTGAACTGTCGTAGACTAATTGTGCCACCAAGTTAACCTTTGTGAGCTAGAGTCCAGATGCAGATGGACATGAGGTGGCAGGTAGCTATATGGAGCTACATGTAGTCTTTACCTATGAGGTAGGTAGTCATTGTCTGCATGTGTTCTCGAAAGTGAAACTCTGCTGGTGTAGTGAAAGTACATGAAGGAACCGCAGCCATATCCATCTCTGAACAGCCAGGAACATTCCACCCTTTATCTATATCATTCATGACTGGAGCTTCGACAGCATTGAAGACCTACCTAATACATTAACTTAGTAAGTAGGTATTGGCATATTGCCTGTCTCAAACATGTGCCGTGAGCTGCACATATGGCATTACGTAACTGCTCATAGGCATCAGCTCAATCTTGCTGGTTTCAACCTTAAGCTTCCAAGGTTCTAAGTCCGCGACGCCTCCTAAACTCTGTTCTTCCCGTCCTGACCTAGCCTGCCCTCCTGCACCACCCACATTGACACATTGCTTGTCTAATCAGCGTCTACACTCCCAGAGTTCTACTCGATCACACAGCTCTCCCACCTAAGGACAGCCTCTACTGACCTCGGCTACAGCCTTCCAATTTGCAAATGCCATCTGTCTCACCTCCTTGCCTACGTCATCAACATATTGTAGACGCTATGGGATCGAGTACCAAAACCTAGTACGACCCCAGCGTTCAACAGTTAGGTAGCCACTGGGGTGCTTCATCCGGCAACCAACCTACCTACCTAACCGCCTAGATACCTACTGTGCCTATAGGCCCCTGACTCCGGTCTGATCACCCCAGTGACAGATACAGTCAGTGCACCTGCAATTGATACATTCAAGAGGTCAGGCAATGTGCGTCGACCCAGGCCGACATTCACCGTTCATCTGCACACAACCATCTTCCATATTCCCCCAGATTCCAGACTCCAGTCCTTGATGTAGGCTTGTGCGCAGCGTTAGTGCATTTCTTCTACCTCACACTACAACCTGGAAACTTCATCTCTACCCAGGTACCTCAAGGGTTGCTAAACCTTCGAAGGTCCATTGTCTAAAGCTCTTTGCCCGCCCTACCCACGTCGGATGCCTTCATGAGGTGCATCCATACACCTAGGTGCATCTTTCTTTGGTAAAGACATCAATCTCAGACAGGTACGTCCAGCTCCGGCAAGCTTTCTCTGCCAAAGGTACCTAGGTAGCCTCAAACACATGTCCCATGTGTGTTCACAGTTTCAATGTTGAATGCCAGGCTGCCAGCTAGCTGTCTCTACATATTCAGCCCTCTCCTTCACCAGACGTCTCCACCCACGCCCCTCCCCCACCACTAGCTCCAGCTTCTCTCTCACCAAGCCCAAGGCCCCAAGCAGTTCAATTGATTGAAGCCCCACACATCCCCCGCCATCCGTCCACCACTGCAGCACCGCACCAGCACCGTCAAGAAAGTGGACACTGGGTACTTCCAGACTGTGCTAAGTTGCTAACTCCCACCCACCCCCCTGGTCCAGGTAAGGTAGAGCTTCTCCAAGGTCCCCATGTTTGCCGAAAACCACACCACGAACCACAGCTCCCCTCCGAACCCTTCTGCAAACCGAACCAGGCACTTTCTTCGAGAGCTGTCCCATCATCCGCCGCCCATGCCCACGCCTGTCGCGTCCAGTCTTCCATATACTGACGCTGCTGGCCTGTCTCTCTCCTATTCCGTTCTTCCTTCTCCCGTCTTCCAAGTTCTTACCCCGCATGTGCATACACACGCGCATATCCTAACCCACATGCTAATTCTGGAATCTGCCAGCCGCCGAGCCTCCTCGCGCGAGCGCCTCCAGCATCGTCGGTTGGAGCTCCACGATTCCCCCATTCTCTGTTTGCACCAGCCAAATGGACCAAGATTCAAGAGTTGCCGAGTCGCGAGAACGTGCCCTCTCCTCTGAGCCTAGCTCGACACGCCCCAACCCCTTTGACGACCTCTCCGCACCGAAGCGTCGCAGAACATCCCTTTCTGGCTCCCGCAGCACCTCTGTCGAGACCCTGCCGTCTCAGGCTGACGTCGTAGTCGCTTCCGACGCCAACGGCATGAAGCTAGACACCCCAGAGCCCGTCCTCCCGAGCACCCCGGTGCGGTCGCCACCTCCCACCGAACCCGTGTCGAGCAAGGTCACCATCAACCTGCGCAACGCAGAGAGCCTCGAGGCCACACCCTCGTCCACGATGTCTCCCACCCCTGCGCGTCGACGTTCAGATGATACCAAAGTCAGTGTTGAGGCATCCGAAGTAGATATGGCACAGCCCGGCCCGGCTGAAGATACCTCTTCCTCTTCATCCAACCTGGACAGCCCAGAGGAACCGGCCATAGCCTTGGACGATTTTGAGGATAGCCTTGACTTCTCTGCTGTCGAGCCACAGAACGCTCTGCTTGGCGACAGACGCGCCGCCAACTTCGGCGCCGCCATGATGGCGTTCCCTTACCGTCTTCATGGCGAATCACATCATGAGACGCTCTACCGGCTCACAAACCACTTCCGACAGCGTATGTTTTTAAGAGCCTGCCCTCGAAACCCACAAGCATCTGACAATACTCTAGAATCGGCCAACATCGAGGAAGCCTTGGCCAGCTTACACGCATGGTTAGAGCGCTATTTGGCGTGTGCCAGCACTGACCTGTACCCTATGGTCATCGAGGTCTTTCAAGAGAACCGTCCATTCTGGATAAGCCTGCCAGAACTATTCCAACTTATATGCTCTAGGTAAGTATGGTTCCTTGCTGTGTAGCGCGAGCCAGAGGATGCAGCTGACATTGGATCATCATTAGACAAGGATACATGAAGATCAGAGAATTACGGGATCTTGTGCTCCAGTTGCTCGCGCTGTACGGGAAGCTAACAGCATTTCTTCTGAATATCGACTTAATCACCTTGAAGCAAGTTGCGACAACAGAGGGCAGCGAACTGGATTTGATGTCTCCGCCGTTTACCCGAGCGTTGTCTAACATAACCGCCCGTGACGGCGGCTTATATGCTAATGACCATGGCGGAGACGGCAGCCAGGATCTCGTGGATCCGCTCGACGCATTCCAGTCAAGTCCCTGGGGCTCCTTGTCGGCACTGGTCGGTTTTGCTGAACTCCAGACAAGCATGCTACACCGGTTTCCCAAGAAATCGATGGATTACCTCGCTGCTACAAGCATGTTAGCTGGCTCCATCGTGCAAGAGAGTCACCATAAGCACTCGGACGTTGCAGGTTCCCAAGCAGATTTCTCTGCCTATGTCCTTGAGCGGTCGAGAAAGAACCTAGCTTGGGGACAAAGATACTTCGACATAGTCTCATCCGCCCTGGCCGTGGTAATCGAGAAGTCGATCAACCATCTTGTCCCGGACAACGCCCTGGCCATCACGATGCATTTGACGAACATAATCAGGCAAAGCCTACAGGGTAGTCATATCGCAGCCATTGAAACTGTGGAGAAGTATCGCCAGGCGCATCCGAATGTGTCCCCTCTTCTCACACATGAAGTAGTCTCCCTTGAGTGGCGGTTCGAGGTCCTCTGCAAGCTGATCAGGTCACGCCAAATGCAACTCAGAGTCACAGCTGCTCAGCAGATGAGCGATGAACTCGTGGCACTTTGGAAAAAATATTCGGATCAGGACCAACAGTACGAAGATGCCCCTTTACACCAGGAGTATCTTCGGTACCTATCGGACTATGTTGTGCGGCTTGGCATTGTCGATTATGTCTTGGGCCCAACCTGCCACCCAGAAATCACCCAAGGGAGCAGCAACTTGGTCGGCTTCCTCGCGGTGACTAACACTTATACCTCATCACAGACCGATTTGTTGTGGCAGACCTTCACGTCCACCCAGGATCCGCGGATATCGGAGGCGCTCGCGCGGATGATGTCAAGGATATTGCATCTACTACAACCGGACAGCTTGTCGTACTTGGTACACAAGTTCCACGTTGTACCAATAGATTCTTTCACACCCGTGATGCGAGAACTCTTTGACAGTGTCACCGAGAACTTGATTAACAAGACGCACTACTCACCGCTTCCCCTTTACGAGGTTTGCGTCCGACTACTCCGCGAATCCTCAGTCTATGGCGCAGAGTCTTGTGTGGCATACCCAGACATACAGCATTTCGCCTTGGTGAAGTTCAAGAAGCTCCTGCAACCTGGCATGAGCCAAGCTGCCAGGCTGGCAATAACCACAAGCTGTCTGCAGGACATCGCGGCAGGATCCCCGACCTCCTCGGGAAGTCTACAGGTTCTTGGCATCCTGGCAGCTGCACCCCCAGCAATCGCAGCCCTGGTCGACGAGAACCACCTGACCCGGCTACTTGTTAATGAATTGGAGTCCACCGTCAAAGCTGCAGAGGTTGTTGGGTTTGCCCCTGTCTACGCAAATCCCGTTGTCGGCCAGGCCCGGCGGAAGTTCATTTCCATCATTATCATGCATCACGGCTCTACCATTGACACGGATCTCGGTCCACGCTTATGGGATCTCCTCGTCGGCAATGGTGCTACATGCTATGATGACAGGAGAGTTGCTTGGGAGGATTTGAATCAGGCACTCAAGAAGACAGGCCTCAAGAATCCATTCCTCGACGCTTGTCTACGAGAGTATCTGCCGAGTCTGTCACCGTCATGGTATTGCCCCGGTTCGCTAGTATTCGTTCGAGAAGTACTTCTACCTCTTGCCAATGATCCGAATGGTATTGTCTTTGATGATGCCGATAGCCTGAAGTCAGCTGGTGTTGAACTTCTCTGGCAGATGATACTCTCGGCGCCGGACCAGACCATTGAGGAGGGTGCAATCCGGACCCTTGTCAACGACATATATGTTGATAGCAGCTGCATCTTGTCGTACCCTCTCCATCGCGCACGCAATGTGCACTTTGCCTTTGTTCAACGTTGCTTGCAGCAGCTGAAATCTGCTGCACATAAGCTTCAAGCGTTCAGCGACGGAACAACAAGCGGTGATGACGAACCTATGGTTATCGTGGCTACCGACGAGCAACATCGAGAGCAAGATTTGCAGTTTACGAGAACTCTGAAGGTCCTCATTACACTCCTGAGGGCCTTGCAGACAAGGTCTCATTTTGCCGCTCCCGACTTACGGTCTCTCATGTTACAGTCCCCGGGTGCTGTCGACGGTGACTCTGCCAGTCTAAAGTATCAATCCTTTGATGGCGAAGAGCACACCGAGGTCAAGCTTTTAGACATTGGCCTCAACAACAGTGCTGCATCCCTGCTCGCCAAGCTACGAGAAGCCACCGGATTTGACAACTACCGTCTATACTATCGGGGACAGCCGTTGACGCCTTCCAATTCTGATATTTGCAAGTCTCTCGGAGACCTCAGGATCAAGAACGGCCTGATTCTCGTGAAGAAGGAGTTCGATACTGCATCTTCACCTGTGCGAATTAAGCCAGGCGCGTCCTCTCTGGACATTGAGATCTTGGGCCACTTCAAGGATTTATGGGAGTATCTAAGCATGGAAGAGAAGTTGGCACGAGAGGTACCGATTTCCCACCTCTCTACTCATACATGCATAGTGTGCTAACATTGTTTTGTAGATATACCAGTTCCTGATATCTCTGCCCGCTGATGACTCGATACTGGCAGCTTTCGAGAATCCTGCCACCTCACACCGCGATGTGTTCCCTTTGGGCCAGCCTTTCAAATGCTTATATGCCATCCATGCGCTCCGCGAGTACCTCAGCACCCGAAGGCTGAAGAGTAGCGTGATGCAGATCTCTGCGCAAGACTCCCAAGATCGGCAGAAAACAGCGGGTGATAAGGAAGACGCTCTCGTAAAGGCGGTTTCCCTGATTGTGGCTGCGATATGTGACCCCGAAGTCACCACACGTTGTCAAAGCGAGGATCTACGCCTACTACTGAGTTTCCAACTTGTAGACAACTTTGCGCAGCTTTTGAAAGGTACGATGACCATTATTTACGGCGTGAGATTGGTATGTGCTAACATAAAAAGAAACCATGGATATCGACTTGGTCAACGAATTCCTGAATGCGGATCTTCTCGAACGACTCGTGACTATACTCAACGGCGCTGCTGCAGCCAAGACAAGCTCACTCAGCACTGATCTGGTGTATTGTTCTTTTGAGGCGTTACTCGAGTCCTGTGCCAAGAGCCACGAGTTCTGGATTCTCTTTCGAGACAAACCCATGACAAAGCACATGATCCAAAAGCTCCTACTTGCTGAGGAACGCCCATTTGTTAGGAAGAATTTCGCCAAGCTCGTCAGCACCAGAAGTCACTATAACAACGGGCCATCGGGTGTGCTTGCACTCGACTTCGCCGAGTTTTTCTGGCCCCTTGTATTGCAGCTGCTCCCCCAGGCAGTCACCGAGCCAAGGAAATGTGAGGAAGTGTTCAGCCTATCCTCTCAGCTGCTGAAAAAGCTTGCCGAAGGGGAATCTGCTACGCTCGACCTGCCCCCCTACCTTGCGGATTGGGGGCAACTTCTGCTATCTCATACGCCCACGGAAGATATTGCCCATCCGGATCAGCATGACATCGTGGCGCATGGGCTCATTACGATTCTGTTCCATGGGTTGATGTACTTGGATGCCAAGGAGGAACGGGTTCAGCCTGTACCAGGCTTCGCAATGAAGCTGTTCTCACGCCATCTTTTCCCGCCCAATGATACGGCTGGGCCGCTAATTCCCCAGGTCATCCTGCACCCGAGTTCTCGAAATATGCTCTACGAGACCATATCACTTCTGGTCAAGGACGACAGGAACCAGTCCCTCGCGCTCCTGCAAGGTTTGGACACGTTGACTTCGTTTCACAGGGACAGCCAAGGAGATGAGCAATATAGGTACGACCTTCCACAACTTTTCGATCGGGCGACTGCCGTGAGATCGTCTTGCGGTTACTCTGGGATGCGAAACCTCTCCAACACGTGCTACCTGAACTCGCTATTCACACAGCTGTTCATGAATGGTGACTTCCGTCGCTTCATTCTGGGTGCCCGAAGTGAGCATCTCGAGTCGCATCAGTTGCTACAGGAGACCCAAGCACTCTTCGCATACCTCCAAGATAGCCGACGTCGGTTTATAGACCCCCAGACCTGCGTCGATCGCATCACTACCTACGAGGAGTTGCCCATTGACATTCACAACCAGATGGACGTGGACGAATTCTATAGTCTCCTCTTCGATCGATTCGAAGCGCAGTTGGCATCTGACTCTGACAAGAAAGCTCTGCGGTCCATATATGGCGGTCAACTCGTTCAGCAGGTGAAGTCGAAGGAATGCGAGCACATTTCGGAACGCATAGAGCCCTTCTCGGCTATCCAGTGCGACATCAAGGGCAAGGCAAACCTGGAGGAGAGTCTCCAGGCGTACGTGGATGGGGAGATCATGGAAGGAGGTAGGCTTGGCTCTCTCGATATCGAAGTGTGTTATACTGACTCGCGTTTAGACAACAAGTACAAGTGTTCAACCTGCGAGAAGCACGTTGATGCAGTTAAAAGGTGACAAATATACATTCTATCCTGGATAGTGATGGCAGGCTAACAGTACCACAGGGCTTGTCTCAAGGATATCCCCGACAATCTCATCTTCCACCTCAAGAGATTCGACTTCAACCTTCGGACCTTGACGCGCAGCAAGATCAATGACTACTTCCCCTTCCCAACAAAGATCAACATGCAGCCTTATACCATTGAACACCTGAGCGATCCTACCGGACAAAAAGAGCCGGACATGTTCGAGCTAGTCGGCGTACTTGTGCATTCTGGAACGGCAGAGTCAGGCCATTACTACTCATTCATCCGAGAACGTCCAACCACCGCCGATGCCGCATCCTGGGTCGAGTTCAATGACGAGGTGGTAACTTCCTGGGACTCGTCACAGATGGAGAACGCCTGTTTTGGCGGATCGGACTACCGACCACAGTTTGATACCACTGGTGTCTATGAAAAGGTTTACAGTGCGTACATGCTCTTCTACCAACGAACGTCTTCCCTGAAGAAGGAGAACGACAGTCTCAGAACATCAGGCACGACCAATGTCGTCCGATCCCGTCTCCCCCCTGACTTGGAACTACGAGTGAAGGGGGATAACTGGGCCACCGTTCAGCGCCATTGTCTCTACGGCAGGGAACACATTCCCTTCGTGCACAATACGCTCAAGGCAACATGGGGCGCGAGATGCTCGGACGATCACAGGAAAGAGAACCTTGCTATGCAGGTGGCCCTTGGTCATCTAGACCAAGTGGCATCGCGCGCCAAGGAACTACCTGACTTCGACTCTCTGAAGAGTCTCATTGTCAAAGCCTGTCAGCGCTGTCCCCTTTGCTGTTTCGCATTCTTCACATACTTGTCGACGCACAAGTTGGCTTGTCGGATGCTTCTACTGAAAAATGTAGACTCGGGCGTTCGTCAAGCTTCTAGGCAAATATTGCTCTACTCTCTGAGGAGCATCAAATACAACTACCCGTATGACTACGGTATCGAAGATGGCGGGGCCGGTCCAAACCCCAACATACTGGAATCAGCGGCCGCAATGTTTGCTTATGTCTGGGACGGCTTCCACCAGCGCACTGCTGCCTGGCCTGAATACTTCGGTGTCATGCTCGATTTCGCGCAGCTGGGACTACCTGAAGCAGGGGCTCTCCTACAAGCAGACTTCCTCGTCAAGCTTCTCTACGCCATCATGGCCGATCAGGCATTGGAGCTTCCGCCCCAGTATGCTAGACTGGCCTTGGTTCTATCGAGGAGGACGGCTGTGAGGCCACCAAATTACGACAACATGATTGCGTTGCTGGATACTCTGATGGAGGTCATGGACACCGATCCAGAGGACCAGGTCGAAACTCCGGATGGCCGCTTGACTATAGCGCTCGATGGCGATGCTATCCCCTTTACACCACTGGAGATTAATATCTTACACCAGGAATGGTGGGGCAGACCGCAGGCGGGCTATGTGGATGTCTTCGTGGACAAACTAATCATGCTCAACCAGAATGCGGTCGCAACCGATTCCATACTCAGCCGGCTCATCGCTCTCAGCGACCAGATGGAACAAAAAGTGTTCAACACTCTCCGGGCGGGCATCACTGGCCAGTTGACGACGCAGATGGTGACACCGTATCTACGCGCGGCTGTGGCTTATTGTCAACGCAGTCCCAACGCGCTAAACGTTTGTCACCTTATCCGCCACGTCAACGATCAGTGCAGGTCTATTATCCACAACGCAGAGGGTCGATCATTCTTCGAGTTCCTGAGGGACACATACGAGGGAACGCGCAACACGGGCGAGAGCCACGAGGAAGTCCAGCTCCAGAGCCTGAGAAACCTGCCGGTATGGGTCCCTGGACTCCTCAGTAACGATCTGCAAGTGAGCCTTGATGTGCAGAATTTCCTGCAGGAGAAATTGTTCAAGTATGGTGCCAATCCGGTGTTTGCCGAGGCCAATGGCGGAGCCGCGCGGGCACAGGCAATGAGGGATACTGGCAAGCACGTGGCAATCAGCTGTCTAATGTACCTGCGCGACACTTATATTGCTCGTAGAGCGCAGGCGATCAGGGCGGCGATACAGCCGGTGCAACGGGTCATCAGGCTGTGTCACGCATACTTTGGAAACGACGAAGAGATGGACGGGGACCTAGGGGCTCAGTACGACAACCTCCGTCACAGTAAGGCTCTCAATCTCATATAAAGGTTCGGGTTGTTGATTACAATGGCTGACCTCGAAATAGGTGTAATGGAGTCGTTGGCAGAACTCACAGTTGACGAGATCGAAGAAGACGGCTCCGGTACGTGGAGTGACTCTAGTACGGCCACCATGGACTATGACTGACGAACTCCAGAATGGGAGCAGTCAGTGGGCTCGTCAGACCAAATGGAAAACTTTGAGCTGCTGGAAGGTCACTCGTAGAGGTCCCCGAGGCAGCTTCTTGGCCGTCAGCCTCTTCGTTCCGGCGATGGAATTGTTCTCGTTGGAGCACTCCAAGGCCGCCATGTGACTGACATGTGGTGGACGGCTGAGAGGGAGGTGCTACAGGACGAGGCAACGAAAGGATTACATTATGGCAGCACTGGCGTGTGGCGTGTGGCGTTGTTAAGGATCGGACAGATAGCGTCTCGGTTACTTTTCCTTCCCTTTGCCATTTGCCTTGGGTTTAGACGCTGGCCTGGAGGCCTTCCGTGTTTGATTTTGGTGTGTTTGTACGGATGAGACTTGCTGCACTGCACCTAGGGTGTAGATAGCAGGCCGATACGGTAGAGACTGAAGGGTTTCAAGAGACACGGTGAATCTGACACCAATCGTCTGTCCCATTGGTACTTCACGTAGCTTGGTGTCCCCGGTGAGGACAAGGGTAGCGAATAAAACGTGAGTTTGAGAATGTTCCGCTTGCGGTGTGCCGTAACCAAAAACGTAATAACAAAGTAGCTGTCTGGTCGCAGTAGGCCATAATAGAGATAATCAGGGTCAGACATGGGTAATTCTGGTGGTGATTTCTCTTGTCTAATATAAACATCATAGTGACAAAAGCTAATCCAATAATAACTATAAATAATACACCTATAAGAAAGATTGTATATAAATAAATCTGAAATAGAATAGTCTGTATCGTATACTGCCAAGGACTAACCTATAATCACTTATAATATAGGATTATGCCTTCATATTTACAAAATGTCTAATTTCTGAAGGTGTTAATATTTTTATTGGAAACACTAAATTCCCTGCAATGTTCCTTCAAATAGAATATTATTACCATTTGAAAGAATCATTTAAAACTTTTATATCTTGAGGTTACTGTATAATTAAGTATTAGTTATTATTAGCTAACTTAAGCAAAAGTTGAAGTAAGTGTAGTGTAGGGTGCTTTAATTCAAATTTGAAACCTATTCAGAAGTAGCTTAAATTCATTATAAATTGCTGAAGTGTGTATAAGACTCAAACTTATACGATAGTAACCGTACTATTATATTACACCATTAAACTAACACACCATATATCATAAAATTAGAATAGTATTTTATTACGCATATCTTTACCTGTTTAATATATAAGTATAGCGCCACCCGGCGCTACTATATATCGTGCTTACCTAGAGTGTTATAGCTACATGCTGCCCGCTGGTAATTAGCGTGATATCTCTAACATTTAGGCTCAAAGACGGATTGAACTGGTTGCTCTCCTATAGAGACTTTCTTGGTTTGAGGGAAATGGTACATGTAAACGCGACACAGGTAGATACCGCTAGACGAACAAGTCTCTCCCAGGACACTAGATAAGTGTGCTAGCCCCCAGGCCACTGATAAAAGAATTCGAACATAATAGCGTATTGAATCCCTATTTCGTCGCGCATATCTCTGCGGGCGTATAAGATATAGAATGCTGTATAAATATAATAACAGCTATAAAGCAATTATATTTAACTATAATAAATAATTTAAAAAGAGGTAAAAATATTAAAATAATAGCTTTTAAAGTAATAAACAGAGCTTTATTAACTGATAAATTGATAAAGAAATATACTTTTATACTTTAATATATATTTAATATCAAATTTAATCCTTCCACTTAATAAACTATTACATAATTAATTTACTTTAATATTAACCTTATATTGAACCTTAAATTATGGTAAATAGCTATAACATATACATTACAAATAAATTTATATAAGAGGTTTAAAATATATAATATTATTCTATTATTTATCTTTTTGCACTTTCTTTAAGTTATATAACTAAACGATTGAAGTCTTTATTATTGTTAAAAGTATTTTTATTTAAAGAGTACAAGGTATTAATATTTACTTATCACGGCAGCTATATATAAGCGATAGTTTATTTAAAGGTGCGTAATAGTTTATAACAAGGTATTTATGTTTAAAAATATTAAAGCAGGTTATTAAATTACTGAAATTTAACTTATAAACTATTTAAACCCTTTTTGAAACGAAAAGTTAAATACTTAATTAAAAAAATATTTGCCTTGGAAAATAAACCATCGTGTCACAATGTCTGCGGCGTTGTGTGAGAATCTGGTGTTGTATTCTGAAAATAACAAGGTGAGGAAGGAAAGGGTAGCCAGCCAAGGTGTGGTGCGTACACCCACCTTGTGTGGTGGTTCCGTTCCTTATCCAATCTACATGTGACCTCATGACTCGGAATCCAACCAGGTGGATACAGCTGTACACCGTCACACGTTGTAAAACAGGTAAAAGACTTTAACGCGCTTTAATATACGCTTATGAACTTAAAAGATGTTTGAAACTAAATTTAATGGCTTAATAAAGAAAATTAAGCGTATTATCGCAACTTTTACACTTTTTTAAGCAAGGTAGCAAAAGCTTTAAACTAAAAGATAGCCAAACTGTCACGATTCCGTAAATGTATTGCAAGGATACAGGGACCCTTATTAACTATTGACGTATAACAAACTCTGGTTGAAGGAAAAGAAAGATCTGGAGATGCAACCAAATTGGTGGGCAGCTAGATGTGGGCAGTCGTCCCCTACCAGACCCACCAGGGCATGAATCAACCTGACGTCCGATCAGTCACGTGCTCAGTCACGTGACCCGGGGACCATGAGGACCATCACTAGACCTGATAAATGGTGAAACCATCACACGAATCTACCTTTATTAAGCACGAAAACTACGAATTAAAGGTAAAAATCGAAATATTACGTTTTATTAATCGTAAACAAGTAAAAAAAGACCCGAATAACGTATTTTATAACGTAAAAACCATTTATAATACCTTAGCCTTGACGGAAAGAGCTGCTAACTTTAAAAAAAAAGCCGAAAATTTTAATAAATTAATTTAAAAGATACAGTATTCGAGTGTAATTGAAAAAAAAAAAAACCTTTAAGTTATTATTAAGATATTTACGATTATAATTGTTATAAACCTCGTTTATAACTATGTTTTAACCCTTGTAAATTGAAGGGTGTTATTGTCAGATAAAACAAATAAGAACACCGTGCGCAGAATGACTGCACACCTTACCCTTTTGGTCTAGGGGTAAAATCCAACAGTTATAAAAGTCGGTGGGTCCTTCTAGTGCTATACTTATTGTCTAGCAAAAGAAGAAGGAGAGCAGGTGGAGACGCCTTTGATTTCTTCCGCTAGTCCAAGTAATTAAACGCTGATCTTCTCGTCTGGTGTCGGTGAGGGATCTTATGGCTTGGGCCAGGGGAACTACACTTGCTGATACCCAGGCCTCATGAGATAGAGCCGTGGCACCGTGACACGGGGACCAGTCTAGACTTCAGGATGAGGTCTAGATTAGAGATACTGGAGCACTCGATCAACGGTGTCTATAAGCCAAGGATGAAGGCCATCCATTAAGTTTGCCACGATACTCTTTCCGACGTCAGTCCTTGCGACACCTGCCATTGCTTCCATAGGTGTACCAAATCCAGATGCAAAAGATCACTATTACGGTGAGGCTGGAGCAGCCATTGCATCGCACTTAGCTATCATTATGGCGAAAAAGCCTCTTGTCTGCTTGTGAACTTGCTGAAAGGGTTGTTGTGGTCAGGAGAAGGATGTTTGAGCTAGTCGTGAGCTGCAGAGTGGAGATCTTGAGGCTGTGCCGCAGGTCAGCAACCGCAGCTTCTTCCCCATCTTCCTCGTGCAATAGTAACTTTTATTGAATAATGTTACCTAGTTAATGCTGAGTAGGCACTCGCACTTTCTTTCGATCTTATATTTGAACGACTGCTGTGCACGATTTGTTTTCACATAGTCGTAACGAACCGCTACGCGGCTGGGGACTAACGTTACCTTAAAGAGCCAGAATGGACGAGCCCTCCCTCGAAGAAGCTCTGGACAGAACCTCAGTTAACGTTCCAGCCCCCGCACCGCCGGCGGGCCCTCCACGAGGTCACGCACGGGTCCAGGACGAGGACTACGCCAGCAGGTCATCCGAGCCAGACCCCGAAGACCCCAAGCTCGCCCGCCTCATCGCCGACGTGCGGGACTACCAACTCACCCACGGCTCTCTTCTCAAACTAGTCCGATATGTCACACCCACACAGACGTCTGCCGCTTCGGTGAATGTCAGCCTATACCCGACACCGTTTCCCGGGAAATTCTACCGCGGAGCCGTGGCACTACAGCATTCCATGAACCAACTCTACGTCCGCGTGGCCAACGACGAGGACTGGCTCTACTCCGTCTTAGGTCCGCAGATCCAGGGCGATCCAGAAGGGTTGACGAGTAGTCTGTGGGATGTGCATGTCAAGTGCAGAGAGGCAGGGGTTGTGCAGGATGTGGGTTGCGGAGTGTTCAGGAGTGATTACATGCTGCATGCTGAAGATGAGGAGGCGGCATTGAGCGGAGGAGGAATGATCACCCTGAAGCAAGTCGAGATGAATCACTTGTCGGTAGCCGGAGCCTACCACGCGGATAATGTGGCGGGGATGCATAGGTATCTGTTGCAGAAACGCATAGCTGAACGAGTGTGTATCGTCCCAAACTACTTACATTTCCCGTCCTTAACTACTAGGTAGCTGACGCAACTGGTGCGTAGACCGAGGACCCGATGGAGCTACGGCGTTTATTACCGAACACGAACACCGCTTCCTTGGTTACGGGCCTGACACGTGCTCACCGAGTATACCGGGAACAGGAATCGCCTCACGACAGAGAAGGACCCTCCTGCATACTCATGGTCGTCCAGCCTTTCAACTTCAACATAGCAGACGAACGCCCGATCGAGCATGGATTGTGGGATGAGGATGTGCCCTGCTACCGCTGCGAGTGGCGATCTGTGTTGATGCAATGCCGCCTAGCTGATGGTGAGAGGAAGCTGTACTTCCGACCCGAAGGCTCGGGCACTGAGTTTGAGGTCAGTGTGACCTACTACAGAGCCGGCTATGATCCGAGGGAATACGCCGACAACAACGGCCGCGAGACGCGAGTCCTGCTCGAGATGTCACGAGCGATCAAGTGTCCGGATATCCTGACGCATCTGGCGACGTTCAAGAGCGTACAACAGGCTCTCGCCGAGCCGGATGTTGCAGAAGGGTTCCTGGCAGGCCACACAACGGAACAGCAACAAAGTGCCGTGAGAGGCACGTTCATGCATATTTTACCTCTTGATACTTCGCCGGCTGGCATGGAGGCGCGGAGGATAGCTGCGGATCTGGAGTTGAGCGATGCTTACGTCCTCAAGCCCAACCTTGAGGGTGGGGGGCATAATATCTACCGCGATGATATACCGGGCTTTCTTGCGAATGTTGGGGAGGAGAGGTGGCATGAGTACATACTCATGAAGATGATTACGCCTCCTACCAGCACCGCGGGTATGCTGCTGACGGCAGAGGAAGGACTTTATCACGGTGATGTGGTGTCCGAGCTTGGAGTACTGGGCTTTGTCATGTGGAAGCGGCCTCGAGGTAGCGCAGGGAAGATTTGTGGCAAGGGGAAAGACGTGAGGCCAGATGTAGAGATACTAGAGAATGAGACGGTGGGCTGGACATTCAAGACGAAGCCGAGGGACGTTGACGATATGAGTGTGGTTAAAGGGTATGGGTGTTTCGACTGCCCGCTGCTATCATGACCTGGCGGGGTGTTTTTTACGTGTCAAAGCGAACAGCCCAACACTCTGTTTTTCTTGCTACGAAACACGGGAATTACCTGGCACCTTTCGAGATCTCTCTTGTGTATAACTATAAGTGACTTCGCATCGCATTGACTACATAATCTCCGAATAGACAAACCTCATCAGCATCTACGCAAGAGACCTACCGTCTTCGCTTGCAACTACTACCCGAGAGACAAAGCTAGCCCTACAGCTCGCCAGTCAGGCACCCTGATATCGCAGAAGTCAGCATGTTGTCCTTCTGTATACGCGCCTCCATCGGCGTAGAGCACTGGGAGTACAAGTGGTCGTTGGTGAGTAGTAGTCCGCCAAGCGAAGGAGTGGCAGTCGTGACTAGTCCCCCACCTGGAGGGCAACCCAGGCAAGCAGCAGGAACTTCTGCAAGGTTCTGGACCTCGCCACAGCAGACCCATGGTCGATGAGTTTCTCCAGCAAGGCATCTGTTCGGCGCCCTCCTATTATAGTGCGATCGCCCGGCTTTTACGAGCACTGGCTGGCATGCTACACACCTGTATATACGAGGATTTACGCTTGGATACCTAGGGACTCAAGCCACGAATGAAGCAGACGCCCAGGGGCAGAAAGGTTGGAGGCAGAGATAAATTGGGTAAGAACAGCGAGAATCCAACGAAGGTTTCGCGTTGAGGTAGAGGGAGAGAGATGGATCAGATTTAGGGGTCAGCAGACGCATGCATGAGTCGCGTGGTCTACAAGAGCTGGCCTGATCTGATTGGGCACATGACAAATGTGGTAGATGACTAAGCAGGCTAGTCCGGGGAATGGCTCCTGCAGGTCCCTGCTTTTGATACGACGATAAGCGATAAGAGATAAGCTATAGAATGTTGAATTTCACAGCCTCATTGCCCGTTGTTCACGCCTGGTCGAAGGCACGCGCCTTGTACTCTTGTTGTTGGAGTCTGGAGACCACTATGTTATGATCTTGTCCTGGCCTTGACGAGGTGCACCCACACTTCCTTTGCAATGAAGACGTCCGGCGACCCAGCTCCTGACAATATATTCACCCCTAATGGTTTCAATACAGGCCGCGCCCTCTTTGTTTGCGCCGCCGTCCGAAACACGTCTAAGCCCACCGACGTCCCTTGCCTGCCTCGGCCTGAATCACCTGCCCCTCTACCACCCACCCTCGACCTCGACCTTGGGACCTGACACCATGGAGCCCAACGGCGCGCCGCCTCCAATCCCCATCCAGTCCATCGACCAGCCCGGCCTCAAGGCAACAGGCCAACTCCTCTACGGCCTGCGCCAGGAGGTCGCAGAGATCCTCAAGAGATCCTCCACCGGCTTCCCAGGTGCGCAACCCGTGAGCTTTGCGAGGAGGCATATAGACGAGCTGCGGCGCGAGGAGTAAGTGATGGCAAATGATCACACGACCCCTAGCACGGATCCAAGCTGACACTTCACAGCTACTATGTCTGCGAAAAGTCCGACGGCATGCGCTATCTGCTCTACCTAACCGAAGATGGGAACGAAAACGAAGCACACTACCTGATCGACCGCAAGAACGACTACTGGTTCGTCAACGCCGGCTCGCTGCACTTCCCCACGCCCGCCAACCAGCAGCACTTCCACCGCAAGACGATCCTCGACGGCGAGCTGGTCATGGACACGCTGCCCGACGGGCACAAGGAGCCGCGGTACCTGGTGTTCGACTGCCTGGTGCTCGACGGGCTGGTGCTCATGAACCGCGAGCTGAACAAGCGGCTGGGCTACTTCCGCGACAACATCTTCAAGCCCTACCAGCAGCTGCTGCGCGAGTACCCCGAGGAGAAGAAGTTCCAGCCCTTCTTCGTCGACCAGAAGTCGATGCAGTTCTCGTACGGCATCGAGATGATGTTCAAGGACGTGATCCGCAACCTGCGCCACGGCAACGACGGCCTCATCTTCACCTGCCTCAAGAGCGAGTACAAGCCCGGCACCGACCCGCACATCCTCAAGTGGAAGGACGCCGAGGAGAACACCATCGACTTCGTCTGGAAGCTGCGCTTCCCCACGCTCGAGCCCGACAAGCTCGACCGCGCCGAGGGAGTCTCCCAGCCCTACGTCGACTACGAGGCCAAGCCCGCGATCGAGCTCCTCGCTAATCACGGCGGCGGCTTCCCGCAGGGCTACCAGTACTTCGCCGACATGTACATGGAGGATGGCGAGTGGGAGGTGCTCAAGGGCCTCGGCGACCCGCTCGACGACCGCGTCGTCGAGGCCTACATGGACGGCCAGAAGCGGTGGCGCTTCTACCGCTTCCGCGACGACAAGTCCGACGGCAACCACATCTCGACCGTCAACAGCGTCATCGACAGCATCCGCGACGGCGTCAAGAAGGAGGACCTGCTGGCTGCTGCCAAGACCATCCGGGATTGCTGGAAGGCTCGAGAGGCCGCCGCCAAGGCTCGAGGAAGATGAATCTTCCCACCACATCTCACCCACCTCAGGGGGCAACGAGATACTAGATGATATGAAGCGTACACTCATGACTGATGGTCAAGTTTATGAGTGCGTGATATGAGTGGTTGAGTTGACGACTGTGTGATATGTGTGCACTGGGTTTGGCTGGGCTGGTTGATACCTTATGATGGATACCTACTTTATGTAGCGGTTCTGCGTGGCTTTAAAATGCAGGCAGTGGCGTTCTCACTTACAGCAGAAACACATCTTATCTGCGCGAGCCCAAGAGCATTTCCCGCCGGGCTGACACCGAGCATGCAAGGCGGCATGTCGAGTGAGAAGGGAGGCATGCATGCCAGCAGAAAGCGGCATACCCTACTTTAAGTCTGATGGATCATTCCGTCACTCATCAGGCAAGGTAACTTTAGTTTGGCAAATGCTCAAATATATGAACAAGGGTATAACAGGATAGAATACACCTAATACACACTGAAAGAAGGGAAGAACCACCACGAAATGAGAATGCACAAACCGGCCATCCGCCGGACCACTGAGATGTCATTATGCTCGTTCATTCTGCTCCAGGACGGAATGTTCTCCAGTGACGCGATAAAAGCCACCACGCAAGCTTGATTTGAGATAGGGCCTGGCATTAAATGCTGCCCGGCATGCTGACCACTTGCTCATCATCCTGAACCCCTTCACCCATCCATGCCCCTATGTTGACCTGCGAAGCGACCTGTCCGTGTATATACTAAGCTCTGCTCTTGTCTCATTCCGAGTCCTCTTCTATATCGTAGTCTTCCGCTGCCTTTTTGCCCCTCGTGGAGCGGGTGCTCTTTGCTCTCGTTGCTGGTTTCGGTGCTGGCTTCGGCGCTGGCTTCGGCTTCGCCTTGGATTTGGTAGCAGCGGCTGATTTGCCCTTCGCCGCGCTGGCTTTAGCAGCAGGTCTGGATGGTAGGGTTTTCGCTTTTGGTGCAGGAGCGGCAGCGGCACGGGACCTCCGTCCATTCGACCTCGCCGGTTGCGGCTCAGACTCGTCCTCTGCCTCCTCTACCTCCTCTGCCTCCTCTGCTTCGTCTGCCTCCTCGGCCTCCCCAACCTCTTCTACCTCGTCGAGCTCACTCAGTTCCGAGTCCTCTTGTTCTTCCGCTGGCGCCGCGGCAACATCTTTCGCAACGTCGTCCATTGCCTCGTCTGCTTCATCAACCTCTGTTAAGCTTGATTCACTGTCCTCTTCATTTTGCACCACGTTGCCTTCTTTGTCGTAGTACTCCCACGCTGCGACCCCTTCCAGCATGTCGTCGTCGTCGTCCGAAGAGTCTCGTTCGATGTAGGTTGAGCTTTTTCTTGAGCGACCACTGCGCCTACGATCGGCAGAATCGGGTCCTGGAGAAGAAGACGTGGCCGCGGCCGCGGCTTTCTTGGATCTAGCTGCAGGCTTTGAAGATCTCGCGGCCATCTTTTTCGCTGAAGCCTTTGGAGCTTTTGATACTGCCTTGGCTTTCGGCGCGACCTTGTGCGGTGCTGCTCTAGCTTTTTTATGGGCAGGTTGGCCCTCAGCTCGCTCATCCATGCTCTTACGTTTCTGAACACAGATTATGTCAACCCTGAGTGCAAAGAGTAAGGGAGTGTTAGGGTTTCGTAGGCGTACCTTCTTCTTGTCAACTGATCTCAAGAGGTTATCTAGGACTTCGTCCATTTCCGCAGGAAGGTATTGCTTTTCTGCAATCTCTTGTGCCGCCCGATGGGTGGGAAGGGCAGTGTACAAACCCATGGGCAGCCCAACCTTGCCGGAGAAGGCCTGGAAGGTCCAATTCTTTCGCTCTTGCCATTTCCTTAGTATGCTCTGCGCAAGATCGCTGATCACGTAAAGGTTCTCGCTCTCTGCGGGCGTGATCCCGTCAAGTGTCTGTTTCACGCGTTCGGCGTACTTGAAGATCATCCCAAAGTTAGCCTCGGTGGCAACGTTACTAACGTAGTACAGAAGATATCGAGCGTGGTCTGTAAGATCGTCCAGTTCTGTGCTATAGTCAGGGTGGTGGGCCAGTAGGGATATCAGCCTGCCCATCGTAGATTCCATGACATTCTGCTTGGCCTCGCGGAAGAATCGAGCGCGAGACCGTATCCAAGTCTCAATGTGACTTTTGAAATCCGCTTGAGGCTCAAATGCGGTTAGAAATATGATCGTATAGAATCTAGGCCGAAGCTTGTTCTGCACGAGATACTTTTGGAGTTTCTCGATAAATCTTCGACGAACCTCACCGCATGGGTCCTGGGCCAGAATCGATAGCTGGTTGAAGTCCGAATGCGAGAAGAGTTCCTCGAAGTGCTTTGAGGTGCACAACTTCAAGAAAAGCTGCCCCGCGAGCAATTGCAGGCGAGTCTTGTGATGCCTCGGTGTGTCTTGAGTCTTGCACAACTCACCTTGTGTCTTCAGGATGTTGCGGAGGAGTTTGAAGACCGGAACCGCAAGTTCCTTGGCTTCTTCGACCTCCTGAATACCCCGAAGACGGTTCACAATTAGCTTGAGGGCCCAGCATTTGACTTGGCCTTCCTCATCAAGATCCGCATCTGCCACCCATTCGGGGTCAGACTCTTTGGCATCAGTGCGGACCTTCTGGAGGACGTTCTTCAGCGCCATTTCGACAATCTCATCGTTGGCTTCGGCTGTCACCTGAGGTGCCAATAATTCCAACTGACTGACCGCTGCCAATTTATTCAGAAAATGGGGTGAATCGAAGCCCCAATCCTTCATCACCCTTTGCAAGAGGTCAGTGGCAGCGATCATGCTCTTCTCGTCCTTCCTAGCCATCATTACGTTGACAGCATACTTGGCGGCCTTGGCTGGCTGACCATGCAAGGCATAGCTCATCAGAGCCTGAGTGAACTTCCGGTCATCTGGAAGCTCCGTAGGATATCTCCTGGAATACGACGAGCAAGCCTTCAAGGTCTCGACCATGGCACCATCGTTCGTTTCGTCGGCGCTTGGTGCACCATCCACCAAATCTTTACATAGCTGACCGACGTGAGCTTTGAAGAGATCCGGATTATGCTGAAAAATCTCGGTAGTAACCTCCTGGGCTGCAGCGCCGAGACCGTCCTTATCGCTTTTGGAGCAAGCCATGTAGGTAGCGAGATGACTTTTGTTGAATATGATGTAGGCAGAGCGGTAGAGAAGTGGCAGCAACGTGTCCAGAATGTGCGGCCTAGGAGAGCCTTGAACCCTCTTGATGATCTCCTTGACAGCCCTATGCATCGTCTTGAAGTCACTCTCTGGAGACACGGCGAACCTGATGAGCTGGTAGCTGCGACGATCATGCCACAGGGCAAAATTGTGCAGATCAGCCTCTACCTTGATCGCATCAGGTGAGAACTGGCAGAGGTACTGTATGACCTTTTTAAGGTTCTGTTTTATTTTGTCTGCGTTTCCCTGGGGATTTCCTCCGTTGTGGGCATCGCACTGCGCTACAAAGGTCTCACAGACCTTCGAGAACTGTTGCTGCCGTGCTTGTAACGCGTTGAAAGCCGTTTTGGCGTTATCATCTAGGTCCTTTACGAGCAACAAGATTCTCTCGGCGCGGATCGCATCAGGGTCATAATTCGGGTCAACAGCTGATTGTGACTGCGATTGCGACGACTTGGAGCCCTTGGCCTTTGGGGGAGGAGGGAATGACAGAGGCACCAGACATTCGAACATGACTCGTTCAAGGAGTACGTTCACGTCGAGATCGTTGGCGTAGAAGGTCTTGAGAATACGTGTGGGAATGCCTGATAATGCAGATATCACAACTTCCTGTCCAGCAGCTATTTCACCGCTTGCGACAGCCCATAGCTTCGCCAGAAGTGCCATGGCCTCCACACGTACCGACGATCTCTTGTCTCGACATCGGTCTGCTAATGTGAAGAGGACCGATCCCTCCTTAGTGACGCCCCCGATTGCGGCCAGCTTGGTGACAACATCCCGAAAGCTGAAGGTTTCGATCGCTTTCACCGCAGCCAACCGGACCTTCTCGTCGCTGTCGTTCAGCCTGTCTCGCAAGCCGTTCACAAAAATCGATTCATCGTCACGGCTGAGACCGATACCGCCAGCCGACGTTGAGATGATGTAGCCTACAGCGGTAGTCCAAGCTGTTCGAATTTGGGGAGATTTGTCATTCCGCCTGCTGGTGAAATTGTGAAAGGCCTGCGGGTGGGTCTGGGCGAAAGAAAGGGGCGAGATGGGAGTAGTCAGGATACTGGCTGAAGGATGATCGGGTACTTCGTCATCCAGCTTTAGGGGAGGATATGCTGCCGGGTCGAGAACGGGGGAAGGAGGTGGTCCCGCAGCGCCAATACCGGAGATCATATCTCCCAGTGTCTCAGTAGCCAGTAAACGTAGCGATACGTTATCGGCGGACAGTTCTGCGTCCACTTGGGGCACCACATTTGGGAGAACTGTTGGAGCTGCCCGCCAGAGCTCCCGCAGCAGCTGGTGTGCCTTCCGTAACTCCCTAAAGTCTGAATCTGAAGGCCCAGAAGGCGCGTCATCATCGTCGCCGTCGTCGTCGTCCTTGTGACCGTTGGCATGACCTCCTTTTCCTGAAACGTCGAGAATCACATCGCTAAAGTACTGGCCGACGTAGCGCGCCATCTTCTCGGGGCAAGAATTGCAGACTGTCTTGGCCATGACGTACGCCTCTGGCTCTTCCTTGGGCAGTAGAGTTGTTTGGTTCCCATTGAGATCCGCCTTTTCCTTAAGGCCTCCGGGAGGTGCGGCTCGCAAGAATTGGGCCATTATGACATCTAACACGGCAGGTGGCAAGGACGGGCTCTCATCAACCAGCGTTACCAAGATGTCTGTCATGTGGAATTCCACGTCTTTGGCCACCTGTTCCCCTGATGTTGACTTGGACGACCCAGAGATGCCGTCGAAGAAGGAAGAGAACAGATCAAGCAGCAGGTCTTCAGCATTGGCGACTTCATTGATCAGGAGTATACTCTTGACTTCTGCAAGAGAGGTGAGGACGTATTTGTGTTGTGTATTGTAGGCGTTCGTCGGGTCCCAGAGGGCGGGCAGGATTACTCGGACAAAAAGGGTGAATATCTCCTGCACAAAGACCGGTGATCAGTACAAGTCCTCGTTAATCTTGAGCGGGATGAACTGGCCTACCTTGAGCTGTTTTGGAGTGAACGGGGCCTCTGGTGCGCATAGCTTCAGGATGTCGACCAGACAAGATGCGACGAATGCCTTGACGCCCCCTTCCTTGTGCGCCAACAGATGATGGGAAGCGAGGTCCTTGGCGACACCAGTGAGGGAGTCCTTGTCGATAGTCTCTTGGTCCAGGTCAACCAGTTCCTTGGAGAGCTTCTCGAGGCGTCGCAGAAGCTCGCCGGTGGCAATTGGCTTCCCAGCACGCCACGATAGCGGCTCGTCGAACTGGAGGGTCAGGAGCTCTTCCTCCATCTCCTGGTCCTCCTCCTCCGGGACCTCGTCCCTATGTCGCGCCATTGTGTTTTCCCGGGAAGTGTGTCAACGCGTGCAGGATTCACACAATTGGATGCGTCGTCGATGATGTCGTTGTGGGATGAGGGCGAGTCTTTGGACGTGTCTCGGGAGGCGGGGCGCGACGGTGCTGCAAGATAGAGGGCAGTGCTGCGCAAGGTGCTGGAGGGTCTGAATATTGTCGAAAATGCTGCAGAATACCTTAAGCTTGCGAGCCCACCAAGACGTGCATGCAGTAGGGAGATGAGAGACGAGTTGGACCCAAGATGGGCGTCGCAACGTGGTTGATGTGATGTGATGATGGGTTGTCTTTTTTGAGCCGAGTGCAACGCGACAGGACGGCGCTTGAAATCAATCAATCATCGCGCACTGTAGCGGCTCGTTGTGAGCTGGAGATCCGCCAGCCGCCAACCTGCCTGCCTGCCCGCCTTCCAGTTACGCGCCTCACCCCGAGGCATGTTTCTGTCCACCTACCCGGGAGCTCGGGCCACTCAGACTAGTCATGCATGACCATTACCCGCCCCCCTATTTCCTCTCCAATCCCAAGTTCCAATGTCCGAAACGCAACGGCGGTCAGTATGTAGTCTGAGATCTGAATGAAACCGCCAAAATGGCGACAGAAAGAGATCAAATTGAAGAAATGTATCGCATCGTAGGCCGAGGCAAATCACTACATATATAGTGTGGTAACTTGTTGCAGTACCCAGTGTGCGCCGGTCGGTTCCCTCCTTTTACAACCATGGCAAAACACTGCTTTCTTTCCACTGTCACCACGTCAAGACAAACACGATTGGCAGTTACTGTCAATGCATGGTTCCATAGTAACTCGTACGCCTCTCTATTTACACATGACGATGTGGTAATGCACGCTCACTGCAACATGGTGTCTAAACTCTCTCCTAAAACCCCCTCGATTGCCACAATCCAGCGGTTCGTTTCTCTTTCCACTTCCTCGTCGTCATCGTCCTGGAGCTCACTGATGTATGGCAACATCTCTGGCAACATGGTGAGCCAGTCTTCGTTGACTCTATCCCTATCCGTGAGCGCGATCGCCTGCTCGCACTTCACTACCGCGAGACGCACAGACGCCTGCTCGGATCGCAAGTGTACCAGAAGCTCGCCATTCATTTTCTTTCTATGATCTTGGGAGCCCGCCTTTCCAGCGAGTTCCACTAGGGCCGGGATGAGGTCACTTGTCAAGTCAATCGAGGAAGCGTGGGCAAACTGGGCAGTAAGCACGGGCGCCACTCCGTTGAAATGTGCCGGGGCTTGCCAGAATCCGTTGTCGGCATCGTCGTATTCGAAACATTTGGCAAGAACTTGGATCACCTGCTTCCACAAGTCGTATTCCTCCGGGTTCTTCGGGTTTGCTGTTTTGAGCACAGCAACGGCACTATCGATGATGTAGGCTGCGTAACTCGTAACGATGGTCTTCAGGCTGTCGAAGAAGGACGCCAAAAAGCCGTAGACGCTGAGAAGACGCATGTTTCTGCCGACCGTGTCCTTCTTCGGCAAAGCAGTTGTCCAATCGATCAACTGAGAGAATATTGGTCTAAAGGTTGCATCATTCAGCTTGTGAACCATGCTCAGTGCAACGTCGTTGGTCGTTGCTTCAATTCGAGGCAAATTCGATATGATATCATCTGCAGTATCTTCTTTGGAGTGTTGCAGCCTTCGAAGATCAAACGCTTGGAGGAAGATAGCAGAAAGTGTGCCAACGTTCTTGGAGATGTCGGCCCTTGAGTGCTTGCCAATCGATATGCCAAGCACATTGAGATATTCTTGGGTAGCCTAGTGGAAGACGAGTTAGCGAATGCGATCATATTGCTGCCGAGGGCATCTTACCGTGTAGCCAGAATCGGCAGCTGAGGACCAGTTTTGCTCTAGAGCCCCGAACATGGGTTTCGCATCGACCTGTTTGGCGATAAATTGGAGGCACTGAAGACGAGCGTCGTTGGCCTCGGCACTCAGGCTAGCCTTAGCAGATGCATTCGAGACTGCAAGGATCTGTCCCAGATATGACCCTGACAGCATGTATGGTAGGTACTGTGCGAGTGCTGTCACAAAGGCAAACCCAGCGTTGTGAAGTTCCGTGTGTTTGTTTCCACTGTCGATGCTTTCGGTCACATACGACAGTGCTTTTGGAATGGCCGACGGCAGGACAGGGACTATGCCATCCTGAAGCACATCCACCAAGGAAGCCAAGCACAACAACGCCATGACGCGAAGGCGAATGTCGTCTTGGCCGAGACATTGATCCCCAGCAATGGTTGATGCGGCGGCAGCAACCGCCTCTGGGTCCTTCTTGCCATACTTCTCGGATATCTTGTCCACGCACCCTACAGCGATGTGCTTGTAAGCTATATCGTCAGCCACCCTGATTATGGCCGTGAGCTGTGGTAGGAACGCAAGCAACGCTGCTCTGGAGTTGGCGTCCCCTTGAGACTCTTGGTCGATTCTCACTTCCACAGCTCTCAGCACCTTTCGGCGCAGGACTGAGTCTGGTCGGTCAAGTAACGTCTCAACCGCTTTGACGAATTCTCCGATAGAGAGCAGGTTTAGAAGCTTAGAAAGCGCATCTCCGCACCGGTTGTGTAGAGGTTTCTGCAGCTTCAACGAATCGGCGAGAGTCAAAAGATCTTCCAACAATGTTGAGTACAGCTCACGGATTTTGGAAGCTCCCATGTCGTCCCGCTCAGTGAGCTTGCGGATGTGTGCTGTCAGCTTCCTGCTGGAGAGAAGCTGTGGAAGCAGGCTCAGCTCTTGAAGTCCAATTTTCTGAGGGTCCCGTTCTCCTTGTTCGCTCGTGGTGAGGAGTACCGAAGAAAGCGCAGGCCTGGGCTGAAAGATATCGCCAATGAGGTTTATGAGTCTGATCAGAGACTGCAGCTCGATCTCAACTGTGAAATGGTTGAACAGTTGTGTGGAAAAGGATAGAATCTGATCGGTGGTGCCATACATATTGATGAGCATGGCCAATAGGGCGAAGAGGAATTCTTCAGGCCCGAGAGTCTCTACCAGGGAGACGAACAGCCCGAGCCTTCGATGTGATGGTATGTGTTCATAGGCAGTGACAAAACTGAGGAAAAGTTCCGAGGCACCTGCCAGAGGACTGATTTTCCCTTTCCGAAGCGATCGGATAAGTGGTGGCACGACCTCCTTGACCGTTTGATTGATAACATGTGCAGAGTAATCATCGTTTTGTCGAAGAACCGAACTCCCCATTTGCGTGAAGATTGGCATCACACTATTGAGGACCAGATCGGGCGCAACATTCGCAAGACTTGCGACAAGAAGGAGCGCGGTGCTTTGAACGTGTGGACTTGATGACTTCTGAATGCAGTTCACAAGAAGGTCGCCATGTCCGCCCGTGTTGTCGATCTTGAGGTTCTGGTTGTCCTTGTAAGCAGGAACCATAGCCAACAGACTTTTCAGCACCAGGTTTTGAAGATATCCCAGCTCCGAACCCACCAGAACCCTAAAATGTTGAAGTTCCGAGAGCGCACTGAAGAGGGCGTTCAGTAACTCTGGGTGTTTCTCCGGATGCGACCCATCAACAAGCTGCAGTACAAATGTCACCTGCTTGAGTGTCGAGGTTATCTCGGGGGTGGCTTGTGTACCGATGCCTCGGTGCGCTTCTGATGAGCTAGTTCTCCTTCGCTTACCAGGGGGCGGTTCCGTTGCCATTTTGGCTGTTGGCTGCAGAGACTCCAGGAAGTACAGCAAGATGTCAGTCGTGAGTTCGATATCCGTCAATAGCTCGGTTGCCTTGCTAGACGCTAGAGTTCGTTCGTTTGACCATTCTTTCTGCGACAATGCGAGCATTTGTCTAGCCACCATATCCCTTGCCTCTGATTTCATGGACGGCCACATCTTCTCGATGTGCACAAAGATAGCATTCAGGAGATGCGTCCTTGTGAGAAGCTCCCCCCCCTGCACAAGGCTCATGAGGTATTCAAGTCCATCTTTGTCATTCGGAAGCACCACCTTAACCATGCTTTGGTCGGCCACTGGCTCGTCAAGTTTCTCCTGTAAGCAGGCGCGGCTGACTTCGCCAGCAGATAACGAGGACCACTGCTTGAGTAATGGGAGGAGGAGCTGCGTGCGAGAAGTCCCCGATACCCCTTTGACCTTGTTCAATGATGCGAGGAGGCGGAGTTTAAGGGAGACGAGAGGGGTGTTGACAGCATGTGACGCCAGAAAAATCAAGACAGAGCGACGCGTTCCATGGGAGAGATGACTTCTTTTGTCCTTGTCAACATCGTCGTCCGAAGCCTTTGAACTGTTCAAGGCCCGCTGTACAATCTCAATGATAGTCTCGGCATTGAGAATGCATTCTTCAAGAGAAGGGGTAACAATGTTCCGTAGAAACTTGTGGTAAATATCTGGAGACATCCACTCTAGGGTCTCCGTGTTGTCGTACAGGTGATCGCGCGCCCACGTTTGCTTCTCTGCTTTGGCATCCACGGTGACCAGGTTGTCCAGGACTGTGATTATGTCTGCAGCTGCACGCCGGACCTTCTTAGATGGATCATTCAGAGCCGAGATGGTATACGGAAGGATAGCTTGAAAATCGATACCCTTACAGTCATCCTGCTTCAGGCGATCCTTAGCCAGCTCCAGAGCCCCAACACGGGCCAAAGTGGGATACGGGCCACACCAGACTCGCATGAGGAAAGTAAAGTAAAATGCGCGCTTATTCGCCTGGTCTCGCTGCAGAGGTGTGACCTTGTCAAAAGTCGCAACGTTCTCTGATTCAGCCAGACCAGAGAGGAAAACTGAGCACAAATCTGTGAACATGTCCGAGGAATCTCTTCGGAGACATGAGCTTGTCGATGTGGGCTTGATGTTGCTGACTCGCTGGAGAGCAGTCTCAAAGTCCTCACCGTTCGCTGGAGCTAGTCCGTTCTCTTTCATCTCGATATCTTCGCCGGACGGTTCGGGCAAGGCTCGGGATCGGAGCTGTATATCGAGCCTCATCTCCAGCGCATCCAGATCAACATCTGTATCGTCGATTGCCTGCATGAAGATGCCCCTGACAGTTGTTTCCACCTGGGACAGCCTGATGATCGTCGACGCAAGGTCCTTGCGGAGCTGGCCCTGCTCATTAACCTGATCGTCGACTTTGTAAGCTGCCAGTAACAAAGACTTGAAAACAGCAGCCGTCTGTTGTTCGTTGAGAACAGACGCGAGCAGAAGAAACTCGATGATTGCCAGTCCTTTGGTGTCGCCCTTCTTGTAGACTCGGTCTATCAGCGCAAGACACAGACCATTCGTCAACTTCCCTATATCATGTTCCTTCCCAATCTCAGAGAGCAGAGCGGGCAGATTTTGAACCTTCAGCAAAGCCTTCGTGACCCTTCCCGACATCTGTTTCGCAGATCGGTAGTGGGCAAGCATGGACAGACAGACCAAACCTGGGCGGAGAGATTCTGCGGTCCATCCGCTGACGAGCTGTTCCATCAGCGCACTGATGGCGGCGTCGTCAAGGTCACCTTTTGCTACAAAAACAGCAACAACCATGTAGCAGGCTACTTGTAGGCCAGGAGCCTTGGACATTATCAATGCATCGCTGATGGTAGGCCCTATCTGGTGCAATAGGTTTTGGTCATTGCTTTTCTGTATGCTTCGGCGCCCGGAGCGCATCCTGTCCAGCATGCCATTGACGGACTCGGCCATTATGCCACCCCAGAAAGAGATCAGTGCAGGGTACTGCTGTTGCGCTCTGCAAGTGTCCAGCGTGAAAGCGGATATCGTCGCGAGGAAGTCGGGGTTGTGCGTGGCTTGGTGGACGAGAATGGACCTCGGTGGATGGGTCAACGACTTGACGTATGGGTCCAGGAATCTGTATACGTGCGGCAGATCGGCAGGTAGTATGGAAAGGAGTGTCACAAAGGCCGTAATGGTATGATAGGGCGAGAAGCTTGTGAGAAGCATGGTCGTGTTGTGTTCGTGTATCCTAACGAATCTTTAGCAAGTGGTCTGCCCAGTGGGCTCTGCTCCAAACATACCTGAACCTCCTTATAAGCCACTCTATTGCCTTAATAGTAGGCATGAGCCGCAGCCGCCCCCCGGCGAGGCGGAGGAAGGCGTCGGTCTTCTTGTCGAGCTCGGCATTTTCGGCTTCGGTCATCTGACTGCGATCCTCGTACTGGCTCTGTTCGCTGAACAGTGTTTTCCCAAAAGGTATGAACCGGGAATCCAGCTGACAAAGCTCCTCGAATCCCGCATGGCAGATGCCGTAGAGAGTCTGGAAGTTTTGCGAAGCCGCAATGCGCGGCTCAAAGATCAAAGACTTGGAGTGGGCAGCCTTTTGCGCTCTCACGTCGAGAGAGGATTTCGAGTTCGCAGCGATCTGCGCCAGCTGCGCAGCCAATGCCGTCGTCATCTTGAATGGATATGGCGAAGCGTCCGGCAGTCCATTAGGGGGGAGGTGGCCTGTACGAGCTCTGGAGGAACGAGAGAACGTGTTTCGGTACACCAGAGGCAGAAGAAGCCTTCGATGTTCGCGACTCTCCACTGCAGTCTTCTTCCCGACTTTTCAAAAAATCGGTCTTATCGATAAGCCCATCGCCCATATGCTAGTGGCGCACTTCCCTGTCCAGCTACCTAATGCCCCGCGGTCCCTGTCATTGGTATGCAGTCCTGATACATCCCGCTAAATACATATCGCGGACTACCTACATATGTAATGGTACTGGGGCAAGCGACGAAGAGCGAGTTTGCATGAGATACGGCGGAATAGCATAGCCAACCAAATCGCTGCTATTCCGCAGGCGGCAGCGAATCATTCTGTCCTCCGCCTGAGTGGTGCGCTTGTGGGACCAGAAGGACTGCAACACCAATGGCAACAATAGTAGCACCTACAGCGCAAACGAAGGAACAAACGAACAAACGAGGGGATAGTGCCTTGAGAGACTGCTCCTACTTCTAGAAATCTGAACTCCGAGCAGTAAACTTGCTTCTTATCAAGCTCTTCTTGTTAGGCTGCAAAGCTCCATTCGTTGAATCGTGTGCTTCCACTTCCCCAGATCAGTTCAGCTCAACACCGTGTCCAGCTGGTGTCACGCAACCCTAGGTTGCTGCTCATTTAATCACAATGGCAGTGAGTGCTTCTCTGATTGCTCCGAGAATCGGATGGGGCTAACGAGAGCGTCATGACAGTACAAGCCATACCCTCAGGTTGTCCTCTTCGGCGACTCGCTCTTCCAGGGCTGCAGCCAGATTCAAGAGGGCTTCTCCTTTCAGGGAGCTCTACAGCACCGTATGTCGTGTCTTTGTTTGAATAAGCCGTCCTTGGCTTGCTTTTGACACCATGTCCAGATTGTGTGCGTGTCTTCGATGTGATCAACCGAGGTCTTTCTGGCTACAACACGAAGAATGCATTGGAGGTGTTTCCTGATATGTTCCTGCCGCCTTCATCATCGAACCCGAGTATCGAGTACCTGGTATGTCGTACTGCAGAGCTTCTAATTCGATGCCCTCCTACTACATACTCGTCTCACCGACCTGACTTGCTTTGTATACAGCTCGTACTACTAGGCGCCAACGATGCGTGCCTTCCTATTCCCACCTGTACACAGGGCGTTCCTATCGACCAGTACAAAGCGAACTTGGTCAAGATCATCACCCACGACCTCATCAAGGCTCACAATCCCAAGATCCTACTCATTACACCGCCACCCCTTGACGAGATTCGAACGAGAAAAGATGATCTGAAGAGCGACAGCCACGGGCAACCGTGCCGAAAGGCTGCTGTCAACGCGGAATACTCTGAGGTAGTCCGCAAAGTCGCATCAGAGGTCCCAGGTGTCGTCGTGTTGGTCGATCTTTACGAGGCTCTCATGAAGAGAGCCGTTTCCTTGACCAAGGAATCCAACCCAAGCTGGCACCCCAGTGGAAGACCGCCGTTGGGCTACCCCGAAGGTCAGCGAGGTGGCCTGGAACAGCTGCTCACAGACGGATTGCACATGAGTGGAGAGGCATACAGAGTCCTTTTCGATCTCGTCAAGGATCACATCAAGCCGGACTCGAAGACCCCTCCCTTCAAGGACTGGCGTGAGATGAATGCCCCCCACTGATTAGGAAACAAACACATTGTACGTTGCATTAAGAGAGTTGCAATGTTAAAAGCGTAAGACTGTGCCTTCGTAGTAGGGGCACCAGAACGTTGATTAGTTATAAGTCTGGTTGTAACTGGTTTATATTCTAATAAGTGTGATGGATCTAACACCTATTAAGTGGTTTGGTAGGGTAGACGCGTTGCCCCACTACACAAATAAATAGATAATTATAGGTCGGGTTTTAAAATATATCACCGTACCAGATTTGACTAGTACCATAAACCCTTTTGCCTTTTCTTATTAATATATTTTTATTGTGGGAACAGGCTTGAACGATCAATCATAATACTCAAGTATGGGGGGGTCAAGGTCATGATGTTGCTGATGGTTGGATTGGGAAGTCTAGCTGGACCTGCAGGTCAGGCTAAATGGCCTCACAATCTGGTATCTAATCTCTTATCTAATCATACATGTGGGTTCTGTATGGATGGTTTGACTGTGGAATCACATGGATCCAATAATAACTTTAATAAATATAAGCAAAAAAAACACGTAAAAATATATATTTAAATCAATCAATATTTTATTTATAAAAATAATTATTTATACTTTAGTCATAATAATATTAAAACGTTAATTAATTATAAGTTTAATTATAATTGGTTTATATTTTAATAAGTACTTGATTAAATTCGAATAAAAAGATATTTGTCAGATGTTGGATCCTAGATATGGTGCCCTTAGGTGCAGTACCCACTAGGGGGCTGTCAAGGGAACAGTGGATCCACCCTGGCATGGTGCAGTATAGTATTTAGCTGTAGATTAGCCCTGCCAAGCATACTTGAGAATGACAACAACGTTTGTAGCGACTGCTCACACCCCTAAGGCTTGTGGCCCTTCTAGAATCTCACAATATTATTTAAAATATATTTCAATATTTCGATTATAATAAGCTAGTACTTATTACCTGGAGGAGCCATCTTAAGTAACCTTATTAAAAGCGCACTAGAAGATAATAGATACGATAAGGTACTGGTGGCTGATCTGTTGGCTAGGATCTACAAGATAGACTCAATGAGTACCTTGATTACGTGTCGCCGCTCCTGGCTGCTAACAGTAACTGTGGTTGGAATTATCTTTCGTATGTTCACCTCGACTAAGGATTCCTAATAGAAGTTGACTGCTTCTTCCACAGCAACTTTATATTGTGGTCTCTGAACTTGGGTGTACATGTAATGGTCAGCCTGTCAGCCTGTATCGTCTCAGTCTCACCATGTGGCTCCTCAACCCATTTTCCAGCCACAATGATGGATGGGTCACGGACCAGGATACAAAGTACCTTGGAGCCCAACGGGTACCCGTTTGTACCTGATTTGTACCCAACTGGGATGATAGCTACTTCTCGGATGGGGACACCACCCATCCCTTCTTTCAATCAACCAACTTCCAGAATACAGACCAATAGCCACCTATCGTGACCCTGGTCCTTATTCTGGATACCGCTACCACAAGGCACAACCATGTCTTCATGCAACTAAGCGGCTTAACGAGATTAGCCTCCGATTACATGTATCGAGGCGTCAGGCCCGCCCTGTCGCTAGCACATCGCTGCCCCCCACCGTGCCACGGCAGGCCTGCAGGCTGCATGGATACCTTAGGAATTTGAGATTGGTGCACGCTAAACTTGAAGGCAAGCTCACCTCAGAGTGTCATTGTACATTGTAGGCCAGAGGTCGTGCACCAACCATTCGGAGTCATCATCACCATCACCATCTTCTCAGCTCTTTCTACCAGAGGCCTGTAGATATCTGATTCTTTCTTGTCTGGCCACAGAAGCCGAGCCTCGCAGCCCACAGTCATCTCTCCAACTTCCTATTTTCCGGTCCGAGACAACAACAACAACAACAACGACAACAACAATAAACTGTAAACTTCGACCAACCTCTTGCATCCAAACCAAGGGTAGCCCATAGCAATCGCCCTTGCCGCCTCCCTGACCCGGCCCGACCTCGATCCTCCATTCCTAGGTACACCGACGTACACTCCCGAAGCCAATTACGCCGCCACCTCTCTTCCCGCGAACTTGACATCGATGTCCAATCTCTGGCGCTTGCGTATCTCTCCTGAACGAATTGGTTGACACTGTACATCACCTTGTCGTCGCCAGCCTGGGTGCGAACCGACAAGTCAACTTCTAGCCAGGAAGCGTTGTGGACCACAACCAGCCAGATATCCGCTACCTATTCCCTTGACACAGGCATTCCTCCAATCTAACGCTCGCCCGACTTGCTTGCTGAAAGCTCCTTCGTTCCGTCTACCCAGATCCAGAATAAAAGTTCTTCGCAATTCAGCCAGAGAAACAGCTGTTTCACGGGGAGCTCCTATCTAGGAGGCCGACGGGTCTTTTGCGATGAGGAGGTGGTGGACCTATTGAAATAGCCCTTGATAAAAGCTATCTTGGGCTTCTATCGTCTGAGCAACACACAGCGAGGTCTGCCTTTTAAGCGGCACCTGTGGTCGATGGGTGAAGGTTCGGCGCATGGTTCAGTTCATTGGTACGCGCTGGCTTCCCGTGCTCCTCGAGGCATAGACCTTTCGGTTCTGTTCTTTGCAGTTCGAGTCAGCTCCCATTCGACCACTTGCCAACATTCTATTTGGACGTTCGCCATTGCACCTCGTACACAAGCAAATCTGCTGATCATCTGGGGTGGGCATGGATTTTCGTTACCCGGTCTCCCGCGAGGAACTTTACTCTGTGCAAATGGACGTCAAGCAGGTCCAGATTGTGCAGAATAGCCATGCCGAACGATTGTCTCGCTTAGAGAAGCGCCAGGCTGACGACGCCGCGATCAAGTCTGCTTGGAACTCGCCTTTCCCCAGCGCACTGGGCGGCACGCCTCAGCACGGTTCGTTATCATCTTTTTTGATATGTTCACGTTCTAACATGCTATGCCCAGGACCGATTCAGATGCCTTCAGCCGAGATATTTGACGATTTCGAGGAGCAGGGCCAAAATCTACTTGGAAGTCTTCACCTCGACACTGAAGATGAGCCTACAAGACGCGGCGCAGCTTCTCGGGCCAACAGCGTTCGTTTCGATGAAAGTGCCTTGCAAAGTTCTAGCTGGGCTCAAAATGGCCGCCATTCGGGTGACTTCGGCCCAATCAGACCGGGAAGCGGTCTTGGTAGTCATGGTATGATGGAGCGCTCACTCTCCCACAAGTCTGACGGCAGGCATAGCTCTGCGGGCCATTCAGTACACTCGATCCATTCTCATCATTCCGTCGCCTCCGGCCGAGGCAGCAGCCTGGGTCTGGACACAACCTTTACTCCTGGCGGTCAAGAAGACGACTCTCCAATCGGCATTCCTGAGCCTCCTCCCGGTCTCTTCGTCCTAGGTTCGGTACCATCTATCATTCGATGCTGGCTCACGTCCGACTTCGCCCATGATACCCTTCTCTATGCGGATATTTGCACTGGATCACAGAAATCAGTCCTCGAATTCTCCCTGATAAAGAAATTGGATCTCGAAGATGCTATCCACCGTGACTTGGATGGCATTCACCGAATCAGGCTGCATGTGTACCTAACTGAGGCCACGGTATCTCACGCGAGCTCCCGAAGAGCGAGTCCGGCACCACAGATGCCAAGTCTCGCCTGCAATTTTGAAGTGGTCGGTTTAGACCAGCCCGACAACGTCGATGCCAAGAAAAACATCCGCGTATTCATCGGCAGTGAAACCCTGAGAGAGCACTCTGCCGACGTCTTGTTCTCGCAGAATCGCATGACACTGTACGGTAGTGAACGGGAGAAATTATCGATCCCCTTTGTACGCCCCGAAGACAACGCGGTCTTTAAGCATATTCGCACGATGGCGGTGTTCTCTGAGAAGCCTAAACTAAATGCGACTGCTCGTCCGTTCGTGTTCGGCGAATTGAATCAGCCAACAACTGTCAAAGTCACCCCAGCCGCGCAAGAGAAAGAATCCCAAGATGAGCACGAAGCTCGTGGAGTCATTACTCCAGCTTCAGAGCCCACTAGCCAACAAGCTGGAACCACTGACGCGAGTAATGTATCAGAGAGTGGAGAGGAGAGCGAAAGACAGTATCAGGAAGTCAGTCAGTCTGCATTGCCCACGAAGGATTCGCAAGCACAGTCAGTCGACGCTTCCGGGGACAGCACACGACGAGCTCCCGCAGCAGGGGGCATATGGAATTCGTGGCGTCAGGGGACCCCAACCAACGGCCAGGAGCGAAAGGAGAGTGCACCCTTGAGTGGGTATCAGCCCGCCGGACGTGCAGGACGCAGCATGAAAGTCCTGAAGCCTATGAAGGTAAACCCTTCATCTTCAGCACGCACAGGAGGAGCTTACGAATCGGCACCGCTTCCGAGAAGCAGCGGCGAGCCCCGGCTCAAAAGTCAAGCTGGTATCGAGAGTGGTAGCAATAGCAACACGATTCGATGGGAATCAAAGAGGACTTCCACTGGACCGCCCAGTGCTGGCGTAGAGCCGAAGGCAGCGCCAACGATGCGTGATACGCGAAATGTTTCGGGCACACCTCGAACTTCAGCGAACCCTGTCGGGGGTGCGTCAGCTTTCTCGTGGATGACTCCAGTGAGCAAGCCAAGAACGTCAACCGCAACGGAGTGAGAAGCATGCCGGGAAAGGGGCGTCGATTTGATATCGAGCTGTTGCTAGACCATCTGTGGGAGGTCTCGTCCTGTCTTCCACTCCGTCGGGCGGATAACGAAATGCTCTTCTTGGTGGTGGTAGTAGTAGAAATAGTCAGGAAACCAAAATAAAAAGAATAAATATTACCTAGGGCTCGGGTTGATCAGGACTGAAAGCACCTTGACCAATTTCCGTGCCAGGCCTCAAGATGTTGCGACCTTTTCAGACACCGAGGCGGGCGGTCGGTCATGCATCAGTGACGGCATCAACCGAACTAAATTCGCTAAGATTAAGTGCATGCCAATCCTTCAGTAGGTCCCGCGGTGTGGTGGAGAAAGAATTATTCAATACACATCTCAGCACCAAGCAGCAGGGGAAATGCGGAAAGAAGACGTCGACCACTCGCTGTACCTGGTGACGGACTCGACGCCGGCCATCCTCGGCGACAAGGACATCTGCGCCGTGGTCGAGGCCGCGCTCCGGGGCGGCGTCACCTGCGTGCAGTACCGGGACAAGACCAGCGACACGGGCGCGCTCGTCGCGACGGCCCGCAGGCTGCACGCCATCACGCAGAGGCACGACGTCCCGCTGCTGATCAATGACCGTATTGATGTTGCGCTCGCGATTGGCTGCGAGGGCGTGCATATTGGACAGGATGACCTTGGTATGTCGACCGACGTCTGGAACCCGGAACGAGGCGGGGGCTAGGGAGAGTGAGATGATGGCGGATGATTGCGGATGTGAGGTAGCTGACCTGTGCGATCCATGCAATAGACCTGTCCTCTGCGAGGAAACTGCTCGGTCCGGACGCCATCATCGGCGTCACGGTGAGCAATGCCGAGGAGACGGACGTGGCCTGCAAGGGCGGCGCCGACTATCTGGGCATCGGGACCGTGTTCGCCACACCCACGTAAGATCTCCCTACCCAGACGACGTACGCCTCGCAGCGCAGGCTTTGCCGGTTGTGAAAACTGACTAATCACGGAATACATAGCAAGGAGAACACAAAGAGCATCATCGGCGTCGACGGCCTGCAGCAGATCCTGCTGCAGATCGCCGACGAACCGATCAAGACGGTCTGCATCGGCGGCATCAACGCCTCCAACGCGTCGCGCGTGATGTGGCAGAGCGAGGCGCCTGGCGGCAAGGGCAAGGCCCTCGATGGCGTCGCCGTCGTAAGCGCAATCATGGCAGCCCCGGACCCGGAGGAGGCCTCGTGGGATCTACTCCGGCTCGTGAGATCGCCGCCCGCCTTTGCGAGGGCCGCGGTGACGGCGGAGCAGCAGGCGCGGTCGCCGGAGGACCTGCTCGCCCTGGTGCCGGAGGTGGTGAGGGCCGTCGATGCGAAGAAGCCGCTCTCGCACAACATGACCAACCTCGTGGTGCAGAACTTCGCGGCCAATGTCGCGCTGAGCGTTGGCGCGAGCCCTATCATGGCGAATTATGGCGAGGAGGCGCGGGACCTGGCGATGCTGGGAGGAGCGCTCGTGCTCAATATGGGGACGGTGACGCCTAAGGGGTTGGAGAATTATTTGAAGGCGTTGAGGGCGTACAATGAGGCGGGACGGCCTGTGGTTTTTGATCCTGTTGGGTGAGTTCCGTTGCTTGCCACTTGCTCTATGCTGGGTCAAGTCCACCGGAGTCTTGAGGTGGAATAGCTGATACAATGGAAATATAGGGCCGGAGCAACAGCCGTCCGACGAGCCGCGACAAAGACCATCCTCGGCAGCGGCTACATCGACGTCCTGAAGGGCAACCAATCCGAGATCCTGTCCTGCATCCCCGGCGGCGCCGAGGTGCAGCAGCGCGGCGTCGACAGCAGCGCGCCCGGGAACGACGCGGACCGGCAGAAGCTAGGGTCCGCGATCCGGGAGCTCGCCGTCCGGCGCCGCAACGTCGTCGTCATGACGGGCAAGACAGACTACATCACGGCCGGACGCGCCGTCTTCACTGTCGACAACGGCCACGCGTACCTCGGCATGGTCACGGGCACGGGCTGTTGCTTGGGGACTACCGTCTCGGCCATGGTCGCCGCGTATCCGGACGACAAGCTGGCGGCCGTGGTCGCGGGGCTGTTGCTGTATAGTATCGCGGCTGAGGTCGCGGCGGAGCGGGAGGACGTCAAGGGGCCTGGCACGTTCGTGCCGGCCTTTATTGATGAGCTGTTCAATCTAAGGAAGGCTACGGCTAAGGGGGATTTGGGGTGGTTGGAGAGGGCGAGGCTTGGTGTGCTGCCTTGAAAGCTGTTCGGGGGCTGAAGCGGTTTGGGTGTGATCTAGTGAAGATAGCAATCTGGATACCGGGGTGACTCTGTCTCTGTGCATCTACTCAAAAGTGATCTCGAGACTCTATACTTGGCCTAGGTACAATCCGTGGACAAAAGTCTCCGCCCGATCCCCATTTTTACCCCTTCCATCTACTGCGCCCTCTAATTCAATTGAACCACAACGCACCCAATTCTGGTGATAAAATTTTCAAATAAATTATTTTTAATAGCTAAGTCAATAGTGTGTATACCAACCACGGGCGCGCCTCACTACAGCCATTCGGTCCTCCAGTGACTCCATCAAGACCCGAACTTGCTCCGGATCGATCTCTGACCACGTCTGTTCAATTAACTCGTGTGTGTAGCGATAATGGGGGATATTGTCCTTCAATTCAGAAAATTCTGGCTCGATTTTACGTATCTTCTTCTTCAGAAGTCGCCAAACATGCTCGATTAAGTTCATATCGGGGCTGTGAGGAGGCCAGTCGATATAATGGATGCCGTGCTCCTCTATCCACTCCGGAACACCGCCAGTAAGGTGAATTTTCGTATTATCTTAAACAAAAGGATCTCCAATCTTGTAGAATGGAAGCAGGCCTTCCCCAAGAACCCATTTATATGACTCTGCGGATACTCCTCCGCGCGGAGCATCCGGATCGAGTGGGCAGAAGACCAACTTGCCTAGTTCTCTTTCTTTGCCGCGTAGCCAGATAGACCACACCATTATCAAAATAGGAGATTTGCCGTGATCCGTCTCGTTCACGAAATCATAACGGTACCGTTCTGAAGAGAATCAGATGGCCCAATTGCCTGAATTATCGGATGAGTTTTGGACCGTACATTCGTCTGAGAACATGGCTCGCAACCACTCCTCCAGGCGCTCTAATGTGTTGTAATAATTAGCAAAAGCGAGCCTTTTCTGAGTGTCCTTATCTGTGAGTTTGATTCGCTTCGCTGCGCGCCACTTCTGGAGGCTGTGTGCGTGACATATCCTCTTGATAGTCTTGGGAGAGCACGAAATGCGGGCTTCATTTCGGATCTTTTGCCACGTCGCCCTGGGGAGCTTTCTTGCCTTCTCGATCACACGAGCGCGTTCGCGAGTGTTCAAAACGGGTGGGCGACCACTCCTTGGGGCAGATTTCGGTGTGGAGGTGGCCTCAAAGTTGGTGGTGATGTCAGAGATGGTTTTCAGGCGCTTCGTTTTGAACGTGGTTGCAACATCCCTGCGCGTTCTGCCGTCGATTCGCGCCGCCACAATTGCCAAGCGAGCTTCTGAAGTGAATTTGCCGTTAGCGACGCGATTGCCGCTCAATTTGTCCCCAAAAGATCGTAAATCCATTATTAATTGCGGTGTTGAGAGAGTGATGAAGTCGAAGGGTGATTGACGCGTTGTTTTGATCTGAAGGAGATTGTGGTGGGTCGGGCAGAGACTTTTGTCCACCCAGTTTAGCTTCGACTCACACGTGTGGAAGTACCTCCACCTAATCATGTCATGATCTTATGGTATTCGTAAAAGCACCCGGTACTTGGTCTTTGTGACGCAGAGTTCAGCGCCTTCTGGTGGCAAGATCTTCTGAAGACCCTTCAAGACATGAATCTCCAATATTGGCTGTAGCGTCAGAGTACGCCCTGAGCCAGGGCCAGCTGTAGAAGCACAGTATCCATGTCGAGCTGTTCGTCCAGGCCTATGTCGGGGCTGCCGAAGTAGGTAAGTCACATAAGAAGGCCCTCTTCAAGCTGTTCAAGACGTTCTTTCGTCCCTGACATCCACTATCTGTGTTGTTATAAAAAAATTCAGATGTCGCAACCTCGCTCTTACTTCTGGTGAACAGGATGCGCAATGTACGGGAACGGTAGCTACCGTGGGAGTCCAGCCGCAATGGGGTTATTTTCAGCATAGGAACCGAAAGCCAAGTTAATCCTGGGTCTTGTCGAGGAATATGCTCTTCGCTTCAAACATCTCAACGTCCTTTCAGGACTGAGTTCACCCACAATTGGTCTTTTAAGTACTGGTGACACCAAGGGCGCGCCAAAAAGGGGTAGAACAGGTCACTCTCGATAGTCGCGCTGGCGCAAAAGGTCGTGGAAATGTGCAACGGTCAGATGATGTGGACTCAATCGCTTTGCTCGATGTACTGACATAGCCCTTGAAGTATTGGCCGGTGCATTGGGTGGCAAGATATCTCTGTCAAGTACTTCGTCGTAAAGCAGCCCCCATACACATACGAAACACATTGTCACATGCCCAGGTGCTCTTCACTTCAGCCATCCTCCCGGCGCAGCTGGCTATCCTCCCAGACGACCTTCTTCATCTTCCGACAAGTGTCTCTGTCGTATCCGGGGCAGTTCTTCCCATCTGCCCAACACTGCCTACACACGTCGTACGAGTCTCCGGCCTTGCCACAGCGCCCGCTTTCGCACTTATAAAACAGCATGTCCGCCTGAATCGAACAGTCACACGCATCGCACCTGATCCCTGTCTCCCTCCTCGTCGGCTGCGGCGACGGCCGTCGCGCGCCGCCCGGTACAACGACCTGCTCTGATTTGCCCCCAATGTCAACCCCTGGGTTCGCGCTGCTCATCATCCCCAATACCCGAGGCCGCGAGCCGTTGCCGCGCCGCCATCAGCTTGCTGCGCGCGTCATCGTCCAGCAGCACACCTTCGGCGTCTTCGGCCCCGCGCGAGCTGTCCTCTGATATACTGCCCTCTGACATACTGTCCTCTGACATACGGAAGGCGGCTTTCTCGCACGTTGTCGTAGATCTTCCAGGCGAACTTGGTGATGGCGGCAAAATCGCCGGCGCCGAATCCTTGGACTGCCATTTCGTAGGGTATGGGTAGTACTGGGATGTCACTTCGGGCCGAGGAGCAGATGGAATGAAATCATATATACATAATTCACATATTTACTATCACTGGTGAGCCTCGCGGAGCCCAATCCGAACTGTAGTCATCGTCTGCGCAGCAGGCTTGGCCTACCTGCGTTGTCATGCACCTCTGCCCAGCTGAACTCATGCAAGCCCTGAGGCTGTGCAATGTAACACTGCTGTGGCAAAAGGGGGGCTGACGTTGACAACCATTGGCAGCAAGTGACTACCTACCTAGGTGACTACCCAGCATGGGGTGTGTACGCCATCATCACGTGTGCGCATGTGCAGTGCATGAAAGCTCGTGTTCAATACCGGTCAAACTGCAAATGAGTGCAAGCAAGATCAAACCGACACCCCTATCTGCTGTGACTCTTGTTGGAGGAATATGACTTGCGTAACGTATAGCCGCAGCAGCAGTCTTATGCCCCACTCTTCGATGAGGCTTGTTCATTGATAAGTTACGTAGTTCCATCTGCTGTTGTGTTTAGTATATCGGGGAAACACCAAAGCAAGGTGCAAGCATACCACGAATTAGTCATATTCAAGTTGTTCAATACATAAGAACCAAGCACAATCCTCTTTACATCGTTTATAATCTGCGAAATAGTTTTATGAGATGTTTCGGATATTCCTTGCTACGTGGGTTGTGTCGCGCAGGGGGATCGTGGGAACGTAACGGGCCCCTTTATCGGAATACTAATGGGAAGCCGACTCGTGAGAGTATACATATGTTTGCCTGAACTGCACTTGGTCACTGTTTTTTTTCCCAGGCAGAGGAATTGAGAAGTATTCCGTTTCTTGAACCTACCACAACATAGATCACTGTCTCTTTTTCAACGCATCGCTCCCTATCACAACCAGCATAGCCCGTCCTTGACACACGGATACGAGTTTTACCCACAGCTTGTTTTTCCTTCCAAAGGTTTCGTGAGCAGTTGCCTTACGCAACGCCTATATATTCACCACATTTTCACTGACCTGCGAATTTTCCCCTCTACAACATGGCCTCCACCGAGCAGATTCAGATTGAGCGGGCAGAAAAAATACTCAGCAACTTCTCTCAACTGCGCAAGATCATGCACGGCCTTGGAGCCACAGTATCAAGATGATGGACCAACAAATCAGCCGCCAAACGGCGAGCTGTGCTCATCACGACGTGGCCTGGAATTGCGACTATGCACCGACCCGACATACATGCCTGGAGACAGCAGAAGACGAGAGGCAACGATAACACTTTCTACTGTTCTTCTTTCTGCCATGGAGAAGCCGGAGTCTGTGACCTCAGAGCTCATGGCTCGTACTCCAAGAAGATCAACCGACGCAAGCGTGCGGCCCCCTCCCCTTGAACAGTTTTGGGTGCTGCGATGGATTTCCGGTGAGGTCCGACTGTTCTCCCTCGGTCTCGGCTCATCTATTCTTCAGTTTCCTCTTCTCTCAAGCAAGGTATGTACGCCAATCCGTTCCGATTGGACTGCGCTCACTTTTTTGCAGAATGGCGACATTTTGGGTTCAATACCCAAGGCTTAGGTTAGGCCTTTACTTTTCGCCCTTTCTTCGCCCGTTTCTCAGTCCGCCGCTTGCGATCGCTCTGCGCTCACATATCTCGGTTCCGGCCCTCCTACTATGATCATCATATGATCACTCTGGCCTGCATTGAATCTCCAGGACCTTCTATATACAATTACCACTCCTACTTCTCTCGTCGCGAGCCACAACCCATCCGCACGCCTTCATCCATACAGACTTGGACCCTACACGTCTAGCACAAGCCATTGGCTATACAAAAGTTGACTTCAAAGAAAGAGTCCCGGTTCCGTTCGTCTCCGCTCCGCTCCGCAGCACGGCGTTGCCCCGACTCCATTGTCTTTGGTCACGCAAACGCCTTCGTCGAAGACCCGATGAATTTAGATGACCCTATCGATACATCGGTAGATGACCGTGTCGCTCTCTACGAGCCTATGGACATTGACATTGGCACGGACGTAGGCTGCAGTACCGAGACGATTATGCAAATGGCCATGGCAATCGCGGTGTCCGCTCCCGCTCCGACGCCGTTTAGGACGCCGCAGTCGATGCCGCAGGGACAGTCCAAATTCCCATAGTCGGCCAAGTGCATTTCCATTCACGCACTTTGCCTCTCCTCTGTCTGTCCCCGCCGTGGTTGCGTCCTTCCACGAGACGAATGAAGCAACCGAGTACATGAAGTTACACCATGTACCGAGGAACGCTTTGAATCAGAAGTACTTAGCGGCCTCTCTTCGTCTACAGGCGAACATACGATAGAGTCGATGTGCAAAGCCTTGATGACCGCCAATATACCCATTCAGATCGCTCTGACGACCAGTGGTTTCTCAGCTCTTATCCGGTTGCATGCACCACGAGGTTCTCTACAGGAATCTTCGCGGCTGTGAGATCTTCTGGGGCACCGTTTCGGCCGAGTGGCGCGTTGCTGCCGACCTAAGGCCCGCGATGTTCAGAAGATCGTCGAGACTTTCGTTCAAGCACGCCAGGCTTACAAGAACATCACCACACCGCTTACCCAGCTCTTTGGCCAGTGGAACGCCGTACGAAATCAGTTCTTACAGATGGGACCAGTTGTCCAGATGCAGCTCGCGATCCGACCAAGTCAGCTTGGCGCTATCACCAACGGTCTGCAGGGTATATACTTTTTGGCCAGGAAATTATTCATGACATTAACTGAGATAGACACCGGCACCGTGAGCTCGTCAGAACGTTCCCTAGACGAACCGAGTCATGAGCCGTGCACTCTCGCTGCTACAAGGGCCGAGGCACTCTACCGTGTACCTAAAAATATGGATATTACACGCATCCTACAGCTTCTGGCATCGAAACATGACGACGCACAGGGGCATCTTCTTCTTCTCAAGGAGGATCCGGCATATTTCCTGTGTGAAATTCGACAATAACATGCACACCGCATGGAACGAGGATGGTAACCCTCGTCGGAGAGCAAAGGAGCAGAACGAGCTTCTTTGGCGATCGCGCCTTGTCCAAACTGTGGTCTCATCATTCGTGGGGACGCATGCGTCAGAAACTCATTGAGCAATTGCTCAAGCCGACAGTTGCTCTGGGATGTTCTTTTCACACGACGATAGCTGCCATGATTGATGTTCTCGTAAGTAGCGTTCTTGCCGATTTCAGAAAGGGGGGAATGGTGCGTCAGGGAATATGCGACGTCGCTGCTAAGGCCTTGCCTTCGAGGCCAATGTGCAGTTCTTCGATGCACCCGATGACACCTACGGAGCCTTCGTATAGCTTACAAACATTCGGTATTAAAAAGGTATAGACACCAGAGACTTGTTGTACCTCCAGGAGTTTGTTGTAGTATTAAGAGGGGATTGCTTGCCGGATGTGAGCGGCTAGCGTATCGAGATTATGCACGTAAGGGGGCCCGACCCCTCTATTCTCGTTGACAAGCCCAGTGTTCAGCCCCACATCAACTTTCTATACACATGTGCCTTTTTGGTAGCTTTCCCAGATGCTGACAAATCACAAGTCTTGTTGTAATCTATCAGTGGTCTGGGTGGTGCTTGATTAAAAGGTCGGATGGAAAGGATTCCATCCGAGATGTATCTAAATACCTAAATTACAGTGGTGAGGTACCTGGGGCAAAAAAGGGTTGCCAGGCAGCCTTCATCAGGTAACCTCCAACATATCTGGTGGGGTTACCAGAATACTCCATATGGGTCCATGCAATGGATCCACACACATACATACAAAGTTGAGCTGGCGCCAGACAACCAGAAATACGTTTACAACGACTACGCTCTTAATATAACGTCGCATATGTTATTCTGTATATTTTTAAATACTAATACCGGTGGTTTAAAAGTGTTATTATATAATTACGTAGTTAATAATAACGATAAAAATACGGTATTTAAAGTTGTTATTACCGTTAAAGTATTATATATATTGATAGCTTAAATCCGTACTTATTAATATATATTTAAATTAATATTTATAACATTAATAGAAACGCATCGTAGTTATAAAACGTACTTTTATCGTAATTTATTAAAAAATTGTGAGATTCTAAAAGGGTCACAAGCCTTAGAGGTGTGAGCGGTCGCTGCAAATGTTGTTGTCATTCTCAAGTATGCTCGGCAGGGCTAATCTACAGCTAAATACCATACTACACTATGCCAGGGTGTATCCACTGTTCTCTTGACAGCCCTATAGTGGGTACTGCACCTAAGGGCACCATATCTGGGATCCAACATCTGACGAAAATGTCGAAAATTAAAATATCGACTTATTAATAACAACGATAAAAGTACGCTTTATAACTATTACGCTTTTGAATTAACGGTCGTATATATTAAACGTTGTTAGAATTTGTATGCGGAAATATTGGTTCATTCGTTCGTGGTTCTGTATCTACTTTGGTACGGACGAATTCACATCTAAATACAGGTGTAACGCGCCTGCCTGCCGTAGCGCTAGAGCTGTGGGGCAACGTCGCTAGTCGACCGTTCCTAGGGCGCTCGGACTACCCCAATCCACCTGGTCCGTGCGCGGACCACCTGCAGCCACACCACCTGCACCACTCCATCTAACAAACGTATTAATTTAAATAAGTACGAATTTTATCGTTATTGTATACTAGCTTAAAATTATAATAAATATATATATATTTACAAGTGTCAGATTTCAAAGGGTTGACAAGCCTGTGGTCTTGAGCGGTAGCTGCAATTGTTGTTATCATTTCTTAGCTATCCCAATTGGGTGGTATCTACACCTATTTGTACAGCTCCGGAGATGCCGGAGACGATCCTCCGGCCCACCTTTTCCTGAGTCAACGTACGATTCAGGGTGCTAGTCATGGCAGCCTGCTTGACTAGCCACCTGACTAGCCAGTACTCTACAGGGCATACGCCCTTGGAGATCACTTGAATTTGACAATAAGTGTTGACATACAGGTGCCGTGCAAGTGTCGTGCAGGTGCGGCGCCAGCTGCGCAACAGCTGGAATGGACCAGAATAGCTGGTCAAAGGAAGAAAGGGGCAGAAAGCCCCTATTCAGGGATGGGAAGCCCCCATTCAGGGGCTTTCAGGGGTGATAGACAAGAAGTCGTTGACAGTCAGATCTAAGGATGGGCCAGTCTTTCAGGATTGTACTGTATTTAGTACTGAGATTCGTCCCAAGGACCGAAGTTAGATCACGCAACCAGTACACACCATTCTTGACCCCATGATATGGTCCTGTATTGTGACAATAGGTAATATAAGGCTAAATGTTAAGCTTGTTAATAAGAGTAGGTATATATATAGTCTTATTACGTGCACCTTGAAAAAAAATTCCTTACGTGCACCTTGATTTCTAGCCACACCTGCAGCCACCTGCCACCAACTGCAACTAAGCCACCTGTCTCGGCACACCTACCAGGCTAAATGGCCACCACGATCGGGTTTCGTGTGGTAATGCCATACAACTCCAGATCATCATGTCCGTCATACCTGTATATGCCAATCGCAATCAAAACAAAAGGACAGCTTAGCCGAAGTGCATAGCCGTCACGATCAGGTTTCGTGTGGTGATGCCATACAATTTCAGATCATCGTGACCATCGGTCGCGTCTCATTAGATGACCATCGGTCGCGTTTAATTAAGGGGGGAGGCAGCCCACGGTAGATGGCCACTACGATCGGCTTTTATATGGAGATGCCATTCACTTCCAGATCATCGTGTCCCTCGCAGCTGGATACGTTGATCAGATGGCTATTGGTCACGTCAACCAAAGCCGAACTGGATGGCTATCACCATCGGGGTTTGTGTGTAAATACCACAATTCCAGATCACCATGCCCCTAGCAGCTGGGCTGGGCTGGCTACGGTAGCTGGCTAGACCTGGTTGGTGGTGAGCTTAGTGGCTGCCAGCTGACTAGCAGATGGCTAGAAATCAAGGTGCACCTAAGGATCTTTTTCAAGGTGCACGTAGTGGTACTGTATGTATAACCCCTCAACACCATCAACATTGATGCCACGCCGCATCACCCCCAGCGGTAGGTATTCATGACAGGCGTTCTATGAATCTCCTTAAGCGCTTGCTGCCAAGCAGATCCTGAAGCTCCAACAACACCTACAGAGATCTCACAGTATCTTTACTGCATAATGGCTGAGGAAGGCCAAGCGACGCCTGTGAGGCGTCATCGTGAGTAGCCAAATCTCAACATGCCCGGCAGACCATCAAGCTGAAATGCACGCGCAGAAAACCCAGCGATATTGTCAGTCGACTATCCGATTTCACCTCTTAGCCACTGCGACGATATGAGTAGACTGACGAAGATGACACAGCGTGTGCGACATCCAAGACAAGTTCCGCAACGCCATATGGCAATTCGATAAGATGTAGGCACATCCCCCGCATTGACCCAAATCATGCCCGGCCAGCACTAACCGAGGTCCTCAAACCACCAGACTCCTCACCGCGCAAAAGGTGCTGCGCGCCGCAGAGATACTGAAGATACCTATCTACGTGACGACGCAGAACGGCGGCAAACTGGGCCCCACGGTGCTGGAGCTGCAGCCACTCCTCAAAGATGCTGTAGTTTCCGCCGACAAGACGTACTTCAGTATGATGGTGCCTGAGGTCGCACAGCACTTCCTGCCGGGCCCGGCAACGACGACTGTGTACCCGTCTCAGGCGCAGCCGAAGCCGAAGAGCGAGGTCGTCATTGTTGGTATTGAGAGCCATATCTGCGTGACGCAGACGACGCTGGACCTACGTGAGTGGCTCGAGTGTTGTACCAAACCCCCTTTCCATCGTGGAAGTGCACCAACCCGAAATACCCTTGAGAACACTATATATCACTTCTACCTACACCCAAGATGATTTTTTCAACCTTATCAAAGGGATACTATAATCTGACTGACGACTTCCAGTGGCGGCCGGCCATCGCGTCTATGTGCTCGCCGACGGCGTCAGCAGCTGCAACGAGCAGGAAGTGCCCATCGCGCTGGCACGACTGCGCACCGAGGGCGCCATCGTCACGACGAGCGAAAGCTGGCTGTACGAGTGCATGGGAGACGCGGGCATTCCCGAGTTCCGCGACATCGCCAAGGTGGTTAAGGAGACGAGCACGGCTACCAAGACGGCGCTCGGCGGGCTTTTCAACAGCAAGATGTAGGCCGTGGTGCTTACAGAAGACCGATCAGTGTACGAGTGAGCGGGCCGGAAGGCGTCTGGTATGCCAGCCATGGTACGGTGGAGATAGACAGGACATTGCTTGCTGTATGGCATATGAACCGGAACCGTAAGTTAACGTCACCTTACGCGACATGACACTGAAGCTATGATTCCTTCTTTTCCACATTGAGTCTTTGATCATCAAGGTGGACCAAGTCCGCCACTCAAGAACAACTTACCACCGAAGCGGCGGATAATAAGACCTCCCCAGCAGCCTTCCCCATTGATCCCTTTCAGGCCGATGTCCCTCATGCTCGCCGTTGCAGCACTGCTCGCAAGCCCGCCGCCATCCCGGGACCGCTTCCACGCAGCCGCAGACGCAGATGCAGACACCCATACACGGACATCCCGGGTAGGCGTCGCGGCCGATGTTAGGATGGCGGCTATTATAACTCTCGTCGTCGCCGTAACTATCCCATCCCACGTTCCAATTAAATGGCATGTTGGCTAGTAGCGTAGTTGTGGACGTCGTCGGTATTTGTTAAGGTCTTTTCTTTTTTTGCGGCGAAAACAAGCGGTTTGTAGTTAATAGCGAGCTTCTCTTTTTGCCCGTTCGCGTGGCTTTTGTAGAAATCCTGGCTTTTATAGGAATTCTTCTTGGTTCTACCGTCAGAGGTAAAAGCCTGATCCAACTACCATCACTGAGCCCGCGTCTGTGTCTCGCTATGCGACATGAAAGATGTTTCTATGAATTCCAATTCTCAGCTAATATGCGTGCGTGTATGGGTATATATGTCACCAAAGGAAATCCTCCTCGCCGTACAAGTATTAAGTCCAGATCCAGGCTCATGTGCTGGATTACAGATCAAAAGGGCCGCGCCGAGGACCCCCGATTACTGGGCGTAGTAGGGGACACGATATGCGTGTCTCCCCCGTCTCCCGGCCACCCATTCGAGCCCAACGTCGACACAAACGGCGACTGCGGCGACGACTCTTCTGCCTCTCTCCCATCGTTCGACGGCGTCCTGTAGGCCGTCGTCGCGCGTTCGGGCGTCGGCGGCGACTGCTCGACTCCCTCGCGCTCGTCGTGCGACGGCGTCGTGCCCACTGCCGACACCCGATCATCTGTATCATCATAGTCCGTCCGCTCGCCGTCGCTGCCCGCCGGAAGCTCGTGGTAGACCACGGGCGGCGGCGGCAGCGACTCGCCATGCAGCTCCGTTGTGGGCCGGACGTGCGTCTCGTCGCCGTCGAGCTCCAGGCCGCGTGCTCCCGGCGGCGCGCTGGGCACCTTCTCGCCGTTCGCGGCGATGCCGACGCCGAGCGTCACGGGCGTGGACTCGGACTCGATCGTCGACTCCGGCGCGCGCGGGTTGGAGTTGTGCACCGGCCCGTGGAGGATGGAGTCGCTGGGTTCTGGGTAGGATGCTTCGCCGGTGAAGACGAATTGGTTGCGGCGGCGGCGGCGGATGAAGAACCAGATGGCTGCGCCGATGATGGCGAGGAGGGCTACCACGCCGATTACGATGCCCGCGATGGCGCCGCCGCCGAGTTTGGATGAACTGCCCGAGCTGCCCGAGCCCCCTGAGCCCCCTGAGCCGCTTCCTGGGTCAGATGAGCTAGAGTCGTCTTCTTTGGATCTGATGGTGACGATGTTTGCCTCGGCACCCTCGTTCCATGTACATGCCGAGACGTTGAACACGCCGCGCTCGTAGTCGGCTGTGAGGTAACTATGAAGGAGTGTTAGCGCCATCAATATTCCAACCAGATCAGAACAACTTCGTCGTTCGAGGAGTCCTTACGCTTCTTGGAGGAATGTCCGGCCCAACGTGTACTGAGTCTCATTGGCTGCCTTCTTCAGCGGGAAATAGTAGCTGGTATTCGCCACCAGCGGGGCCTCTGCCTGGAGGTCGAACGCATCGTACGGAAGCGTAATCCTTACGGCGTCTCCGCCCGAGGTGACATCCGATAGTCTGAAGGTCACCTGCGCATCCGAGTTGAGCAGGTCGGTATGGTGAGTGTCGTTCACCAGATACAAGCCAGACGTGGTGTCGAGAGTCAGCCCGAACGCTTCTTCGAAGGCGGTACACACGTCCTCCGGAAGCCAGAGGTTGGGGTCGGTGGAGTCGATGAAGATGCTGATGGGGTCGGTGAGCAGATTGGATGTAGCCGATCCGCTGTAGCTTATGGACTGGAGGACAACGACCAGGTCCCGAGTCTGGTCGTCTGCCATGGTGAAGGTGACCGAGTTCTCCGTGAAGCGGGACGTGTCGTACCCGGAGAAGATCAGTTGGCCGTAGACTTGCTTGAGACCTGTCCGGTGATTAGCAGCAATTCAGAAAACGGGACCAGCTCGCATTTCTACTTACGATATTTCGCGCCCGCGGTATAACTCCAGCTCAAGCTTGGGATAAGACTTTGGTCCTTGAGGGTCGAGATGAACGAAGAAGACGTATTATTTCCTACACCAGTGAAGTTTACCGGCTGGCTGTTCAGTCCAAAGATTCCCCTATCACGTTCGCGAGTCAGAAACAGGCCAGCATGTGAGCCATGGCAACACTAGCTTACATATAGAAGGGTTTGGCTGTTTCGATACCACCGACGACCTGGTTGTCGACTTTAGGTCCCGTGAGACCTATACCCAGAGTATCATTGGCAAACGCGACGGGCTGGGAATAGCCGAGGTTCGCCTCAAGCCCAACCCCATTCTGCCAGTTGGTGCTGTAGGTGTTGATGCCGTAGAGGCCGATATAGTCATAAGTTGAAGAGTCATTGGGGTTGAACAAGTTGCCCCTAGAAACTGCGCAGTCCGACGGCACCGGTGTCAAGACCGCGGACGAGCAGCCGTAATCTGACAAAGGAATCAACGTCTCGGGAGAGGCCGTAGAAACAAGCACCCTTATGTCTTGTTCTGTAGACCCGACTCGGACGTCGAAGCTGCTCCATGGTCCGTCATTCCCCTCACTACCCGCTACGTCAGCTGATGGACAGACACAAAGCCATCGAGAAAGACGGAACATCTTACAAGTATTCACTCGGAGCTATCGAAACAGCCTCGAGCGTGGTGTCTTTGGATGAAGAACGTGCAATAAGGGCATGGCTATCACCCCCAGATGCCCTAGACTCGAGCATCCAACAGCAACATAGTGTCCAAAAGACCACCGCAAAATGCATCATAATGGAGAACGCGTACACAAACACCAAGACACATGCATTAGAAAAGCATTTGTGCTGAAGAAAAAGAAGCGCGTCCTGGTTAACGATAGTCGGTAGAGTTACTCGGTTGACCGTTGAAGTCCCCAGAATGTGTGTGGGTATGGCCAGACCCCAGCCAGTTTTGCACCCACATCGTCTCCGGTCGGTAAGTCTACTGCCGTAATAACGTTCCGAGCTCATCCACCAAAACCCCTGGCGATATCGAAGCAGGTTTCCAGAAGGAACGTCATGGTGGCTGTCAACGTAGCATCGGTAAGCCAACCCCTGGCGCAATGCCAACGCCGTGGGCCAATGATGGACGCGCAGAGGAGACGTCAGGGGGGCCCGGTCGACCACAACAAGCAGGCACACGGCCGCTACCCCAGAAGGAGGACCGCCAATCACGGACCGAACGTCGAGGTGATCCCACTTCGCAATGTTAATCTCCAGGCCGTGTTGCCAGTCATTTCCCCTTGCGGCCATTGAGCCGACCATGACAGCGTCGACACGTATAGGCAGGGGGGTTCTGCCAGATCATGATCAACAGAAGCGAGGACCATGCGCAAGCGAAGAGGTCTGCGCCCAGTTGCCACACTGCCGGTGGTGTGCCGGGCAGTCGGATAGGTCTTGCTCAGCCATCCCAGCGTCCAGCCATCTTTCAAATAAGACTGCAGGTGTGCCGAGTTTTCGATGCTTGTCTGTTCGGTTCAGCCCAGCTCTAGTTCAACCCTCGTTATTGCTCTAGACCTGCTCGATTTGTGCTTCACTCGTTCAATCGCAACTTCTCGTTAGTGCAGAAGAAGTCAAAGCCGAAATCGCAGATATGTTGTCCGCTACCAGATCATGGACGACGGCAGCATTGCTAATGCTCGGGGCGAAGGAGGCGTTCGCGGGTGGTAAGTGATTGACCGCCATGAAGCATTCTCATGACTTTGTTTGGACCTGACTAACATTTTGAAGCTCTTCACCAGGAGGACTATCCAATCTCCTACAGTAACACATCTACCAAAGATCATCACACTGTTGTCGATTCAACCACCACGACTACGACTGAGTGTATTGACAGCACCGTCATATTCAGCACCACCAGCACATGTACCATCATTGATACATTGACCACCACCATACCCACCACCACTACCGGTACCACAACCGTCACTGTACCGACCACCATCATTGATACAGTGACCAACACGGATACCACCACCAGTGTCGGTACGACAACCATCATCGTGGTCACTACTGTACCAACGACGGTCACGGAGTACGCACCCACCACGACCACGTTGCCGACGACTATCACAATCCCCAAGCAATACACCCAGTTCACGACGAGTAGGTAATTCCCAGAGACATCTCTTCACACACGCAGCATGTCACGGGAAGTTTGGTTGTTGTCTGTTGTCCACGGGACTTCTTAATCAGGGGGATGTCACGACACTCTCCCACTTAATGAGCACATGTATCTAGAGCGTTCTGTACAGGCTATGGGGCGAAGGGGCTCATAGAAATGTAACACACTTGAACTCACGGGATATGATATTTCAAAACTTCAAAACCTTACCACATGATCCTCATAGAGCTCATTGCTGACCCGTGTTGCTTGTAGTCACTTCGATTGATGAATGTCCGACAACATGCAGTATCTACGCCGGCACGGTCGACGTCTTCTTCTGGCCGACCAGCGACAACTACACGTATCCGTCCACATATGTCCAACCAGGGATCGATTACACCTTGTAAGCATATTCTCTCATCCTTCTCTCGCGCGACCTATACATATACTGACCCAAAATGCAGCACATCACCGTCGATATACATGCTCATCCCTACCATGTACGGCACCAACTCCCTCGGCCGTGCCGGGCCCTCGGCCAGCAACACCATCTGGCCCTTCGACCTGGATGAGGTATCGACCTTCCTTCCGGGCGGCACGTCGGCGTCGGCGCAGCTCACGCTCGATGACCTGTACACGGACTGCCCGAAGTCAGCCGACGCGTCACAAATCTTGACCATGGTGGACCCGCACTGTGACCCAATACTCGTGGCCCCCGACGCCATTAAGGCGTGGGCGCAGCCTTGCAACGCCTGCGGCCAGTTCGGACTGTTCGACCCACCGTACGCGGTGCCGACGCTGACGGGGCTGATCCCCGTCACGACGACGACCGAGGCTACGACGGCATCCCCGGCGCCAACTACTACTGTTGTGCCGGTGACGACTACCTCTGTTGCCGAGACTACTACACCTACTTCTGTGGCCGAGACCACCTCAGTTCCGGAGACCACGTCTGTCGCGGAGACTACCTCTGTTGCGGAGACTACTACACCAACCACGGCTGCTGGGGAGACGACTACCCCGACCACCGCTCCTGCGGGGACGACTATTTCCCCGACCACAGCCGCGGACACGACGTCAGCCGTGACGACCGTCGGGTCGAATGGCGTGACGTCGGTGATCTACCTGCACAACGGCACTCCCGTCGGTACCAGCATCGTGGCTACAGCGACGGCGACGACCGCAGAGACAACCGCCGCATCAACGGGCGGCGAGGGTGCCTCGACGACCGGTGGTGCCGAGACTGGCTCGTCGACTGGCGGTGATACAACTACGGTAACCGGTAGTGAAACATCCACTGGTGCGGGTGCCACCGCGACCGATGGCACGTCCACGACAGATGCCACCGCAACCGATGGGGCATCCACGACAGGCGCGTCCGCGACGGGTGGTGAAACTTCCCCAGGTGCCACGACCGCCGACCCTGGCTCGTCCACCGCCGCTACCACCAGCACAGACGCATCATCCACGGCCTCGTCGACGACAGATGGGACCACCGCTTCCTCGTCGGCGTCTTCGACCGATCCGGCCTCCACCGGCGCAGCCGGAAGACTGACCCCCCGCGGATGCGCTGGTGTATTGGCCGGACTGTTGGTGTCGGCGTGCTTGTTATAGTGAGATTGTGAGAATGGATGTTGACTGGCCTAAAGCGGATGGACGGAGAGATGAACAGCGAATGAAACAGGGGATGAAGGAGCAGCGGATGAACAAATATAATGTTGTAATGGCTATTTTATGATTTGAGTACATGAGGACGACGTTATACCCGGTTGGTTCAGATGCACATAGAAACAACTGAATGAAATAAGAAAGAAAGAAAGGCTTCGATGCAACTCGTGAACTCACAACCCTTGACTCGGGCTTTCGCTAGTACCCATATAAGAAAGACTTCGGCTGACTCGGACAACCTGTTTCGAGGTACAATGACAGACCAGTAAGTTGAAAAATACCCATTCTGTCTTAGTGTACTATGAATTTGAGTCAGGAGCTACCGAGGATCGAGCTGTTTTCTGAGGTCTGCAAGTACGGAGAAACCGGATTAACTCAGTTTGCCGCCATGTGTCGTCTGATCTTAGACCCAGGATTCATCGAGGAGGCATCATCGAGATACGAGCTATCGGGACCTAAAGGGCTTTTCCGGGCTCTTGAACACCGCGTGGCAGACGAAACAGCCACAATACTTCGTCTGATCTTTGGCGAAGACTTCATCGAGGAAGAATTGAGGAGCCAACAACACAGTCAGACTGTGTTGACTAGACGGCACTGTTCCGGTAATACAAGCGTTCGTGAGCTCGTATCATTAATCATCTGAATCTCTCGTGAAGGCACGTCCTCCTCATCCTCCGGTCTTTACGTCCAGTTGTCCCCATCACTCCCCGTTCTCAACAAGGTACGTGTTGGAGATGACCTTGAAGCAGCGTCCATCGGTGCAATTCTTATACACCAGCCCCTCGCGGTTCTTGCCATGAACCCCCGTGCCAACCGCCCGCTTCAGAAGACCCTCCTGGTTCTTGGCGATCTCGTGCAGCTTGAAGTATCCCTGGACGGGGACATGACGTAGGCCGAGCAGGCCGGCGCGTTCTTCCGTGACCTTGGGAGGGACGAAGCTCTGCGCGTCAATGTCGAACATGCGATAGACGTAGAACTCGTGCTGGCCCTTCGCAAAGCCCTCGCGGTTGCGCGCTATGCTCTCGCCGCACAGCTCCCCTTGGACGGCCACGTTGCGGTTGATGTTGGCCAGTTTCTTCGGCAGGCCGTTGGCCAGTGCGACCTCCCACCATCTTCCTTCGGCGCTGCTTTCGGGTAGGTCGTGCTTCCGGCTGCATACTCCGATGCGGCCTTGCGGCATGTCCGATTTGGATCCTGCTGGCAGAGGGGGCACGCTTTTGTACCACTGTGAGTCTCTTCGTACAAAGTAGACGGTCATGGCCATGCCATCCATCTTGGTCGACTCCTGAAAGACCACGTTCTTGTACTCCGCGGTATATAGGTTACCGCAGTTCTGCACTCTCTCGATGTCGGTCTTGGGGATGAACGCCGGGGGCGCTCCTAGTGATCGTGTCGACTCGGTGGCGGAGAGCTCCCACTTCTGTACCTTAAGCGGAGCCTCGAAGGACATCTTCATGATCTTCTCGACGGCAACATCTCCCCCCTCAGTCTTCTTAACGGCATCGAGTACGTTGGTGACTTCCGGGAATTCCTTGATGGGGTAGACGAGGCCTTGCGAGATCTCCTTGCCCATCATGATCGACTTGACGTGGAATCCTTTGGTGCCGTTCCAGGTGCTGAAGTTGCTGAGCGGCATGAAACGAGGGTCGGATGCCGGGAGGAAGCAGTCAATCTCGAAGAACAGGACGAGGTCGCCGACAGAGAACTTGCCAGTTTTGACAGCGCAAGTCCATCCGTCGATGTGGACGATCGCCATGGTGCCAGAGATAGGCCGAATGGAAGCGATCCGTCGAACGCAGACCAGCTTGCGGCTCATGTTAGCGGTATTCGGTTGACTTGTCGTGGTGTGTGTGTGTATGTTGTTGAATGTCAACGACAAGTGAGTGAGAGCTGCGGCGGAGGATTGACGAAGTGTCTGGGGAGAAGCAGTGAAGGAACAGGAACGGAGAGGACTTGAGCACTGCCAGTGAATTTATCTACGCGAAGTATCGAAGGGAGACAATGGGATAGAGCTTGACCAAGGCAAAAGAGACAATATATTTAGTGAGAATATTCACCCGCGGGCATACTGCCAGTCTCCGCAGCGATAGGTACAGATCTTGTCCGGGGGAGGTGTCGAGCAACGCTTGAATTAATCTTGTTGCCGGGGCAGATGAAAAGCTTGCCCGTGATAACTTATTAGTAGCAATAGAGTTGTACTTCTTACGTTCAGGGTATAGCCGAAGAATATCGTAGTCGGCAACAACTTGCTCAAACTAAGCTTCGGATAGTCCCACAACCCGCAGCAGGAAGAGATAATACAGCGATGCCAGCGCAGATGGCCCAAGCAACATATCAAAGCTGCCGAAACATAGTCCCATCCAGTCATCACTTTCTCAAACCCTCCCAGCCGGAACCGCCGCCGGCCCCTGAATATGAAAAGTAGTGATAGACCGCGCCGCTACCCTCCCTCCCACCGCTTACGATGCAGAAGCCGGTGGCGACAGCCATGTTGAAGAGCAGGTCCAGCAGCGACCGACCGCTGTCTCGGCCTTGTCCCCCCATGTGGGTGATCAGGCTGGGCGCGCTGGAACGCGAACGAGCACCCGAACCCGTCCATGGTCTGGTACGTCTTGGTCGGGTCGCCGGTGATGGTCGAGGCCGCCCGGCGGTGGTTAGCCAGGATGGCATTGCCGCTGTGAGCGAGGGGGAGGGCCGCGGCGGGGACGGCTAGGAGCTCCGCGAACCTCATACTGGCTGACTGTCTCAATGCTAAGTTCTGCGCTGTGAGTAGACTCAGGGGCAACAGAGCCTCAGCTAGGAGGCTGCCGTCTCTGCTCATAATGCTGAGTATCACACCAAAGCATCTCCTGTCGGCTCTCACGAAGGACTTCTTGCTATCTGCCGGGTCGACCGTCGTTACTTAGGAGCTCCTGTACTGTTCTTGACTCTATTGTCACCAGACAGCGCGGTGCCGTCCGAATAGACTCAGCGCTACCAGGTAGTATTCCCGGAACGTGGGGACGCTGCGGGTGTCTACCTTGAAAGCCATGTGGTCGTCACATTTAAGCTCCGCGGGAGACCGTCTCCGCGTCTTGGTTGTGGGGTAGCCGAGTCTGTAATAGCCCCAGGAAGCCCAGGCCAAGGGCTTAACTCACCATCATCCTAGGGTGAACCTGGGGAGAGCAGGATGGGGTCTGAGTATATGATTTAGCGAGATCAGTATATGCCGCTGGTGGGTGGTATATGTACCAGGTCAGAACCAAACCAAATGACATCAATACACAATGGTCCATTCAAAAGGTTATCACCGCCCGTCAAGATGACCTTGGTTCTTGGCACGGACGGGTGGAAGTGGGTTTATGAGCCCTGATGCGTTTCCGGGGGTGGATCCTCGCAGAGGCACATGAACATCTGCTAGGCATTGTTATGTGTCTGATCCAGGAAGGTGGATGAGTGTAGCCTCACCAAGCTCTCATATCGAACATCACACATCAGTAAAAGGCACTTCACGAAAGAATGCTGGGGCGTGGATTGCTGGCTAATGAGCATTGACCCATCTCTTGAGAGATGGTGCTGATTGCAATGGTATATAACTGCCAGATAGTCTCGATATATAAGTTGTACCTCGATGTCAGGGAGCTCCAGAGTTGTCCCAGACACATATTCATCTTCTCGAAGTAGATCAAACATCAAAGTCGCACGCTATTCGCTTCTCCCGCGACGCTCGAAGGAACGTGTTTCGGGTCTGGTGAGCTCCCCTTTGATTGACACTTCCTCACGAAAGAGATTTGGAATGACAGATCAGGCGGCGGCACTTACAGCCCTTGCCGAGTTTCGAGTTTCGCGTTCGAGCAATGTTTCCATGAAACCATTAGTAGGCTTCGATGCCTTGATTTCTTGGGCGACTTGACGATCGATACCGAGCTGCTCGTCGGTCCAGAGAGGCTGCTCGATGCTTTTCCCGGTTTCACCCACACCGATGAAACCGCCTTCAGCCGCCCATTCGGACGTACGCTTGATTCCAAGCTTGGACCAAATCTCGTCAATGGCATCGACCAATTGATCGCGGTATTCCTTCGTATGACCTGGGGTTGGCGTGATACGCAGACGCTCCTGTCCTACCGGCACGGTAGGATAGTTGATTGACTGTACGTAGATCTGATAGTCGCTCAGCAACATATCCGAGGCTTGCTTCGCAAGCTCAGCGTTGCCTACTAGGATCGGGATGATATGAGAGGGATTCGGTATGACCGGGATGTCTCTAGCATCCAAAGCCTCCTTGACAGCACGGGTATGGAGCTGCTGGAGCCGCCTGTCGCCCTTGTATTCCCTTTGATACTCAATGGCAGCGGTTGCACCAGCCATGGTGGCTGGAGGGAGCGAGGTCGTGAAAATGAAGCCAGGTGCAAGCGATCGGATCATGTCAATAAGCTTAGCACTGCCCGCGATATATCCACCAACGCACCCGTACGCCTTGCCCAAGGTGCCAGTGATGATATCTATGCGATCCATGATGGTTCCCTCGGGTCTTCCTTGTTGGTGAGCTTCGAAATCGAGATGTTCCGCAACACCTGCGCCATTTGGACCGTACATGCCGACAGCATGAACTTCATCGAGAAAGGTGAGAGCACCGTACTTGTCGGCAAGATCGCATATCCCTTCAATAGGTCCAATCGAGCCACACATGCTATAGACAGACTCGAAGGCAATGACTTTTGGCACATGAAGCGGTAATGAAGCCAATTTGGCTTCCAGATCCTCAAGATCGTTGTGTTTGAACACGATCTTTCTGGTTCCTGAGTGGCGTATGCCCTGGATCATTGACGCGTGGTTCAGGCTGTCAGAGAGAATCACACATTCGGGGAGTTTGCTCCCCAGTGTGGCTAGAGTGGCATCGTTTGCCACATAGCACGAGCTGAAGACGAGTGCAGCTTCTTGGGCGTGAAGCTTGGCGATGGTACCCTCGAGTTCGACTGCGTGTTTGTTGTGGCCAGAGATATTTCTCGTACCACCAGCACCGGAACCGTATTCGTCCAAAGTCTCGTGCATCTGCTTCAAGACCTGTGGGTTCCTGCCCATTCCAAGGTAATCATTGGAGCACCAGACTGTCACGCGCTCTTCCTTGTTGGCTCCGTGAGCCTGCGGAAACTCCTTGGCCAGGCGGTTGATGTTGTTGAAGTAGCGGTAAGACTTGTCCTTGTGTTTCTTGTCCAGTTCCCCTTCGTAGAATCCGTTGTAGTCGAACCTGGTGCTGGGATCCGCCTGATTCCCGCTAGGCGAGGCAGCATTGGCATTGCGACTGCCTGGCGCAGCTGGGGGAAACTGGACTACGATGCATTGTTAGTCCAAGCCGACTTCGACTTTTCCCGAGCACACTTACCGCTTTCACGAGCCACGAACACAGGGCTGTCGACAGCCCTCGCCTCCTTGGGACGACTGGTATGAATCTTGGCCTTCCCTGGCTTGGAATGGCCGGAGAAGTTGCGGAGACCCGTCACAGTAGCAGCGCCATGGATTCCAGTCTTGCCACCGAAGCGGGCGGACTGGATGGCGAGGGCCTTTCCCATGACGGGGCATCGCTGGCCAAGCAGCTGGAGCTTGGAGATGGTGCCGCCGCACTGAGAGGCCTGGGGCCGGGTCGAGGTCGACAGCGCACGAAGAGTGGCCGGTGACGCCTTCTTCAAGAAGGGGCACATGGCCTTGGACTGGCGAAGAACAGCGTCCATGGTTGCAAACACCGAGGGAAGGGTCGTGGTCGATTGATACGGTTCGATTCGTTCCAAATGATATGATTCAGGAACAGAGCTTGTCAAGCTGAGCAGAAGGGGCTCGCACACTGGCTTTGTAGTCGGTAAGCAACGATGATCGTATGTAAGACAGTCTAGCCTGGGCTTGGCCTAGGGACTTGGTCGTCTCTGGACTCGGATGCTCGGTGTCCCGCAATTTGCAGTTTGCAGTTTGCGTGTCATGCATTTGCCCCGCCAAATAATCATCCGAGGCCCCCCCGCCAGACCCAAACACGCCTAGTCAAGGACAAATACACTTCCTCTCATTGGCCAGCTGCGCCAGGCTAGACTCGGAAGGGTATCGTCTCCTAAGATTTTCTAGATGCACCCATCAACCATCCAGCCGGCACCTGCGCCGCTGCGACGCCGATGAGTCTGTGAGCTCGACTTTGCCGGACTGAGAGCTACCTCAACGTAGCAGGCAGGCCGTATGGCTTAATGGTCAAATGCGTCTGGTTGTGTTCTCGTTTGTGCGGTGGGCGACGAGAACAAGTGGGTTCGAATCCTGCTATGGCCCCCTTCTGACCCGGCTTGTGCGAGTCGACAACCAGCACACGACAGTGGAGAGGCCCCTTATCGCAGAGCCCGATAGCCAAACAGCTTGTCTCCATAACACCCATTCCTGCGAGATTTTTCCCCTTGTGGTTTCCCTCGCCAGCAGATAACAAACACCTATTTCACCCACCAATGCGACATATATCAAACGGCTACTGGAACGATGTGTACACCAGAGGACTGAGGTTCACTGGGTCGCTTTGTCACTGGACAGGAGGTTTTTCTGACGGAATCGTGCTTGGGTATTGACTAAAACCATCTGGTCACTCCAGGTTGGTACCGCTACAGCGAGGATAGGCTCGTGCGCGGATCTGAATGTATCTAGACTGACACCTCTACAACCTTGCGATGCAATGGCTCTGGGAGGCGTGGTTTGCCCTATGGAGGGACTGCACCCACGATAAATACAATCAATCAATCAATCAGACGTAGCAGGCAACATAATCTACACCATATGTACCCCTTTCTTCAGATGCAATGAGTACGAGTTCACTCTGTCAAGTATCATCGTCGAGGTCAGACTATAAGGTCCAGCGCGCACACGTGATGTATAACAGAGACAGCACCCAGCCGGCCTGTGAGAACCAGTAGTATGACGACGATGCCGTACAGCACAGCTTATGCGAAGCAACGCTGCATCGACTTTGCATCATGGGGTCGACTACTCAATCTCTACGTCTTCATTCTGCGGGCAATGTCATTTCCGCAGAACTACTAGGGAGCAATAGTCCGGTCTGAAAGCCAGGTCAGATGACATTGTCTTGGACCGGAGACGTGCATAAAGCTACCTGTACCTACTGGTAAGCTCCCGTTATTTTTGTACTTCAACGTTAACCTGCCTGTGTACCTGTGTTGTTGTTGGATTAAAGGTACGCCTAGAAGGCACCTTGACAGGTAGACAACGGAACCTAGTTGTTCCGTTCCGATCCAGCCCCCTCTGGCACAAAACAGCCACGGTCGCACAAGGACACTCTAGACAGAGAGAATACACAAAAAAAACACTTCACTCTCACAGTTGGCTCAAATCTGACAGTTGTAGAACATCTGGCTCGACCAGATTTATAGGGGCCCCTATATGGTGTCCTCCCTATTCGATCCGATGGTGAGACAGCATGATCTCAACAGGTGCGCACGAAAATTAGAAGGCCCAAAAGAAGGTTTGAGTTATACTAAGGTAGATGAACGTTGACCACGATAGTCCTGCGCCTGACGTGGGTAATCTTCCTATATCCTCATATGACTTCCGGGACTTCTCATAACGATCACATCTTACATTATACGTCTCCTGATAAGACCTGAGGATAGGTCAAGTTGACCGCGGGCTGTAACAACCTGCTTCCCGATATTTTCCATACTTTGAAGCTGGCAGTTTTCGAGGCAACCTGCGGGTTGGCGTGCATATCTGCACGCTCGGAAAACTCCCTTCCTTATAAGGAACTCCAACTTACAAGATTATAGATCACTTGGTATTTATTGTAACACGTCTTTAAGGTCTTGATTCTTTAATCTAGACTTCCTTCCCAGGAGACAGCATCCCTCGAGCTAGCATAATCCCGCATCTTCAACATCCGCGGGAACGCTGGGTTCGAGGAGCACTTGCCGCTGAATCAGCTCCTTCCCCGCTCCAATGACGGGTATTCAACTATCCTCTGACACGTCTTCTTTCCCTAGGTACTTACTAAAACGATTATAGTTCTGACGTGTGCCGCCGCTTGGGTAACGGCCTACTAACCTTCAACCGTTCTGGCACAGTCCCACATAGCTGGTTGAGGCTCAAGACATCAGTGAAGTGTATTGTCAAGCAGACTGAGAATACCAGTATCGCAGTGATTTTCGTGGGTACATTCAAGTTCGTTCTTCAGTGAAGTCAGGAAGACCACATTCCCCTATCAGAGACTTTCCAGCTACAACTCCCTCGCAGCGGTCAGGATAGATTGTCTGAGACTTTCGGCCGCAAGAATGCCCAAGGTTGTCTATACCAACCAGGTTCAGTTGTCATACTCATCACCTGATTTGCTGGTGCCAGACCAGAACCGTGAATGGGCAAAGGTCTTTGTTGCGTCTGGAGGAGGCCGCTCAGTGGTGATCGGAGTACTGTTGCTGTGAAGTGAGTACGCACTATTACCCCAGGGTGCCTCTTCCAGCGAAAGAGGTATCACGAAATGTTACCATGGTGCGTGGACGGTGATTGATGAAGGGTGTGACTGTACGTCTGTCAGTCATTCTGCCTCTTGAGAGACGATGCCTTGTATCGATTTGTGCCTGTTCGATAGAGGCCGTCTCAAAAGGAACTCGAGGTCAAGCGGGCAGGATTCAGTTATTCTCACAGCCCCCGTTGAAACGCCTGAGTGATGTCCATCCACGGTAATCGTCTATAATCAATCATGTCATTCCGAAAGATCCGCTCCGAGAAGCAGGGGATGACTTTGCAGATCTGGAAGATGATGATCTATCTGATGTGTTCTTTTAGTCCAGCTTACATGCCCACCTCCTAACCTTTATGGGCCACCACTGCTATGAGTTTAAAAGCGCCTTGAGAACATAACCTCGGAAGCTTGCGCTGCCCGTGGAAAATCGTGATGATAAGTGTCTGGAACCAGTTCCGAAAAAGGGACTCTGTATCACTCAACAACAATTATATCGATTTGCACATTGACCTGCCGATCATGGAGCAGAGACTCCAGAGGCTGTTAGGAGGATATCGGCTTGACCATCATAGATATCTAAAGACTGGCGTAATTGTATGCTTCCTGAAGTGGGCGAATTAGATAAGCAGCACAATGGGTAGCGGTTGAGACAGTGCCGATGGCTCCGATATGCCAACGTGAGGCTGGCTCTTCACCGCTCGCATGCCACAATAGACTCGACCTTAGGTTGCAACGGATGAAACGAGTCGTGCGGGATTTCGAATAGAGTCTAGACTTGGGGAAGGGAATGTTGAGAAATACCGTGGACGTTGCGCAGGGCTTTGTTGGTGGATCATATGTGGCTTTTTGGGGTTGGGTAGTGGAACGCTCCAGGAGCTCTTAGCACTGCGACTGGCAGCAGTGGCAGCCTTTAGCGGAGTCTTAGCACATAGAGCGCCGTTGATTGGCTCAACAAGTCGCGTGCCGGTGAGAGTTGACCCTCCAGCGCATCCCGCAATCGCCCTTTTCTGCCGCTGGGGAGCGTCGCCGAGGTTCCTCCCGCCCACCATTACCTTACCTAAACTGCTATAGCAGACAGCCATATTCATCTTGTGACCTCTGGTCGGAACTACAACTTCTGTCACGAGCCTACCCAAAGAGGCACTCTCTCGTTGTGCTTCCCGCTCAGCAGCACCTGAAGCAGTTGTCGATATCCTCATGCGACAACCACTTCGAACCCTCCAGGTCAAAACTCCCCAGAGTCCCAACAAACCTACCGTGAACCTGCCCCACGATACGATAACTCTAAAAAGTCATCCCACCCCCGGCCGCGAAGCTTCTTTCTGACCCCGCCGCTCCGGCCGACTTGCGACGAGTCGCCTATGCATATTCCGAAATGTCCTTCGTATCCTATCTGACCTACTTCCTTGTGGGCTACACCGCTCTCGTCATCGGCTTCTACATGCTCTCCCTCGCCACGCCGAAAGCTGCCTTTGTGGCCCGCACGCTCGCCGGCTACCTGGCGCTGATAATATGCACCACGTACGGAGTGATAGTGTCTATAGTTATGCGCATACTCGGATGGCATGGGAGCGCGCAGTGGATGACCGGCCGCTCTTTCAAATATGTCATGGCTGCAACCACGGGCATCTCGTTTGAGGTCATCGACCCAAAGCGAATCCTCGACAACACCCGACCGGCCGTATTCATCGGTAACCACCAGACCGAGCTGGATGTTCTCATGCTGGGCACCATATTCCCCAAGAATTGCAGTGTGACTGCCAAGAAGAACCTGAAGAACGTACCCTTCCTGGGATGGTTCATGTCGTTGAGCGGAACCGTCTTCATCGACAGGAAGAGCTCCAAGGACGCCCGGCAGGCCATGGCCGGTGCTGCCAGGGAAATCCAGAGGAGGAAGCAGAGCGTCTACATGTTTCCCGAGGGGACTCGAAGCTACTCCAAGGAGCCTGCGCTCCTGCCGTTCAAGAAGGGCGCTTTCCACCTTGCCGTTCAGGCGGGTGTGCCCATCGTCCCGGTGGTGGCCGCCAACTATTCCCACATCCTCTACATCAAGGGAATGGTCTTCAATGCCGGCAGAATCCCCGTTAAAGGTGAGACGAATACACATAAGTTTCGGCTGCAAAGCAGCGCTAACATGAGCCAGTCCTCGACCCCATCCCCACGACCGGATTGACGACCGAAGACGTCGAAGAGCTCGCTCGCAGCACTCGGGAACTCATGCTTAAAGAGATTGTGCTTCTGACTCAGGTTGCCCAGAACAATCCCTTTGCGGTGCCTGCGAAGATCGAAGACGGGGTGGTTCATGCTAGTGGAGTGGACGCAACTCTCTCATGATGCAAGCATGGCCATGACGGCATATAGGCAATCGCAGGATTCGTTGCCGGAGGGCCGTCCAAGATACATATACTTCTGTTTTATCAGCACATGGGCCCAAGTGGGGGACGAAGCCGAGCTACAAGCTTGGTACTAGGGGTGAGGAGGCACATCGTCCAGACCAACATACTGCGCATGCATCGATACCCCTATATAGAATGATGGCAGTCAGAAGGGCTGTTTTTGGCGACACCGGTCGTTCCTATTCAAGAGGCAGCGATGGATGAGCTCAATTTGAGATGAGAATGGCTTTAAGCCTACGGCTTCCGGGCTTCAAGAACCATATCTTGGCTTTGCATAGAGGCTGACAGCCCAGCATTGCCATAGGGGCCGCGGACTAGAGCGTGCCATGGTAGAATTGGAATATACATGCGTTTCAATAGAAGTTGAGAGTGATCAAGGTTCATACATGCTCCCAAGATATGTATAACAAGCATATAACCAACCCATCATATCGTTTGGTTGTACAGGAGCGGACGATCTACTCTACACTACCGGGAACAGCCCAACCTACGAGAGGCGCGTATCCTCGAAAGTGCAAGGAATGGCATCAGCTAGAGGAGAACAAGATCATTTGCATTGCAGTGAGCAGTCATGTCGCACATGGAACAACTGCAGGTAGGTTGCAACCAAGCCTGCCACCATAATCACCCCCCTTTTCTCTTCTTGACGTAAGCGGGGTAATGCCGCCAGCCAACTCATCCAGCTTTGGTACCTCGATTCAACCAAGTACATACCTCAGCCGGAACGACACCCACCCGGGAACAGACCTTGGTTTTCCCGATCTCAGGCCAGAGCGCCGGAACTGGTCCAATCCTGTTTTGCTACAATGATGCATCGTGATGTCCACAGTCCGACGGGCCGTAGGCAGGGAGGGAGGGAGGGGCAGAAGACCAGGCACGAATCAAGCTTAGCTGGCCGGCTAGGGGTATGGGGCGCTTGAGGCAACCAATCGCCTGCCCCGGCCCCCTTCGAGCTCCCCACTCACCGCTTTGAGCCCCAGTTTGATGGCTTGAGCCTTGAGCCTTGATGGCTATCGCGATCCCACCTGCACTCCTCGGATCATGACGTGCGGACGGGCCCTCCCTGATTCCCGTCCAAGATATGCTCTCCAGCTCCAGGTTCCGTTCTTCACTTCCATCGTCACCGGGTATAGAAATTGAAATTGACGCAACAGGTCATCCTTGCTTTGCTGAACGGCTTCAAGTGATACCAGGCCAAACCTACCAGCCGGGTGGGCTCACGCCAGTCATCACAGTCACAGTTGAGCCACATATGCAAGACTACAACCATGCCCTGGCCACTGAGCTATTGATTGAGCCCCGCAACCTGGAACGCCTGCCAGACCCTGAGAATGAGATATGATGTGATCCCAGAGGGGAACTGAGACATCCTGTTTCGCATACCTAAGGTAGTAAGTACTTCTCTTGAGTCTTCCGCGTACCATCCATCGTCACCATGCGGGCCAGGAGTCATGGATACTAGCGAAGCTTGCTGCATTGCCGGTGCCATTGGGTATGATGTCCTTCTGGCAGGTGGTTGTTAGCAGCCAGATCCCAAGACTACCTGCTTGTGAAGGGGACTATTCTTCTTGCCGGACAAAACCTACCTCCCAGGTACATGACAGCTAGGTAGGGTTAAAGTCTCCCGAGGACAGGGATGACACAAGTGGCTACTGTAGGTACCTCCCAAGGCGTGCCTTGACGCACGTGGAGAGGCAGCCGGTGACGTACTACGCCATCTCCTTGCAAGTTGCAAGTAGGTACCTAATACCTATGGCAAACCTTCCATGGTTGCGGGTTTCCCCTCTCCCAACTTCCGAGCTAGAGGAGAGTTCCAAGTCGGGAGGGAGGAGCTTCCTGGTCTGCATCTTCTGCTATAAAGGTTGGCCTCCCCTTCTCAGCTTCTCCGTCACCACTGACATTCTCCCTATTTCACATCTTACATCTTCAACTCAAGAGCACTACCTACTCCCTCAAACCCAATTCCAAACCCGACTATCACAATGTCTAACTACGACAATGACAACGTAAGTCCCGCAAGAGCCCCATGCAGGAGGTATACCGAAGCTGACACAACCCTTACAGTCTGGCTACGGCCAAAGTGGCAACGTATGCAGTCTACCACCTACCTCTATGCACACGAGCCATTGAAGACTAACCAACTTATATAGTCGTCCCGCAACCAGGGCTTCGGCTCCAGCGGAGGCAACGACGACAGCAGCTACGGTAACTCCGGTCGCTCAGACAACGCCTTCGGGTCCAGTGGCCAGGGCAACGACAACACCTACGGCTCCAGCGGAGCAGGGGGCCTCGGTTCAAGCCGCGACAACGACAACTCGTTCGGTTCCTCCGGCCGTGACAATACCGATACCTTCGGCAGCAGTGGCGTCAGCAGCGGTGGCCTTGGTGGTAGCGGACGTGGAAACAACGATGACAGCTTCGGCTCGTCAGGTAACACCCGCAGCGGCGGTGGTTCAGACGCATATGCGTCAGGGGCCCTTGGCGGCTCCGGCACTGGATCCCGCAACCAGGATTCCGGGTTCGGGTCCAGTGGCAACGATACCTACGGCTCCTCGACAACGGGCGGCCTCGGTTCTTCTGGCAATGACACATACGGCTCCTCCACAACGGGAGGCATCGGTTCTTCCGGCAATGACACCTACGGCTCCTCCACATCGGGTGGCATCGGTTCTTCCGGTCTAGGCAGTGGCCGCGACAACGACTCATATGGCTCCTCGGGTGTTGGTGGCCTCGGCACCTCAGGCAGAGGTGATGACTCGGGCAGGGACTACGCTCCAGCTGGCGTCCCGGGCGACCAAGACTCGTCCAACTACGGCGACGTTGAGGGATTCGGTTCCAGGAAGGGTGGTGCATCCGACGTCCTAGGACCGGCCGGTTCGCGTGGCAATGACGACTCGTCATATGGATCCTCTGGTAGAGACAACCAGAATAGCTCCTCGGGCAAGGGCGGCGACTCCACTGCTGGCAAGCTGATGGAGAAGGCGGGAAGCATGTTCCACAACGAGAAGATTGAGAACAAGGGTCGGGAGAAGCGCGAGGGTGCAGGGTTTGGCGATGATAACAACTACTAGTTCATCGGGTCTGAGCCCATGTAGGTGTCCACAGATGCTACTGGGAAGGATGATATATCAAGTCAGATATGAATAAATCATGAACCAACCTTTGATGTTAATGCCGCGTAATGACATGGTGTTAAAGCCTCGCATTGATATTTGTCATTTTCTCCCAGCAGCAGACCTCACTTCTCGATCCTCCCCCACGACCCGCGCCGAGCCCTCGCCGCCCCCCATATCGTCCAAGTTCAAAACGCCCACCCCCCTCTCCACCAGAACCCGCCACACGACCTCCTTCAGGTTCGGCGGGCTCGCCGGCGTGTCCCAGTACCGCGCGACCAGCCCGCGGACCGGCGCCTGCTCGATCTGCGGCAGCGCCGCCTCGACGTTACGGCGCGGCGTTGATGATGGTGAAGTTGCGGCCGCGGCCGTGGCGTTGGTCCACAGCTGCGCGAGCGCGAACTGCGTGGATGCGAAGTACGAGTTCGAGACGTTGTAGGCGTACGTCGGCGCTTCGTGTCCAGGGAAGTCGTCGTGGACCGACGCCAAGGCCTCGATCTCGGCGTCCCGGAATATATCGCGGTGCGTCGCGTTGAGCGCCGTTACAGAATCGAAGGGCGCGTTGCCCGAGGCCACGATGGTGAGGCCTGGACGACGTGCGCGCTGCCGTCCAGTAAATCAGGTAGTCGCGGTTCCAGCGTAGCGTGCAGCGTAGCGAGGGTCGCCGCGCCGGAGGTCTTGTGGTCGATGAGGAGGAGGACGGTCTGCTGTGGTGCCCTGTCGAAGATGCCGCGCCATGCGTCTGCGCCGCCGCCGCCGGCGGTGTGGTTGTGGGCGTTGTTCAGGTTCTACGTCTCGAGCATCCGCTGCAGGGGCTCCAGCTACATGGAGCGCAGTGTCGCGTCCGGACTTAGGCTGGTGGAGAAGTGCCCGTCGAGCAGGTCGGCGTCGCGCAGGTGGACGTCGGCTTCGACGCTGATGCAGCCGGAGCCGAGCGCCTCGAAGAGCGGGATCCGCTGCGCGTAGTCGTTGTGCGTAGTCGTTGTGCGAGTGGATGGGGGCGGGTTCGGCGTGTTGGGAACTCGGGAGTTGGGCTAAGGAGGCCTTCGCTTGTGTCATCGTCTCCTGGACTCCAAGTCCACGGAGTCAGCGGCCTACCTTCGTTCCCCTTATAATTCCCGAATACTCTTCTCATTATGTCACCGTGGCGGATCAAAAGGGGTATACAAAGCCGACGAAAGAAGAGTCTGAAGATCTGAGGAAGATTACCAAGGGCCACCAACATAGCGAGAAGTACACGGATGCCGCTAACGGTGCAGACTGGAGGAGTGTCTGGGGGTTGAGAAGAACCTGAGTCCTCTGCGATCGTTACGCTAGTGATCGAGCTCCATGGCAGCTTCATGGAGTCGAAGATGAGGCGGCTGTATCCTCGCGTGCCAATGACTACATGCTCCTAGTGGTCTGGTGACTTTGAGGGGTTACGGTAGCCACAAGACATCCGTATGTAATGACTGCATCATGGATGCAGTCCATGATTCGGAATTATAAACCAAACCTAGACACTCGGGAGAGTCAACATCATGATGACTATCATCGCCATCTTCATACTTCCGTAAGCCAAGTTGCCATCCTGCAGCAGCTTCAGCGTTGGTTCTCTCGAGAGTTCACGAAACCGAGGCTATGGATTGTATGAATCAGCCCTGAAACGAGCCGCGGACAATGAACATGACAGCAACCAATACGCAAGACAATACCATAGTCATGCGTCTCGAATACCACAAGTCAATTTCCACAGTCGAACCATGAGCATTCCTCTCGAAGAAGTTCCAACGCGGGTTGACTTTCTTAACCCAGTCAGGGGTTGTCACGGTTTTTTGTCACGGACATGAAGACCAGGGCCAGGCATCGAGGAGGGTGGTGACTTGAGTGTAACTCCATCATTATGATAGCAATCTCGCGTCTCTCGTAAAGAAAATACTCATAATATTCCCACACTATTGAATAGCGCCCCGTGAGGTTTGGTCGTGTTTACTGGCCAGGGAAAAAACGTATTGGCATTGTGGATTTGATAGTATGACCAGTCAAGTCTCCTCTCTTGCGAAAATCCGTCCGCCTCTAATTCTCAATCCTCGCAGTTTTGGCGTACAGCGGGTGAATCAAGAGCATAACCGAAACTGCTCTCGTAAACGGCTGTGCCACCCACAGTAATGGAGAGGCTGGCTGCTATAGAGTCTGGCCCTTTTCCGTTGCTGAGGAAGCGCGTTCTCAATGAACGGCTGGGTCACCTGGGCAGTTGGGCCCTAGCAATCCTAGGCATAGCGACACAGAGCATAGCAACACAGGGCATATGTATCATTATAAGGTCGAGATCTCCCAGTAAAAATCGTTTAGGTTTCGAAACCTAACAGTTCCCCAGGGATGGTGCACTGAGGCGTTGCTACTACGAATTACACTAAGACTCTGTGTCTCACGGGACATAGATGGATTTCAGCTGTAGTCTGGTACAACTGCTAAGGTGGAGGGTTCGAAGTCCTCTGCCGACCTTTTTTGCACTTTTTGGAATTAAATTTTTGGCTTTGCGATTTCATTCTTCTGGGCTCTCTATCTCTTTTCCCTTTGCGGCATGAATTACGAGCAAGGAAAAGTAATGTAGTGATTAGCAAGTAACGCTTACGCGGAATGACCGTTGTGACATCCGTTGGGGTGAGCCGTTCGTCACGACAGGGTCTGCATTCTTGCATCTTCGCCACGTGCTTGACCATTAACTTGACGAGTTCCTGCCGCGTTCTTTTGCCGCGATTGTCCGTCTCGACGGACCGACCGTCTGGGGCTGTCTGCCTCGGGCCACCGCATTCGTCATCAGCGGCTTAGGTGCGTTCCCTTCGTGCGGATGAAAACAACCCGCAATCAGGTTTCCGTGGTGCGGGCCGAACCTCCGGCGACGCTAAATTACTTGTCACCGAATCGTCGCCAGGCCAGCTGGCGAGTCGATTGTCCCCTTACTTATGTCGATGATGACGCTCGCGATCATCAGCTCAACAAGGCCTCCCAGTGCAAGCTTTGGCAGCCTCCATCGGAACGGACGTGATTATTTCTGAAAGCTAAAACATCATCTTCGGTAATTACTGCCGCCGCTGTAAAATGTGTCAGAGTCGTGGCCACCGCTGCCCCAGCCCATTGTCATTCCCATGTTGCTGCTGACGGTGCAGTCTCGTCTGCAGGACACCATTTCAGGTCCCCAAGATGTAATCGAGCACTCTCATCCGCGATTTCTTCCTCCCCTTCTTCAGCTCAAAGCTTCTTGTTTTTCGCCATTCTGTCAAGGTCGCTTCCGGAAGTTGACCGACCATCGGCTGGTCCGGACGAACGTGGATCAAGGCTGAATGAAAGGTGACTACCGGAAGAGGACCGCTACCTCTTGGTCACGAGTGCGTCCATTCCTGAACCTTCGCATATTCGACGACGCATCTCGTAGGTCTCGTAGTCAGTGAGTAAATTTGGTTTACCCTCGTCACGAGAACATCCCCTGGCCATTGACGATAGGAAATATGCAATGCTTGTCCTCTCCTTCCAGCGAGCGGGTGGCGATGCGGCCTAGGCCCCGTTTTAGGGACATACGTGATCCCGCGGCATGCCACCTTTGCAAACAGCCAGGTTTCCGCTCATCGTCATCATACTGTCTCAAGCGCGACCTGTCTCATCTAATCTCCACCTGAGTCGACCTTCATGGGCGCGGTGCTAAGTATTCGACTTTGATACCCATCACAACTTCGACCTATCCTTGGCACTATTCATCCTGTTACCCTCGTCGTCCTGCTCTTTGACCGACAAGTCCGGCAGCTCAGCGGGCATGATCCTTCTGGGCGAGGAGCCAGAAACCAATGAAAACTTGGAGAAGTCGGTGACGCCAGCGTCACTTCTGAGGTAGTCCTCATCGAGCTCGAGTCGGCCGTTGACGCTCACAGCTGGCGCTCGCAGCATGGTCAAGATGGCATCCGAGAAGATGGTCGCTTTCCTGAGTTGCCGTGCTTCATCAGGGTTCTTCTCGACCATCTGGCGTGTTGCGCCAGACTCGATGGCCTGTTATACGTCAGAAGATCGCTCAGATGCTTGGAGCCTTTCAAGGAGTACTTACGGCCGTGGGCCATATGCTGGTTATGGCCATTTCTCCGAGACCCTGCCTCTCGAAATCCATCGCTAGCCCTTTAGTCAAGACGCTCATGCCAATCTTGCCCATGGCGTACGCCGTCTTTCCCCTGAAGAAGCGACTGTATATAGGTGGGCTGACGACGATAATCCGACCTATGCGATGCTTCTTCAGATGCGGTAGGGCAGACTGGATGATGCCGTAGAGTCCCTCCGGGTTCACACGCTGCATTAGCTGGAACCGCTTCATCGGGGTGTCTTCCACAGACGCCCACCATATGGCGCCCGAGTTGTATACCAAGACATCTAGGCGGCCATATGTCTATCTTCGGCGTCAGCAAGTGCATATTGCTCGGAACCGGGCGGGAATTGGTACTTCGACTGTCTTATCCACCAGAGCCTGGACGCTTGCAAAATCGCGGACATCCACGGCAATTGCCGTTGCCTCACCTCCCGATTGCCGTATCTCTCGCTCGACGGTGCTGATGGTTGATTGAGGGGAGTTTGGGTCCGGCGGGAAAGGCACGGCACTCTGAGCATCGCTGATTGATTTGGCCGCGACAACGACTGGGGAACATCAGTCAATGACTCCGATGTCATGGTATTCACGATGAACTCACCTGCATAACCCTCCTTCGCGAGAGCGAGATCGATCGCGACCTGCCTGCCGATACCTCTTGAGGCGCCAACTACAAGAGCGACACGTCTGACGTCCATCTTGGGGTACGAACGGGCATATGCGTTTATCTAGCTACCGGCGTCTCATGGAACTCCTGGTCCATGAAATTGAATACACTAACGTTCACATCTTGAGTATGCTATGAATCCCGGGGAACAGATGATGAATGGGAGCTTGGAATTATCTATGCTGAGCCCTGGCGATCAGTAATCGAAGCTGACCCTCGGCTTATAAAATAGTGGGGCACAGTGGGCCGAGGTTACCTCCCTATTTCGCTGGGGGCTGCCCCCTTTGTGACATTACTCCATGGACCATGCGATCTTCTGCACAGGAGAACACAGCATATCATCCCGCCCGCGCCCTGCCCTGCCCGTCGCATCAATACAGCCACGGTCCTGACGACGTTCGTTAGTTGGACGCAAGGCTCATGAAGAACCGACGTTCAGCTTACCGGGGATAAAGCGATCCTCCTGCTCCCGATGCGTCGGGATTTTCAGGACGTCTCTATGGATGGCGTTCATCGCCGCGATCGCGTCATTGGCGTTGACAACGAGACTGGAAATTGCGTTAAGCATCGAGGTGTGGCGGGTTCGGAAACTCAATTGCTCACGATATGTTGATTTCACTCGCCCCCTGGCTGATCAGGTAAATGTTGATATGGGCCGAGGCCAATGCCGATAGGGTCTCGCCTTGCATAAGGTCAGTCAGTCCCTTACTCGTCATGTTTCCCGGGGGGCTTCTTGGACAGGCTGGGACTTACTAGACACGCCAACCATATTCCGCATCCTGTGCCCAACGACTGTCACGATGGACATATTCTGCGTAATGGCGACCTGGCCAAAGCTCTCGAATTCCTCCTTGAGTCGCAACAGCGCACCCGAATCGCCCGGCGACTGCACTGCGAGGCTGACGTGCCTCTCGCTCGTCGCCACCAGGTCGGCGGGGATCTTGTTCCTCTCGAGACGCTCAAAGACCTGGCTCAGGAATCCTTGCGACTTGGTGTTTCTGTTGCAGACCACGTTGATGAGGATAATGTCGTCCTTGACCGTGACAGCGGTTGGCTTCCTGCGTTCTTGCTTGGCACCGTGGTACCCGTTCTCGAGCATGAAACCAGGCAGCGGCGTCGAAGACCGCGATCTCTCGGCGCTGGGCCGGCCATTGACTGGTGTGCCTGGGGTGGAAGGGCTTGCTGTCGGGTAGATGATCGTGCCGTGGCCAGATGGCTTGAAGACGTTCTTCAGGCGCAACGGTATGCTCGCTTCTCGAATTTGATCCATCGTAAGTGGATGAATAACCTTGTTATGTCAGGATCTCATGCCAATCCCGGGAGCATGGGGGAAAACCTACCTCGCTCCCGTAGTAAGTCAGTTCCGTGGCCTCCTCAGCCGTGACTGTAGACAGGAGTCGTGCTGAAGGGACCTTCCGGGGATCAGCTGTGAATATGCCGTCCACCTCTTTCCAGATCTGAAGCTCTTCCGCCCCAACGGCTACCGCACACATTGCTGCACAGAGGTCAGAGTATCCGCGCCCGACTGTCTGCAGCAGTGAATCTGGCATTATTCCGAAGAACCCTACGAAGGTCAGCCATCATAGAGGTGGATGAATCTTATCGTGAATCCTACCAGTGACGATAGGTATAGCTCGTCCGCAGTCTCGGATACGCCCAGCAATCTCGTCAGCGACCACATGATAGAATTTTGATCCCAATCGCTCGAGAGCTGCCACTTGATTATGGACTGAGGGTCCAAAGGCTGACGCAACCACATTGTCCAAAAAGACTGCTTTTGCGGGTGTACCCTATCCACCCCTTAGCCAAACACAGACGACATCCTCCAAACATGAGAGTAGACTCACCATGCTGTTCAGACAAGCAGCAACAATCATACAAGCCAGCTTTTCGCCTAGGGAGATGACCCTGTCTTTCGATCTTGGTGATAGTTCACCTACCACCTAATTCAATATCAATCGAGATTTTCTGCGTCAGGAGTTTAGTCGAACCCACTTGTGCAGCAAGCAAAAACCGCTTCAGGTTCTCACATTCCTTCACAACCCCCACCTTCGTCTCATCGTATATCTGGAAAGAAGCAGCCTGTTTGGATGAGCCCAAAAACGTATCCAACAAACTCAAGTGCGTATCTCTGATCAGGTCAACCAAGTCTATCAACTGCTGCTGGGCATCCAGGCCCAGCTCGGCAAGCGATATGCACTTCAGCAGCAGACTGGTCGTGCCGCTCGCCTTCAGCGTCCCGGAGAGCGCAGAGCACACCACTATCAGGTCATGGTCGCGGCTGTACTGCGGTATGATGGTGCTGCAGATGGTGTCGAGCAGCTTGCCGAGACTGGTGCCGCCATATTTCTGGACGAGCCACGGCTTGCTTGTTGCGATTGCGGTCACCATTGTTCGAACTTCGTCTTGATGTAGGTATTCGAGTCGACGCACAAAGCGTTCACTACCATACCGTACAGAGCACTCTTCTTCTGACCTCAATCCGAAGCAAACTACAGAGAGTTCTGGCATGGCCAGTCCTAATCTTGGCCCCCTTTGGACCGAGGGTCATCAGCACACCGCCAAGCACCAACCGCCGACGTCAACCGCACAGCTCCAGCCAACTGGTATCCCTTACATTCCCCAACGGGATGGCGGTATCGTTCCAGGCGACCCGGAAGCCATGGACCTTGGTCCCAGCTGCTGCTTTGGACTGACATGCCCGATTCGTGCTGCCGGGTGCTACCGGATACCCCGACGGTACGACACGGACCATGAAGCATTTCGGAGGCGTGTCAATGTGAGGAAGGCGCTTGCAAGCTACACCCGGGTCTGGGGTATGGGGTCCACCCACAGCAAATCCCGCCCGGTCTTTGCGAATGGGCTCGGGCTCGGGTTCGACCTGGACCGCGCTATTGATGTGTGAAGTGGAGTCGTACGACCATGTGTCACCGTTGTTGACTTGCTAGCTGTGCCACGGCATAGGAACAAAGGGAGGCTCCGAAGCGAAGAGACCGGGCTGGAGCGCAGGGATGACTGCGGATTTCTACCCCTGAATGAAGTCTGGGTGGGTGTTCTCGCATATCGACATTGCCGTCAGCCGCGGAGGGGAAGACTCGGGAATGGTATCCTCGATTGTGGAAGATATAACAGATATAACAACTCACCTAGTATTCCATCGAATTGACCATGCTCACGATTACATCGTGTCCGAGTACACAGGTGGCTGTCTCGACAGGTCGGATGTCCTAGGTGACAAGGCCCCTTACCTATCTGGGGGTATTTCTCTTCCTCTTCCTCCTGCTATCTCCTCCCGCCCCTCGGGTCTCTGGCATACATGTATGGGGTCACTGGTACCGGTAGTAGGCCAATATCGGGCCGTGTGTCGCAGCCGGGATTTGCTGCACCCTCGGGATCTGCGCGGTATTCGAGGCGCTGACACACTACCTCCACCTACGACGCTTCGGTCTTCGCTGGAGTAGACTAAGTGGAGAGTTCTTCCGCGCCATGGAGCTGCTTCTCTAGTCTGGACCAGACTACAGTGCGCTACGATGCTCTCCCGTAATATCGGACCTCGAGCAATGGGATGACCTGCTTCGAGCAGTATGACTCTACACGTACCCGGTCTCGGGCAGAATAGAGCGACATTTTGGCTTTTATATGCTTGACCTGTTTCTGCAGTGTTGCCTGTCAGGATCCATTGCAAGTCCAAACTCGTTTCTGCTACCACTATTCGTTCGTCTCAAGACTACTAAATACCAATGGCTTCGCCCCGTGTCGTGAAGGTAGCCGCCGTGCAAGCTGCGCCCGTCTCCTTCGACCTCGACAAGAGCCTGGAGAAACTGACGACCCTTACTGCGGAAGCCGCAAATGGCGGTGCCGACCTCGTCGTGTTTCCGTGAGTTTCTGCGTTGAGAATACACTTCCGGGTACCACCGATATCAGGACAGTCTAGACTGACTGCATATGCAGCGAAGCATTCCTCTCGGCTTACCCCTGGCGCTATGCATTCGATGCTCCCATTGGATTGAGAGAACCACGTGGTAAGTAGCCTGATAAAAGCCATACCCAGGGTATCGGAATACTGACAGAGGCTAGGGAGGAAGTGGTACGCCAGATATTGCGACTCTGCTGTGGCGGTTCCATCCCCGGCGTTTGATGTTATATGCAACGCGGCAAAGGCGCACAACCTCTATCTGCAAGTGGGCATCATCGAAAAGGACGGCGGCACGCTGTACTGTACCGCGCTGTTGGTCGGCCGTGATGGGTCGATTCTCTTGAAGCACCGCAAGGTGAGTTGGCCACACACTGTTTACGATGGGAACTGCGAAAGCTGATCAGGGGTAGCTGATGCCGACGGCGGCCGAAAATCTCGTGTGGGGCAGAGGCGCTGGAGATGGTCTCCAAGTCGTCCAGACCGACATTGGCAAGATCGGGACATTGATATGGTGAGTGTTCTGTTTACCACCAATTGCAGATCAAGACTGACAAGGATCAGTGGTGAGAACTACATGCCGGCGGCAAGATTGGCGCTGTATCAGCAAGGAGTCGAGTAAGAGGCTTCCAGACCCGCCAGGTGAGCCACTTGGGTCTAATGACGATTCTTAGGATATACCTGGCGCCTACAGCGGACGAGTTGCCGGCGTGGATAGCCTCCATGCAGCACATTGCCAAAGAAGGCCGCTGCTTCGTAGTGTCCGTCAACGCGATGTGCAAGGTCTCGGACTTTCCATCGGACTATCCGCCTTTCATCCCGGAATCCCACGACCTGAAGCCTGACGGTTCGCGGTGGGAGTCGGATGATGTCGTCAATCCCGGAGGATCATTTGTGGTTGGTCCCCTGGGAATACCCCTGACTGAGCCTCTGTGGGACAAGGAGGGGATCATATACGCTGACTTGAAGATGTCGGACGTTGCTGAGTCAAAGGTGAGGGTCTAAAGCTCGTGTCCGGGTATGACTTGTTGCTAATGTCGTTCTCATAGCTCGACTTTGATCCTGTGGGAAGCTACTCTCGCCCAGATGTGTTGTAAGTCTACATACGCTTACTGTGATTTGAGGTATCGAATACGAGTCGGCCAGAATGCTAATATTCATTCGCGACAGCCAATTGACAGTCAATACCAAGCCGGGCACCAACGTCCATTTCACCACATAAGGGCATGAAGCGGATGATTACAGGGAAGCATGATCATGCCATGTTGCGAATAGGGGAGGGAGTCGGAAGGATTAGGGGGTGGCAGTCTAGGTATATGTAGCAAAACGAACAACCTAGGAGATGATTATAAACGTGCGTGATCGGACCCAATGGTAAACTACATACTCATCAATTAATACCTCCGTTTAATTATAATGCGTGCATATATCCCTCTATCTTGCCCATCATGACAGCGATATGGTGCGATCTCGACAACACGACCAAGGTTCTTCCTCCCTGCCCTTCACCATGCCAATGTCTACATGCCGTGATACCTTACCTGGCCACCACACCCAGGAAGACGTACGTCAGACTATCACCTGACAAATAGAAGCCGCCAAACGGTCGAGTCGTCCATCCGTCATCATACCCACTGCTTACGCGGGGTCCTGCGCATCTCACCCATCCGTCTGGACGTACGTTTCACCAAGGCAGGTCTCAACGTCGCGCTGGCATCTCCACGGCCATTGAAGCGGCCAGGAAGTGTGGGCCTGGACAGCACGTTGGGCGCCGAGTGTCTTAAGTCTCTTCGGGATTTGAATGAGTGTGTTACATTGCAGATACAGGCTGCAGGTGAGACGGGACCCCGGACTATCCTAAGGCTGTCGAGGTGTCCGCGTTGGACGCACGCAGTAGCTATGGCCTGGACGATGACCGAGTTGCGGGGTGATATTGGAAGTGAATGCGATGGCTGCGAGATGACAGAGGGGAAGGAGGTAGACTACCTCCTTACTTAACTTATGGTAATATCTAAAGTAGGGAGGAACAACCGTAAATGTGGGCCAAGGGCGTTTGGAGCCCTGACGAGTATTTCTGGTCTGCTTGGTTAAGGTTGTTCTGTTATCTTCTGACACACAATTACTTCGATCAAGCTTTGGTAGTCACCCTGTTTGAATTCACACGATCCTGAACAGACCGACTTCATCATGGCGCCTCCGGGATCCATCAGCAACCTAGACTGGTAAGCGGAAACTCCTCCCGCTCGGAAGACCTCAGAGACGAATAAAGGGCTGACTAGAGCTTCAACAACAGGGAACCCAGTTTCGACACCATCGCCGTCCATGGCGGACAGGAACCCGACCCGATCAACGGCTCCAGAGCGGTGCCCCTCTACCAGACTGCAGCATACAACTTCTCCGACGCCGCAGATGGAGCGAGCAAGTTTGCGTGGTCGAGAGAAGGGTACGTCTACACGCGTATGGGCAACCCCACGAACACCGTCTTCGAGAATCGGATGGCTATGTTGGAAGGTGGCAGTGGAGCCGTGGCGACGGCATCGGGCCATGCCGCACAGGTGAGTGCCTTGCGATGACTATCAACTCAGGAGTACAAGAGGGGGAATCTGATAGAGTTCAGTTCATGGCTATAACACAATGCTGCGAGCCAGGACATAACTTCGTCAGCACCAGTTGGTGTAAGTCGACCCTTCTCCTCATAAATCATCTCAAGGGTCGGTAGTAAGCGACACCTACTTATTAAACAGTGTACGGAGGCAGCTTCAACCAGTTCCGGGTCTACCTGAGGAAGTTCAAGATCGAGGTGAAGTGGGTGATCGGCCACGATCCCGCCAAGTTCGACGAGGCCGTCGACGAGAACACGCGAGCGATCTACATCGAGACCATCAGCAACCCGAAACACAGTGTCCCGGATATTGAAGCCATTGCCGCAGTCGCGCATAAGCATGGCATCCCGTTGATCGTCGACAACACCTTTGGCATGGGAGGGTACCTGTGCCAACCCATCAAGCTCGGAGGTCTGTAAGCCACTTTCGATAACACGGCGGCCGACGGCGGTGCTAACGTGTTCGTAGCCGATATCGTCACCCACTCGGCGACGAAATGGATCGGCGGCCACGGCACCAGCATGGGCGGGATCGTCATCGACGGCGGCCACTTCGACTGGAGCGCCTCGGGCAAGTTCCCGGGGTTCACGGAGCCCGCTGAGGGCTACCACGGGATGCGATTCTGGGACACGTACGGCAAGAAGGCTCTGGCGGCGAAGGTACGCATGGACAGCATGCGTGATCTGGGCCCGTGCATGAGTCCCTTCAACGCGTGGCTCTTCATCCAGGGCCTAGAGACACTGCCTCTTCGAGGCAAGAGGCATAACGAGAACACGCAAAAGCTGGCTGAGTGGCTGGAGGCACACCCGTGCGTCAACTGGGTGCTGTATCCGGGGCTGAAGTCGCATCCCGACTACGAGCTTGCGAAGAGGGTCTTGCCCAAGGGCGCAGGTGGTGTGCTGACCTTCGGAGTGGTAAGTGTCTTCTGGCTTAGATCATCGCGCCCTGCATTCCCTTTCCGGCCACTAACAGGTTCAGGCCGGGAAAGTCGAAGAGGTACGCGCCGTGGTCGACAACCTGAAGATGGCCAGCCACCTCGCCAACGTCGGCGACTGCAAGACCCTCATCATCCACCCGTGGGTTACAACGCATCAGCAGATGCCCGATGAGGAGAAGATCAAGGGTGGCGTCACGCGTACGTGCTGCTCTTCCGCCTTCCTTAACGAGTGATGATGGTGGCTAACCGAAAATGTGCCGGACCACAGCCGACCTGCTGCGCGTCAGTCTCGGTATCGAGGACTTTGAGGATATAAAGAAGGATTTCGAGCAAGCATTTGCTGCCGCCGGCTTGCAGCAGGCCGACAAGTCGGGCGCGGATCCGTTCTCGACGGCGATGAATCTGGTCAGTGGAGGGTTCATGGGGAAGATGTCGACGGGTGCCCCAAGACCCGGCACGGATGGTACGGTGCAGCATTGATATCGCATTGCTTTGGGCGCCAGTCTCGCGGGAAAGACCATCTGAGGGTCATGCATATTTTCATTTCTGTTCAACTACCAGTGACGTCTCACTGCTGCGGCATTTGCGGTGCATTAACGCGAGGGAAGGGTATAAGCAAGAACAATATTGAAGCTAGAGAAGACGGTTACCATATCAAGCATACCGAGTTCTTTACGTTTTCCATCGCTATCAAGCTTAGTTATTACATATTGTATCCTTAGGTAAATAATGCGACTTCCCTTGCTCGCACCACAGCACGATAGGGACCACTCCTGGTCTAACTCCCAATAAAAGCCTTATACAGTATCTTCTTCTTTTTCTTCTCCTTCACCCCTATCTGTCCCCCTATACTTCTTCCTTATCTTTCCCCCCTATCCTTCCCCCCATCCTTCCCCCTCATGCTTCCCCACTATACTTCCCCCTTACACTTCCCCCTATACTTCCCCCCTATACTTCCTCCCTATACTTCCCCACCTATACTTCCCCTATTCTCCCTATGCGTCACCCCCCCCCCCCCCCCCCAACCACCCCCTATTCTTCTTTTAACCAGTTGACATAGCAGTGACGTGAACGTGAATGAGGTCCAAGATATTACATTGTTAGATGAAGTGTGATTCACATGCCCTTTGGGACGACGACAAGTGCCTTTTGAAATGACTCGACAAGTGCCCTTTTAAAAGACCCGACAGCCTGCCGGCCTGTTTGAACGCCTTCCCACGCTATGTAATGCTCGAAATGCCCGTCTTAATAAGTCAAATTGAGCCTGATAGTACAGACTACGCTGCCTGACCCTATTAGAGGGGGCGTACAACATGAATACAACCACCACACAACACCCGCAGCCGCTCCCACCATCAACGCCACCCATACCGCGACCCGGCCTCCTGCTGCTTGCTCTTCCCCTTCGCAAAGCTCTCCTCCAGCGCGTCCTTCTGGCTGTGCACCTGGTTGACGAGCTGGCGCAGGCTGTGCTTGCCGGGCGCGATGGCGCGCACCGGGTTGTACGTCGTCTGCTCGCCGCTCGCGCGCAGCGCCTCGTTGTGCGCGTACTCGTGCTCCGTGTTGAAGCTGATGACGCGCGCCGCGTTGGGGGCGCCCGACCGCCCGAAGAGCTCCCGGCGCGCCGCCGCCGAGAGGTTCATGTCGCTGGCTATAGTGTCGAGGGAGTTTGCGGTCGAGGTCGAGGGGGCGGCTTGTGTGGGGGCTGCGGCGTGCGCGGAGAACTGGGCGTCGTAGGCGGCGAAGGCGTCGGTTGTCGAGGGGGTGTTGTTGTCGTCGTCCGGATTGCTGCTATTGCCGAATAGGGGCTCGTACACGCCGTTGTTGGGCGTACTGTCGACAACTTCGGGTACGTCGTCAGATATAGAGAAGAGCGATACCTTCTTCTTCTTGGGCGGCGCTTCTTCCACTCCTTTGGTGGCCGGCGCTATTACTGCGGGAGTGGAATTTGCGGCGGCCGGTCTCGAGGCCATTGAGGGTATGGACTTTGCGGCAGTCTTCTTGCCTGGCTTTCGCGATACCGATAGAGGTTTGAACATCAGAGGCTTTCCCACCAGCTTGACGTCTTCTGCTGCTATTTGTTCTGATGGTATGGAGGGCTGCTGCGACTTGGGCGCAGGCAGGCTCATGCCTCCGTCACTCGTCGTATTTCCAATCTGGAATGCGCTGGTATCACCATCGGCGTCTGTCTCTCTGCTGAATCCTGGTGCGGCACCGGTCTTGAGGTTGATGCCCGGCTTAGGCGCATTGTTCCCACTGCCGCTGGCTGCAGCGGTTGCAGACTTCCTGGCATTTTTCGGCGGTGGTAAGAAGGAGTGGAAGCCGCTGAAAGCTCCTCCTCCCCTAGTTGTTCGTGCGCGCTTGGCAGGCGGCTCGTCGCCGTTGGTCGTGGTGGCGCTCTCGGCTGGCCCCGAGCTCTGGGGCAGGTTGACGACGATCTTGCCGGGTTTCGAGCGGTCGATGACTTTCTGGAAGGGCTTCTTGCCGCCTGCGGGCAACGAGGCAGCCGGGGTTGGCTTTGCGACGGGTTCGCTGTCGGACTCGGAGTCAGAATAGTCGACTAGACCCATGGTGATGCTTTGCGAAGTTTCGGCGTGGGGAGCTTCGGTTTTGCTGGGGCCAGGAGAATGACGCAGAACCTCGCGCGGGTGTGACGTCTGGCTGAACCCGATCTGTGGCGGTGCTGGCATGTGGCTGTGGCTGACCACCGTCATCAATATTAAGGTACCGCGGCCATCCAGTGCAGCTCTAGATCAACTTCGATAGTTCTACAAGGCTGAGTCTGGAACCCAGACCATAGCTGCCCCTCCAACCCATTCACGCCAGCCGATATCGCCTGGAGACGCATAGCATAAGAAACCCTGGCCCTTTGTTCTTTGCTTGTATATATCATGGATGGCTCGTAACCAGCTCCGGCCAGTCACTTATGTGTGCAATCGTGATACTCGACCTTCGGGATGTCGCTAATTCAGGTGGAGGAGTATGTCAGGACTCCCTCCATTCCAAGCTCTAGATTTGCTAACTGCAGTCTCGTTACAGCTTGGTCTCGTACCAATTGCGAACAAGCTACCTCAGTGAGGTTGCCGATGGCGTTGGAGAGCGCCTCCTTACTATCAATGACAGCTTCCTCAATACTGCACCCTTCAAAGCCGCTGGCTGGCGATCGAATTCGTCCCATATCAAGCGAACCCATTCCCCTCCAATACCCACTGCGATCGCTTCCGAATACTTCCAGGCTGCGCCCCGGTCTGCTGGCTTGACCCTTGAGGATGATGCTGAGGAGGGAGGGATGCTGACGGGTGGAGGAGGAGATACACTAGGACCTGGCAGCGCCATCAAACGTCGCAGGGAGAGGCGGCGAGAGCAGATGGAGGAGGACGACAGCAGTGATCTGAGCGACGAGAGCGATGACGAGTCGGACCAGAGAGCCGCCCAGCAAATAAGATTTGCCAAGATGCCCGTCAGGAGTAGGGCCGGCTCCTCTCCTATACAAGGGTCCAACTTGCGCCAGACAACCACCATGACCTCGCCACGGCAGGCTCCTGGCGCTAGGCGAGGATCACAATCCGCGCTCGAGGTCGTCAAAGAACGAGCCCGACGAGATACTGTCACTAGCAACGAGTTCTCCTCGGACAACGAGTTCGACGCGCCTGGCTTCCATAAGCAAAAGGGGGCAGCAAGAGGGGCCGCAAGAGGGGCAAGATCACATTCCAAGACTAGCAACGACCCAGCTCAGGGTGTCAGACGGGAAGAAAGCGACCTTCTTGCCGAGGAAGAGGAAGACTCTGACATGTCAGACACTTCTTCGCGATTTGTTGCAAGTGTTGATTCAACCTCGATACTTGACACGGGGGAGAACCCTGTCGGTGCTTCTCCTGGTCAGCAAGTAGTCGGGACCATACCAAAGCAACTTCTCAGGCAACCTACCATTCGGAAACCAGAGAGGGCGCCAGAGCCGCAGCTACTCCATGCCCTTCCACCGCCGCGCCCCATGAGCACTATAAGGCCATTGAGTATGGTCCAGCCCAGGAGTTTGCTATCAGATGCTTTCAAGGCCAAGCAGACGAAGCCATCTATGCCCTTCGACCCGTTCGCATCTTTATCTGGACAAGGTGATCCCGACCCCCTGAGACTTCGTATATATGCTCCCTTCTCCGAGAATCCGGAAAAGCCTTTTGATGTCCTCATTCGACGCAACATACAAGAAGCAGACGGTAGTTTCAGGCCTGTGACGGTCGCGGAACTGATTGGCTTGAGTCTATGGAGATATCATTCTGAGAAGCTTGAGCCTCCGGTTCCAGCAGACAAGCTGAATGTGAATTGGTGGACTTTGCGAATGGTTGAAGAGGATGGTGAGGTCGACGATGATTTCGAGCCGCTTGACCGGAAGAAACCCCTCAACTCCTTCACCACAGCAAACAACAAGGCGGCCAGGTCACGATCAGCTGCCAAGACGCATGATGACTTTGCTTTGGTACAAGCATCCGAAGCAGGCTTTGCGGATAACCAGGTTCAAACGCCCCAGTTTGAACATGAAGAAGTTGCAGAGGAGGTGATGGACGATGAAGCCACCCCAAGAAACACGCCTCAACCACCGTCATCCCTGGCTCCGGCACCACAGCCTCGCTCGAACCCTATCATCACTACTACTTACCGCAAGGATGCACCACTGGCCGACAAGCCGGCTGCGCCCGCTTCGGCCCCCGCAGCCAGCAGAGGACAACAGAAACTCTTGCGCGTTCATATCTTCTCCTCGGATATCGCGCCGGGGCAGATGGTCACTCTCGACGTAACGACAGATATGTATCTCGCCGAGGTTCTTGATCTAGTCTGTCGTAAGAGACAGCTGGATAAGAGCACTCATGTCTTGAAGCTCCCTGTGTCAGGTGCCTTGGTCTACCTAGACCGTGCAGTCACATCCATCGGCAATGTGTCTGATCTCGAACTGCACCGTCGTCGGTTTGCGACCGATGGTCCTCTCACGATCACAGGTTCTCCGAGTAGTTCGTCGCCCAAAGTACACTCGTGGGACGCCCAGTTGCCGCAAAAGGGCAAGAAGAAGGTCATGACGACACATCCCCTTGCCCAAGAAGCCATGAAGCAAGACGAAGCAGGTAGTGGCAACGTGAGCTACAAGAAGTATGTCGTCTTCCGCAAGCAGCCAATGCGGTTCGTCGGAATGAACGAACGGATAGTAGCCATAGACGGCGAGTATGTCTACATCATGCCCTCATCTAACGGCAAGGCGACACGCGAGGGAGGCAAGACCACCACGGTCCACTTTAGCAACGTGGTAGGGTGCAGCGTGTCGCGCCGGCATCCCACCAACTTCAAGGTATGGGCCTTCGTGCCCTTCCAGTCTGATGATACACTAAATGCTGACAGATTCATAGTTACTGGTTTATAGAGACACGGAGAGCAAGCGATACGACTTCGAAGCCAAGAACACCCTTGAGGCGTCGGATATCGTACGCGAGTTGAAGAAGGGCATCTCACCATACAACAGGGATACGTAGGCCATGGTTGTAGATGTTCCATAGCGTACCTATAGAAAATACAACTGCTCGGGCTGGGTGAGGCATACCAGCTAGTGTGCGCTTTGACGAAACAACAGATGTCGCGTTGTAATAGTGATGAGTTCTGCTATTTGCACCTTGTCTCTACCCTTATCTCCCCGGGCAGCTGGCAGCCGGCTAACCACCAAGCTCACAGCTTACCATTAGATCGAGGTTGTCGGTGCAATTGTCGGTGCAGTTATCGGTGCAGTTGTTGTCGCAGTTGTCGGTGCAGTTGTGCTAAGATAGGGGGCTGTATTGCAGCTGGCTGGCAGTTAGGGTGCGGAGACAAGGTGCAAATAAGGAATTCTAACAAGGTGCAAATAGCAAGACTCGTAGTGATATCACGTTGCTGGCTTCGCAACTTCTGATCAGTCTATAAGGTGAGCTTCGCTGTCTGTCAGGGCCTTAGCCGTAACTCCCAAATAGTAATCTTCGGGGATAGACTCATATGTTCGCTCATAGTTAGCTGTGCTCATGTTGCCACTCACAGCTTGACTTCAATACACCCTCGCTGACGGTAATACCACGACTGTCAAGAACCGCCGATTCATGCAACTGGCAGTAGTACGTACACTTTGTCACAACACCCAACAGAACTACCAATAGAACCACCACCAACAAGCCAATCAAACCAACTATCCAAAACATGGCATATAGCTCCGCCAGCACCAATATGTCTGAAATAAGACGTACAGGTCAGTTGAGAGAAGACGACATTGGGCCCTGTCGAGTAGCATCTGGTCTGGCTGGTTTGGTCTGGACGGTCTGGTCTGGACGTAGACGTTATGAGGTAGTAGCACCTTTTTCTGAATAAACTCCAAGCAGCCGGTTTGTAACATTATAATCTGTTGATGTTGTTAACCATGCCTGATAAGGTCTGTTTGGTACAGAATACTGGCAGAAAGACACATGAGGTGTTGACGTTGCTCGACCCTGTCCGAGGTGGCCGGGTCTTCCCCTCCCCTGAACTCCCCCGAACCCATACACAACTCTACTTGAGTCTTGAGCAACCCAGCGTATAATGCATGCAGTAAGAAAGTGTACCCCGGGAGACATTGTGCCCTGTCAATCCATTTTGACCCTCTCGCACCATGCCATTTTGTTCGTTGCATCCCACCCCTCGCTCACGAATGATGCACGAATTCCCACATATCCTCCGAGTGGCCCAGTCTCCTAAATCGTGATTGTGAGCCGTATCCTGGGAAGCGGTCCCACGAGTCGTGCGATCGACCTTGGTTGGAATCAATGTTGTAACAGATGATGCCAAGAACAGAAGCCGAGCCCGGTTTCCTAGCGTACTGGCAACCCAAACACCAGAGCGATATCAGAATTCGGTAAAGAAGTGCCCGTATCTGTAACTGTCAGCACGACGCCTGCATGTTATGGCATCTGAACAGCTGAACTTACTCATCATGGCCTGGTACGCCGTATTTCTCCGTCTCTTCTGGGTATCTGTCGAACTGACTCGCATCGCCGGCTCCAGCTTTGACAGGCGGTGTGTAAGGAGCGTCGATATCTTTCCTTGATAACCGATCCCATGTGACTTCCGCGAACCAGGGATGGCTCTTCACGTCTTGTGGTCCGCCGTACAAGTTGCCGAGCCGCTTGGTGAGATCCGGCGTGATAAGCCGCTCCAGCAGATCCTGGGCGTCGGGATGGACGTATGCCGGATATTTGACCTTGCCTCGAAGGATGTTCTCGTATATCTTCATTGGTGAGCCACTGTCCCAGAAAGGAGTATAGCCGCACAGCATCTCGTAGATCAAGATGCCGAGCGACCACCTAGTGAGTATGATATGTAAGCACCCATCTGCGCAAAAAACAGGGGGCATCAGCGCTAGAAGGCTTACCAGTCGACCGACTTGTTGTAGCCCTTGTTAGAAACCACTTCCGGAGCCAGGTAGTCCGGGGTCCCACACAATGTCCACGTCTTGTCCGGGACGCGCTTCGCGAACCCAAAGTCTGTTATCTTGAGGTGTCCGTGGCGGTCCAGTAGGAGATTTTCGGGCTTCAGGTCCCTGTATATGATGTCTTTCGAGTGCAGGTATTCCAACGCGAGCGTCACTTCTGCGGCGTAGAACTTGGCCACCGGGTTAGGAAAACGCTGCCAGTGGGTCAGCTTCATCTAAAATCCCAGCGGACGAGACTGGGCGACTTACGCCTGACTTCCTCAGCAGAGAAAACAGCTCGCCGCCCTCGACGAAATCCATGACCATGTACAAGTTTCTCGAATCCTGAAACGTCCCCCACAGCGTGATGAGGAACGGGTGTTTGACCTCGCCCAGCATCCGTCTCTCATCGTTGGTATGCTCGACCTGCTTCATCTTGACAACCTGTGCCTTCTTCAATACCTTGACGGCATAGTAGCGTTGGTTGTGTTTTGACTGGACCAGATGAACACGTCCAAAACTACCCGTGCCCAACGTCCGCAACAGGTCGAAGTCGCCAAGTGAGTATTTGCCTTTCGTGACCCTAACTTCGGAAGACGGTTTCGCTTGCGCTTGCGGCTGTGGTTGTGGTGGGGGTGTGTTATGGTGACCTGCTTATCAAGTTAGACGGAGAATCACCCAGTGTGTGACAATGCGAGTAACAATCCATACCATCGACCTGTGGAAGATTGATCAAGTTATTGATGCTTGGTAGGCTCTGTGGTGTTCCCGCATGACCGGGACTAGGAGTAGGCTGAATCCCGTGGGGAGCAGCGGGATGGAGGACTGGCGGATCCATCTGAACCCCTCCACCAGCAGTAGCCGGTGTCTCTTGACTTTGACTTATTGAATGCAACGAAGGCTGCGCGCTCGTGTTGGCAGACTTGGCCGGGCTGCTAGTGGCGAAGGAGCTCGAGTCGAAGGGTCTGGGGTAGGTCGGCGTGACGGGTGTGACGGGGCTTGTCGGCTGGCTTGAGGCAGGATCGTACTTCTCCTCCCTCGTCCGCTTCTTCTTGAGGAATCCTAGGCTAGGCATATGATATGATTTTTAGGGGACGTGAGGGGGCGGACCCTCGAGAGGTTCACTCGACAGGAGACAGGCGAGAGTGGACTCCAGGGCCGAGTTGACGACCGGCTGCGATATCGAGCAGTTCGGTTCGCGGCTCGAATGGTGACGAGGAGCAGCGGTCGCGACCCTCGTGAAATGGCTGGGCAGAGAAGTCGCAAGTAGAGGCAAGAGCTTAGAGCAAGCACATTCCAATAGCCTGGTGCAAAGTCTCTTTCGGGGCGGAGCGAAAGCTGAGTATGCCACGGTACTCTCGATGGAAGCGACTGTAGTTTTCACGACACTCTGGTAGCAATTGGCTCGGTGACCTGTGCAAGGTTCTGGCTTTCGGATGTCCAAAGGCGGCTATGCTCTGCTCCGGTTGCTTTCAGCTACTCAACAACAGAAGTCGCACAAAGAGATCAGGTGCGAATACGTCTATCGATCCAATTGAGTCGGTTGGCTTTAGGTTGGCGCGGGGCTCTTTCTCTGCGCAATGAACTGACTCAAGAGCTCAATCGATTTCAATGTTGGAGGAGCTAGAGCTGTAGCTGGAGCTGGAACTGGAGCTGGGTTTGAGGCTGCTGATCAAGGTCCTAGATAGAGAACAGCTGGCGGATATTCAGATGTCACGATATAGACAGTAGACAATAGACAACAGCTAGGCCGGGCAGCTAGTCAACGTCAAGACTCAAGGGGAGCGATGTGTTGCACGCTAAGAGCCTGATACGTCGAGTGTGGAGTGTAGCGTATATGTAGCGTATAGCGTATATCGTGTATCGTGTAGGTGGCCTTGGTGTTGGTGCGGTGGTGGAGGTGGTGGGTGGAAGAGCAGGATGACGATAGGCTGGCTGGTGTAGACGCGGACAGCGGGCAGCGGCAGCGGCAAGCGGGAGGGCGGGGTGAACTAGGTTTGGATGCTAATAAAGTGCGAAAGCCCTAGGTCCAAGATGCAGTTGATGCTAACAAACTTGAAGAGTTGGTCACAAAAGCCGTGACATTGTTGTTTATAAATTAGTGTCTGTTGTAGGAATGCGTCCCCAAGTTTTGGCGACCTGGCCGAAGGATTCCCTGATTCCCTCAACCTCAACGAAGCCACTCAAGTCCAAGAGCAGCAAGGAGGGGCATCGAAAGACAGAAAGACAGACATCTGGCGCATCGAGCGAAAGGTGGGGGTTTGTTATCTACGAGATCGCCGAGCCTCTTCCCACCCTTGCAGCCCTTCGCACCTCCAATGTTCCCAGGTGACACCAATCCCAGCAAAAAGCCGCATCTTGTTGTTCGGCTTCTTCCCGAGTCGATACCTTACTTTTGTCTCCATTGCATCTCTTCCTCAGCAGGGCTGAATTCGACAGCTTATATCTACCCGTACCTATCATAAGGGGGGTTGGGGTTCCATCCATTGTCATTCCAGATCGGAACCTCGATAAGATCGTACCTATGAAGATCGCACAGGCAATTGGCTGCCCGGCAAGAAGGCGGACTCCCGTTTCTACTCTAGAGGTGCATCATTGCATTGATGCAACAGGGACCCCTCCTGCCCCTCGTCGATGTTGAGTGGTCTATTCAGGCCTACTAGACTCGACCCGTCAACCCGTTCCATTACGGCGGTGTGGGTGGACTTCATACATGCAGAGCATGGGGTAAGATGCTGCGTTGGACTACCGTAGCTTTGAGGGTGATTGATAACCGGCCATAACCCTCGTGCAAGTCGACTCTCATGGAGGTATTGTGTGTATTTAACCCCATAGATGTGATCAACTTGGTTGCGAAAACCACAGTGGTTTGGTCTGGTTTTCATATAGGTAGGTACCTGCACCATGACAGACTTGCGCGATCCAGCAAATGGAATGTCCCCAATGACATTTTGCTAAGATACTACTCGTGCTACCACCCACCGACTAGAATCACTCGATACTGGGGCCTTGTCCCATCTGCCGGCATGGCCTGTTTGTAGCGTCTGCATGCAGCGTCCTTCCACCTTGACCGCGGGCATCCCTCTCGCAGTCCACTAGCTGAACCAGACCACCGTGGGATTTGTAACTTTTGGTGGTGTGTATTGAAATGCTGAGTGCTTGTTTTACATGAGCCGAGTGACGCCTCCAACCTCATGACACGTAAGGAGATCGTGAGACTTCACGAAACTCGCGAATCCAAAGCTTCCCACGCAGTTGATATATACGACTCGTCTTCCCATTTCTTCCCATTTCTTCCCATTTCTTCCCTTTTCTTCCCTCTTTTCGGTTCACCATATCGCCTATCTACTCACCGACTCTGGATGAGCAATCTTTCTTTGCTTGCTTTAGAAGCGGTGGCTTCTCTTCTGATTCGCCCGCCATGCCGTGTAACCCACATACGCACCGCCCACAGCCAGTGCGACCAGGACAATCTTGAATAGGAACCATGTCCAGCTGCCACCGCTCTTGTTCTTGTTCTTCTGCCTCGACTTCGAGCTGCCCTTGCCGGGTGTAGGTCGGGTGGCCGAGCCGCCTGTCGTGTACAGGTTTTTAGCTTCGATGGAGATGATGTCGTGGTTGTCGCTCAGCTCGCCAGTCTCGGCACTGAAGCCCAGATACGTGACCGAGGGGATCGCTGGCGGCTCCGTCGTCTCGAAGCAAAGCTGCCATTCGTCCTCGGTCTTGTATTGGAGCTCCAGCTTCAACGACTTGTCTTGGAAGTATGTCAACTTCAACTTGGTCGGGATGTTGGCATTCCGAATGCCACGGGCCGAACAACCGGCGAACTCGGTCTCCTTTCCATCGTTGTCCTTGTTGTACGTAGTCTTTCCATCGCCAAACATGGCCATGACATAGGGGAATACGACGCCTGGTCGGTTATTCTTGTAGGTATCGAAGAAGATGCCGAGGCCTTCGAAGTTGTTGGCGTGCCCGAAGACCGGTCCCATATCCCCTCGCTCCTTCGTCAGCCACATTGCGAAGCCATCGCCGAACAATTGGTTCTTGCCGTGTATCTTGAACTCCACCTCAACCTCCCAATTCGTGGCGGTCAACGGCACTCGCGAGAATAGCCATCCGTTTTGCGAAGGACGATCGGAGGACAGCCGGATGTATCTACCCAGCGCTGGTCAATCTCCATGTTCGACTGTAATTTTCAGTGATGTAAACGTACGAGTCCGTCCGAACAATCGTGTCGCCTCCAAAGTCGTACCATCGGCTGGACATATCGGAGTCTAGGTACGGCTGCTTCAAGGTATGGGTTCGGAGCTACATCGGTTCGGTATTGTTAGTAATAGTCTCCATTGGAGCCACGGAGGTGGATGCACGACTCACAGCAATACTTCTGACGTTCCCATCCTCGCCGCGGTCGACAGCGCCCCAGGCCGTCGCTGCCAGCCAGAGGGCCGACAAGGCCGTAAACCACATGATTAGGGGTCACGCAGTAAGGAGGCAAAGGTTGAATTGTAAAAGAATATGCAAGGAGAAGCGAAGAAGAAAGACAAATGGCAAGGAAAGGGATGCTGTGCTGAGTCCCGGTGGTAGTGGTGTCGGCCGGGTCGTGTGAGCAGAAGCCGCTACCAAATCAGATGGTCGTGATAGCTGGCCTTTCCGAGCTCTGCCAAAGGGGTCCGGTCTGGTTTCCTCAGCCGCGTGAAATAAACCTGGGGTTCCTTGTGTGAGTGGTCAGCCTGCGACAGTGCGACCTGTTTCGCTGAGCTACCCCTGTCATCTAGAGGTGGAGCATTGATGAATGCACTAAATGCGCCACATTGAATAGACAGCCACACGACGATCAGTGAGGCTCCAACAATGAACATCTCTGGGCGTTTGCCTGCACATTCTGCTGTCTCGCGGAGCATAGCTGCCTCCATTGTTGACAGAAGGTTGTTCTCAAAGTGACTGGCTGGTATTACCTCAACTATGGGCACCTACATAAGAACCTTACGTACATGACACCACGGGCTGGCCCTTGTCGACCACCCTTGAGCCTTGACTGATCTCTGACAAGCCTGCATCGACCAGATGGGACGAAACAATAGTGCCCGTTGGCTCAGGTGTGTTTGCTCAATTAAAGATGATGACTGGAAACCCAGGCAGCCGTTGCATGCGAGGTCACGTACTTGAACTAAAAGGACGAGGGCCCGAAGTATGATAAGTTTGGTTCGAATCGAAAGGAAATCAAATGCGCACAGGGGCGCTGACTGGCTTCCTTGGAGTAGATGGGACAAGACAATACATTTATATACACCGGGAACGGGTTCGAATCCTGCCAGCGTTTGCTTTTGCACCGATAGCTAGCGTTCGTTCATCCGTTTGCTCCCACGGGTCCTCTCTCCTCCTTCATCTCAGGGAAAATAACTGTGCCTGCCTAAATCTCGACAATACACCCAGGCAGGTTGGACGACCTCACTTGCAAGCTGTATATCAAACACGAAAAGAGACACCAACAGCTTCCTCCAAAAACCCGGAGTCGGACCAACTCTGGAGTATCTTCGCCATGGCAACCCGTAAAGTGCGCTTCGAGTTCCACGTGAGTCGCATCCGGAGTGTATCCAACCATCCCAAAGAAATACCTTTACCTACCTTGCTAACCACCTCCACTCCCTCCTCCAGTGCCAGTCCCAGACCCCCTCAAGTGCACCCACGACCTGCCCACCCATCTCATCGGCCCCGCCGCCACCGCCGCCCCCAACTTTCTCGCCAACTACCAGCAAGCCGTGCCGCCCATAACGTAGCAGCGCAAGGCCGTCTGCATCGCCGCCTCGCAGCGGCTCTGCGTCGCGTGCGAGACCGCGCCCACCAAGCAGGTCCTGATGTCGCCCATGTCGTACCTGCACCGCGAGCAGGACCCCCTGGTCAACGTCATGGTCACGCCCATCTGCGAGAGGGCCGAGTGCAACGCGAGGGGCAAGCAGCAGGTCAACGCTCTCATTTCGGAGGTGACGGGCATGGCTGAGGGCGAGGTGCGTGACACTTCCGCTCCCGCAGGTGGCTCGGACGGTCAGAACACCCGGGCGTCGGCGCGCATCTTGCGGAATGCGCAGTGTCCTTGTGGCTCGGGTCTCAAGTATAAGAAGTGCTGTGGTGCTGCAGCAGGGGGAGACTGAGAATATCGGGATATCAGACGAGTGAAGGGACATATTGCTCATTTCAGTGGGCGGATCTGAGAATCCCGATGTCAGGGGCCGATGATGGGCCTACACTACCTAGGTACCTAGGTGGGTAGCAAAGCTATCTCAAGTACTTGCATGAGAACAGATACATGAGAACAAAGCTAAACGGGCAATATTCATCAGCGTGACACGGTCTGACTGATGTAGGATTCTCTTGTCAAAAAGGGGCACACATATTAGATATTACGTGTTCGTTCTATCGTTCTATAACGTACCGAATCTATAACCTTATCCTCCCGTCGCCAAACCACCTGCGTATATCCGAGTCGCTGCGTTCCGTTCTATTGCCGCCGCCACTGCTGCTCCCACCAGCCTGTTCGTTATCGTCACCGCCCATCCACTTGGGCTTCTTGATGCCATCGCCAATCTCCTGTATCCATTTGGGCGTGTCGATCGTATCGATCGTATTTTTGAACCGGTGGCCCAGGTTTGTGAAGAAGTTGTCGTCCTCTCCCTCCGACGATGAGTCGGGCACCGTCGAGCGCGCATTCGCTGCTCTTCTGCTGCTGGGCTGGTCGTGATATGATGGTGACGTGGCGAAGGGCGTCTGGGCGCCCTCGCTCCGGGTTGCTGGCACGGTCAGAATGGGCGCTGCTCGGCCAGGTCCCGCTCGTGAGGCCGCCTCGTCGAGGCGCCTTGAGATCGACGTCCCGTTCAGCTCCCGTTCTATCAGATCCCGGCCTTCGCGCCAAGATCCAGTACCATAGGCGGGTTGGCTCTCCTCGTCGTCTTCGACAATATCGACACCAAATCCGAAGAATCGCCTGACTCTACCATAAAGTCCAAATAGCGTCGCCAAAACAGGCAACAAGACGAGAATCGGAAACAGGTAATCGAACCATTTTCCAAGCGGCGTGAGATTGACGTATTGTCCAAGGATGTAGTAGAACGTTGTCTTCTCGTAGATCTTCGGGGACAGGAAGGTCACGAAGTTGTAAGATAGGGGCACACTTAGCTTTGCGACCTGAGAGCCATACCAAAACGCTGATTCGTGAGCCGTATTGCGTCGCACCAAGGCGCGGCCTCGCCAGACCTTCACTTCGGTCACTGTGTGCAGTGCAGCTGTAGACATGTATAATATCCAAAACGCTGCAACCATCTGGCCTGGGAATCCAATCTGGCCACTGTCTCCTGTCCAATGGTGGACAACTGTGAAGCGAATGACGGACAAGAAGGGCAGAGCTGCTTTAACCAGCTCGGACCATATTATACAAACTGACGCCAGCGCCAGGAATCCGCCTAAGAAGATGCGGAAGTAGGGGATGAATTGGCGGTAAAAGAGATATTGGGTATATGGTGTAAATAAAGTGAACTTCTCCAAGGCTGAGGAATTCGGGGAAGATGCGCCAAAGTCGAGCCTTTTCGAAGCAGACGAGTCGAGAATCATCTGGGTCTCCGAAGCATCGCGCAGTAAGTGATTCCACTCGTCCACATATCTCGACTTGGCGTGCCGCGCGTGGTCTAGATGGCGCGTAAGGTCTGCCAAGTACTTCTCCGTGATGACTGTTGGGATGATGCGACTGTCGCTGTCAGGGCGAGGAATAGCATTTTGCGGTCGAGACTCGGGAATGCCGCACGAATCGGAAAGCTCCTCGATCCAGTCCCGGAAGTCCCTGGCACTGCCTGTCTTGCGCTTGCTCAGTTCCGATACCTGGACTTCCAATTCTTCGAGGCTTGTAATAGCATCTTCCATCTTTTCGTATTGATTCGGCGCTCTCGACTGAAGCCGCCGGAGCCGGCCACTGGCGCTTGCGTTCTTGATCAGATTGCGTGGGATCGCGACCAAACCGTGACCCATGAGATAGATGGCGAGTATCAGACCCCAGCAGTAGGCCAGAGCCATTATTAGACCCCTGAGCGATGTAAAGGACGGGCCGTAAGATATGAAGAAGTATATCAGCCCAAGGACCCCGGATCCAAGTACAAGTGCGTAGTACTGGGCATTCTGGCGCAGGGAGTAGAGGATTCGATCTTTGGGTTCTCGATATCCGGCGTCGGAATATTCGGCAAGTATGGGGAGTATGAGCCTATGGTGGACAATATCAGTGTGGAACTTTGGAAGCTGGGGCAATGCGACTGACCATGTCAGGACAAAGGTTAGCCAATACGATATCCTCCACGACACAAGCAGCGCCCGGTCCGGCAGCCAGATGCCCTTGATCTTCTCATCGTCTGGACTAGCGTTCGTCGCGAGATCGATAGGAACTAGTAGCACGATGCTCGCGGGCAGCCACAAGGCAAAGAAAACGGGGACGAGGAGGTAGGCTGGCGTCGTCCGCAAAGGTAGGTAGTGTCTCTGGATCAGGAGAACGCCGACAGAGATGACAAGCAGCGCGATGCCTGCGAGGATGGCGGAAGGCACGGGCGACTGACTGCTCGTTATTTGGAACATCTTTAGACTATGGCGGTCACTCCATGAGTGAATAGAAAGAAGTTCAGCGAGGCGATGAAAGGAAGCGTTGGATGGGCCGGGCCCTGAATGGTTCGCAATGCGCAATCTCCAAGTTAGATTGTGGTCCATGAGGCTAGAGTGGGCCGTGGGGGTCGGACTAGCCTCTGACGTCGCCTGTGCGTACCTTATAGGCACTGTGGCTGAATTGGACATGAAACCCATGTGGCTTGTAGAAATTGCGGAAATGTTGCTGGAAATAGATCAACCCCTGCAACCCCCGAGTGCTTTCATTGCAGGGTTGTGGCAGTACCTGACTAGAAGAGGCGGCGATGTCAGCGGCATCATAGTCGCAGCGTCAACATCCTTCATCACAGCCCTATTTAATGACACAAGACTACCTGGTAACTCCAGACTTGAAGTGTCCGATTCACATGATTAGGTCTGCCTCATTCAAGACTTTGCCTTACTACCTAGCTTCTATACTTCGCTCATCGATGTGACAGTTGCGGGCTTCTCCTACCGGAAGCTGCAGTGGCAGGTGCGGTTGGCTAAAAAGGAGACCTAACAGTGGACTGGCACCACAGGCAAACCGACCAGCCCTTGGCCACCTGATAGGAGGCTGGCAGATCTACCGCTTGATCACGAGCAGATAGGGCGATGGCGCGCGGATGTGAGGACGACGCGTCTGAATATCGAGAGACCTGCAGAGGTTTCATGGATCGGTCGATCGGGCTGGGGAGCTAAGCATGACCCAATCGGTACTGAAAGGCTTCTTTGTTGTACGGCAAGACGTGAAGGCGGACACCTTCGACTTCGGAACGGCTGAGCGGCTTGCCTGTGCTAGATTAGCGGCAAGAAAATCCCGGGGCTTTGTAGGAGTCGCTAGGAGATGCTCCCAGGAGAGGCGGGGTTCTTTGACGGTGAGCAAGTCGGGACGACTGGCTCCATGACCACTGTCGAGGCCAGTACCTGTCCGAGTGCAGGAACCCGGGTGCTCCAGACGAGCGGCAAAGTACAGCATAGCCGGGGGTGCTGCTGGAAGGCACAGCGGGAGCTCATGAACGAACCTGCTGATTTGATTCTGTCAAAGACCGTAAGTCGTCCCTATCATTGCGTCTCTTGGTTTGCCCAGATGTAGCATGACTGAGGTAGCGATACGTAGGTAGACCTGTACCGGGCCCAACTCGCTCGGTCGTCGGTGGCTGGGAATCGGTGTGTACCAGATCGAAATGCAATGTCCCGTCCTGGTGTTACACCGCCAATTGGAACTCCACGGGTAATTAATGAGGACCTTCGTCGCTGTCCGCTGTCCGAATGTTTGCACGACGCGGCTATGATGGCATAGCTACACCGAAAGGCATGTACACCCCCAAAGTAGAAGCAGGTCACGATAGTATGCTTAGTACACTATTCTGGCCGGCACAACTGGTACGTGATTTGTGCTCAGTTTGACATGTCGATAGGTAGAGCATTCAGGGGCTGGAGCCGGCGATGGTGGTGACTCTACTGAAGTGCCTTCGGGGGGCAAGCAATCAAAGCAGAGGGCACTCTGTGATCGAACCGGTTTTTGGCTGCCGTATTATCAGCAGGGGGCTCGCTATGAAACTGCGGGCACAATGCAGTCATGGCAACGCCAAAGTGACATGTTACTGTGCCCGACGTGAGTGTCACCACGTACCAAATGGGGGCAACCTGTTCTTCCACCAAACGGCCCGCTACAGATTGCTCATACACTCGGTGACGGGGTGGGGAGGTAACATTTCTCTGGTTGAATAAGGGTGACCAGCACTGCTAGCGAATGGCTCTATCGTGAACAGCTGAGGTCTCCCTCTACCACCAAAAGAGCAGACTGGACACTGTCAGTAGGGACCTGCAAACGAATAGATGGGCTGGAAGATAACTGAGTCAGACAAACTCGGTGGTTCAACCAGCCAGTTGGGGTAGAATGGACCAGCAGGCATCGCAAATGCAAGGGACATCTGTGCTTCGGTGAATTGGCGACTGATCGGCATGGTGTTCCAGACAGACAGCTTCAGATGAATGAGGCAAGGTTACACGCGAGAAGATCGGTAAGGTAGGTACTGGCATGATCAGTGTACAACTTGGCCACAACAGTGGATGCAGGTATGCAAGGTACCACATGACAGCTGGATGGCAAACAGACAGATTGGATGGGACACATCTGGTGATGCTCGGGGCACGGGTGGGCGCAGTAGTACATCTGAGATGGGAATAGGGGGCTACCGAGTGACCATAGCACAGCAGGAGATCAGTGACCAGGTAAGATATCATGGAGATACATACATATTAATCTGGTGTAAGCACTTCTGAGCAGACAGGGCCAGTGATTCACAGTAGGCCACAATGTACCTGTATGCTGTCCCCCACAATCAGTGGCAGAGAGGCATCCATAAGATAGGTAATCACTGCAGGCCACCATTGTGCAAATCACCCGATACCGTAATATGTCATAAATTGGTGCACAATCACCCACCACTGTGCCCGGCAACGCGCCTTGATACAAAATCACCCGCCGCCAGAACCCAACCACAAAACCCGTGCCGGCACAAACAAAATACAGGATCTCTCTCCCTCTTCCACCACCTTTTCCATTCCCGTACTCTCATCTTCGCGCCCGCGACCTTGTTGTTCCCACACGATACAAACATCCAGCACCGCGTCTGCACCTTGTAATCTTGCGAACAAGCAGCCAGCATTCACCTCTTCTGTTCACCACTTCACCTTTCCAGAAGAACCAACGCCGATCGTCAAGATGCAGTTCTTCAAGAGTGTCGTTGTCGTAGCCTTTGCCGCTGCTGGCATGGTAAGTCATTCCTCCTTCATCGTGCCTTCCCCATCCACCTTCCGATCCTTCCCTGATTTCTTCCTAAGTGGTCGCCGGTACCGGCTCCAAATGGCCTGCCGCTTCTAGCATCATACCTTCCTTGCTTTCCTGGATGCCTTCACGCTTTGCCCACTGCACACCGATTGACAATTCCTGTGTCCTCCTGCCCCCACACCTCATGCTAACTCACTTTTCCCGCAGGCCACCGCCGACATTGTCAAGAAGAAGGAGGCCGACTGCACCTGCACCCCGACCAATCTCCCGACGGTCACTGTCAGTACGGTCACTGTCACTGCTACTCTCAGCGGCAGCGAGGTCATCCCGCCCATCGGCGTGTCCACCACTTCGGTCGTTGTCGGCACTGGCCCCGCTGGCGAGTCCCCCACCACCGGTCTCGACACGGCGACTCCTACGATTCCTGTCATCATTGGCACTGGTACCGAGACTCTTCCCGCTCAGTCCTCGCCTGCTCAGACTGGCACTGAAGTCCCTGGCACTGGTGCTCCCACTGGCACCGAGGTCCCTGGCACCGGTGCTACCACTGGCACTGAGGTCTCTGGAAGCAGCGCTCCTACTGGCACTGGCACCGTCTCCACCGTCTCGACTGCTACTGTTACCAGCAGCGTCAAGTCCACTGGTTCAGGGTCCAGCACTGGCACTCAGCCCGCTCAGTCTTCCGGCACCGAGGCCCCCTCGTCGTCTGGAGTCGCGTCTGGCGCTGCGTCTGCCCCTACTGGCGCTCTCGGCCTCGGGGCTCTGTTCGGCGGTGCTGCGATGGTCGCCATGGTCAACCAGATCTAAGGTTTTTGTTCGTGAACAATCACAAGGAGGATATCTTGTTGGGAGATGCGAGGATCGTCATCGTCTTTTCTCACTCATCCATTGGCATACACCCCTTGGTACACACGATACCCATTCTGATCAGTGACTACCACACCACACTTCGACAGTCACTTCCACCTTCACCCTGACCTACCCTCTTACTGGACTGGGAACCAAGGACATAATGGTAGCAATTCGCATTGGGGAGGAGAGGTTGTACTGTCGTCGCTGGCGTTGCATACGGAGGAGATTGATTGATTCCTTCTTCTTTCGGCATGAAAGGAAAATTGGAGAAGGACTGAGGAAAACGGATCAGGATTGCAGGCTTTAGATAGACCTTGGCTTCGAGGGTTCCTCATAGGACAGGAACTGCGCACTCGACCGATGGTCTCTCGTAATGATACACTCTCACTGACACTCACTGACACACACTGTATGGTTTGATGCCTTTGCGTTATGCTTTTTGACCTGTTGGTGTTCTCGCTTTTTCTTGTCCCTACCTGACGGCCCCTGCTGAGGTGTGGCTTGTGCCCGCCCGCTGCGCCGATGCCCCGAGAGATCTGCACAGACAGTGGAACCTCCTCAGCTCTTGGCGGTCAAGGGTAATAAACTTCAAAGGGTCCAGCCTTCAGACAACATTTGAATCTTCTCTACCCGCCTCTTCATTTTTGGGTAAGCATAGGGGGTCTCCAATGCTCCGTCCTGGTTTATTCTAGCTTCCTATCGTTTTCCTAAAGCTCAAGCAGAGCTCTCCTGCTCTCTCAGCCTCTCTAGAAGTGTACCTTATTGGTTCGGAGAAGATCACGGCTCATGCATGCACTGTCACGAGTTTCATGCAGCTACTCCGCAGTTTGCGCCTCATCTCTCACCTCGTTTTGCAACCAACTGGAGAAGATCTTCGCAATTGAGCATGTCTTGAAAATCTCACCTCCATCATATCTGATTTGAGTCACCCGTCGTTTCCAACTGAGCCTCTTATTAGCGCTTGTCTGTCTCCTCAATTCCCGCTGCGACCCCTGAATTTCAATCCAATCCAAGATGGACGACTATCTCTTCAATGAGAATGTCAGGAACTGCCGATACGTGTCCGAGAACACTAGCTACCTGGAGATATTCAATTTCTCGGTACGTGCTGCTGCTGATTGGCGGCGGTGTATGGGTCATCAGTGCGAGGCTAACATGGCCACGCCTTCAGAATATTGCGTACAATACGTGTGAGGAACATCCTCTGACCGATGATGATTTCGAGAACTTCCTCAGTCGCCGGGTACGTCTTCTAACAGCATCTTGGCTGTCACTGCATTCGCTTCAGCCTGTCAACGCTTGCGGGGTACACGTCCAACAAGACAGATGCTATACCATCAGTCTCATGACTTTGATGACACCCGTCGAACCGCATGCAGTTGACTTGCCTGAACAAATGTTGACTCGGTCTCTAGGGTGCGTTCGATCCGCCGAAACTGAAGGATGGAGTGGAGCTGCTGGACGGCATCCGGCTTGTGTGAGTGAGACGAACTTCCAGTGTGAAAGCTTCCAGCTGACGCAGAGCAGTATTCAGAATAATGCCAAACAGAATGAGACATTCTCTCCCCAGTTCATCTCCTTACCACCAGAGTCCTATAAGTCGATGGTAAGGAAGATGCATCTTCCATTCCGCGCCATTGAAGGCAGCAGTCTTGTTGGGCCCTTCTTCTGGTGCGCCGATGACCAGGACGAAGCCAATCGTCATCTGCGTAAGTCTTCTTTCGTTTCCAACCGCGAAAAACGGGCATGAGTCCCTGCTAACTGTTACTCGCTCGTAGAAATCATCTTCCGGAAGTCTGATGTCCGTAAGAAGGGCAAGACTAGGGGATGGGAGATCATGCTTTCATACTCATTCAATGAGCGGATCACGACTGGCTTTGTGAAGGGCACATCTTCATCGGATATCGAACAAGCAATTAAGCATCTGATTGCCTGCCATGCCGAAGTCGGACACCCACTTCTTCTTCCCATGATCATTCTTTCCCACGATCTGTCCGCCAAGGCCGATGTACGACAACGGGACGCGCGGGACTGGCTCCGCCGACTCGAGAATGCAATCACAATGCGCGATGAGATTGAGGCGAAAGAGGTCTACACGGACTTTGACGTCGATGGCATCAACCGGGACCTTGTCGAATGCCATTCGCAAGTGCTGTGGAAGCGACCGCAAGCGTACCAGGAGATCATCAAGGAGATCAAAGGTGCCATGGAGAAGTTCATCAAGGTGAATGAGCAGAAGAACACAAAGACCTTGAAGGCACTGCACAACAGCATGGACTCGAGGCTGGACTTCTATCGAGCCAAGTTGACTGGGATGGAACACTATATCCATACTACGTTGGAAAGGTTGCACATCCAACGACAAGCTGTGAGTACCTCCACAACCCCAGTCCGTTGCTCATGAAGGTGTGAGCTGATCTTTGTCGACCTAGCTGTACAACATCATGGCGCAGAAGGAGTCCAAGCTCAATCTGGAGATGGCGGCGCAGCAGAGAAGGCTGGCACATGCGAGCAAGCGCGACAGCACCGCCATGAAGACGCTGTCCCTCCTTGGTGCCGTCTTCCTTCCTGGGACATTCCTGGCTTCTGTCTTCAGCATGACATTCTTCGATTTCAACGTCGGTAAGAATTTCCCTCAGACCCCATTAAACAAATGGTCAGATTGTTAGAAGCTCGTCGGCTGATATAACCAACCAGGTGAGGACAATAGCTCTGGCGATGGCGCAGAAGTATCCAGGGAAATATGGATCTACTTCGCCGTCACTGTACCTCTGACCCTCGTCATCGTCCTGTCGTGGTGGTTCTTGGACCACAGGCGCGAGAAGCAATACGCAGCCGAGGATCTCGACATCGAGCAAGGCATCGCGAGCATGGAGAAGGACATGCTAGCATTTATGCGCAAGAAGACGATGAGCAAGGCCACAACTTGGAACTCTGGAGGTGGCAAGAGCCCCGGTGCGCCGAAGAGTAACCCGCTGTTTGCCCAGCTGGAGAAGGAGAGCTGAGGTTGGGAAACTCGACGGTGCAGGAGACCTACCTGATTGAGAGTCTCGCGTTCTGGAGGCTTGATGGTAGACTACTGGCTACGTCAGCCGTGCTATACTATCTTGCGAACGGAGCCTTATGAAGATATGATGATCACGAAGTTTTATGATAGTATATAGATCAGAATAGTAATAATATACTTGGGTAGGAATCGCATTAGGAAATCGACAAAAATCAAATCTACAAGCTTCTCGTTCCTCGCTAGTATTCATCATCCATCATCCACACACGCCTAACCTTAGACACATACACAATCCTCCCCTTCACCAGAATCAACCAAGCTCAAATCTTCGCCTTCCCTCCAGGCGGCAACAACGCAACCCCCTGGTACGGCAGCCCCAGAAACTCATACACGAAATGCCACCTATCGCTCCCAAAGAACGGCTCGCCCGCGCCGGGCGCATCATCCGTCGTGACCCACAGCCACGGCATGCCAAACGCGCCGCGTCCAAGCGCCTCCTCGACCTTTCCCTTCAGCGCGTCCTTGTACTCCTGCGAAGCCGCGGCCTGCAGTATCGCCTCCACGTCTTCATCGCAGAAAAGCAACCCACCGCTGCCACTGCTGCTGGATCTGTTGTAGTTGAGGCTGTCGAGGCCGAAGTCGGCCGGGATCTCAAGCAGGATTTCTTGTAGGGCGGCCGGGGTATTGGGCGGTCGGTGCAGTGTCCAAAAGGCGTGGAAGAGGTAGTGCAAGGTGGTGGTGAAGGTCTGGGGGGCGTGGTTGGCTTTGATGTAGTGCATGGCTCGCATGGGCTTTTTCGGGGGAGCTGGTGGTTAGCGAAGGGGGTACGACACGGTGCTAGGTATGTAGAGGCGGACACAGCATAAGGGGGATGGGGGTGGGGGTGGGGATGCGTGGAAGGACGGGACGGGCTGACCAGCTGTGTCTTGCCCGCTTCCATCAGGTCGCCTGGCGGCGAGGCGTCCTTCAGGCCCACGGCTTTCGCGGACCGCGCTGTGTCGTATTTGCTGTGTGCGGCTTTGGCTTTGACGGTCCATGGCGGTTTGTTGCCTGCGTGCCGCGGGGTCAGTTCTTAATCTGATCTGATCTGGTGTGATTTGAGAACATTGCGGCCCGGGCCGACGGCAGGGAGCGGGAAGGGTGGACGTCGACATACCGGAGCCGGCGTTGATGGCGCCTATGAGGACCGGATGGATCCTGGAAGCGTGCTCAGTGAGTGCCGCCACCACTTACAACCAAAAGGACAGGACATCTTCGGTAAGAAGTTAGAAAGCAAATATGTGAGCCGCCTTACTCGACTTCGACCGAGTGTTGCTTCAAAAGCTCTTGACTTTTCAGTATCTGGATGAAAGTTACATAGCTGTAGTACGAAGCTGACCTCACTTGTGAGTTGACCGGCATGCGAGTTAGGTGAGCGAGCGGGCGGGCGGGCTTACCGATGTCGAGATAGCACTCGATCCGGCCGCCCATGATGAATTCCCCGCCTGTGTCCTATTCAGGAGGTAAATATCTGACTTATGCTAAGTTTGGTACCTTCTGTCTAGTAGGGAAAGCAGACTATAATATGGTTTTGTTGTGAACCGCAGCGTTGATGTATATTGTTCGGTAACAGGATCATTTGGGCTTATCCGAAGTACATATGCAGCTGCCATCCTCCCACTCAATATTGAGCAACCTCGGCTCACCTTGTCGGCCCCACTCATTATCGTGACCCCTGATTCAGGACCTTTTAAATGTTTGGGGTTTCATACAAGCCACAAAGGAGGCTGGCTTACATTCATTACATTTCTACGATGTCTCAAGACGCTATCAAGCGATGGAAAACGTAAAGAACTCGGAATGCTTTATATGGAATATGTAATAACTAAGCTGCCTATATACACATTCCTATCAGATCCCGCACCTCTCAACACGTCTCCACCGCCGCCGTCCGCGCCCCCGTCCACCCGGCGCCCTTGAACAAGAAACCCCATTCGCCCCGCGTAACGGGCGAGATATCGTCGTATCCGTTCGGCGTCATGGGCCCCAGCGGCGACGCCATCTGCTGCGAAGCCCTGTAGTCGCACGGCGACAGCATCTCGTCGATGGACATGCCGCCCGCCAGCAGCAGCGCGTTGGCGTTCTGCCACAGCAGCGAGGAGCGCAGGGGTCCGTCGGCGAGGGGGCGCGCTGTGCGGTCGCCGTCCTCGTCTTCGTATTCTTCAGGGGGCGATTCGGACGATTCGATGTCGTCGATGCGGATTTGTAGCTCGTGGAGTTGGTGTGGGATTTGGGTTTGTGTTTCGGATTGGGTTTCGACTGGTTGGGTCTGAGGTGCGGGTTTCGTGGGCTTTGGCCTCACGAGCCGCGGACTCGTGGGGATGTTTGTGTTTAGTTTCAGGACGGGCGTCATTTGTGATTTGGGCGGTGGCGGCGTGCCGATTTTGAACTCCTTTACCGCCATCATCACGACCTCTTGCCTGTCGAACTCTCCCTCTCGTTCTTGTTCCCTCTCCCCTGCTGTATTTGTATTCGTATTCGTGTTTGCGAAGACGGGCACGACCTCGAACGGCCCCCTCCGCTCCGGCCCCCCGTACGCGCGCCGATACATCTTCTCTACATCGGCCAGCGCTCGCGGGTAGACGCCCATCCAGTCGTAACATCGGTAGACCTCGGACTTGGGCACAGGCCGGCCACCATTCGCCAACACAAGACGTCTCATGGAGTCGACCGCGTCTTCGAGACGCGTGCTATCTTCCCCTGAACGTCCAGTCCCAACCCCAGTCCCAGGCCCATATCCCGTAGTGATGGGATGATTCGACAACCCAGGCGAGCCCAGTGGTGTGTCCGCCGCCTCCACACTAGCAGCAGCAGCATGCGAAGCCGCAATCGAAGCCCTGGCATAGGCCGCCAGCGCCGCCTTGAAGCAGTACAGCCGGTCGAGCCCCAGCAGCACAAGACCCTCATCCTCGCCCGCGAACAGCGCCTCGTTTTGGGCGACGCTGCGGTGCAGGAGGTTGGCGTGTAGGCCTGCGGCCGCCGCCGTGGTCGTGGGCGGCAGCCGCGTGCGGAACTTGTGCTCGGCTTTGGACAGGGTGGCGCGGAGCGTCTTCTCGGCTTTGGGTGATAAGGGGGCGGTGGGGATTAGGCGGATGCCGAAGGTCAATGGGCTGCTTGGGGACAGGGACAGGGACAGGGATTGGGATAGAGACTGGGCCTGGGAGGCGCTGGAGGAGGCGGTGGTTGTGGCGGTGCTGGAGGGCGTATGCGGCGTCATGGGGGTTCGGGGTGGCGGGCTGCCCGGTGTGGGAGGCAGGATCCAGCGTCGGGGGCTGGGGAGGCCATCTGAGGGCGGCGGTGAGAAGGTCGGGGATGTGGTTGCGCTTTCTGAAGCCGTCGTGATCGACGATGCGGAAGAGGCCGTGGAGGCGTTGGTGCCCCTCCGCACCAGCTGCCTCAGCCCAGTAACGGGTGATGTGAAGCGTACGGGCGAGGTGAAGCCCGTTGTGGAGTAGTCAGGGGTGGCTGGGGGCGACGCGGGCATGGCGCGCGGCGGCGGCGTGCTTGGGAGCTGGGTGTTCTGTATGACGAGTAGTGTGACGTGTATGGCCTTCCTCGCTAGCCGCTTGGATGTGTACTCGAGGGCCTCAGTGAGATGAGGAGGGAGGTTGTGTGTATCGAGGATAGATCGGCCTGCCTCGAGGGGTGAGGATATGCGTTGCTTGGACAGCGACATGGTGCCGGAAGCTGCCGTGGGACAAGAGATTGTGGCGAAGGCACGGTATGCAGACGTCAATGCAGTAGACAGAGCCGCAAGTGCTAATAAAATGAGCCAAGACCGGAACACTGGCAACACGGAGGCGATGATGTTGTGATGTGGTGATGTGGTGATGTGGTGACAGTTCTTGGAATCAAGAGACAGTTCCGAGCGGGCTAGATATATCGCGAGATGCTGACGACAAGATTAGAACCCTTGACCGGGACTCTAGAAACAAATTCCCAAAGCGGACTTGAAACAAGCATGGGTTAGACTAGAATGTGTGATGAGAATTGAGAAGTAGAGTATATAAAAAGAAGGGCGCCTAAACCACGTGTATACGTATGCAAGTCACGGCGGAGGAAACATCAAGCATGAAACATGGAAACATGGAAACATGAAACGACCGCATTAGGAAAGGGAGGCTCATGAGGAGTCTGTGGGGGTTTTGGTTGTTTGTTGGCAGATTTCCCTTTCGCGTCCTCCGGGAGTCAGGATTCTATATCGGGAGTGTCGAAACTTGGCGTCACGGCGCAGCTCCGTGACCAACCACAGCCGCGGGAGTGCCTCATTTCAACATTTACCTTACATGCCTACCTTGCCTTGTGACTGGATTCTTGTGACCCGGGAAGCCTGCCTGCAGGACGCATGCGGATGAAGATGAAGAATGCCACCTCGTCTATACTTGGATACACCGCTCCGACAGAACCTTTCATCGTTGACGAAGAACCAGAGAAGACCGGTTTCATTGGCAGGTCATCGATGCGAAGCTGCAAATCACACTTGTAATCTGTGTATGTGATAGCATATGCGTGCTCAAGAGAATGCACACTGCATACCTTAACCGACTGCGACTGCATGCTGTCGGGATGCCTGTCAGATCTCGAAACGTCAGCCAACCAGGAACGCAGATGGGCTCCCCCGCATTGACCGCCGGCGCCTACGCAGTTCCAATTATAGATGCCGGCCGCCAAGGGCCAAGATTCCAAGAATGGAGTCAAACTTCAATGCGATCCTGCTAGCATCCTTTGGGCATAGCGGACATGGTAAAAATAGCTAGGAGAAATGAGATGGGCGATGGGCTGATGGGATGGGATGGGATGGCAATCATGGGATAGGGATCATGAGTTGGGAATCAGGGGATGGGATAGCATATTCATGATTGATGGGAGTACGACAGCGTTTCGAGCGGTCGAGCGTCCTCCGCCTGTGATGGAGAGACTGATTATGAGATGAAGCTGGAAGAGAGGGATCCCAAACAATGCTAGAGCCTAGAAAAGAAACAGGCCAAGTGTGCTGGTCATGTGACTGCTCCACATTGAATGGCGACGTTGGACGTCTGCAGAGCGCGTGTGACCCCTCCTCATCTTCTTCAACACCCTCGACATGCTTCGTCTAGACACGACACCTTGCGAATTTGCTCTCGGTGGGCTCTGAAGGCAGCGCAGAACTTCAGCCTCTACCCGATGGTTGATCCATCCAGCCTTGCGGATGCATTTGATGTCACTGTCGACTGCCTCGATGCTCTGTATGCTCTTCGTAAGATCAAATTATTACAGCGGACTCAAGCTATGAAATAAGCAGAAATGCCAGTTTACCATGTGACCAAACACTGCTCTCCATGGCTAGTAATGTCGGCAATTACTGGTGAAAGGCTGGCGACGTTACTGACCTTTGCACCTTGACTGCTTTAGAGCTGTCAACTCGCCCGCGGCCACCTTCTCGACGCCCAACTTCACCGCTGCACTTTTCTTGTGTGGAACCCGAGACACGAGGGACGGCAGCGACGCAGACGGGCATCGTGGTCTGCTGCACCAAGCTCAACCAGCCCGACGCGGGAGAGGGTGCGAGACGGGTGCGTCCAAGCACGCCATCACACCCGCGTAGCTGTACGCGTGGAACACACAGCTCGGTGAGGCCGGCGCCCATTGCGGCTATTCTTTCTGGCTTGGCTGGTAATTACTGCGTCGTCGCTGGCCCGTCTTCGTCGAGCAGCAGTAGCAGGCCGCCCACGGGCCTCGTCGCTTAGGCGGGACTGGCTTGGCTAATACCAGGGAAGGGGGCTTGCATATATGGCAGAACAAAAGCAAAACTGTCACCAAATGAGGCTGACCCGATCTCAACTGATGGGGTGCGAATTGGCTGGGTTACTTCGAAACAGGGCAGGCGCATTAGAGATGTAGGTTTGGTCTGAACTCTTTTTGACCCTTCACTAGGTGCAGGGTTCAATTCTTGCTGAAAGCATTGTTACCTTTTTGGCATTTTGCTTTCAGCTGTGCACAGGATCCTAAGGCAATGGGGCAGAGTCGCGACTTTATTTTAAACAGAAGAATATTACTGCGTCGGTGTCGTAGTTAAGAAGTTGTTAAGAGATTAAGTATTCCGGATATTTCCCCGGGAGCGGTCGGCTTAGAAAAATAGGTGTTGTTAAACAAAAGTATCAAATAACCCAGCATGCTTATATAAAGATCGTCTTACACTGATTGAGTATTAAAAAGATGAAATATTTTAATTAAAATTTGTACCATGCTTTAAGTCTTAATATCCCATTTTTTTTGTATATAAGTTAGCTATATATTATATGTTAGATGTAGTGGTGCAGGTGGTCTGTGCGCGGACCAGGTGGATTTAGGGTGGTCCTAGCGCCCTGGAAACGGTCGATTAGCCACCGTTGCCTCACAGCTTCAATGATATGCTAGCTGGACGCATTGTAATTGTACTTAAGTGTAAATCTGTCTATGATAGGTAGTTACAAAACCACGAACGTACCACTAATACTTCTGCATACGAATTCTCACATTGTATAAAAAACAATACTAGCATCTTACATATGCCTCTTTTTTTAACCAGTCTTTTAACCGCTAATTTAATATTATAAAAAACAACGCAGCTCAAGTTTTTAACCCGGGTACTAGGCTTATAATCGCTATTATTAAGGCTATAATCGCTAGTATTAAATACATACTTATTATAATTCGGCTGTAAATAAGTATAAAATTAACTTTTTTCATATACGTATAAAAAAACCTATAAAACTAATTAAAAGATAAAAACAAATATATATAAAGGTTAACCCATAAGGTTATAAGGTTAATATTAAATATCTTAATAATATTTTTTTTAACCGTAATTAACCGCAACTAATATAAAGCTAAAATAATACGAATATGAAAAATTATTTAAACCGATTTTGCCTCATTATACCGCACCTTTAATATTTATATTTTAACATCTTTATATATATTTCCTTCCTTTTACTCCTTAAAATTAATAATTGTAAATTGCTACTAGTTCGCAGTTAAATTAACCTATTTAAAACGTTGTATGTTAAATCGTCTTTTCTTTATTATTACGCACTCGATTATATATTGATAAACAATTAAATCAATTACGATACCGTGTTTTTAACTAACCCGTTTCGTCTTTTTGTCTCATCATACTTTAAGTTATTTTCATATATAATACTTATGTAACGCTATTAACCTTAGAAAAACTAAAACCCCGCCTTAAAAACAATAACAATAAACTACAGCTTTGCTAAAATAAGACCAATCTTATATATTAAATATATGAAAAACTATTACAAATACACCTTAATGTATCCTTATTTAAATATTTAAAATATTAAATTACTAACAATATGATATTAAACCCACTTAGTTAAACAAAAACGTCAATACTATAACAACTGTTGGATCCATGTGATTCTACAGTCAAACCATCCATACAAAACCCACATGTATGATTAGATAAGAGATTAGATACCAGATTGTGAGGTCACTTAGTGTGACGGTCTGACCTCCTGTACGTCTGTCAGCCCATCGATGTGGTCAGTGCGCTGCATCAAGTGACCTGGCGCACAGGTGGTGTTGCCACAGCTGTACTAGATTGGGTAATTGTGGGGCGGGTTGAAGGATCTTTAATCCCACCAGAATTAGCTGGCGGGTCAGATCCTTCTTTCTCGCTCCACCAAGAGATTCTTACATGTACGTAGTGAAAGCAGGACTGTTACGTCCACTCCATATTTACGCTTCGTGACACTTAGCCAGACCTTCAGGTCCAGCTAGACTTCCCAATCCAACCATCAGCAACATTATGACCTTGACCCAATACTCGAGTATTATGATTGATCGTTCAAGCCTGTTCCTACAAAAACGTTATAAATCTTATAGCAACTCAGAAAGTTTCTACTTATAAATAATTAAAACATTCTTTAAATATATATTAATACCGGTAATTAGATTAATAAAGCTTAAATATTTCGTTTAAATAACTTTAAATTTACACTTATTAATATTAATAATAAAACCGGCATAAATAAGACGTACATATATTTCATAAAAATATGGTTAAAATATATCCTTACGTATTTATCGAAAATATTAAACAATATATTGTTAATATAATACTAAAATATATTAACGTAGATAACAAGCGAGCTGCGAGGTAGGGCTTTCATACAAAAAAGTCGGTGCGTAACTGTGCGTCTACCTTTTAAAAAAATCAGAAGAATCTTAGACCTGCTGCATTTAATTATTATAAACCAACAAACAGTACGGCCTGGTAGCAGGCCCAGAGGAGACGATTAGAAACAGGTTGACCAGTAAGTGGGGTACTGATCAGTGGAGAGATCGGAGCAACGGAGCAACGGTACACAGATCACGTGACCAGCAGAACCCGGGTCACGTGACTAAGAATTTGGATCATTGGATCACCATGGTGACCCAGTGAGCAGGATCACCTTGGATCACTGTTGATCTAGGGTGAGCCACCTAATCAGTGAGAGAGAGATTAGATATATAAGGACAGACATTTCCCAACTAAATAGATAGACAGTCTCTACCTCAGTGATCAATCTAAGCATCTTAACCAACCTTAAGGTGGGAGAAATCTCCTGACGACTCGACTACGCAGTAAACCCAGTTCAGACCAAGCCCCAGCATCTGAGTGTCTTCTAGTTAACAGAAGCCTCTATCGTT